CACCTTACACCCCTATTCCAAGTGACTTTTCCTCGTTACCATAGTAACCGCCACGACGCGAGACGGATGTCTGAAGGAGTTCTCCTGAAAGTTGTACTATTCACTCTTTGGAAACAGAAGGGATGGTTGACGACTGAATATAAAAATGCTTCTTCCTAAAACCGGAAGAAATATAGAAAACTTCCGATGTATCCATCCGCTCATGTTAAGCTTACGAGGCGAAGTCTGAACAGACTTAATATTCTAATGAATTTTATAATTGTAATTTTTGTTCAAATTTACGCGAAATTTTAATTAATTAATAAATTCTAACAGGTCGTAAGCATAAAACAAATTTAACAAAATTAATATCGCAACATTAATAAAGTGTAAGTTGTGCTATGTTTTGTGTGTTATCGCTTATTTGGTTACATTTGAGTCAAATATCATCGTTTGTGATAAAAAATCGTATGAGTAAAATATCATCGTTTGATACATCGTAACATGCTTGTGGAGTCTTCCAAATTTATTTGTTATTTGTTTCGTTGAAAATTAAATTGAAAGAATGTATTATAGGGCAAACACTACAAGTATAATAATATTTGACGGCGCACTTTTCTAGCTAAGGCGTAAAAGTCATATGACAAATTTTAACCCCTAGCGCCATCTGTACTTAGCTTTACCCGATCAACCATCCAGAGGCGTCTCAATGTTACGCTTTTCCCCCACTATTCATACTTTTCCTCTCTTCGTTTCCTCAGTTTCTGCAAATCTGGTTTTATCCTCACGGAACATTTCAGTAAGAAATTGGAATGTATGTCAAAAGGAGAAAAGCAAGATGAGCCGAGACTTTTCAAACGGAATTGTGGATATTGGGTAAATCACATAACCTTTAAGCACCTATTCTATTTACTAAGTGTGTAGAAAGAGTGATGTTTCTAAAGAATTCTGGAAACTGTTTTCTTAAGAACATTTGCAAAAACTGCTTAAATTCTCTCTGAAAAATGCTATCTCGGTTTGGAAGTACACGTGTGTGTGCTAATGTGCTTTTTCTGCTGGCTCTCAAACAAATCAAATGCAAAAATAAAAAAGAAGAAATCTAAGAAGAAGTGCTTCCCTTCAAACAAGTCTGAAACTTCGCCTAACTTAACTTACAGTGGATAAATTTGTATCGGGAAAGGCGGACCCATCATCACATAGATTTCTTGACTGTATAATAAAGTGGAACATTCTTTTAAAATGAGTTTTTGAATAAAATAGAAAATGTATTTTCTATTTAAGATGTCTAGCTCCTTTTACTGAAGCTTGATGGGCCGCAGAGAGAACAAAGGTTGAGCGATTATTGATAAAGAATGTCTTAAAATTTACGCATGATTTGAATTAGATAAAAATTTAATTTTTTAGTATCGTTAACCACGAAAAAGAAAACAGTTGACAGCCTGGGGTTAGTAAAAATGCAGACTACAATTAAGAACTACTGAATTCTCATTGTTGAAAACCCATGAAATAATCCAATGAGACATTTCCTGGAAGTGTACTCTCCTGTTTCAGTGATCAGAATCGGCCCCCTAGATCATGCATTTTAACATAACCATAGGATTCCTCTCCGTTGGGTTATTTTAATTCAAAGGCGTATGTCAGCATACCCAAATTGAAAGAGTAGATTCAACGTTGCATCAACAAAATTAGCTACATTTACACAAAAATGGTCATGGGAAATTTTGACAAAAGGGTGAGCCAGCAAAGGCGTGGAAGTCATTTACTCGATGTATTATTTCATATATGACTCTATCCTGTGTACTTTGCTTCAATAAAAAAAATAAACATAATTGAAAAAAAAAATAACAACAGCGTTTTCCATTTAATTCAAATCTTGCGTTGATTTTAAGTTAATCAAAATATTTAAAGTTCCCACTCGATATTTTTACCGTCGGTGGTCGGGACAAAAATGGACGTAAAAATGACGTCCATTTTAACGATATCATGAGTGCACAAAAATATCGTAAATATGAACTCATAGCTAAGAAAATACTCGACCCATTTTAACAAAGCAATGTTTTACTTTAATGAGAATTTTGAAACTAACAAAATAATTTGTAATACTGCAACTTTTTTTTAAATATATTCATATATACGTAAAATAATACTTCAGGGGTGAAAAGTTCATTAAAAATAATATGCTCGTTAGAAGCTTTTATTTTCGGTACATAACACACGTTAAAATAACTGCTAAGTTCGTGTTTTAACTTGAAAATAAACCACACAAAGGAACTGACATTTCACGACGAATGAACAAACAAGAAAAGTATGATAAATAAATGTATTGTATCCTTTAAAAAGAAAGTAACGCAAATTATGAAAGGCCATAAATTATGCACATCTAAGAATTAAGAGAGTCATTCTTCCTTCAATCAAATGAGATTCAAGATGTTTCATTTACTGTGTGGCAACATCACAGGAAATTTTGAGTTAAATAAACTTTTCTCAAAACAAATGACTAAATTTTTATCTCTATATTAAAATGAATTATTGAGTGTGAACGGTATAATGAACGTTAAAATAACGTCTATGGAATAGCAAACGAGACTCAATGCATCCATCGTTATAATAGGAGAGTCGTTGTAATAAGGGGTCGTAGTTGTACTAAAGAGCGCAGACTATACAACACACTTATCCGTCTACGTTCGGCACAGAATTTTTAAAAAAAATTAAAAACTCTAATTTTAAACGTTGTGTTTGGTGTATTGTAGATAAAAAACAGTGAAATCAATAACAATCAATCATTATTTATTTAAACTTTTGAAAAATGGTAATATTTTAGCAAAAATTTTGGATTTTAATACGAAAACGGCTAATGCTCTACACAAAAAAGTTATTAACATATCCCTTTTATTTTTTTATTACAAGTTCTTGATACATTTAAGAGTGTTATGAACTAAAAACTAAGAATTATTTAAATAATTACACATAAAATAGTTTTATACATTGAAATTACATAAAAATGTTTAAAAAAATTACTATCTACCAGCACTTAAAGTGGACATAAAATGAAAAATAAAATAGTTGGAACAAAGTTTGTAGTTCATTACACTCTATACATTATAGCGAACAGTTGTGTCTAATATTTTAAAGATATCTCTTTTACATTTTGAATTATCACAAAAGTCGTAGGGTAAAATGAGCTAAAAACTACTTTCTCAGAAACGACAGTTAAAGTTTTCAAGCAACTGAAATAAATGTAAAAAAAGCAGTAAAGTTCTAAAAAGTCTCTAGGATTATAGCTAAAACCTTCTTTTTACCTTTTTAGCATAATTTCTTTCCTTTTTCCTTCTTATTTTTTCTGTTTAGTTTTGTTGTGGTTGTTTATGAATTTTGTTAAAAATCGACAATTCAAAATATTTTTTGAAGAAACGACTAATGGTCTAGAGAAAAAAGTAATTGATATATCTCTTTCATATTTTTAATACAATTAGCTGAGACCCTTTGGAATGTTCTGAACTACAAACTAAACATATATTTCAGTATTTACGTATGTTATGAAATTATATAGTGAAAACATAAATTTAAAAAAAAAATACACGTCCTCTACATATATACTATACATATGAGGGCAGAAATCACAAAATATGTTTTGGATTAGAGTTGCTCGTCAATTATATTTCATACATTATAATAAACAATATTGCAAAATATTATAAAAGAAATTATTTTACATTTCAACTGATGACAAGAATCGTAACGTAAAATAAAAGAAAAAAGATTTTTCAATCAGTCGAAGGCCAAATACCATTAGTGTATTGATAATATTGTTCTTGTTTATCTTTTTAGTTGAAGAGAATCCCACAGAGAAATCACAGCTTTTGCAATTAATTGTAAAATTTGAGCATAATCCCATCATTGAGTCTTCTTTGAAGTCCAATTTTGGAGCGAAACACTGAGGGCAACAAAGCATTGTTATCACATTTATCAAAATCTCGATGTCCAAAATTCTATTACCTGTCAACTGCGATATATTTTTCGACTTTTTTTCTTCAAAATATTTCATGTTTTCTTCCAATTTGGAAGAACTTGCAGTAGAAATATTGAGCAAATCCGAATTTTCAACTGCCGCGTTTGTTTTTACTTCGTCTTTACAGAAACGATTTCCATGAAACTTACGTTTTTTTTTTCGAATAATTCCTAGCTTTTCCCATATTTAATAAATAAAAAAGATTAAATAATATAGGTACTAATAAAATACTGTATTTTTACTAAAGAAAAGTAGTTATAAAGTGTAATAGAATAAAGAAGACAGTAAACAAACAACATCAAACTAAAGAATCCAAACAACAAACTAAAGGCTGTATTGCCATATGTATTTTGCAGAAATATAGTAAAAAAAACTGATGTATGGGGCTGTGTACGTAGCACAAATTTAAAAGTTGAAAATTGACAATATTTCTATAAAAAAAAAGCTAAAAGAAACAACGTAGAACGTGAAAAATAGTTAGTTTCGGTTTCCAAATCCCACTTCCGGTTTGCTACTATGATCGACTATGATAAGACTGCTTTTATTCAAATCACAATAACTCCGGATCTAAGCAACGTAGAAACAAAAGTGAAACTGTTCTGGATTCAGAAAAGTTCACTCTAAATTAAAATAAAATAATCTCACAATCGGAATTTTCATTGAAATTGGCCTTATTTACCTAGTACCTTAACTGTAAAAATAATTCTTAAATTACACATTGCTTGGTTTTTACAATACCTATTTTTTTTCCTTCTAAATATAACTATTGCAAGTAACTTCTTACTTTTGCCAATAAAAGAAACATAATAATAATTTAAAAATTAAAAATGATTTTGTTCCAATTTCACAAATGAAAGGTATTAAACTTTCACTTTTCCAACTATTCGATTTAAATAGCAATAACAAAAAGGAAATGTTATTAAATGCTTATGAATGAGTCCTGAATAATGATTTAAATATTGAATGATTTTGTAATCAGTTTTGAAAGAAAATGAGTCCATTACACATAATGAAAAATTCTTAAAATAATTTATTCAGTCTTTGGGTCACTTCTTGCAATAGCCCTGAAGGTTGTATTTCCATTTCCAGGACGAAGAGTAAAATTCTGAAAAATAGCCGCCAATATAAGGAATGCTTCCATTTGTGCTAAGGACTGACCTGGACAATCTCTTTTCCCTGAAACAGTAAGAAAACGAGATTATACTCAATAAATCAAGATAAGGAAGTTGTCTATCAAATCGTTTAGATTATACACTATCTGTCCAAAATATATCAAAACACCCAGTTTGTTACGAACAAGAATGCCCTTTTACTAACGAGTGTATTACGAATGTATTTCGAACTATAGAGTATCCGTTTGGCATCTATGACAGCCTGCTGTTGTTGTAGTTCATTTACGTCGCACTATTGGCTATTAGCGAAGGTCTGGGAAACATCCCTGAGGATGAACCAAAGACATGCCATCATAATTTTGATCCTCTGCAGAGGGTATTCTATGACAGCCTGCACACACATCTGGGGAAACTTTCCATCGGTTTTTAATATGTGTCAAAGGAAAACCGATTCCTGCAGATGTGAGTTTGCTGGCAGTGAAGAAGATCAATTTGTCCTCGTAATATGAGATTGTAATTCGTACCAGTGTGGGGGTTCGAAGTAAATTATTGGAGGGTTTAGATTTGGATTGGGCACCTGAAAAGGCCTCTTCAGTTATCGAATACCCATTTCTTCAAACCATGGTTCCGCACGTTTCGGTAGGTAAATGTAGCAGTTCTCCTGCTGGGTCTCAGGCCGAAAATTTGCCGGTTGGAAATGGGAGGGGACCACAAACAGTTCAGAGTTCTTGTTTCCAGTCATATGATATAAGAAACGCAGACCGAACCGTGAAAGAAAAAAAAACTCCAGATGCAGATTTGCTTCTTTAAGGTGGATATTTTTTAACAGATAGAGAGTTATATGTGGGTTTTGAGCAATGTAAAGATAAGCCACTCTTTTTCTCAAAGTTGGCTGGTACTTTGCAAGTGTCTGATCGATACGAATTCAGCAGATTACTCACACCAACCGCAGTGCTGACATAAAATATCCTCAGTGGTGGACGGATCATGGGTTAGAGTCCCCTTGCCGTCAGGCTAACCACGGGAGGTTTTCGATGCTTTTTTTCTCCATGTAACGCAACTATGGGTTAGTTCCATTAAAAAGTCCTCCATAAAGGCCAATTTCTCCCGATACTTGATACTTATTATCTTGTCTACTGGATTGGGTTCAATATTACATGTCTACGGAGTTGAACATGGGTAGACGTAAACCCAAAATTGAGTCTGCTGCTCAACGACGGTTATGAAATAAAATGGAAAATGTGAGAATCCGGAAGGAAAAAACAGCGAGCATTTTTCTTTGTTTCCTTTTTGAAAAATATTATTGAACTGACGACTCAATGAAAATATTTTTTTATTCAATACAACAATTTTTATGCATTATTCTATGTAACACACATTTTATTTTACCCATGTTCTGTGATAATTGTTAATAATATCCGATAAGGATAAACCTATAAGGAGTCGGCAGGAATCTCAAAAAATGGCCTTTAAACCTTGAAAAAAAAACAATAAATGTCAGGAATACAGGCTAATGGCCCTTAACCTTTAAAAGCCATCAGTGAAGGGAAATTGCCGTAATTTATAAAACTTTGTGCAATGGAGGGAATACTGGGCAATTGGGTACTTGCACTTCAAGAAGACGAGGACCAGTAATACCCATATATACGATCAATGACGTTAACGCCATCTGATAGTTTATAAGCAAAATGGCGGGTTAAAGTTGAGCTAAGTTTCTTCCTATAAGTTAGAATGTTAATTAACTATAAGTTAATTAAATATAGAGCCGTATCGCATTTCTAATGTGTTGCAATATAATTTTTCCTCGTCTATGCCTCTTACTTAACTTAGATTCATTATTTGTTTATGTATTTTATTGTAAACGTGATATATCTTGTTTTGTTTACCTGGCAACTTCAATACATAATTAATTTGCTTATGAGTTACGTGGCTTTGTGGCCGTGTTTGTGGTAAGTCAGAAATATATAGTGAGAAAATTGAAATTTTATGAAAGAATATAGAATGTGTCACTTAAAAGAATTGATGTTGATGGCTTGGCTTACTCGAAATAGAATGGAAATAGCAGTTGCTAACGTAGACAAATGCCACGTTTCAACTACCCATCAGGATAGAGCTACCCACTCTACGTCACTTGCAAGTATCCCATTATCTTTTCAGGTTTATTATGAATATTACATATTGATATCTAAAAATTTGTCTTTGATAACGAAAACAAAGGAAAATATGAACCTACTTATTGCACCAAGAAAATACTCATAACCAGTATTAATAAATAAAAATCACGCTGATTAAAAGTATAAAATAATCATGCATCATACTGTCATTCGATACAGTGTCTAAATAATGTGTGAAATGTTTAATCATTTCATATTTCGACTGTACCATTTTCGGCATTGCATACAATGCTGGATGTCCAGAACTGTCGATTGCATATCTATCTATATTATATAAAACGCTAATACGTACGTATGTATCAATAAAACCGATGATATTTCTTNTTCTGGGGCGATTTTCGACTTGGCAACCATTCCTCGTATTATAGTATAAGATTTATTTATGAGTTACATGACTTTGTGGCCGTGTTTGTGGTAAGTCAGAAATATATATAGTGAAAGAATTGAAATCTTTGTGAAGGAATTTTTATCAAAGAGTATAGAATGTGTCACTTAAAAGAATTGATGCTTGTGGCTTGGCTTACTCGAAATAGAATGGAAGTAGCAGTTGCTAACGTAGACAAATGCCACGTTTCAACAACCCATCAGGATCAAGCTACCCACTCTACGTCACTTGTAAATATCCCATTATCTTTTCAGGGTTATTATGAATATTACATATTGATAACTAAAAATTTGTCTTGATAACGAAAACAAAGGAAAATATGAACCTACTTATTGCACCAAAAAAATACTCTCAACCAGTATTAATAAATAAAAATCATGCTAATTAAAAGTATAAAATAATCATGCATCATACTGTCATTCGATACAGTGTCTAAATAATGTGTGAAATGTTTAATCATTTCATATTTCGACTGTACAATTTTCGGCATTGCATGCAATGTTGGATTTCGAGATCTGTCGATTACATATATATAACTATAATTTACTAAGGGTGGTTGAAGTCGTTAAACATGAAATATGTTTACCGATTCCGAAGGGATAGGGTCCTTCTTTTTTTATTTTCTTGCCATCCTTTCCGAGAAATCGACCCACATCAAACTTTTCTGGTTCCGGAAATGTGACTGGATCATTGTTGATCGTCCATAGATTGGCATAGATGATACTTCGCTTGGGAATGAGATATCCGTTGACAGTTGTATCCTCTAGAATATATATATCAAAAATATTTAATCTTAAATGCAAAAAAATGAAGAAAAGGTCTGAGATATTTTATCCCGGGAAAGAATCTGTGAAAAAGAAAGAAACTTGATTGTGAGCTATGGTTAATTTGTGAGAGTAATTATAAGATAAGTAGAACCCCGACTCCCCACAAGGGGGTATACGGAGATTAAAGTTTAAATATTACGTTAAGTATTTGTTGATAACAGCATAAATAGTAAGAACATGAAAAACTAAAAATGCAGTATAATTTTGGGCAAATGACAGTACTGGTGATCAACGAAGGAAAGCAATAAAATAAAACAATCAAATAATATTCATCAAATTCTTCAAAGTGTGTCAGATGTCGGGTGCAAGTCCAGGTAATTCATTATGATGAGTAATAGTTTCTAGGTATCTGTTCCAATATATCAGTAGAAATAACAGGCCACTTTCTGTTATACAAATCAATAGATGATAACAGGACAGCTTAAGTAGCAGCAGAACAAGTTAAACAAAAAGGGCAAGGGCAATCAATATCGAAAACAAAAACAAATATTTATTTAAACAAAACAAGTTCCATATTTTAAGGGTAGAACCCTTCAGATTATATAAAAGTTTAACATTACAATACAAGCTGATGCTTAGTATTTGGTGGTCAATAGTAGACTTATTCTGCTGCACAGAATATCAGCCCTCTAGTGGGGAGATTTCAATTTAAGCTAATTTACTACTACATTTCTTAACACAAGTCAGCTGTAACAGTGCTGTCATTCAAAATAGGTTCAAGTCTAAGGATATTAAAATCAATGTAAATGTCCAAAGCAATCAATAAATGCATAAAATGACTGGTGTAAATGGCTGAGTAATTATAAAGGAGAATACGATGCATTCTTATAGTTTTTGAAGAAAAAATGATTTAGAACTTACATTACTTTCTTTTGTTAGTCATTTTTGCTTCCTTTTGTGAGTCGTTGTTAGCTGATTTGCGTCGAAAACTTAAATAAAAATTTAATTTTTTCCTTTACTTTCTTTTAAAAATGTCCCTTTTATTAATTTTATGAGTAAAATAGATGTCTTTTAAACCCTTAACATGCCTAAACAAGCCAGCTTATTTATCCCCCCCCCCTAAAAAAAGCTATCACAATTGTTCTACTACTTTTTTGTAATGATGATAAAACACCGTGACACCGTTTTCGGCAAAAGATGACGATTTCTACTAGTTACTCTCGATGAAAAAAATTTGTTTTCTTTCCTTTAAGATAGTTGCGTATTGGAGAAATATTTCTATGCCAGCTTATTGTCCCAATGAGAAACACTCGGTCGGTAAATTTGAAAATAACTTATTTATTTATTTTAAAGCTGGCCGCAGCAAATTAGTTTCCTTCATTGTGCATTGAGGGAAATTTCCGTATCAGTTTGGGCAGCACCAGTAAATTGGAAAATGAGTAGATATTTTCATATTTTCGGTTCGAATCTTACCGTAGTTACTGTACTGTGCAGTGGTGTAAAAAGATTGTCCTGTTCTGTTCAATTCTTGAATGAAAGCCTCAAAGTATGGTAAGTTCTGCCTGTCCTGCCACGATGGCAACCTGTCTCTTCCAACCACAGCATCCAGCTCTTTTTGTACAAGCTTCTGTTCTTCTGGCTGACCACTGGCTCTCATAAGAAGACAGAGAATAGCAGCTGAGACAGTTTCGGTACCTTCCATTGTCATATTCATTGAGATTGCTATCAATCTATCCCCTGCAATAGAATGGTGTTATATATGCTTTTTATAAAAGATTTTTACCATTGATATTGAAAGTCATTCAATTACATATAATTCTTGGTATAATAGCTTTGATTAGAAATGGTTTACCAACACATGCATTTAAAAAAAGTGGAACATTTTTCTCAAATATTTTAAATACTGAAAGCATTTAACATCTATTTCCTGTTTTATAAAATTACATTTAAAGGGTATATGACACTATCGGAAAACATATAATTCAGAGAGCGTTTCCAAAAAGTTTGAAAAGGGTCAAATATCTCGAGAAATTGCAACATGTCAAAAATCTTAAAATACACAGATAAAACATTTTTAAAATATACATTCAATGATATTCAATTTGACCCCCAAACTCACACCCTCTGAAGTTAGGGCTGGTTCACATTAAAATCATAAATAGAACCCCCTTTTCTTATTGCAGGTTTTGATTCGCCAGAAAAAATTATCACAATTCGACTAGCAAGCCTTTTAGTTTACAGATAGCCCAAAATTGTTCTAAATGGAGAATCTCGAGAAATGCGCTTATCGACACCAAACTCAACTCCACCACATTCCTTAACTGGAGAGATATTCAAGAAGTGAGTGTCAAATTTTGTGCCAGTTTTGTTTTCCAAAACATTTCACAATATAATTTTAATATTTTTGGTCCGACATGTATTTCGAGAAAACTCCATTGTGAGCCATTTTTACCTCATTTTGATTTTACAGTTGCACTGCCATCCATGAACTAAAATATAACAACCTGCTAGTTAAAATGTAAAAAAAATTTCGGAGAATCTGCAGTAGAAAAATGCGTTCCTATTTATTATTTCGAAGTCGCCCCCACACGTAGGGGTGAGTTAAGGGAAATCATATTTGCTATCACTAAATGCATCTTTTGAAAATATTTCGTAATTGTTTTATACCTTAGATCCATTTCAGTATTTTTCGGACACCTTCTATACTTTCGGATCAAATGTTTAGAGTGTTCAAAGCTAACATTTATTGCAAAAAAAAGCTCAATAAGTATAAGAAAACAACAACTTTGTGTTCGAGAATGTTAATGATACGTATTTTCCAAGAAATGGGAATCAGGACTTTGAAACCAAAATGTCTTAATATACTAAAGGATTTATTATGTGGATTTCATCCATTTTTATTCTAAATACCTCAAAATTATAATTATGCTAAATTTTTCAAAAGTTATCAAAATAAAAACTACCAACCCTACTTGTTTAACAACTTTTTTGAACGCTTTAAGCATTGTGGTATGCTAAAATTTAATTATTGGAAATTATGATATATCTTTTTTTAAAATCAACCAAATCATGAAAAGGACTGGCATTGGTGTGATATTAATAGATTGTTATATAAGGATCTTGAGTCGTTCTTGTAGCTACCTAAGCAGTTGTCTGCATAAAGATCTTCGGAGAATCTCTGATCTGGCACATTTTCGCCAGGAAGGCAAGAAGGTTTGGTATTGGTGTCATGTCAATCGATTGTTTATAGAAGATCTTGAGTGGTTCATATAGTTACCTAAGCAATTGTATACATAAAGGTATTCGGAGGATCTTTGATATGACACATTTTCGCCAAGAAGACAAGAAGGATTATTATTGATGTCATGTCAATCGATTGTTTATAGAGGATCTTGAGGGACTCATATAGCTACCTAAGCAGTTGTATGCATAAAGGTCTTCCGAGAATCTCTGATCTGGCACAGTTTCGCCAAGAATACAAGAAGGATTGGCATAGGTGTCTTGTCAACAGACTTAGATTGCTTATATATGATCTTGAGTGGTCCATAAAGCTACCTAAGCAGTTGTATGCATAAAGGTCTTCCGAGAATCTCTGATCTGACACAGTTTCGCCAAGAAGACAAGAAGGATTGGCATAGGTGTCTTGTCAACTGACTTAGATTGCTTATATATGATCTTGAGTGGTCCATAAAGCTACCTAAGCAGTTGTATGCATAAAGGTCTTCGGAGAATCTCTGATCTAACACATTTTAAGGCGAGAAGGATTGGTATTGATGTCGTGTCAATAAATTGCTTATATAGGATTTTGAGTGGTCCATATAGCTACCTAAGCAGTGTTCTGCATAAAGGAGTCCGAAGAGACGTCTCTGATCTTACTTTTCACCAAGAGGGCAAGAAGGATTGGCATTGGTATTGTATCAATAGATTGCTTATATAGAGTCATGAGTGGTGCATGCAGCTACTTAAGCAGTTGTCTGAATAAAGGTCTACGGAGAATCTCTGATCCGACGCATTTTTGACAAGAAGGCAAGAGCTAATAAGTTCAGGGTTCAGTTCGGTGTTGTTCCTGGTTCGAATACGTTCAATCCCCCCCCCTTATAGTGTGGATTTTTCGATCTTATTCGTTGTTTGCAAGAGTTGTGCTCTGCTTGTGTTTAACTCGTAGGCTTGATATGGCACATGTGGTTAAAAAGGAAGACTAAAAATTTAATTTAATTCTTACTTGTAAAAGAGCTATTGAACAGCTTTCCTTCTTGTTTCAATTTCTCTATGTGGTGTAAATAGCTGTCCACGTAATCTTTAAGATGATTTGGATCGTAGTTATAAATGTGATCATCGATTATATCCCTGTATACCTTCCTGGCAAACGTCCTAGCCCTCCGTATTTCAGAAGACCATGAAAAGAATTGAATAGCTATGTATCTAAATAAATGCAGGAGAAATTAGTCAGACAGATATGATCATAAATTTTTTTAAAGTGATAGCAAAATTGAAACAAATAGCGATGTTTTTAGTTATACGTATATTATCTATACAGAGATGCCAACTTGCTCAGCGTTGTAAAAAAATATCTTCTAGTGGTAACGAAACTTCGATTATTTTTAGTTTAGTATTTTTCATTTTAAATGGTTTTTCCACCTCTTCATATCAAAATTTCAAAGCATCATATGAAATGCTACTTTATCTTAAGTTTAAAACATGACAATTCATCGGCACCACGGTATGCGAGCAACCCAAATGGGTAGCAAAAGTGGGGACGATAAATTAGTAATTTTAGTCTGATGAGCAACCCAGAAACGAGTGGTGTTACCAGGATACCTGGATCATCATTTTAACAAAGTCCCAGACAAACAAAGTCATTTTTACAAAGTCATCATTTTAACAAAGTCAATCGCTTATATAACCCTTTCTTTGTCGTTGACAAATTTTTGTCACTCTCGTGTAAATATGCAAATAGTTGCATATATTTTTGTATTATTTAATATTCTATTACACCTGCGTAAATGTTAATATTATTCTGACGCCTGTAAATATCATTACATGCTTATCTAGTTTAATCTCAATTATGTTTAATTTCCTATCGATTTTATTGTATGCTCAACTGACTTACACACATTCCTCCATTATATGTCTCAAAAATCCGACGAATCAGTCTCTTTGCGGTATAACACTGAGATATGAGCTATGTTCTAATTCTTATAATGTTCCATTGCAGCTACCTCGTCTAAACGCTATAAAATGTTTAGACATTTGCAGTTTTAATGTCAGGAAATATGATAATTCATCTACTATAATTTTTTTGCTTTTTCTAATTATTTAATTATATTTTATCATTTAAAATTTAAATTCTGTAGAAAATATAAATAATTTCACTCCTTAAAAAATTTTTAAATTTTCATCAACTTCTTGATACTCCCAATTCTACTTCCATTTCACACATTCCTCCCATTGTATAGGTCTCAAATATCCGAGGAATCGGTTAATGCCGCTTCGCGGTAACCGCACAGAGATTTGAGCTATGTTCGAATGTTTTTTTAAATTAAGATGGGTTTTAAACTATTAAAATGAAATCAAGAAAATTAGTGTCAGTGTAGCAACTGTAACCGTTATATTACAAACATTGCTGTTATCAAATATAAGAAGATTCATTGGCTTGGCAAAGGTAAAAAAAAAAAAAAAATGGATTCGATGAGAGCACAGAAGCGTTCAGAAAAAAAAGGATAAATAAATTCTATTATTAAATTATGGCCTCATAATTTGTGGAGAACTTTTTAAAATGAAAAATACTAAAACGTTTTTAATCATTTTGTCACAAAAACGATAAAAAAAATGACTCCTACTCCTAAGCATCGGAACGAACTTAAAAAATAAATGGATTCAGCCCACGGACTAAGAGCTCTTCTTCTGATGCTGGATTTCGGATCGAATATTTAGGATTTTTGTAATCAATTAAAAAAGTCTAGGACTTCATGTTTGTATTTGCGATAACTTAAGAACATGCATTTTGTTGTTGATGATGGATTCAGATTCTTGACCTTCAAGATATGGGGAAGTAGCTGCACTCTGAAAAACATGATCCCAATACTTAAGGTAAGAGCGCAAATGAAATTTTGTACAATTTAATATTAATTTCATTTTTTACAGATTCTGCTATATCACAAGAAGTTTTTAAATGAATCGAAAGGTTTTTGCACACATTAGAAAAATTTGTTTATCCAAATATAATTCTATATCAAAAACAATTTTAAATAATTATTTATTGTTTTTATTAATTTAATTTTTTATTAATAATTGTCAAAAAATTTTAATTTGTAAGGTATATTATATACATCATTTTAAAACACGTGATTTTAAATGTCAAAATAAAAAATGTGAAAAAAATCGGATGAATAGTTCTCAATATATCAAATTTCAAATGTACGGTTTTTAAAAAATTCGGTATTTCAAAAACTACTAGTCAGATTTCGTTCAAATTTTACATTTTGTCATTTAAAATTACATACTTTGAAATGTAATTTTAAATTACAATTCCAACTCTGTAATTCAACTGTAATTTAAATTACATAATTTAAATGCAATTACATTCAATTAGTCGCAGTATGTAATTCAAATGCAATTTTAAATTACATTTTAAAGCATGCCTTACAATTCAAAAATTTTTAATAATAATTAAATAAAAAGTTTTAAATAATAATGAAATAAAAAATTTTAAATAATTGCATTTGGATAAATGAACTATAATTTTGTGCAAAAAAATTCATTTCGTTTAAAATTTTCCAGATATAGAGAAAGACGCAGAAAGTGACTCTAACATAAAGATGTCCGAACTTCTCTTTACCTAACTGCTAGAACTATATTTTCTAGATTGCGGTTATTCCCCATAATTAGATGGTCAAGAATCCAAATCCGCTGAAAAATATAAATGTAAATTTATTCGGAGTAAGTAGGTACGTTTTTTTTTCTCGTTATAGATCGTTATATAACGATATATATCGTCTGCACTAATTAATAAACGTATTTCAGATAAAGCCCCCGAACCATTACGACTGAGTCTTAGTACCTGAAAATCCAATCATTAGAGCAAAAGTTATTCTGGATGTTCACTTTTTTCTCCTTTTTTTATTCCATAGGGATGTAAATATTTCCATTCTCCCATTAGCTTTAGGTAGATGTATCTCTTCTATTAGCTATAGCCCTTGGCAGATCATGATAATTTATGCTTGTCCATTGTCACTTTAAGGGATGTAGATTAATGGCTTGAATTTTCAATACGCTGTTTTTTTTATTTATTTATTTTCATTTATTTATTTTTTAATTTTAGGGATTCTTTTAAGGTACACTTAGCTATACCGTGAAAGATGTGTAAGTTGACCAATTCCTTTGGTATTAAAAATACTATAAATTCGTAAAAGTATTCCAAAAAGTGATCTACTGTTCTGCTTTGTTTCAGCTTTATTTTATAATTTTATAACCGTCATTGAGCAGCCGACCCAATTTTTGGGTTTACGACTACTAATGTTCAGCACCATGGCCTTGTCATTTTGAACCCAATCCAGAAGACAAGGGAACTCTTGGATCAAGTATTGGGAGAAATTTGCCTTCGTGGAGGACTTTTTGATGGAACTAGTCCACATTTGCGTTGCACGGAGAGGAAGACCACGAGAACCTCCCACGGTTAACCTGATGGCAAGGGGACTCTAACCCATGATCCGTCTACCGCTGAGGATATTTCACGTCAGCACTGTGGTCGGTGCAAGCCGGATGCGGAATTCGTTTCGACCAGCCATCGCCAGGATCGAACCCCGGTTCACCTAATTGGAAGGCCAGCGCTCTATGCCCTGAGCCATCGCGGCTCTTGGTTCTGTTTTGTAATGTTTCCTCTGTTTGGTTCTGCTCTGTTTCTGCTGTAAGCAAAAAAAAAACTGATAGTATGTTAATACAGCAATGTGTTAGTATACATTGCAATGTATGTTAATATAATCCTCGATGTTAATATAGCGATGTAATCCTGACAAACTATGTGCTAAAAAAAGAAACACATAATTTGGTTTCGTGTTCTTACCGAAAAACAAAGCCCACAAGCAAAAAACGGTGACTGGAAAATATTTCTAGCAGATGATGAAAAGCGTCTATTAGCTTCGGGAAGAAATCCTTGTCATGTTTCCTCCTAAACAACACATGTGAAATGACGCTGTTCACCGCATAAGCCATGGGAATGTCAAAATCCGTTGGATCACCTCTCGTGGCCCTCATGTCATCCAGGAGTGTCTTGATTTCCTCGTGTATAACTTCTTCTAGCTCGATCTTCCCAAATCCATAATTCTTCACAGTATGCAGAAAAAATCGTCGATGTTCTTTCCATACTTGACCCTCTTCCTGTATCAGTCCTAGAAAATAAAGAAATGTTTGTTCGTTAACACGCTGAGTGACTTTTAATACGAAAATTTTAGTCAAAGCAGGTTATCAACAAGTGCAAACGTTAGCTCAGTACATTAGTTCTTCGTTGTTTAAAGAATAATGGTTGCAAAACGTTTTAAAGTAATTAGTGTTACACTTCTAGTGGTTTATAGCATTTGCTAAAATAGTGTTGTCAGACTAGCTACACTGCACAGGAAAGGATTAAGCAACCTAACTGGAAGTTAAAACATCGACGATGTCAATGATAATTAAACTAAAGCTGTGTGATAGTTCAATGCATCGTTAAATATCGTTATTTTATTAAATATTCTGATATTGATATTAAAAACAATGTCTCACGATACATCAAAACATATCAACGATTAAAAATATCTAAAAATATCAACAAACGATAATAGTCGGCTCTCGATAAATACCGAAAAATATCAACATTCGATAAATGCCGACAAATACTGAAGAAATAACGGCTCTCGATATGTATCGATGATATCGTTATCCAAAGAGTAAAACCCACTCCCGTGAAAAAGAGTGAGGGATGACAGCATATGTGGTGAAAATCATGCTACACATGCATGTTCCTCAGTTTAAGGCCATGTGCGACTTTGTGAACCTTTGTTGAGCTCTATTATTTCTTTTGTTGGAGGTCACCATTTATACAAATACCATACTTTTTATATCCCTTAATTCATATGTTGCTAAATTTTTATAATTACTCTGCTATGTTCAGAATTATGAATGATTATTAAACATGTTTTAGAAAAAAAAAAGTCTTTTTCTTCGGATCCATTATTAAAAAAATAATTTAAAAAAAAACATGATAATTAGTTAAGGGGACGTACGTATACGCATTACAACGTACATTATCGATATTTTTGACAATATATAGCGATACTAATTTATTATGCATTATTAAAACATTCATTATATTGAAAAAGACTCAAAATAATCCGTTACTTACATAAATTTAATATATTGTCAAATTTTACATTTTAATATGATACTTAATAGAAAATGCTAAATAATTTTTAACAGATCATCATGTCATCAACAATAACTAATTAAGTTAACAATCATGGAGCTGAATTAAAGATTATCCAGGAAACTCAAATTCAAAAAGAAAAGCATTACTTGTGCGACACAAAGATCTTATCAATTGTAAGTCATTGTCAATTTCACAATTTAGTACTTGATTTTAGGGTAAAATTTTGCTTCAAAAATTACAAAAAATTCGACATGTTTTAAGCGCTTGAAAATAGGCGCCCATTCTCAAGACGTCTAGTGAGTTTTGAGAATGGGAGTCTATTATCGAACTTTCGAAACATATTGACTTTTCCGCTTCAGTTTCATGGATTAGGCATATCACAAATTAGTGTTACCATTTCTTAAAAATAAATATTGAACTATTGTTAGCACAATTGCTCATAGCCCTGCATTAAAATTTAAGGAAAATATGTAGTCATTATTGTTCATAATTGTAATTTTCTCTTCCAAATAATAAGTTAGGTTATTTTTGATGGTATTAATTTAATAATATGACATGCTACTGTCAAGTTCAGAAATGTGAAGCACCTTTTGATACTCCACAGAAATTGTAATACAGAAATTTCTGGAGCTCGCCATCATTGTGTAAAGGAAAAAAAAGTTGTACAACCATTAGAATTTTAATAATTGCGATAAAAATAACACATCCAGCCATGAGCAAACAACTTATCTTTGTTTTTGTTTGGCGATTCAAATATTTTACTGCCGATACACTATTTATGTCCGAAAAAACTTGAAGTTTTCGAATTATGAATGCACTGTTAAAAAAGAAGGGGGGGGAAACAGTTATTAAGCACTGTTTCAATAATTCTTTATGTACTTATGTTGCAGTTTCACTCCGGATTGAGCAATTATTAAATTTGTGTCTGCTTAAAAACAAACTGCTCTTCGAATTATAATCTTGAAACGAATCAAATTTTGATATTTTTTTTGGGGTGGGGGATGAGGGTGCTTGAAATAGTGTCTTAGTTACATTTGGATTTCAGAAATTACATTACGTATGCTAAAAATTCAATTAACTGTTATCTTTTTTTCAATTAACCGTTACTATTTTTCATTTTTTTTAAAAAATTAAGACATGGTTGAAAAATTTCTACTTTGATCAACTTGTTGTTTTGCAATTGCTTTTTCTAATAAATAACGAGATTTTTGAAAAGAAACTGTAACTAATTACTAACATATATTTTTTATTTGTCTTTAAGACGTTTTTATTTTTCAATTTCATTCGTTTTGATGAAATTTTTAACGCCGTTAATGGCGACGTCTAGGATGCATTCTCAGCTGTAAGCTGAAATTAATAGTGGCGCATGCGTACTCTACTTTTTCTATTTTACTATGGTGTAATGGATATTGCTTAAGAGAGAAACTAGAGTAAATTAAAACTTAAGAAAAAAACGACTCACCTAAACCATTACTAATCCATTCTAAAACATTGCAATCTGGTGGCCTCCCATTAAATTCGTCAGATCTATTTACGAACACTTCTTTTATGCTTTTTGGTCCATTTATTACTACCACCAATTTCCCTCCAACAGTTCTAAAACTAAACACATCTCCATATTTCTTAGCTAATGGAGTGAAATTCTTGTACAGTTTTCCTGATATGAAAGGATAATATCCCAAAAACGGAAGACCCCATGGACCGGGGGGAAGCTTCCTATTCTTTTTCCACACATTCACTAAGCCTAACGAGAAAACTAAAACAACGGCAGTGGAAACAAAGACGGTAGATAAGGCAATGTCTAACAATGTCATTTTCCTGGAAATCGGAAATGAAACATATCTTTAAACTCTAACAAAAGTCATTAGATTATCATCAACCCAGTAAATGATAAGGAATAATACTATCAGCTAAAAAATAGTTAGGTGCGATAATCTATGCGGGATCCATAATCTATTAGATTATTTAACATAATAGGAATTTCATAATTCTTATGAGCAAATTTTTTCATGACACTATAAAATTCGTTTCTTCAAAGATAATTACATGCAAAAAATACATTTTAGTAAATGCATATAATTTTTTATAATTTTATTTAATAATAGCGGGAAAATAATGAAGCTTAAAGGTATTCAATTTTTTACATCATTTCGAAGTAAATAATTTTGCATAGCAAAATACAAAATTTAATTGAAATCGGTCGAATAGTTCCTGAAAAATCAAATTTTCAAAAAGTCGTATATTTAAAATTCGATTTCTCAGGAACTATTCAACCGATTTCTTTCAAATTTTGGATTTTGACATGAAAAATTACTTACTTGAAAATGATGTAAGAAATCCTATACCTTACAATTTAAAATTTTTTCGACTATTATTAAATAAAATAATACATATTTACTAAAATTAATTTTTTGCATGGAATGATTATCTTTGGACAAACAAATTTTATAATGTCGTTGAATTTTTTTTTTAATTCTCATAAAAATGTCTCGAAAAATAGTGAAATAAGCAAATAGTAAAATTAGCATTATGGGATCCAAACTTTGGATCGCTCTCCTGACCAAACTATGGGGACCATGTTTCTTAGGTTGCGACCATCCCCCATAATTTGGGGGTCAGAAATCGGAATTCGTTGAATAAAAAGGCATGTTTATGCAGAGAAAGTACGATTTTGTGTCTGATTTAGTAACTTAGAATATCGCCTGCTCTAATTAATTAGCTTATTTGAGGTTACCCCGATGAACCATGAGGATAGAGTCCCAGATCGTAAAGATTCAAACATTAGATCAAAAGTTATTCTGGGTGGTCCATTTCTTTTTTTATTCTCACTGTACATGAATGAAAGGTATATAAATCAAGGGTCTCACAAGTCTTAGATGTTTTATATTTTTGGAGAATTAGTTTAATAAGAAACTAAAATATATTAATACTGAATCGATTGCGAAGCGATCTATAAGAAACTTGCACAGCAGTTCTCATGGTTTGCAAGCACAAGGAGCGAGTTAAATAATTATAATAATTATTAAAATTGATAAAAAAAATATAAGTCAGCAAAAATGTAGATCAAAGATCTTTAAACTTTGTATCATATACCAACGATTTAACAATGCGAATTATTTTTTCATCTATTGTAATATGCGGAAGTTTATTGTAATCTAATTACAGTAGAACAAACCTTTAAAGCAATTATCTTTCACGATATAAATTATCTCCTAACACGCTTTATCACATTCATCCATAATTTCGCATTTTTGAGAAAACACTTCCGTATTGGGTACTAAATTAGGAACAAAATGGTGCTTTCAGAAGATTTTTCTTCAATTATTTTAGCACTAATTTTTCTTATTTTTACTCTAATTTTAGTCAATTTCTGGAAGAATAATCGAAATTTACCTCCTGGACCGATAGGTTTGCCAGTTTTTGGCTATTACCCTTTCCTCACTCCCAAACCATACCTAGATTTTGCAGATTTAGCAAAAAAATATGGCGATTTATTCAGTTTTAGGACAGTTGGCGGAAAATTGTTTGTTGTTCTGAATGGACACAAAACAATTAAGTCTATTCTGGTCAATAGAGCTGATGAATTTATTGGTAGGCCAATAGAGAGTAATTTATTGGAATGGATTTCCGATGGAATGGGTATGTATTGGTATTTCAAATATTTTATTTAAAGAACCTTATTTTTTTGTTTTAATCTTATAAGTACGCTTTTTTATATTTTGTTACGAATTTGTAAATATGTGTATTATTTTACGAATATTCTTTTGGTATGAAGCTAAATTTCTCAAAGGGATCAAAAATAAACAGTTTAATATTAAAATTTGTTCTAACGTAATTTAGAGGGAAGATAACGCTTATACTTCGTTGCAAGTTAAGAAAAGGCCATTGCGATATAGGATTTAAGTAACCATCCACGACTGCATATAGTTCCGTTTTATTTCGTAATCAAATTATGCAAATATGCTTTCAAAACAATATAAAAGGTTTTAAAAGTTAAACACGCCGAATAGAAGTTTTATTCGTGCTATCTTTTACGATATATATCATAGAATCATTAAAAAAGGGTTATCGTCTCGTAGTTTTACGGGAATCCTACGAATGGCGATATATTTCGATAAATAAGGAGAACATTCGTTCTTGAAAAACAAACAACTATATGACGTTGCAAGAGCATTGCTTTTGATTGGACCATTGAAAATGGCTCGTATTCAGTTGACATGCTCTTAACAAATCAAATGCTAGATAAAGAATTTTTACTTTCGTTTCGCTATAGAAGAAAATCGTCTGCAAGAATAAATATTGATTATTCTTTCTTCAGTTTCTTTAAATGCGAACAGAAAGGCGTACATTTGTTACGATTTTTGGATATTTTTATTATTTCTTATTACTTGATTATTCAATAAGTTTTGTTTTCCTCACTTCACACGATTTAAGAAATCAAGCAAAAAAGAAAAGTTGTGCAACCTCGTTGAAGAGTTGGCGCGATGTTGAAATTTGTTCGCGCTAGGAGCTTGGCATCCATTTGGCGTGCACTCAGATGCAACGAGGCTCTCTTCAGAGAGATAATGGTTTTTTCTTAAATTGCAGCAGAATATAATGTTTTTCTTTCTTGGTTTATCGACATTTTTGCTGACTTGGCAATGATCTTGGCGATAAAATGGCAATTCTAGAAAATTTGTATTTCAAAGCAATAGGGCTAATATTTTAGAAGTTAAACGAGAAATGTCTGGAATCATGTCCAAAGTACCGGGGTTTCGTCACCCAGCCTATAAAAATAGCCTCGCAGAGAGTGGTAGAGATTAGTCTGAGACACAACAATGTTTTATTTGCGATCCTCTTGTGAGTTCATTAAACCGTCTGAGGTTGTAAGGCTCGTGAACTAAATTACTATTTGAGCTGTAATTGAATGCTAAAAACAGATCCGGCTGTTAAATATTTGGTGTTTTAAAAAACAGTTTTATTTATCACCAGTCGAAACAAACCCCTGCGCTCGGTAGAATATGTAAGGTTAAATATTTCAGTTATGATCAAGAAACAGGTTTTTATAAATTGATGATTTAAGTAATACCACGTGTCCTCAAAATAAACGACAACGTCAGGTATCAGTTGAAAAAAAGAAATGCACGGTTTTCTACGATCTCCTTAGTAAGCAAGTTTTTCTTCCCACCTAATTTTTAACACTCATTAAAATATTTGTCAGCAGATGCCGTGGTTAACTATGAGTACTGTTGTTGTTGTTGTTCATTTACGTCGCAATAGAGCTGCACAATGGGCTATTGGCAACGGTCTACGAAACATCCCTGAGGATGATACGAAGACATGCCATCACAATTTTGATCCTCTGCAGAGGGACTGGCACCCCCGCTTCAGTAGCCCGACGAACTGCACGCGAAGTCGAGCACTTTACGGTAGCACAGTTTAAAGAGGACAAATACCGTACACCCTCGGTCCCTATCTTCGGTGATCGGATGGGAACCGTGTCTTAGCGATTAGTCCACTGCGGGACCTATGAGTACTGTAAAACAATGATTTTTCCTTCTTTTTTTGAACAATCACCGTTTGCAAAACCAAACACTATAGCTTGAAGATAAAATCAGCAAAGCGCTCGTGCAAATATTTCAGTTTTATTGGTCTCACACGAAACCGTTTTATGCAGTTTATCAGCGTCATCTGTTCATTAACTTTGTAATTTGGTATGAAAGTAGAAAACTATATATAAACTTATTTGTCTTAATTTACGTGGACATTAATTATTTTTCGAATCATCAGATATTTTGAGAATGCACGGTTTACAGACACTTCAATTTGTTCCGGACAATTGAACAAAATTTATCCTTTGATGAGCGAAAAATAAACGTACAGTGCGCGAAATCATAAATAGCTTTTGATATAATGATCGGTTTTTCCGAACTTAATCTTAATGGTTCGAGGAAGTTACTTTAAATATGCTAATTAATGAGTCATATTTTAAGTTACAAAATGAGATACAAAAACATACCTTTTTTTCAACGGCACTTACAAAAATGCACTTTCTCTGACAACATATCTTTTTTCAACGGATTTTTGACCCCAAAATATAGACGTTAGTCGCAATCTGGGAAATAGGGTCCCCATTGTTTGATCAGGAAAACAAGAACAATCCTACCCCTAGCTTACGACAACAATAAACTTCTGTAATGAAGTTTATTGTTCTGTATGAAAATTGTTCATTTAATAAATTTATAAAATTAATTTATCAATTTTCATAATAAAATTATGAAAATTAATAAATTTATAAGAGTGGTATTAAACTGAAGTTGTTCGAATTTAGATTTTTGAACACTACTTTATCGTTTGGTGCAGCGGTTCCCAGCCCGGAACTCTAAATGATCGAACTTTGGTGGAGCACTGACTTTTAAAAAACGTTCAATAGGAGGTGTAAATGTGCAAGGGAAAAAAATAATCGAAAAAAAATTTTCAGTTTCATTTAATGTGACTATATTCTTTTTACTAATTATAATTTTCAGGAATTACTCAAGAGGAAGGGTCCCCCTGGAAAGAGCATCGGCGATTTTTTCTTCACTCGGCCAAAGCATTCGGATTCGGTAATATCGAAATCGAAGAGACTATTCAGGAAGAAGTGAGGACAGTTATCGAAGCTATAAAAGAGACGAAAGGAGAATCAGCTGACTTCGATCTCCACGTCGCTTATGCTGTCAACAGTACCATTGCCCTTATAATGTTCGGCAAGAAATTCGAAAAGGAGAGTGACCTCTTTCCGAAACTCTCCAAAGGGGTTCGGGATTTAATAGCCATTTTTGCAGACCACCGGTTCATGCTGGTAGGACCCTTTTTTCAGTAAGAATAAATTTATAATTTTTGAAAAATTTGATTTTCCAATTAAAGTGTTAAGTTCCTTCACTTTTCATTCATTAATGACTGCATGTAGTTTAGTTTTTTTTTTCCTTACAAGTGTATTTACTAAAATATTTTCATTGTATATATTTTAGTACAATCCTTTGTCATAATACAAAATTTACCTCAGAGACTATTCGACCGATTGCACTTAAATTTTGTAGTTTGTCATATGAAATTGCTGTCCTTAAAATGATGTCAAGTCAAAATACTTATTCCTAATAATTCAAATTTTTTTCCAACTAAAATTAAGTAAGATGATATCAATATATATATATATATAAATAATTTTCAAAAATTATTTTTACATGCCTTGAAATAATTGAATTTTATAACTGTTTTCGATTCACTTAAAAAATTCTCGAATGAAAGACGCAAAAAGTAAAGCTAACATTAAAGACTTGGGACCACTCTCCTGACTAAACTATTGAGACCAGACCTATTGAGACCATATCAACTATTGAGACCATGTTGCGGCTACCTTTCATGTTTTGGGAGACGAGTTTAAATTTGCCGAGATGATAGTAAGTTTATTCGGAGAAAGTACGTTTTAGGATCTGATTTCGTAACTAAAAATATTGCCTGCAATAAACCTTATTTAAGTTTATTTCCTCGAACCATTGAGATGTCCAATCAAAAGTTAATCACGGTTTTATAATGCGCATTGCTTATACAAATGTAAAGAAAAGATTTTTTTTTTTTTTTTGAATCCTAAAAGAAAATTAGGCTTTTTTTGATAATTTTTGTCAGTTTTGTAAACATTGCGTTTCAAATGTTTCGAACAAAGCGAAAAGTCTTCTGTTTTTTTGCCTCTATTTAATTTGCTCTTTGCTGTCATCATTAAAATACAAACTATTACTGAAAAATGGCGACTAAAACACTAATGTGTTAAAAAATAAAACTTAATTGGATTGAATTTTTTCTTTCGTTAGCTACACTTGGCAACTGTAATGTTAAAATGAAAACAAATCAGTGAATAATTTTCGTTTTTACGCGTTGTTAAGTATTGCATAATTTTTGTTTTACGATGCATTTTACAGTTTGATGAGAAGCTTAATATAATTTATTTTAATGTATATAATTATATTTTACTGTTCCATAACGAAGTTTTAAAGTGTGATTTCTTCTTTAAAGACACTTTGCGATGAAATATTTGCCTTGGTCAAAAGAAGTCCGTGCAGGGCGACGTCTGTTGAAAGACACCGTAACTTCGGTTATTGATGAACATGTTCGAACATTTGATCCAAATTACCAAAGAGATTACGTGGACGCCTATCTTTCTCAGATGGAAAAGTTAAAAGATTCTGGTGAACTTAAGAACAGCACTTTTACAAGTAAGATAGAAAATTCTGTGAACCACGTTGCCTTATTTTAAATCTCTTTTCTCGTTTTTTGAGTGAAGTCGACGAAGTATTACAAAAATCTACCTTTTTTTCGAATCAAATAATCACTTCTGTGTGTATTGCCTAAAAAATTCAAAAATTCTAAAAAAAAAAAGCCGAAATTTTAGTATTTTTTAGTTAGATAAGAATGGTCATATTTTTAGATTGAGAAATGCAATTTGCGCTAAAAATTTACTCTTAAACCTCAAAATGTAAACTAAATACCCTTAAATCAGGGGCGGATTAAGAGTACGCTGGGCCCTAGGCCATTCAAATTTTGGGGCCCTTAGATTAAATTTTTTCTCGTATATTTTTAATTTATTCAAATATAAAAGTATTTATATATCTTTTCATTTGAGAAAGCATATTTAAAATAATAATAAATTTAATTTTACTTTATTTTGTTAAATTAGAACTAAAAAAATTATCGTATTTTACTAATATATATTAAAATTTTTTTTAAAATCATTGTTTTTCTTAATTTCTTTAAATTTATTTTCCAAAATTTTTTTAAGGGGGCCCCTAATCATTGGGCGCCCCAGGCCATATCCTAGTCTGTCCTAATGGGTAATCCGCCCCTGCCTTAAATAAATGCCAAATCAGTAAATTATGAGAAAAACGGTTATTTTTGAGCCTATTGAATTGCTATCTTTGCCAATAATAATTAGATTAAGATAATTTTGATGAATAAAATTATTTGTTTAAATGTTCACGAATAGCTAGCTAATCAATTAAAGAAAGCTCATTAGTAAACGATGATATTTCAGCCATGGTTCATGCAATTCTCTTATAATATGCCTTACCACCTTTTCAAACTTATAACTACTGTGCTGAATAAACAATGTATATTAAATCTAATTATCATATATACTTTAGATTTATTTTGAGTCAGTGACTATATCTAACTTGTAAAAATTAATGAATTAGTGAAAGTTTCCGGGATTACACCGACAAAGGAACGCTCTACTGTGCCTAAGGAAAACATTCTCAGACAAGTTTAGCGACCATGTTGGGCTGGAATATGATATCGACAGGAAAACCAAAGTATTTAACAAAGCTTTGTCTAAACATTTTTCTGAACAGATTTTTGGGAAAATTCCCCCTAAATACTACGAAATTTCCGACATCTTGCAATCGTTTTTTCAAATGCTAGCAAAATTTTTTTTAAAAAAAATAAGATTTTCTCAATTTATTTTTTTAACAACTGCAAAGGCTATGTAACTTTCTATTAGTAACTATAAATAAGTCTCGATAAGTTAAAAATTTTCAAATGTCTCTTTGTAAGAGGCATTTCTGTTTCAAACATGTCCTAAGAATTTGGAAATTGTGACAATAAAGAATTTTTTCTTCTCTTAATAAACAACATATACTTCTTTATGTTCTATTATACAGTACCTAAATTCAAATTGGATAAAATGTCGATGAAAACATAATAATCTATCTATATCCCCTCATAGCCTTTGATAGTACCTAGATTGATTTCCATATCGATAAACATGCAAATTTATACCCCTTTGTATACTTTTACAGTACCTAGATTGGTTTTAATGAGATTTTCGAACGAATCCTGATTAATTTCACGCCACTGATTTCAAATCTGTAATCGGTTTCTCCCTACAACTTACAGTATTTATGCAATTCAATGATATATTCCGATTAATATGCATTTCAGTGAATACTAATGCCCCACTTCTCTTATACGTAGGGAGTGGTAGAAAGAGGCAATACGTTAAAGTCATATGTTTTTTGCAAAGTGAATTCTTTCTAAATCTAGCAAATCCTTTTTTTTTAACAATACATCTATAAATAAGTAAAACAAATTTTCACTTCAAACTCACCAGAATTACTTAATATCTTATGAAGTACAGCAGATTTGAGCTCGGAAACTATTAAGCTGACTTCTTTTATTAAAAAAAAAAAATTATCTGTTTGAAAATATCGCCTCGCAGAATAAGCTGTAGTAAGTAGTCGTATATTTTCTAATAGTAAGTAAAGCAGCTCAAGATTGTTGTTGTTTATATTTATATTGAAAACTACACCATTCATATAAACCTGTACGTTCTTTATCTTTGTACACCTGTATATCTAAACAGAAAATAAACTAACATAAAACTGTCATTATGAAATAAAAAATATGTTCGCTTTCGGGACAAAATTAATTTGAAATCCTTACTCGTAATCCTTCATAATCCATACTTACTTATTTTACTTGTATAAATGCAATAGTCTTCAGTGATCTATTTTTTCTTCTTTTTTTTTTCTGCAGTCCCTAGATTGATCTCCATATCGATGAACATGATAATGGAGGGAACTGAAACCGTGACCACCGCCATCATGTGCCTTCTGGTAGAAGCGAGCAAACATCTTGAAGAACAAATGCTGGTCCAAAAAGAACTGGATGCTGTAGTGGGTAAAGAAAGACTACCCTCTTGGCTGGACAGGCAAAACTTACCCTACTTCCAGGCATTCTTACAAGAGTTATACAGAGTTAATTTGCCATTCAGCATAACAACCCATTACTGCAACTTCAGTAAGTAAGAGCTATGGATGATTAACCGTGTAAAGCTAAGCGCAGATGGCGATAGTGGTTAAAATTCGTAGTAAGACTTCTGGATTACCGCTTCCAGCTGATTTTGCGCCTAAGTTTGAAAAAACGCACCATCCAGTATTATTATACTTTTAATGTTTTCAATGTAACGCGTTCTTTCAATCTAACTTTCAACCAACGAAACAACAAATGAATTCGGAAGACTCTGCAAGCTTGCTATGATGCTACAAACTGTGCTATTTTGCACAAATATAGCCAAATAAAGGATAACACTTAAAACATGGCTAACCTTACACTTTATTTATGCTGTGATATTAATTTTGCTAAATTTTTTTTAGTCTCATGACCTGTTAGAATATATAAATTACAGAAAACTCTTATGAATGGTAAAATTAAGCCTAAATTTAAACACAAATCTCATTATAAAAACTTCTTAGAATATTAAGCCTGTTCACACATCGCCTCATAAGCGGAAAGATACACCGGAAATTTTTTTAATTCCTTCCAGTTTTAGGAAGCTTGTTATTGTCAACATTCGGTCAACCATCCATGCAGGACTAAAATTAATTTTCTTATTTGAGACGGTACTTAGATTAGTACCGCCCCAGAGTACGTCATATTACTCTGCGAGAGAATTTTCGTTCCGAAATTATGAACTTAAAATCCTTAGTTGTCTGGCGTATTTAACTTCAGTTATTAAATTTCAAGGGTGCAGAAGTTATTTTTCTTACTTAAAACCTATTTATATTTTATACCTCAGAATTCTGATGCATGACATGATAGCTTCTCACATGGATTACAGTGGATCAACTTTTTTTTTTCAGTTTAAAATTTAATCCATGAATTAATCTTATTATTTAATATGTTATTGTGAATGACCGAAATTAGTGGTTGTTAACTTCCATCGGTGAATGTTGACATCATATAGTTACTTTCGTAAATGTCCGAAATACATACTAGGTCTTAACTCCTTGGGGACGGGTGATTCAGAAAAGCATTCGTACAAAATCAGAATCAAGTTGTAATTAAATNCGAATAAATTAATATCAAATCTGATATAACAAATATTTCGGACATTCACCGGTGAACATTCTCCTGATTTCGGTCATTCACAGTAACATATACATTATTCAACAATAATTGAAGAGACACTTTCAGTTTTTGACATTTCTTTAAATTTCTCAAGCAATACGAAGAGGAAGGTGTTCTGATAATGCGATCTCTCATACTTTTCGATGGAGTTTAAAGCCATTAGAATTCGAAAAACCGGCAATAAATTAAGAGAGAAAAAGAATGTTTTCGAATACCCTATGTCAAGCAATATAGCGATGAACTTGGTAGAGATAAATTTGGTTACTGTGTTTGCAATAATTGTAAAACATTTCGTAAGTATTTATGAAAATATAGACATTTTTATAAATAAAAAAAAACTAATTTTTTTTCTAAAATTTAAAATATTCAATAAAATTAAATAAAAATTTTGAAGCAATTTTTAAATAATATCAAAATTATCATGTTAAAATTTGAAAAAGTTTTAAAATTGCGCAAGAAATGTACAATACAATATATGCATGTATAATATATGCATTATAAGTAGTTTTTCATAATGCACATGCGCGGAAAACATATAAATATTTTTTCATAACTTAGTAGCGAATCGTATATAACTAATGAAAAAGGTCCGATTTGAATATCTTGAAAATTTAAAAAGTTTTCTAGCAATTTTTCTACTTTTTTTTAATGAAAGCTTTGAATAAGGGGCTTTCTACAAATTTCATTTAAAAAATGACATCCGGGTTAAGGGGATCATTACCCATAGTATGTTTTCTTTCCTTATATATATAACACCATAAAGAATTAATGACAAGAGAAATTTACAAAGAAAATAATTAAGCTTTATTAAAAGCGCATAAGCTTCAAAAACATAGGATTAATAAATATAATGAGACAAAACTACGAAGAAAACAGGGAAAGAAATAAAACTGAAAAACACTTCTAAAAAAGAAAAATTACCTGAAAAATTCAAAAGTTTTCAAAAATTAAAAAAAAATTAAGTTAGGAAACACAAGATAACGAAAATTACATTTCTTTCTTTTAAAAAAAATTTTTCATTGGTAGTTTTTCTTTCCTCCTTCCTTGCTGTATTTCAGTATATACATATATATACACCGAAGAGCCATTACATTATGAAAACCCTGCTAATAACATGTAGGACCACCTTTAGCCCTCGAAACTGCTAGCACCCGCTGTGGCATTGATTCCACAAGGTGCTGATAGGCAGTTTGAGGTATCTGGTACCAAGCGTTCACCAACTGGTCCTGCAATTCCCTCACATTGGGAGGGGGTAGTGTGGCAGCACGAATTTGGTTTTCCAAGTAGGAAAACAACTGCTCTATTGGATTAAGGTCAGGTGAATTTGGGTGCCAAGACATGACTTGAAAGTCACTGGAATGTTCCTCGAACCAATCCATGACTATTCGACCTTTATGACATGGTGCATTAACCTGTTGGTAAACACCATCCCCCGTAGGAAAAACTGTTGCCATGAATGGGTGAACCTGGTCTGCAACTATGTTCAAGTAGCTTACAGACTTCAGAGATTGTTCTATAAGGATTATGGGTCCTAATGTGCCACATGAAAACATTGTTCCTGGGCGAGAAACCATGAAAGCCTGGGCAAGCCCACTGTTATAGATGGAGGGTGGTCATAATGTAATGGCTCTTCGATGTAAATATATACAGGGACGCCAACTTGCTTGCTCTGAGGAATATATTTTACTTGTGGTAGAAAAATATGAGTGGATTCTCGAATTAGTAAACTCTCATTTAAATAATTCGAATATTGATGTAACGTGTTACATTGTTGAAATAATTTTGTAGATAGCCTATTTAAATATTCGAAAAATAAATTAAAATTATGGAAATTTCAGTTTCGATTCTCTACCACTTAATAAAATCCCCCCCCCCCCGAAATCGAGCAGTTGGCAACCTTGCGCGTGTATGTATGTATGTGTGTGAAAAGGATGTTATATATGTAAAAATTTCGATTCCTACTTAGAAGCACTTTTTTTGTGTTGGCGATTGAATCTGAATTTATAATACGTATGCTATCTTTACAGAAGAAACTACTATCAATGGCTATCGTATTCCAGAGCGAAGTATATTTGTGGCCAACTTATGGACCATTAACAATGATCCAGAACTATACCCGGAGCCAAAGAAATTTAACGTACAAAGATTTCTAGACACTGATGGAAAAAGAATTAAAACAGAGGGTCCTTACCCTTTCAGTCTAGGTAATTAATACAATAATATTTAAGGAATGAATTGGAATAACATGTTAAATGACGTTTTATTAAATTTGACTGAATTGTCATTATATAAGAAACATTGAAACACGTTATGTTTAATTTCATAAAACGATTTGACGTAGTGCAGAAATTTTGAAACATGTTAAATGTCATTTTATAAAAACCGTTTGACATTATACACAAATACCGAAATATATTGACACTCCATTATATTTGATAAAACTACGTTTACATTGTATAGAAACCTGTTAAGTGACTTTAATTAATTTATATAAAACCAGTTTCACATTGAATTGTAAATTCGAAACCCTGTTAAAAGTCAAAACTCAATGTTTGAAAATTAAATAAGTCAACCATATTTTTTCTTAAATCTAGAAATCTGTGTGAAGTCAAAATATCACTTATCATGTTTTTCCAATAACTTAATTTCTTTTTAACTACAAATGAAGTGTTTAATCTTTTTTCAATAACACTTTCATACAAAACAAATTTATATTTTTACGCAGGCAGGAGAGGATGACGTCATTTCGCACAGCGTCAGTCGGTAGATATATTTTGCATCTCTCTCTCTGTCCAGTTAAGGGTATTTTTCGAAGCTCCTTCACCAATGAAAATAAAATAATAGAATAAACTATTTTTGAGTTCCTAACTCAAAGCAAAGGTATAATTTTAAATTATAAATACTGTTTTACGGAAAAAGTATACGGGCTTTAAAACGAATAAAAAGTTTAAACATTTTTTAAAAAGCTATTCAACTTTTGGAAGAAAAAAAAAAGCTAATTTTGCTAGATTTTCCCACTCTGATAAAAATTATTATTTTTGCTTGTGTTCATCAGCCAAAACGATGAAGCGTTGGGATAACTTGTCAAAAATTAATATAAAAAATTAGATCATTTCTGCAAAATATTTTGCATTTTCATAATTAACACGGAGAATGCTATTTAAAGACAAGCAAAACTGAAAATAAAAGTCATGAATAACTGTTACAAACTCATGACAGTTTGGTCACCGCAGGTGGCCAACTGACCCGCGAAGCAGATTTACGACCACTGCGTAGCTTCTCCCCTTCACATCCGGAGGTCCTCAAGACCCAGGCCTGTCGACGCGGAAACCACAAAACCGTCACATAGAAGACACGTGTGCAGTCCTGCGCACCTAGTGACAGTTGTAAAAATATCATATTTGCTGAATTTGTACTCACCATACTTGAAGAGATTATTTTATTTATTTTAGGTAAAAGAGACTGTGTAGGTCAGTCTTTGGGACAAATGGAAGTCTTCCTCATCGTCTCATCCATACTACAACGTTTCACCCTCTACCCAGGAGCTGAATATGGTTTGATAAGGGCTATATTGAGGGACTGAAACATCCTCTGCATGGACAGAAACTGATAAAAACAAATTTCATTCAAAAACTTATGTTTCATTTCTTAAAAAAAAATTTTTATTACAGCAATAAACAGTTACAAATTACATATCACCAAAAAGTAAGATTGCTGGCAGCTTGGTAAAAATTAAAAAAAAAAAAAAGAGAAGAGAAAAGATTTCTACAGGGTGCGTAGCCAGATTTAAAAAAAAAAAAAAAAAAAAAAAAAAAAAAAAAANTTTTAAAGCACTTTTTAAGCACCCAAAAAATATTTTTAATTACTCTCCACAAAAAAAATCATAATTAGGATCTGTGTAATAATAAAAATTATTCTTTTCTATCGTTTAAAGTTCTTAATTTATAAACATAAAATCAATAAAATTTAGAAACATTGTTCAAAACTTTAAATAATCATGATAAAATAACTAGTTTCTGATAAATTTTGCAGAGAAAATTGTGAAAATCATGCATTTTCTGTAATTCAGAACGACAATCGATATGGCAAAGAAAAATTTCTTTTTGAAAATTAGAAAATTAAGCACTTTTTACTAACCCTGAATAAAAAAAAAGCACCTTTAAGGGCTTTTAAAAAACATAAATTAAAAATAAGCACCTTTAAGCACTTTTGTTCTAAAAAGACATTTAAAAACCTCCCTCTTTACGTAAGAATTGTAAAATGACTAATTGTACTTTTACTTCAGGTATTTCTGTTCTTAGAATTTTAATTTGGAAAGATAAAGCAATATTATTGAACAAGAATCAAAAAATAAATTAAATTTATTGAGTCAGATAGTAAACAACAAAATTATCACATAAAAATATAAATTACAATATATTTATACAATAAAAAAAACCATGTGATAGTACAAATGATCATGATTTCTGTTATTCATAAATATCTTTTTCAGTTTAGCTTAAAATATAGTTTTGCTTAATCAATAAATTAGAATTTAAAAAAAAAAAAAAACATTTTTTTATCCCCTTACAGCATAATCAAATATTATATACATTACTACCAAGAAATCCATTAAATTTTTCAACAAAATGTACAAACAAAATATAAATGACTTTGATGTAAAATTTCGACATCTTTATTGCATAAAAACAAAGTAGAGATGAACGACTTGCAGGGCGCGAGATTAACACTACCTAATAATGGTTTATGTGCAGCTACCCCACTCTTTTAACAAAAAGTAATATTTTCAAAATTTGAAAATTGCTAGAATTTTTTAATTGCTTTTTGAATTAAACATCTAAACTATAATCTTAATCCCTAATTTGAAATATTATAAAAAAAAACTTTTTTCAATCAAGAAATTTTTAACAGAATTGTAGTTAAAGCGTTAATTTTAAAACTAAAGGAGTTAATTTATATGTAGACAAAATAAAATAAAAAAATTACCACAGCCAAATATTTATTTCTATTGAGAAAAAAATTTAAATTTTAGAAATATTTACAGCTATGTTTTATAAATATTTATATCAAAATTTTTTAATTTAAATGGAACGAAACTTTTAGACCTGTTTAGAATAATGGATAAGTTTAGCTTATTTTCACAAAAGCAGTGAAATTGCTTTTGACTTAAATTTCTTTTAAATATTTGAGGTCCTTGAAAGCCTAAATATCTAGTCCATTTACCCTCCTTTAAAAAAGTTATGTAGATCTAATAAAAATAAAAACATCCCTCTGATACATACTATAATTCACAAAATGTCACACTCATATATATAGATAAAATAATTATTTCCAAATTATTTTTCAAAAATGAGTTTATTAAAAAAAAAAAATAGACCCAACAATTTTAAAATATAAATAATCAAGAACTAAAATTTTATAATAGAATGATTTTTAAGGTTAAAATGCCCAACAACTTTTTTTCCATTGGAAGTGCATACTTAAGATTCCTTAGGAATTACCAGATAAATGGAAAACATTTGTTGAATGCTAGGAAAAAATGTAGGAGGAAGATAAAATAAGTTGCCTTTATGAGTACCACTACTTTTTCCAGTTGACAAAAATAAAATAAAAAAACTCACAATAAAACCTAATTTTATAAAAGAGTATTGTGCTCACCAATATATTTTTCCTTCTCCTTTTATATACATAACATAATAAGTCAAAAATCTATTTAACATAATTAGTTTGATGTACAGGGTGATAAAATGACTTTGGGGACACATGATCCTCAGGAGAGCATACCGTTTGAGTTAATAGAATAAAATTTTGTACATGGGTAATAAGATATATGCGCTTAAGAATAATGTTATAAATGATTGCGCAGCTCTCACAGGTAGAGTTAAAGTGACGAAATAGCGAAATTTTCGAAAGGCAACATCCATATTTTTCTGATGGAAGTGTAATCCTTACAACAATAAAATTTAAATGGAGTTGGAATTAAATTTAAAAGTAAGAAATTTTAATGATAGGTCTTTACCTAGTGTCGCCTTTTTTTATGACCCCTATCAAGAGAGTGTGACAAAAACTTTTAAAAACAGAGAAGAAATTTAAGCATGTTGAAAATTTGTAAAACATAAAATGCTTTCTTTGCAATTTTTAAAGTTTTTTTGTTTGTTTACCATTCTCTTTTTGTTAGTGTTTATGTATCTAAATATATATAAAAAAACTGTTTTGAGAAGGTGCCACTGGGTTGGATATAAAAGTAAACAAATTGTGTGAGATGTAAAATTAAAAAATATTTTTGTGTATGCAAAGAATTTTAATGCTAAGTCTCTTTTTGATGCTTTGCTTTCCGCCAAATAACAAGTGGTTTTTTGTCAGTTTTATACTTATAAAGTTTTACCAAGTCCTCTCTTGTTGATTTGCTCAGCCCATTTTCTTCTTGCTCTTTAAGAGCCGTTTTAACAAGTTGTCTTCTGGAATATATAGAATTAAAATATTGTGGATATGACTCTTGATTAACTTCTCTATAACAGATTTGAAGTTTTTGAGGGCTTTTTTGTTTAGCATGACCAATAGAGCAATCACTATTGGCTCTGCAACTATTTGTACCAGGCACCGCGGCAGTAACTGATACAGATAAATCTGGTACATTAGCAGCAATTGGCGAAGGTATTTCAGCAGCAAATGCTGCAGGAGTTTGTTGTTTTGAAGAAACTGAAACATGTGATTCAGCAAGCATTGGTACTTCAGTATCATCTGATACAGATGGCTCCGATACTTTAGCTGCATTTGACGCAAATGGAGTAGGTACTTCAGCATCAACTGATACAAATGGCTCTGATACTTCTGCATTTGATGCAAATGGAGTAGGTACTTCAGCATCAACTGATACAGATGGCTCTGATACTTCTGCATTTGATGCAAATGGAGTGGGTACTTCAGCATCAACTGATACAGATGGCTCCGATACTTCTGCATTTGATGCAAATGGAGTAGGTACTTCAGCGTCAACTGATGCAGATGGTTCTGGTACATTAACTGCATTTGATGAGAATGGAATAGGTTCTTCATCAGAAACTGATACAGGTGGCAAAGGCATTTCAATAGAAACAGACGTAGGAAATGTAGTTATTTCAGAAGCAAGTGATATGGGCATAGTAGTTGTTTCAGGTATAATAGTTGAGTGTAAATTTAAAACAGGAGATAAGTCTTTATACATTTCCTTTTCCAACTGTTTCTGGATCACATCAAGGTGGAAAGTATCAATTTCTTTAGTAGAGTCTGAATGTACATCTTCATTATCTGAAATAGCACCTTTAGATTTAACATCGGGTACCAAAGAAGGATGTGTTAGGACAACATCACATGCCTGTGAGTCTGATGTTGGTATCATGAGTCTATTATTATTAGTTTCATTGACAGATAAAGTTTTTGGAGATATATTTGAATTTATACTCATTGCCATTTTGTTTTTCTCGTCAAAAAAGAACAGGGGAGAGTAGACATCTTTCTTATTCTGACTAGTAGTTTGATTAACTGAACATTGCTCCTTAGACGGTTCATTGTCTGCTGCTGTTACTTCATCTTTGTGTGTTGAAGGACCAATACCTTCATAATGTTTAAAATAATAATTTACAAACGACTGCTTTAACATATTTGTATTTACAATAAGCTGTTGTTCATACTCCATAAAAGATCTTCTAATTTCAATTGGAAGCAGACCAAAGAAAAGCGCATTTGTTGTTGTCTTATCTTCCAAAATGTCAAAACATTTATTTTTTGGATTTAAATTATGCTCAGAATTATTAATTAGGTTATAACTGGAAGATGCAGAAGACACATTTTGTTCAACAGAATTCATCTCACTATTGGAATTAATTTTAGAATCACCATTTTGTAATGGAATAATATTTTTCGCTTTTGTACTGTTGTTACTTGTAACGGGTATTTCTGTAGCTACTGGTAAGTATGAAGCAATGACTTCAGCGGCACTTATTTGAGGTGAAACAGACACTTCAGCTGGCACTTCGTCAGCATTAACTAATGCTCGTGGTGCAGGCACTTCAGCAACAATTGCTTTGGGAGGCGTACATTCTTCGACGCCAAAGATTTCAGACGTAACTGGTACATTAGCAGTGATTGCTACAGGAACAGAATGCAATTCTGTTGCAGATATTACAGATGGAGTTGACGATGGTGTAGCGGGTAATTCAGAATTTAAAACTTGAGACAGATCTTTAACCACATTAGCGATCATTTTATCCTGTCTCCAAAACAATTCAGAGCTAGTAGGATCAACTACTTTTGCACGTAAATCATTGTCTGAGCACTGGATTTTAGTTTCAGCATTCTTTTTAGAATCAGAATTTTTATTTTCAGTTTTTTCGTGAACCAAAGATTTATTTGCCAATGCTTTTCCACTGCTTTTAGATTTATCAGACCTTCTAATAGTGGCTTTTGAGCTCTCTAATTTTGAAGTCCCCCTTTTAGAATCTGTATTTGATGTGGAAGATTTTCGAACAGATTTCTTGATATATCTTTTGTCAGTATTTTTTCTAGGCGATTTACCATTATATCCATATGATCTTTTATAATAGCTATAAGACGATTTTTCAACAGTTTTAGAACGGTCATAATAGCTGCGGCTGTATTTTGTAGATTGCCTATAGGGCGAGTCCCTTTTTCTTTTTCTTGAGTAGTTAATACTGTTGAGATCATCCCTACTTTTATGACCTAAAAAACAATATTATATTAGATAATACTAATATAGACATTGATCATAAATATAATTATTATCCAAAGATTTTTAAATGTTTTTAGCAAATTCCTAATTTTCTTTATTCACTTGGGCAAAGCAAAAAATTTTATCTTGAGATATATTGGTAATTAGATGCCACAAATCAATAAAATAATTTTAGTGTATGTTTGAATTGGAATTTAAATTGAATTTGAAATAAATCTTAAAACTTATTAATAATAAAATTTGATTGACTAATGGCCAAATTCTAAGAGAAAAATTAATTGTAAACTTTATTTACTTGTTATTTATTTATCAATTTTTATAAAAAAATAAATAAATAAATTAATAAAAATGACTAACTTGGCTTAAAAAAATTGAAATTTGATCAAAAAATTTAACTTATGTGAATTGAAAAAAAAAAAAAAAAAATTAAAAAAGAGCGAGTTAAAAGCAACAAATTTATTGTACATTAGTTGAATTAATATTAAAAAATTCCAGCCTTTAAAACATCAAAGCATCATTTACCCCTTCATTAGGACTGGGCGATGTAAGAAGTTTTATATCGTGATGCATCGTCTGTTAGACATCGCGATGTATTGCAATTTAGCATATGTTCAAAAATTATCTTTCAGAAGTCTTTAAATTTATCAAAAATAAATAAAAGGAATAAATATCTTACAAAACAAAATATCTTAAGTAAAAACAAACCCAAGCTTATTTTTTTTTAAAAAAAGTTTAAAGTTTTTTATTTATTTGTTATTATTATAATTTTTTTTTAAAATTAAAATCGACTAAGGATTTATTTGTTCAAAAATGATACTGACTGTCTAACAAATTATGAAACAAACAAGTATTGAAAGAATTTTAAGAAAAATTAAAAAAAAAAAAAAAAAAACTTTTAAGTACTATTGCTAAATTAATTATTAAAGAGCATCAAAACATTGCTTAACCTTTTATTCAATTAAAAAAAATATTTGTTTTAACTAATAGCCAAATTTTTTTTATAATTAAAAACGACTGAAGATTTATTTGTTTAAAAATAATCAAATTCTATCAAATTATTATACCCACATGCATAAAATAAATTTTAAAAAAAACTAACTTTTTATAACAAAGTTAAATACAAAATATCCCTATTAAATTGTATAGCTTAAAATGAAAAACAATGGTTTAAAAAAAAACAAACAATGACCAATCTTTTTTTATTCATATTTTTTTTTTCATTAATTGATTGATTTCTGAACGAAAATTTAAGATAAGAGCGATTGCGCAATGATAGCCAAGTAACAGTAGATTTACTAAAAATAATTTATAAGAATCGTTAAATCCCGACATAGAAAAAAAAAGAAGAAGAAAAAGTGACCGAAATAATGCACAATGAAACTATCGCTAAGCAACAAAAGTCTCAGTGAAAACAATTTACAAGAAACGTTAAATCCCGACGAAATAAAGTGCACAGCGATCACAGAATAACATAAGTCCAGCTGAAAATAATCTTCAAGTAAACTTCCTAAGACAAAAATTGCGCTTAAAGAAACTATGCATAGCGTTCTATTTCACCTCTGATCCTCGCACGAAACCCGGAGTTCTGATTCAATTCGATTTTCGTTATTCAACATAACGAAAGTAATATCGTCTTCGTAGCTAGACGCTATCAACAGCTCCACAGTTAGATGAAATCAAAATCGTCTCTGTCAGCGCGCCGAAAGTGTTAGCGTAGGCAAGGATTCGCACATGTTAAATCTTTAAACCGCGAGCGTTGTCTTACATGACGACAGCTTAAATCAGATTTCTGATGCATCTCCTAAAACGAGTCACTCTCGGTAGCTTAAATCACATTTCTGATACATCGAAAATGAAAGTCACTATCAGCGGCTTAAATCAGATTTCTGATGCATCGCCTAAAACGACAGTCATTATATCGGCTTGCCGATATATGCATTAAATCCATATTTCACGATGCATCGATTTACAGCCCAGTCCTACTGTTCATAAAATTAAAATAATAAAGTTGGATTGACTAATAGATAATTCTAAGAGGCCAAGACAAATTAAAGTGAGTCAATCCACCCTGTGCATTGCACACATTCATCTCTCATTTATGAAAGTGATAAAAAGGTGTCCGGATAAAAGTTCTTTCATGTTATAATAGAGTGGGCTGAATATGCTTGTACAACATAATGGACGCTCCAAAAGATGAGCATCATGGTATGTTCAGGTTTTTGACAGCTGAAAGGCTGGCGTGAATGGCTAACATTGCATTTTATTGGCCACTGTCTGAAACCCATCATGCACCCACCATACAGTCCTGACCTATCTCCTCTTGCGGCTTCCCATTTTTCTCGCAATTGAAAAGATGACGACTTGAAGGAGTCTGTTAGACATTTTGAAGTAGTAACCTAAGGAGTTTTATGTGAAGGAATCACACGACTCGTTAAGTCATTTTCTTTCACACAAAATTTTGTAATCTATGAATATATAGAAGATTTCAAACATTACTTTTTCGTAAAAATAAAAAATTTAAAAAGTGAAAACACAAAAATATTTACACTTCATGCTTTTGGTAAAAAAGGAATACAGAAATTTTAAAACCCTGACTCCTGAGGACATGTAGTTTCCAAAATCTAGTGGTATCACTGACTTATAAAAATATAGTTGACTATAGATAATAACAGCAAAAGTTGCCATCAGAGAAAAGGATTTAATTAAACTTTTTTTAATAAAAAAAAATAAAAAACAATTAGTAACAAGAGCAAAACATTTTCCAAACTATAGATTAAAAAAGAACTTACTAGACTGATGAGAACTTAATTTTTCCTCTTTTGATTTAGTTATTCTGCTTTCTACAGCCTTGTTGCACATTTTATTGTTTCTGTCATCATCACTTAGTTTAACTTCATGCCTATCTGTATGATTATTCACTCGTCTTGAGGATGAAGAGGTGAGTTTGAGTACTTTGTTTTCTACAGCTTCATTGCAAGCAGCATTATTTCTTGCATCACCATTCAGTTTATCATGATGCATGTTGGCATAATTATTCTCCTGCTTTGAGTTTATTTTATTTCTATGCCTAAGTGAACTTAATCTGTAACAAGAATAGAAATTGAATTTATTATTATATTATAAATAATTTTTTTCCATTTTAAGAGCAGCTAAAATTTTAAAATTACAAATTTTTTAATCCAAGTAGTTTCAACCATTGCAAGAAAGGTGAAATATGCAACAGAGGTGAAAAAATAGTGATAATAAAAATAACAGGAAATAAACAATGACTGAAGAAATTAGTTATAAATAATATACGAACGATACGAGAATATATGGTAACAAGAAACTAAGTCTATTATGTATCTCTTATTATCTATCTATTATCAAATGAATTATATCTATTAAGTATTATCAAATATGACAAAAAACTATGTTCTTCCGAAACCTTTTTTCCCACTTAGATAGTTTGAAACTGTAACTAAGGTTGAAAAAGAATTATTTAAAGGGCACAAATATGTTACCAAAATTTTTATTGAGGGTTCTAGTTTTATAATTTTTAAAGAATTTGAAAGAGTTTTAAAGAGAAAGCTTTCATTCAATAATCAACTACAATTATTTTATTTTTAAAAAATTAAACTATAAAACACTATGGAAATCAAATATTTTCTGCAAAACAACTACCAAATTATGAAGTTAAAACAAAGTATACCTTACTAACCAAAAATTTGTCTTCCGATTATAAATTAAACAAAACTAGGTGTCTTACTCGCTAATTCTCAGAAATATTGCTAAATGAAATACTCAAAATTTAGTGTTTAAACATTGCATAAGTCAATTGCAAGCATAAAACATATTAAGATTCGAAACACACTGCTTCTTAGTACAATTATAAATGACAAGCAATTCTATTTGGTGATTTGAGCTTCCTTTGCTCGTTTATTGCATACTTGTGAGTTTTAATTTAGCTTTGCAAGGTCAAAGACATACTCAATGATTATTAGTCCTATCATCACTTATGGCGCAATCGTCTGTTGGTCAAGGACTAGATTGAGCTCCACAAGGTCTAATCTTAACAGACTACAAAGAATGGTCTGTGTAGCCCTGTCAGGCTGTCTCAGGACCACTCCTACAGCTGCTCTAGAGAGCTTACTTGGGCTTCTTCCATTGAACTTACGCATTGAAGTTGAAGCTCAGACAGGCGTAAAGCGTCTTATGTACCTTGGCCTATGGAAAGAGAATTCCAAACACTTGTCATGGGGACATCTTGTTTCACAAGTGAAGGATTTATCCTCTTTTATTATGCCTAGTGATTTTATGTCACTAAGATATGCTTTTCACAAGCCCTTCAAGATCCATTTTCCTACTAGAGATGAATGGTTCAATTCTCCTCGGTGGCTTAAAGGCAAATGCCTGATATGGTACACTGATGGGTCAAAGATTGGTGCCAAATCAGGAGCAGGAATTTACTGCTCCAATGATGGTACCAAACTTCACTTTCCCCTGGGAAATTATGCCACCGTTTTTCAGGCTGAGGTCTATGCCATTATCTTGTGCTGCAAGTTATGCATAGACAAAGGATATCAAAATACGACTATCCGCATCTGTTCTGACAGTCAGGCTGCTCTCCTATCACTGTCAAGGTGTAAATTCACCTCTTTGTTAGTGTGGGAATGCTTCTCGGTCCTCTGTGACCTGTCCACTCATAACAAGGTATCCCTGCATTGGGTACCAGGACATATGGGTATCGGTGGAAATGAGCTAGCTGACGAAGCAGCACGGGCTGGCTCTAATGCAATTTTCTGGGGCCCTGAACCTGCGCTGGGAATTTCTCCCTCCTCATTTAGGGCAACCATATTCAAGCTCTACGGCAAGATCGCCCATGAGCAGTGGCGCGCTGCTGACGGTCAAAGACAAGCTAAGGAGCTGAATCGAGACTGTCCTAGTGTACGTCAAAAGGAGCTCTTAAAGCTTAATAGAAACAGTATAAGGAAGATCATAGGTCTTCTTACTGGTCACTGTATCCTAAGGAGACACCTAAACATTACGGGAATAGAATCCAATTCTCTTTGTCGGGGATGTCATCTAGAAGAAGAGACATCACGACACATACTCTGTGATTGTGATGTCTATTCTGCTCAAAGATTTGAGCATTTAGGGCAGCATATTGTCAGTGCCTGGGAACTACAAGATGTTCCTGTAAGGTGCTTGCTGAATTTTATTTCATGCTAATCATGATTTTAGGGTTTGGGTACAATAGACCTCTGGTCGATGTGCCCTGCTTGTCAGAGCTGCCCAACCTCTAAGTCTAAGGTCAAAGACAAGGAGGGGAGTTCAGCTGTAGTACATATAAAAAGCATTTTTTTTTTTTTAAATATACAAAGCATTTTAACATGAGGTTGGTTATTTATTTTTATAGTTTTAAATTTATTGTTCTGCTAATCAGTTTTAAATTACATTGACACTTAGAATATTATGTATTACAGCATTTTTAAAATGTTATAAAAAAATCTTAAAATCGTTCAATTTTGTTTTTTTCTTAATTCAAATAAAGAATAAACTTGAAGGCTAATAATTTTTTCCCCTTGATCTATAAAAAGTATGGAATATAGGTTTTTCTTTCTTTCTTTTTTTTTTCTTCCAAAAAAAAAAAAAAANAAAAAAAAAAAAAAAAAAAAAAAAAAAAAAAAACCTGTTATTAATATTTTACCATTATTTTGTTTAAAAAAAATCTTTAAAATCACCTTTGATTTTAACATTGGAAGTTATGTTTTTGAATCTCCAAGTACATACAATGTTATAATTCAAAGATGATAAGGAAAAAGTTTATAGACCAGATGGCCCTACTCATAGTGATTTTTTGTTGCTGCAATAATCGGTTAAGTTATTCTATACATAAATATTTAACAGACTGCACTTAAAGTTAAACAAATTTTAATTTTTTACATCAAAAGCTTAAGAAGAAAATTTTTAAGGATAAATTTAGTTTAGGATTTGCTTACTTAAACCTGTTTTTGCAGAGTATTTAAATCAAATGAAGATTTTTTTTAAAATCAAAATAATGAACCCTAATTGTGTGCAATATCAAAAAATAAATAAATAATAATAAAATTCAATAAATAAAACATTTGCTTGGTGACAATATATTTAACTTACAGGATTCCCACTCAATTTTCAAAAAAAAAAAAAAAAAAAAAAAAAAAAAAAAAAAAAAAAAAANAAAAAAAAAAAAAAAAAAAAAAAAAAAAAAAAAAATCAAGGACCCACTTAGTAATAGTTAGTATGCTGAAATACAAATGAAATAGATTTTACTACATTGAAGCATATATTAAGTGTATCAATTTTACTTTGTTCAATATTTGCGGCAATTTTCTATAATATGTAGCCTACAGCTACCAAAGCTAATGGTTTGATCGTTACATTGTGGTTTAATCAGTTTGAAGATTAACAAAAAATTTCCGATTTGACATTAACCTACTTGTCAACCTTTAAAGACTGGCACCAGTAAAACTTTTAACGAAAAATTTAAAGAAGCATATTAGAAATAATTGAAAAATAATATTAGACACATGTTTCAATTTTAAAAACACCACAACATCTTTTTATTACCTCAGAATATCAGTATTGTATTTTGGACATAATAGAACCTCTTGTAGTATAATATTTTGACAGCTTAACTAAAATTTACCAAACTTTATTTTCTTCAAAATAGAAATAAATTGTTAAATGTGATTCCTTAAATTTTGTCAATAAGATTCACTATGCCTAATTTTTAAATGCCTAAATCACAATAAGTTAACACGTAAATCAAATTTCTTGAAATATGAAACATGTCTTGAAGATTGCGTAAATGACCTATTACACCATATGACTTTCAAATTAAATCGAAACAATATCAATAGTAAATTATACAGTTTGAAAAATGCAACAAGTCCTAAATCATGTGTAACCAAACATACATAAATCAAATTACAAGTCCTAAATCATGATGAGTGATACATAAACCAATTTAATGCAAAACGCGTTGTGCGACTCTTTGATTACTTTAAAGCAAAACATAAAGTGTGATTTGCTTATGATTTTTATGTAAAAATGATGTGTAATCTGGTAATCATTGCAATGTAGAATGCGATTTGTGATTCACTAAGTAACTTAAAAAAATCATCGCTATGTGTGACTCCTAAACTACTTTGATGAGAATCACAAATAGTAATTCTCAAATCCTTCTTATGCTAGTTAAGATGCTCAGTTCTTAAATCCTTCTAACATGAATCCCAATGCGTGATTTGTAAATCACTTAAATGAGAATTGCGGTGGTGCATGATTTAGAAAACACTTAAATGCACATCATTTTGTGTGATTCAAGAATCATTTTAATGCCAACCCCGATGAGTGGCTTACAAACGATTTTAATGAGACACGTTATTCGTAAATTACTTTCATGTGAATCACGATATTTGATTCATAATTAACAGAATCTGATCTTCATAATTAACAGAACTAAATTTTACCTAATGGTGTTAAAAATTAAATGTAAAAAATCTGAATACAAATGATAAAAAAATTAAATAAAGTTAACGCAAAGATTGCATTAAAAATTCAAAGAAACACTGCATATCAAGCGGTAGATAAAACTATGCATGAAAACCAAAATCATTTGCTAGAGATTCCTACTGTCTAAGAATCAATGTGAACGATACTCTAGCGAGAAAAGAGCAGGAGAGAAAAATTGTGTCACCTTCAAGAATTTACTGATTGGAGCTTTTCGAAAATTGTGTTAGTGCAAATTTCTTTACTATATTATATTTGATAGCATTATAAATTACATACATTAGAAATTACCAGATTTTTAGCATTGGAAAATAAAATAAATATCGGAATTATGGCAAGCAATTTCCGTTCTCCAGGAATTGGAGTAAAACTTTAATTTTCACACATAAGCAAATCAAATAAAAACTTTCAAAAACTGCACATTTCAAAATTAGGACACACATGGTTAGAACAAGGCTATTACACGTGGTTAGAACTAGACATGGTTTACTAGGCATGGTTTTGCTCTATATTTTCTTTTCACTATTGGTTTCCCCACATCACAATTGTATTTTTTAATCCAATTACAGCAGAGGGGTAAATAAGGATAAAAGTCTTTTTCTCAATTTAGAGACTCCCACTTAGCTGACTTTGAACTATTCTTACAATGAAAAAAACGGCAAAAGGAAGGGGAGAGATCAAAATTTCTGTTAGTTCGCTTGAAGTTTCTTTCGTTTTTTTTTCTTCCTTTTTTTTTGTAGGAAATATTAGTATCACTACTTTGAAAACTACTCTAGAGAAAATTAAAAAACTTTTCAAGGACCTTAGGATGGAATTAAAGAACTTTTCAGGGCAATGATTTTTTGCAACAAAATTCAAGGACTTTCAATATTTTTCAAGCACCGTGGGAGCCCTGATTTACTATATTTATATTGAAACAGGATTGGAGGAAAATGGCAGTTTTTGTTTTTAACAATTGAAAAATAACATGTTCAAAACAGCAAATTCCCAGCTCTTTGCCAAATTCCCAATATCCACAGTTAAAAACAGAGTATATACTTTGTGACAGTTTACAAAACATTTGTCCACTATGAAGATTCAATTAAGTCTTATTTTTTGGCCAGGTTAAAATAATTATTTATTGAGTTTTTTTGACGCAATAAATACAATCAATATATGGTAACAGTCAAGACAAAAATGGACGCTATAGCATGAAATTGCTATATCGTGATTGCAGAAAACTATAGGATAGATTTACTCATAATTCATAGACTCATTTTGACAAAAACATTGTTTTTCTATTCATGTCCTTCAAAACGCTTAATTTTTGTTAAAAGTAAATAATGCTATTCTGTTTACAAATAGCTATTGTTTGCTAAATAACACACCAATTAAGTCATTAGATTTTGGTAACCAGGAGTACTCAGCTTTAAAACTCAAAAGATTTCCATATTTCTAGGTACCTTTTTATAAAAAGTGTATACTTATTTAAAAGATGAATTATTTACCATTTTATCCATGTATTAATATTCACATTCATAATGATCCTATCAATTGATTAAACAAAGAATTTTAAACCAAGGAGAGTTACATTGGAACAATTAAGGCTTTTGATTAGGACTGAATAATCAAAATTATTTTTACTAAGCTTTGTTACAATTTTGCCTGCATAAATCTGCTATAAGTTCCTCTTACAATTTGCATACTTAACAAAAATGATAGAGAATCATGACTTATACGAAAAGGAACTTTTAACCATATATTATTGAAATTTTTTCTAAAGCTAATAGTAATTTTTCTGCAGGACACAAAAGTTCAAAACAATGTAACATCAAAATCTGCTAAGACATCATTAAAAAAAAAAAAAAAACTAGGAATATAAATAAATTAGGGTAGGTTGGAGGTTGGGTTAGATCTATCCAGTTTTTTTTTTTTAAATAATAATAATAATAATAATTGTGTCATAAGGAATTCAAATTTCTCAAAAAACTACTTATCAATAATAAAAAAAAAAAAAATCATATTAAATGCATTAAATTGAAAGCAATCCTAAAGACATTCCTTTAACAAATTGGTATTTATAAAGAATTATTACAAATCAATATTATTAACCTGTATTTAGAACTTCTGAAGATTCAAAAATATTATCTGAAATCAACCTAAATTATTTTTTAAAAGTCTTGAAATAAGTAAGCATGACATGTGATTTATAAAAATAAATTGATTTTTAATTTGAACAAATTTGTTTTAATTTGTCAAGAGAAAATCTTTCACAAAAAACGTAAAAGTTAGCAGGCAGGCTCTCATAATTATTGAATTACAGTTAATTACTACAAATTACACTTATTAAGTTATAGTATTTTTTTCTCCAAGATAAACTTTTCTTGATTGAAGAACATGGGAATTTTTTTTTAAATTCTCCATACAAAGTATGTTTTTTAAGATGAAACACATTAAAATTAGAATTATATATAATCAAGTATTTTCTGAATTCCCATACAAATGGATGAAATAAATATTTTATGTCCTTTTTAAAGACTGAAATTAGCTCCAGACCTGAAAAACTTATTATTTAGTTCTGCCACACTCATAGAAAAAAGCTATATTGTCAGGTGAAACATATTTAATAGTTATGGATATGACTCGATAACATAAATATTTTCATAATTCCCTTTGATGAAATTTTGAAGGGAGAAAAAATATAAATAATGAATGATTTAAACTAAAAAAAAAAATCATACTCTTCATTAATTTCCAGCATCATCTTGTCCTTTTGTTCAGATTCAGCTTTTGCAGTCTTATATAAGGAACATATATTTTTCTTCATTAAAGCATTTTCTTTCATTAAATTCTCTATGCAAGCTTCATTTTCACATCTAATCTTTTTTAATTGCTCAACCTCTACAAGAAGTTCTTCATATTTGATTGTGCGCTAAAAATAAAAATCAATGTATGCATCAGAAATAAACGGCTTGAAGAATAAAAAATGCTTGAATTATACGTAGCTAGCAAACTTTTAGGCATTTTGCGTAAAATTTTATTTTTATACTTAAAGTGGTAATAAAATGTATGCTTTGTATTTATTCTTGGGATTTATAAAATTAATTTAAAATGATTTTAATCACCACTGCATATAAATTAATGAAATAATAAAAGCATGATAATCATAGGATTTTGTATTTAAGCTTTTACAAAATTTGCTTCAAGGTATGACTGAAATTCCACATTAATTTTATTAATACTCGGGGAAAGAGATTTTCAAAAAAACATAGACATGTTTACACGTTTGTCAGGTATACATGTTGACAGACATGTATACATTAAAAATATATTAAAATTTAAAAAGTAAAACAAAAAGAAATTCAGAAAAACAATAGAACAAAAAAATTTGAAAAACATAATTTTTCAAATAAAAGGGAATGGGTGGTAAAAGGGAAAAATTAATTCTGCTTTTAAGTCAAATAAAAAAAAATTTAAATAATGCCCATCATATATTACAAACGTATATTAGTGAACTGTCTATTAAATTTTAATTATAAGTTATAATTTGGTTTAGTAACTTTTTAATGAAATTATTTAAAAACTGTTTTTAAATAATTTTGAAATGAAAATACAATGACTATTGAAGCTTAACATTTTTGTCAGAAGTAAATTATTATATGGACTCATATTCATCATTCTTAACAAATCTGAGATTGTTGAATTATTTATTTCAATTATTTTTTAAATCACATGATAAAGAGGTTAATTATATACTTTGAAATGATATATCAGAATCACATAAGAATTTTTACTTCACTTGTTAAATGGTAAAATAGTGAAAACTTCTATACATACTTTTTAAAAATCTTTCCACTAAAACTTTTAATAACGAATTCAATAAAATAAGACTACACTAAAAAGTTTAACAAATTTTATGCAGTTAATGGGTGGTACCTTAGGTACAAAATTTCAAGTATAAAATTTCTAATAAATAGTAATTAAAATAGCAAATAATTAATAATAAAGGGAGTTTTTTCTGGGACATTTACCTTTCAATACATGTTAATTTAAATTGTATATGAAAATTAGCTGATTTAATTGCTTACTTTATTAAAATATTCAAAATATGCATCTATTTAAAACAGACACACCGGGTCGTTAAAGTGAGAAAATTTTGTTGTTGTTGTTGTAAAACAGAATAGTTGCAATATAGCTGGATATTTTAATGCTATAACTAACTCAAAGGCAATGTTAATGTATATATCCATAACTTTAATGTTTTTAGTAAAGGTAACAAAACAAATTTAACAACTGCTTTTGAGTTTTCATAGCAATTACTATTAAAAACATTTGTTACCTTTAAATTTTTTCTAACTTGAATTTTAATTGAATATTTAACTCTTTTATAATGAAAAGACACACATATGACCCATATTACCTTAATTTCACATCAAATGTAATAAAGTCAGAATAATTCTAGAAGCCGATTTTTTATGGCTTCTAGAATTTCAAAACTTGTCTATTGCTGTACATAAACGCTGTGTTTAAGGTTTTTGACACACCGCTTTCGATGCAATTGCATCTTTCGTAGATAAAATTGCTAAAATTAACAAACATCAAAAACTCAGCACCTTCGTTTAGATTATAGGGTGGATTTTATTGAATTACCTTTATTTTTTCTTCTCTCTCAGCGACTGAAGCTGCTATCAGCTCATCGTATAAAGCCGTTTGAGTCTTCCAAACTTCCGTCTCCAGCATGGCTCGATTAGACACGATGTTGAAAACATCGTCCACGTTTTCTTGCTTCTTTTCAAAAATTTTCCCAAGGAACGAACCAGTTGTGTCTGCATCATCCATCCATACATTGTCAGGGAAATTGGTGTCACTAGAATCATCATCTGGATTAGTTACAGATCTGGAAGTCATAGGATTGATTTCGTTGGAAGGCTTCGATGTCATGTCCCCATAATCGGGTCTACAAAAATAAAAACTATTAAAGATCTGAATTCCATCAAATGCTCCACAACAAAACTTTCAATCATTGCAAATTTTCAGCAAGTTCCATCAAAAATAACTTTTACCAGTTTTACAATTATGTATTATTTTGAAGAAAAAAAATTGCAACAGTACAATCATCCTTAAAAAATAAAATCTCTAAAGTTAAATTATTACTATTACTTTAAACAAGTTTCATTATGAAAACAATAAATTAGAGGTCATATAAAAAAATGACCCAAAGACCTATTTCGCTTTGTTTTAGGGGAGCACAAACTGCGACCCGCGAAAGCTTCGGAACAAGGAACACAAAAAATTCTTTTCTTACAGAAATTTAAGAAAAAAAACATTTAGAATTTTAAATGACATTTTTTATCACTTTCTGACGCACTAAAATTTCTCCAATTCAACAGTAAATTTATGTTGTTTCTTGATTGCTTTTTTCAGCAGTTATTGTATGGAATTCCACATGGTATAAAGAAATTGAATATTTTTATTCCGATATAGGAATTTAAAAAATAATTTCTTGACACGCTTAATTTTTACCGATTTCATTATAATTCCAAGTGACATTTCGATTGCTTTTTCGCAGTTACAACTATTTATCGCCATACGTTTAAAATTCCTGTAGGTTTAATACGATATTCTGACTCGTGAGTTATCAATCAGGTATTTGATTAATCACTTTTTGATATGATTTATTTATGCTGATTTCATCATAAAATCCTCAATTATTATTCGGCCGTTATAATTGTATTTTTACAAAGTTATAAAAATCATGAAATTTTTAATAAGATAATATTATGAATTTTGAAGTTGAATCACACATTTAAATAATCATTTTTTTAATAAGCTTTTCTTATGTCAATTTTATAGTAAATCAGAAAGATTTTTTAAAAATATTTCAATGCTTTTCTAAGTTTTTTGGAAATCCCGTATTTTTGTGTTGATATTGTCGCATAACGTTACCGAGTTCTTGCAGAAAGATTTTTCCTTTGGAAAGTAAAAAAACTTGGTTTACTTTTCTGTAGAAATTTTCAAAAGATTTTATCTCTTCTTCAGAATTATATTTAAAAGATTCCTTTCACGCACATCAGAGCAGGAAAAAATGCTTGTGATTTTTCTATTCTCATTTGAGAATGAAAAATAAAGAATAATGAAGTAAAATATTTGGTTTTCTTTTGTGCAGAAAATTTTGTTTTATTTTTTTTACACATAGTTTTTTAAATCCTAAATTTTTAATACGATATTATTTATTACAACATCTGAATCTCGAAATCCCTTTATAAGTAGTCCGATTTGAGTGATTTCGTCTTCAATCTTTTTTTTAACGGTAATTACTGCTACAAATTTCACTATTTTTTATTTGATGATGATTTACAAAATGCGAAAAAGGAAATAATTAGTGTGGTTTCACCCGAAAAAATGCAAGAATATCGCCCATAATATGAGAAGTAAAAAATATTACATATTCAATAAGAAATTTTTTGTTGTTGTTTCATTCGAAAAGTTTCTTTATTTGAAGTTGTCGCTTCTGTTACTTTAAATTAGTAATATGCATACCTGCTATTATTAAAAGCAGAAAGATATTAGTACTAGAGAGGTAATGTTGCAGAAAGCCCAGGGTTTGAAAAAACCCGGGGATTTTTGAAAAAACCCAACCCGCCTGGGTTTTATTGAAAAAACCCGGGGAAAATTGGGTTTTATTTGAAAAAACCCGGGGAAAATTGGGTTTTTTCATTTAGTGCTCATAAATTTTACTGTGAAAATATTTTTATTTATTAAATAGTGTTGTATAAGTAAACACTAAAATTTCATCTGACTTTTACNCATAATTCATCTAAATCACTTTTTCACTCGCCCCAAGAAAGCCATAATTAATAAAACGTGTTACATAATTCCTTTAGTTATGTAAGTTCATACCCACGCTGCCACAATTAAAATACATATTAGCTGTAACGAAATAAGCTGTACTAAACGGACAGTTTTTATAAAAAAAAAAACATTTAACTGACAAACTTAACAAATCAACAAACTTAAATAAATTGAAATAACCATAACGGATTAGTATAAACCTTAAATACAAAAAAAAAAAAAACTATTCTCAACTAAAACCAACTCGTTTTAACAACAATTCATGGTGCGTAGCCGAATTATTCAATAAAAAATAAGCACCTTTTAAGCACTCAAAAAATATTTTTAAGCACTTAAAAATAAATTATAATTAAGCAGGGTTGTTTCACCGTCGTGCTAAAAAAAATAAAAATAAATTTTGCATTGTTTTTGACCATTGTCAAAAATCATAAAATTTTGAATCATGTAAAATTAATGTTGCTTTCATACGCTACGGACTGACAATACGCCGAAATAGATTGAGGTAGAATTAATTATAATGAATAGAACAATGTGAACTGTGTCGTTTTGCACAATTCGAAGCAACAATCAACATAGTACAGGAAAAATCTCATTTTGAAAAAGGAAAAATTAAGTACTTTTCAAAAACACCCAATGCATAAAGCAAGCACCTTTAAGGGCTTTTAAAAAATGAAAATAAGCACTTTTTAAAAACGCTACGCACCCTGCAATTATCTCAGACTCTGTATTTTTTTCTTGATCTCGTTGTATTGTTTTTCAATTCATGCTTGCGTTAACTAGATATTTTTAAGTCTCTATACGTCCTTAGATAGTCATTTAATTTATAAATAGGGTAGTTTAGAAAAATATACTATCCAATTAAAGCAAATCAAAGCTAAGATTTGGAGTATTTTAACGTAGATCACGATATGAAAATATTCCCACTGTAAAGGAAAAACTCATAACCAACTCCGAGCAGGCCTTAATTCCAAGTACAAGAATTCATCAGTTTCACTTGGTGGAACTGATGAATTCTCATGGAAATATTCCCTTTTTCTGCCCATATCAATACTGATCGTATAAATTTGGAAATTAATAGATTCAATATAGATATGCATAGCAATAAATTTATCTTATTCATGACAAACCTGTCAACTTCTAGATGAAATTAGTGATTATCTATTGTTTTATAGTTCATGTGACAGAAGTGCCTACCTGAACTAAAAAATTAGCAGTTCGATGTTAAAGCTTTAACAAAAAATTATGTGGTTTACTAATTCTCCTATTATTTTATAAATTTTAAACCATAATTCAGATTTTTAAAGTATTTCGCGCACAAATTCGACTTTTTGAGAAATCAAAACATAAAGTTGAGCTGTATCATTGCATCTAACTCCTCTGAAAGAAAAAAATAAAAAAAAGCTCAGTAATTCATTCAGTTGCTCATTACTCATAAAATCTCAATGATCATAATAATTTCTATTATTATTTTTAAAAGTAGTTTCAGCAACATTTTTGAAATAGTATTTTAAGAGAAAAAAATTCTAATTTTTATCCTCGAGTTGAGATGTGTTTCCAAAAGTGTAAACAAACATTCATATCAGTTTCTCCGGACTGGTGGATAGATGAAGTCTGAAGATAAAAAATTAGATAGTGGATCTTAGCAACATACCTCAGATTATCCTGACCTTGTGTACCGGGCGATTCGAAAAAAGTTTCATTCCAAAATTAAAATGCCGAACATTAAAATTTTTAGCGGTTCGTCTCATGTGGACCTTGCTCAAAAAGTTGTCGACCGATTAGGAATTGATCTTGGTAAAGTTGTTTTGAAGAAATTTAGTAACCAAGAAACCAGGTAAATAGACAACTTATTTTAGAGTATCTAATGACAAATTATTCAAATATTAATTTTTTCAGAAAAGCATTTTTTCTATGTCTAAAATGCAACAGTCAATTAATTATAACGCATTTTATTGCTGACACATTACTTTTTTCTAATTTTGTATCAATATTTTCCTAATATAATATGTGACGCATAGGAAAATTTTCTGAAATCTTATATATTTGGGAAGTAATATTATCGTTAAATTTTTAGTGCGTCTTTTTTTCAAAACTGCGTAGATAAATTAGTTGATTTCAACCTATGCAGTTGTGAGTAATAATATATTTTTACGCTTAATTTAAAAATAAAAAGTGTTAAAATATCTCAGCATTCATTTTAAGTCTTATATAAGTTAAGTAAATTAACAAATATAAGATTTCACAACTTAATTAAAAGCCAATTAACTATGCTTCTGTGTAATTTTTCTCATATAATAAATTTGTAATATTTTTCTTAAATAAGCAATCTGTATTCTTGTTTTATTAAAAAGTTTTAACTTCTTTTAAAAAATATTTCCTAATGAAGTTATAAAGGAAAAGATAAGTTGAGAACATTCAGATTTTTTTTTTTGTGCTGTTCTATTGCAGAGGGTCCTGAAAAATTGCAGTTATAATTTATAATCTTGAATTATTAATTTATTGAAGAGGCTTACAACATTGATGAAAAAATCTATTTTTTATGCATAGTTAAAGCATGCCAGCAGGCTCTGCAGATAGTTTTTAACTTCAGATTCTTTCTAAAAAATTAAATAAAAAAAAATAGTGCATGAAGAAAAAATTATGTAAAGAAAAAAAAAAAGAATTTTTTTAAAACTTTGATATTGAAAAAATTCCTGAACATTAAAATGGGAACAAAATCAATGAAGTAGTTTCTGAAAAACTTTTCTTTTTAATTTTTATATCCTAAAAAGCATATATTATAGAATTTATGATTTAGTATTTTATTCTTGAACCACTGACGGTTCTGCACGTAATAAGCCGCATTTTAGCCTGCAGTCTTCTCTGCATAGCAAAACCGGTTTTCCCATGTTAATGGATAGGGGAACTATGTGTAGGTGAGAAACATTCTCCCAATTTTGCCCATTTCCTTAACCGCCAGTGGGTTAAATAAAGAAGTAACATTTTGAATTTTTCTAACTATTTGTTTAAATTTTAGTCTGTGGACATTAATTACTGTGCTTTACATGATGCATTTGAAACCATGAAGATTGTCTCTATGTATACAAACTTTTGATCAAAGTTATTTAGATCAAAAGTCATTAAAAGTACTGTTCATTTGAAAATTGACTTTTTTTCTTTGACCTCAGAAAAAGCCTTTACCTTTTTTGAAAGCCTCTAGAGAAGTAAAACCATGCCATGTCCGGGACTAGAAAAAGGAACCCTGTGTAAATTCTGTCTTAATGATCAGATTTTCATGAATTAATTATCAATCCTAATGTTTCAACAGGGTAATCTTAAATATGTTGATTAACATGATATTTTAAGTTGTAAAATTAGATGCAAAATCTCTGAATAAATTGACCTTTTTTCGACTGATTTGGAAATCTTATATATGGAATTATCTTTCAGTGATAAAAAAAAAAAATTCTGCAAAGATATTTTAATTCGCTCAAAAATTTACTTTAGGTATGACAAAATGAGCTACGGGGAAAGTTAATCGTCAGGAGCCTGAATTTTCAATGACTCTCTTCTGAGAGACTATTGAGACCATATTTTCCAGATTGCAGCATCTCGCATGTTTTAACGGTCAAAAATCCAAATTTGTCAAAAATGAGGTACTTTTATTCAGCAAAAACACCTTTTCGTGTCTGATTTTGCATCTTAAAATACTGTTTGTACTTATTTAGTTTGTTTATTTGAGGTCACTCCTTTGAATTATTAACACTTGTTCATTTATTCGCGAAAATTCAACCATTAAATCACAAGTTACTCTGTAAAAAAAAAAAAAACTGTCTTTAATAACAATCTAAGTATGTCATTAAAGATAGAGAATCTAATAGTATAATGTCTTTATAAATTGAGAAAGTGCTTGCAGAGTTGTAATTTAGTAGCCAGGAAAATATTTAACTATGCTTATTGTGAAATTAATATTGAGATTTAAAAATACTTTATTTCTGTGCTAGGTAAAATAATTTATAATATTTAAAGTTGGAATTTATTAATTAAATTGAAAGGTCAGGAAATTCAATTTAATAGTAAAATAGTTCCATTTCATAGTTTGCCAATTCAGTTTCTTGTATTTTTATAAAATTATATTAGTGAATTATCTTTAAATCTATGAATAAATGCTAGAGAATTTGCAAAATAAATAAACATAAAAATATAATTAAATGGATATGTATCTAGAGGTAGATTTATCCTATGGTCCTATGTGTTCTATTCCCATTTGCTAATCATGTAAATTGGAATCTAGTTCTTACTTTTATGAATTTAAATATTTCTCATTACTCCAAAGTTCTGAAATTTGCTATCAAGTAGAAAGAATCTATGTAATCCAATTTCATAATACTACAGTATCATAAATCTTTAAGATTTCTAGAAGGAACTTACAGCTGTTTCATCATAAGCAGATAAGACTATTTCTTTGATTAAAAGGAATGAGTTATCCATCAGATAAGAGCTCTAATCAGAAACTACTGTAGTAGTCAGATAATTGCTCTTTAAGTGTGGATTTACGTATTTCATGATTGTAAAACTTATCATTTTCTTATCTCATTTAAAATTCAGAAGCTATTTTATTTCAAAACCTAGTGATCAGTGATAATCTATACTTTTAATTCATAATGAAATAAACTATCTATTATACTAAAATAAAAATTCATAATGCTTTCAGATGATTTATATTTCACATAAAAATAATAATTTATTTCTGTTGTAAAAGTTTTTTTTTCCTCATTTAGTTTAAATTTCAAATTAGAGTAAATTACATTTAAATAATGCAAGTTTTTTATATAATTTTTTAAATGTACATTTACATTGTACAGTGTAAGTGCCGCATCAAAATATGCATAATGAAGTCTATTTGCTGTATAAATGTCATCAGAAAGTTAATTTGTTAGGCTTTTGACTGTTTAGTGATAAATTGTTTTTACAAGAATGACATTTTTTACATCAAATTGTTTGTTAGCCTTTTTTCCAATTGCATGTAAACATAATGCATGTAAATTTTATTGCCTTGAAAGAATAATGGTGTTATCTTTAAAAAAAAACCAGCTAACAATTTAATAATATGACATTATATTTCATAGACCACTGCCTTTAATGCTTAACGCATGAAGTATTCATAGAACTGCTTTTTGATACTGGTGGGAACAAAAATTATTGGCTGTTTTCAGTAATATGATTTAATTTAGCTTTTATGATCCCTTCTCTAACATCACAATGGTTTGGAAATATTTACAAAATAATTGGTTTAATGTTAAAAACCCTATGTCACTAAGTTTTAATTCTTAAAACAAAGCTTTAATGCTAAAAATAATAATTTCCAGAAATTTTTTTCTCTCGATGAGATGTTAAAAGAGATCATGTTTATCAGAAACGATTTTAAAAATGCAGCACCATCATAAAAAAAAGCATCATATACAAAAGCAAAACAGAAAAAATAAAAATCAAGCTTAATTTTTGAAAGAAAATTTTAAAGCTAAGCATATATTTTTCCAATTATCGTATTTTCGAGAAAAAATGAAGTTTGAAGTCAAATAGAAACTCTCTTAATTGTCACTGCATAATAAAATCGTCTATCAAAACAAAAGTTTTATGACAAAGCTAAATAGAAACCAAAACGAATATCATTCTTAATTTTTAAATGAAAGATTTAACGTTAAAAATCTCAATTTAACTATTTCATTTTGCTTTATTTTTACAAAAAGTGACCCTAAAAGAATAAAGATTATTAGAAATGCTCTTTACAAACTGTTGTCATAGTAAGAAAATATGATAAAAAGAAAAATTAATTTAAAAAAAAAGCGAAAGAGAAACAGTAAAATAATTGTTCTTAGTTCTGAAATACAGCTAACTTTAACCTTGAGAATCAGTTTTCTATGTTATCCATGATCTGTCTGTGTCAATAAAAGAATAATGTTTATTAGAAACACTCTTTAAAAATGTTTGTGCTATAGTTAATACAGAAAAATGAAACAAATGAAAAAAAAAGCACTAAATTTTTAAAACATAAATTGTTTAAAAAAAAACTGACGTGCTTGAATACAATTAAAAAAAATCAGCATTACGAAACTCATGGTTTGGTATAAAGTAATCGAGTTTCACTTCTTCAAATTTTGCATTTGTCTCTCAAAACATAAATTAAATAATTAACTTAATTAGAACTTAGCAAATATTTGTAATAATGATTTCTAAATACATGCATGCATATTCCTCTTCTCTCCGAGTTGGAGCATAGGGCTTAGCTTTCCATCTGTCATTAGCTTTCCCTATCATAGCTTTCCATCTGTCTTCTATTGCCCTGAGGGTTCCAATCAAAAACTTGTTTTACTTACATTTTCCAGATTTACGGAGAACATAACCAATCCATTTTTTAATTTCCAGATCAATCAGTTTCTGTTTTGCTTTTCTAAGGATTTCTGCATTACAAATGTTATGGAACAACTTGATATGCAATATTCTTCTTATACAGTTGTTAATAAATACTTGAAGTTTTTTCGCATTATTTTTATTGTTTCTCATATCTGAGAATTTAATAATGTATGTGGATGATATTGGAATTATTTAAACTTTTTTTTAAAACTAATATCAGTGTTTCTTAGCAATAAATGTTATTCAGTTTTCCATTTTCTACATTCTTTTCGTCGTTTTAGCCACTAAAAAGTTCTTTATGCTACGCCTGTTAGCATTTCAAAAGTTGCTTTAAATCGTGGCAAGCAAAAAGTTTAGTCTGGCTAGTACTTTGGAACTAAAATTTCATGCCATGGTTAACCAGTCAGGAAAGAGAAACAGGTTTGATCAAGAAAATATAAGAATAGAGGTAAGAAACAAGTGTGAAGGGGGCATGGAAGTAACTCCAGGGAGCGAGGTGTAGAAACCAAATTAGAATAGATTTCAAAATATTGAGAAAGTATAGGATGCTACAAAAATTATTATCTAAATCATTAGAATTTTTTAAACTATGAAATTATTGCCAGAAATCAAAAAGTTGTGAGATGAAGAGCAGCATTAAATGATTTAGTCAAAAAGAAACCTATAAATGGAATTCCAATTATGAAGGACAGAGATGCACAACCTTTTTTTGATCATGGAGCACAAAAACTAAAAGATGTCATATAAGGGGCAAAATTAAATAAATCACAATCACACAATTTTTTTTAAAAAAAATCATTGATTTAAATCAACAGATTTTTTTTAACAATATATATCTTGATTCCAAAAGTTAAAAAACAGTGTTTTAAATTATTGATACTTTTATCATTTTCTTTTCTTAGTCTTAAAATTTATTTTAATTAAATTGCTGCATTAATTAATTTTAGTTAACGAAATTACTTTCTTGGTGACTAATAATTCTAAATTACATTTTTAAAAATCTTTTGATTCTTGAGATTGGAAGTACAGATTAAAGTACACATTTAATGCTGTCTTAATATAGCCTTGCATAGCTGTAGGAAATAATTAATAACCATGAATTTTTTCGAAAAGAAAAATGCAAAAAATGTTAATTAAAATTCTTTGATTAAAAAAACCATGGAATTACATTATATTTTATAGGTGGAAATGTATATTTCCAAAGCTTGAGGTTATATTAAAAAAAAAATTACCCTAATATGCCAAAAATAGAAGAAAAAAAGGCTGATGGATTCAGATTTTTTTTTCCTGGTATAGTGCCATTCTTCTCTTTCAAACTCTATTTGAAGCAGTGGAATTATTAACTGGTATTTTTTTCTCATAATATGTTTAAAGTATCTTTGACATTATCAGATTTTCTATAAAGAAATTTTGTGGGAAAAAAATTCCAATGAGTACATAGATTTTATAAAAAAATTTTTTAGCTTAACTTATCTATTTTGATATAAGATTAAAAATGAATCTTTTAATATAAAAATATATAGATTAAATATTTTTTTATTTTTTGATGAATGACTATATTTATAAACACAATCTGTTTCATTTATTTTGTCATATTAAAAATCAAGAGAAAAAAATTCACAATTTTAAATTGAAATAATGGTTTGATAATTGAAACTTCGTTTTAATTATTAAAGAACGGGTCTGTCCAAGCCAAATTTACTACCGCTTAGCGGTACCTTCACAAAATACTTTTTCTGAAAATTTTATTTTTGTGTCTCGTAAGAAACAGTAAATCCATATTTTTGTGTTGGATCTTTTAATATAATTATTAATTTTCACAAATTATGTCTTAATTTTCACAAAATAAGTACCTCTCAGAAAAACCTAGACTGACCCCTGAAGTATTCTTTAAATTCTCTATTTCATCTAGTCTTTAAATTTCAATCATGTATTTGTTTCAAAATGGTTGCTATGCATTCAATGCTATGTATTATAATGAAAAAATTATTTTAGTAAGTTAGAGCTTCTAAAATATTGTTATAATATCGTTTCAATATTAATTTAATTTTGATTGAACATTTATAAAGTTTTTTTAATCGTAAATTAAAGTTCTTACAATGTATTTGAATAAAAATCTGATTTAAATAAAAAAAATCAGATTTTTTTTTATTTTTTTGAAAACAAAAAAAATCACGAACCCTGATTGAGAGTAGTATGTATGTGCATAGTGCGGTGTAAAACTTGTTAGAAATTAAATTTCTTTGCAAACAATGAATTTATATCCATAAATAAAAGTTGAAGAAATGAAAATCAAGAAAAAAAAATTCTAGTGTATTGGCATCATTTTCAGTGCTGAAGAGAAAAAATACTTTTACTTATAATTTTTATATTTCTTTATTAAAATTACTTACTCTTATGTATTTTTTGTTAATATTAAAAATGGATCAAGGACCGAGTGATAAACTTCAAGGGCCAGTTTTGGCTCGCAGATCAAAGTTTGTGCGATTCTGATGAAAGCGATGAAATATCGTTTAATATCCTAATTTTAGACTTAGCCTAATAGAGTTTCTTAATTGTTTAAAGAACTAAAGCTGTAGTAACTGTCAATGTTTGTAATTTTATGTGTGCATTCGCATAATTTTGTGTTATTAATATTTGAAATTCTACTTCTTGGGAAAAAGAAACTCTTTCATTTGTATCTAAATTGTATGATGTTTTCTCATCTAATATTAACATATGGAAATTTCAGTGTAGAAATAGGAGAATCAGTGAGGGGAGAGGATGTCTACATCATCCAGAGTGGATGTGGTGAGGTGAATGATAACCTCATGGAGCTTCTCATTATGATCAATGCTTGCAAGATTGCATCTGCTTCAAGAGTAACAGCTGTCATTCCTTGCTTTCCATATGCTAGGCAGGACAAAAAGGACAAAGTAAGTCCATCGAATCATTTCCAATTTGACATTTCCATATCTTTCTTGTTTATAAAAATTATTAGGTTTAAGGATGTGATGAATCTTTCTTTTTTCTTTTAATGCGAAAATAAGGCAAGAATATTTTTAGCTGGAAACTAACGATTTCATTTTAGCTTAATTAAAGCTTTTTTTAAAAATTATTTATGTACTTTAAAAAAAAAAGCAACAAAGAGTGTATTGAAAGTATATTGGAACAAAGTATATGAAACAAAGTATATAATGAAAGAAGAATGTCTTCTTTAATTAAACTTTTTTCATGATTGAAGCTAATATTCTGTTTTATAAACTTTCTGAGATATTGCAAATATTGTATGAATAAATGTCAAAGGAATCATGCTGAATTTTAATTAATTTATTGAAGAATAATTTCAGTTCATTGTCTTTAACTATAAGAAAATGTGTTCCTATTTTTTATTTAATGCCTATTAAATTCATAATCCTTTAAGGAAAAAAATACTGATAGAAAAGGAGGATTTTGTAACTCATAGCTATTTTCTGAAATGGTTAAATACATAATTGATTTAAGTCAAAACTAATTTTTTGCAGTAAAATCCATAAATATATTCTTAAAGTTGTGACCTTAAGTATAATTGCATTGATAATTGAATGTTTTCATTGATATGAATTTTGCATTGATATGAATGAACTAATGCGAAGAAAGGGTGACATGTAAATTAGTATAGTATGCTCTCGATATCTCAAAGTTGAAGGGGCGCTGAAAACAATTCCGAGATAGCAGGTTCAAGACTATATATGTAAATATGTTTTAAGAAGTAGAAAAATATGTTCTGAAATATTACTCTAAAAAGTACATACGTGAAACATAAAGATAACTACAGTCAAACCCCGCTATAGTGAACCTTCAAGGGACCGAAATTTTGGTTCACTATAACCGGGCGTTCACTATATCCATTGCGCAGGCAATTTAATTTGTGGCTCCCAAACTCGTCCCTTTTATTACACATTATTCAAATAAATGACTGAAAAATATTGTGCAGTAGCAAAAATTTGTCAATTTTCATTAATCTTCGTCTTGCGTACAAAAAAAAATGAGTAATCTTTGGCTGATGAGCAATCCTCAACATCAGATATGGATCCCGACTCTCAGATAATTTTTCCTGAATTTCTGTTATTACGCTTTTTGAACCTGTCTAGCCTGCCATTCGAGCACATAAAAGTAGTCTCATAAAATCGCTTAGTAAATTCATCGACATTTGTCCAGATACTGGAAAATTGCGGTTTCTTCGATTGGTGAACCACTTCAGTAATGCTTCTTCAACATTCTTGTGATCTACTTTTCTCAACTTTTTTCTGCCATCTAAATTTTTTTCATGAAGAGAAATTCATAATTGTCTATTTTTCCATATGTTGCAAACTGCAGATTTGGATTTATATTCTCTGCAAATATCAGCTTGATTGCATCTATTTTAAATTTTTCTGATTATTCCCATTCTATCATCAATGGAGAACGTTTTACGTTTACTGCTTGCCATAGTTAAATTTGAGACACTTGTTTGCAGGATTTTTTTAACTGAACTGAGAGCAAAAAGGAGTTGAAATGAGGGCCTTATCAACACATATTAGTGTCCAACCCTTTGACCAATAATCAATAATTATTCATTCCCTCTGACAGAAAATGCATATTGATCCCACTGACACCTTACAGGTGCATCATCTGCCTGGGTTGGAAACATCTGCTTGGTTTGTTTAGGGATGGGAAAGTGAGATAAAAGAAGCAAACAAGAAAAAATGCTTATCGCTACATTCCCCTCTATAGATGGTTTTAAAAATCGGTATATGTATTTATTTTGAAGTAGAAATTTCAAAATTATTACAAAAATTTTCTAAAAAAAAATCAGTCGAAGATAGAAAAAAGTTCATTATATCCAACTTCCTCGCTTTTATGGTTCACTATATCCACAAAAAATGACATCCGTGCGTGGCAAGGCACGGGCCCGAACATTTCGTTCACTATATCCGGAAATTCACTATAAACCGTGTTCACTATAGCGGGGTTTGACTGTATTATTAAATATGAATGTAATGATAGTTGACTAATGCAGTGCTGCTACAATGATAATTTTATTTTTAAAATTAAGACAAGAATAATTATACATTAAATCGAAAATAATTGGTTTACTATAAACTTATATTGTGATTTTTCCGAAAAAATTAATTTTGGACATAATAAAGTTTTGGGAAGAAACACTTTGACATAGGAATTCAAATTAACATTAGGGAAATATATAATGCCATGGGGGAAATAATTTTTTGACATAAAAAGATTTTTGAGTTATCGAGAGTATGCTGTATTTGATGTTCAAAATCAATTTACATATGTTTGATGTAATAAATTTTTTTTTAAAAAAGAGCCATTAAATATGAGTAAAAGCATATAAAACTTTTAAATTAAAACCTTCAATCAGTTGTATGTGCAGTAATTTATAGTCTAATAGGCATATTTCAATTATAATAATTCAATTTGATATATTTATAAGGTACAAGTACTTAGAAAACTTGTTAAACACTATAGTTTGTGTAGATAAATAATAAATATACACTTATTCTGCCAAGAGTTAGTTTTTCTTTAGTGTTTCCTTATCTAAACTAATTTATTCTTCATTTAATAGAACTGACAATGTTGTCTTCAAAAAATTCATAAGGATATTCAGCTTAAATAAATACAGCATAATTTAATTTTTTCGATTATTAGTTTGCAATAATTTTAACCATTTTAGTTTAAAATATTAAGTACTCTATCATAATATTGTTTTTAAAGAATATGAAGTATTATGAATTTATTTGATCAAAACTTATTCAAATAAATTTTATTGGTAAAAAAGAAAGGAAAAAATGATTTAAAAAAATCTTGCTTTTTGCCGATTCTGGTTACAGTTTTTTTTCTATTATTCCGACTTCATTGCTTAAAATATGTAATATCAAACATAGATTTCAAAAGTGTAAAAAAAATAAATATAAAAGTTGTATAAGAACTAAATAACACACAAATGTCAAGAATAAAACATGATGCTTGAAACATAGTTAATAGGAATATGAATCTCAGTTATAGAAATTTTGAATCAAATTTACTTTCCCAAAAATCTTATGATAAAGCTAACAATTTGCTACCATTTGAAATATTTAAAGAGGGAACAAAAAAAAATAATCTTTGTCTGTTCTATAAAGATGATATCAATCAGTGAAGTAATTTGAAATGATAGATGAGAAATTTCTTCATAGGTTTAATAAAAAAATATTTAAATTAATTTTCTGAAAAATTCTTTACACGAACAGAAAGAAAGGGTAAAATTTTGGTTAGTTCTTAACATTTTGTTCTTTTTCACATTTATTTGAAAAATGGAGCAATTTATTATAACCTTTACGTTTTGTTTTTATTTTGATGAACTATTACTTACTTTTTATGTCCTTGGATTTTCATTGTATAACACTGAATATTATGTATAAAATTTGCTTGTGAAATTGAATTGAATTAGCGAAAAAATTATCTGTCTTTCTTTTAGAGTCGAGCCCCAATTTCAGCTAAGCTTGTTGCTAACATGCTTTCAGTATCTGGTGCAGATCACATAATTACTATGGACTTGCATGCTTCTCAAATTCAAGTTAGTAGCTTCTTTTAAATTTAGGGTATATTCTGGATCAGTATTTTACCCTTATTCATTAATTTTATAATATAGCTAAGTTAATAATTTAGAATTAATATATTTACATAAAATATTGAATTTTTGTTAACATTGAATGTTAGTTTTAATAAAAATAGAAACTTTCCTAAGAATTTTAGAGAAATTTTTAGGTTTAGGATAAGATATTGCTTTGATAAATTTGAATAAACAACTTTTCCATCTTCCTTTAAAGAATAAATAAATATTTTGTAAATTAATAATATATTTTTTAATATTCAGTGTCATTTTTGAAGGGAATTAAATTTTGAATTGTTTTTAAAGTTTATTTGAAAAAGAAAACTTTTTTTTTATGGCTACATTTCTTGTATTATGATTTTAAGGGAAATATTATAAAACACAGTAGCAATTCCCAATATTTAGAAAATTATTAAAGACTCGTGTCAAATGATATTTTTGTTTTTAAAAAGAAACATTTTTTTTTTCAAACAAGGACTTGACTTTTTGTGGTAATTAATGATAGAATACAAATGAGTGAATTCAATACAAATATGAAAGTCAGATGAATGTAAGACAAGTATATGATATTGTATGTTATACTGCTGTATTAAATTTATATTTCTTCTGTATTAATTTATGTGAAATGTAAATTTCTACCCACAGTCAAGCTGTTGCCCCCTTTCGAAATTATTTCTATTTTAGTGTCTATTCATTTCTACAATTGTTTGATGTAGACATTGCCTTTAAAATTGTTCTTGATTTTTCAGGGGTTTTTTGATATCCCTGTCGACAATTTGTATGCTGAACCTGCGGTTTTGAAATGGATACGAGAAAACATTCCAGAGTGGCGAAATAGTTCTATTGTATCACCAGATGCAGGTGGTGCCAAAAGGTAAATCCTTTATTTTATAGTTGAGGGTATTTGCAGTATACTTAATAATACTTGTATCGCAATATTAGACCTAGTCTTTACTCCTCATTACACTTTTTTCTTAATAGTTATTTCTCTTTGTATCATACATTTTTATTTCGACTGACTGTAATAGAGAGCATAAATTATTTATAACAATGTATTATAAATTCCTGAGTATTTTCTAAAATAGGGGCATAACAACTATACTAAATGGCCAAAACATGTCATTTCTGTTTTATCCTGTTATGTGTTTGTCTCAGATTTAGAATGACAGATGTTTGTAAGTGGAAGCGGTGTTTATTAATATATATATGTTACGGTGAATGGCCGAAGTCTCGAAAATGTCGACATTCACGTAGTCGCTTGGTGTATGTCCGAAATATTTGCTAAATACCCTTACTTTCACCGGTGAATGTCAACAATCACATGGTCGCTTTGGTGAATGTCCGAAATATTTGTTACATTCGATTTGATATGAATTTATTCGTGGATATGATTACATTTATTTGATATTTTAATACTTACTGACGATAGATCAGAAGAAACATCAGTGTTTGGAGTATTGGGCCATACATTTACATTTGCTCGGTGTACCTTACACTGATGTATTTTTAAGGTTAAGTGCCACTGCCCAGTATACACCAAGTATCAGGCAAATATATACCGTGCAATGGCACTTGACCTTAAAAAAAACATCAGTGTAGGATATACCGGGCAAATGTATACCGGGCAGTGGCACTTAATCTTAAAAAAAACATCAGTGTAGGGTATACCGGGCAGTGGCACTTAACCTTAAATGGCTCGGTATACCCTACACTGATGTTTTTTTAAGGTTAAGTGCCATTGCCCGATATACCCTACACTGATGTTTTTTTAAGGTCAAGTGCCATTGCCCGGTATATATTTGCCCGATAGTCCAAACACTGATGTTTCTTCTAATCTATCCTCAGTAAGTATTAAAATGCAGAATAAATATATCAAATAAATATAATAATATCAACGAATTTATTAATATAAAATTGGATATAACAAATATTTCAGATATTCACCAAAGTGACTATGTGATTGTTAACATACACCGGTGAGGGTCTGAATGTGCAAGAATGTTATGAAATGTTCGATCTTTCACCTACGTATTTGGTGTTTGTCAACATTCACCGGTGGAAAGTCAACAACCACCTATTTCGGTCATTCGCCGTACCATGTACACTACATTATCTGCTGGAATAGGATAAAAAGGAACACACTTTCGTTGCTCTTGCTGCAATCTCTAAATAAAGACCGCTTTATGTTGTAAACTCTAGATGTTTATTTATAGTTTTATTTTAGACAAACAGCCCTAGTGCAAAATATTATGAACAATAATAAGCTAGCTCTTGCTCAAAACCAAAGGGGCAACTATATCAAAACCTACACTATTGTGTCAGACAAGACAAGCTTTTATCTCAAACAACAACTCTGTTATCTTCATATTGTATGACATAATTTCCTGCTTCAAACATTGTACGTACAAACATTGTTAAAATTAACATTTTGGAATATGTTTGTTTATACAAACTTTCAAATTATACTTGGTGAAAAATATTAAATTGAACAATATTAGCAAAAGGGAATAATCATTAAATTATCGAAACTATTCACGTGAGTAACGTTTTATCCTATTATGTGTTTATTACACAGGGTACGTAGCATTTTTAAAAAGTGCTTAAAGGTGCTTTTTTTTATTTCGGGTTTGTAAAAAATATATAATTTTCTATCTATCAGACCGAAAGAATTTCTATGGGATATTCATATTAGGTCAAAAGGAATTATAGGGATAGAATTTATCCGGATAAAATATAATTTAAAAAAAATCTACTCCAACAAAAAATTGGTGAGAATTCCATACAGAAAAAATGTGCAGTTATGAGACATAACTTGGACAAAATTTAAAACCAAACATTTTTATTGCAAATTCATTTTTAAATAAGTTCCTTGCTCATTAATGTTCTTTGAAACTAAAAATGGATCTTCCAACAGGATTCTACTCTCAGTGCCTCACACTTGAGTAAACTATGTACGCCATCTTGCCTTGAAGAATGCCTTTCATTTTCACAAAAAAATTTTGTATTTTTTTCATAATGCTTTGCATAATTTTCAAAATTAGTGTAAAAAGTGATGACTAAAGATAGGCTGAACTTTACCTAGCGATCATGAATAACAGTAGTTATTGAGATAGTATATTCACAAAAAAGCACAATTTCATGTAACATATTGCCAGTCGTGTAAAGGTAAAAAATACACGCCTCACCAATAAAATTTTCAAGGCCCAGACTAGCAGGGAAATTTGTGATCTATAGCAGTAAAATTTGTCACAGATTTACAGCTCTGTATTGAGGTCAAAGGTGGTCACTTTAGAAAATGTTTTCTTGCATATTTGTGAGTTTGGTTGTGAACTCTAAAAAAATACTTTAAAAAAATCTATTATGTGTCTGAGTTATTTCTTGTCACATACTGTACTATGACTATTTCTTTAAAAAATATAATTAGAATAAATAATTTAAAAAAAAATATTATTAGTATAAATATATATTTTTTAAGCATTCTTTATTAAACGTTAAATATATATGTCATGATGGCTCAGTGGTTTAAGCAGTGAACAGTCATTGTAAACGTCTATATTCGGTTCCTAGTAGCAGCTTGAGAGTTCACACAGCATCAGATTAATGGGCACCAGCCTGTCAGGGAAGTAACGGCTGTTGGTATCCAATGCCGATCGCTATACCTTCATCATTCTGTCAGTCACGAAATTTAGAAGTCTCAACCTCCATGACTTTCTCTAGCGGCTAGGAATTATTGCAGAATTCTTTATGTTATTTAATATGCATAATTTTTTGTTTTAGAACCAGATTGGGAAAGAACTGCAAGATTAACTAATGTGTGATTTTTTTCCCTTTAATTTTCAGAGTAACCTCTATAGCTGATCGTCTCAATGTTGAATTTGCTCTTATTCATAAAGAGCGTAAAAAAGCTAATGAAGTGGCATCAATGGTGCTAGTTGGAGATATTAAAGACAGAGTGGCTATTCTTGTAGACGACATGGCAGATACCTGTGGAACGATATGCCATGCTGCAGAAAAGTAAGGATTTTTATTCACCTCGATTAACATGATGTGTGCCTCACCACTCATCGGTGACTGACCCGTTAATTTCTGTTTATGCGGCATAAGTCACCAACGACTGACATTATAAAATATGATTATATTTTACACTGATATGAAACTAAAAAATTTACATTGTTCAGAGGTGATTGATTTTGAGTGTACCCCGGAATACCATGTTTTTGTATATCATCCTTTCGGGTCTTAAAACTAAGACCAGGCCATGTGATAATTTCATGGAATTCTGTATATCTCAAGACCCAATTAGTTGGCAGACTTCCACAAATCAAAAACTTGAATTTCAAAGCTTTTGTAATTCCTGTTAATCATACTATTATTCCATCTCTTATAATTATTCCCCTTTCGTCTTACCTAAGTTCTCGTTTACGTGCTTTAGCTTTTTTTCGCTCAGATTAGTAAGAAAACGATTGTGAGAGTTTGTCGAATTTGTTTAATGTGGAAAATTGATGTAATTTCAAAATCGCCTACATTTTACAAAAAAANAAAAAAAAAAAAAAAAAATTAAATAGCTCATTTCAAAAGTGGCTCTGTTTCTGATATTTTTTAAACTTTTATTTAAATACTTTATTTTTAAATTTTTATTTAAATACTTTATTTTCTAAATTTTTATTTAAATACTTTATTTTTTAAATAAAAATTGCTTAATATTACTATTAATTTTCGCATGTTTAATTTTCCGACACTATTATGACCCTTAAAATTCAAATCATAATTTTTTTCCTCTTTTTATTCACTTGATTTTAACCAATTCCATAGTAAATTCATGCCATGTTTCAATCGTTTTTATCAACAGTTATTGCTATAAGTGTTTTGGTTTTTTGAAATCCTAATATTTGTCCTACAGTATTATTATGACATGAAAACTACAAATCATGCATTTTGTTAATTCACTTGACAATTCTACAGTTGTTTTTTTTACCAATTTTTGGTTATTTATTGCAATTGATTTCCATATAGATCTAAATGTACTGGGTATTTAAGGCTTTTTTGTTAACTTATTATACTTGATTTGTTGTGAAACTTTTCATTACTCTTGAATTTTATTCTGGAGAAGAAATAACTCAATAATTATGTAAAAGCAAAATTTAAAAAAAAGTGAATTGAGAGGCCCTTCACTTATTTAATAAATACTAAGCAAATTGTATATTGTTCAGATTTGTCATTTCAAATAGTTTAATTAATCTCTTTATCCTTATATTTATAAACAAGTGAAGCTAAAAATTCAATAATCACAGAATTGTTGAAGATGATGAATTTAAAGACCATATAAAAATTTATTTCTTACTAATGAGTTAGCTACAATGCTGACTGTATATCTTCATTTCTAAGCTATTTAAACTGTTTATTAATTGTCTGAGTAAAGAAACGTTGTACCTCATTACAGTGTTTATTAAATTATTGATCATTATTCCAAATTGGAAAAAATTTTCTATTCATTTTTTTATTTATTTTCTATTTAAAATTTTAATGATTGTATCCAATGAAAAATTCATTAATTAATAAAGTTTTAATCGAGGCTATGCACTAATTTATATTTATAGTTCTATTCAGGTTTCATTTGGTTAGTTATCAGTTCAGTGTGGTCAATAATATTAATCTTATAAATGTTTTTATTAAGTATACATTTATAGTATATTATAGTTAATAGCGTAGTATAGTTATTTAAGTTTAAAAACACTCAATAACTTTTTAAAAATTAAATTGTAACAAACTGTAATTTTAAATTGAAATTATTATTTTTTTTTTACATAATTGAATAAAGTAAAGAATAAAATGAGCTAACTCCATGTTGACTTTAGTAAATAAAATTACGCATAAAATGATTTACATATTTGATAGGCCTCCTTGGTGGCAGTTTTTTATTATTTAATTATCTTTTCAAAATACCATTTGTATTTTTGAGAGAGGACCATCTTGTAATAACCATTTTTCAGACTTGGCCTGAATTGTATTTTTCATTCTAAAAAGTGCCCAGATAAAGTATCTAATATTTCTCATGAAATGCAATAATTGTTAAACATTCTAAAAATTGCATAGATACTTCAGACCAACCATGTATATTTTCAAAACTAAATATCTTTTTTAGAGTTTAAACTTAAGAACTGCCTCATTATATAAGAATGACGCAGTTTTAAAGTTTCTACTTTGAATTCTTTTAAAATTAATAGTACTTTTTTAAATTTAAAAAATTTAGCAATCTGGAATGAATAACATACATTTATATTTGGAGGATTGTCCACACTGAAATCATATTTGGAGGATTCTGAATTTCTTTAAATATGTTTTTAAATTTTTTCTATTTCTTTATCTATTAATGTATTTTTTTGGAAAATTTTAAATTCATGCCCGTGTAATGAAATTTTATTTGTAGCTTTGTAATGTCTTTTAAACTTTTATTGAAAGATTTTTAGAGTTGATTAGCCTGTCTATATACTATATAATTTTTTAATGTTATATCATAATCTGAGTATTTACCTCACTAAATTTAATGTTCATATATTTTATTAAGTATTTGTGGCAATTCAATAGAAATGATCTTCATATGCTATATAAAAATTATTAAAATCCCATTCTACAAATAGTTCAGATTTGTTGCCAAGTTCAAATACGAGTTTAGTCAACAGGGACAATATGTTAAAAAAGTATAAAAATTAATAAAGAAGCAATGGACTTGAAAAAAATTATTCAGTTCTGCAATAATATTTACAGGTTTGCATTTATTTAGATAAGGTTTGCATTTATTTACTTAAAATATATAGAAATTTTGCTTTGTTTACACTCTTATATTTTTTATTTTGTGCACTGTGTATTAAAGACTAAAAAGCAAAATTTACCTTTTATAATACTTATGTTGAATGTTTATCTGAAAAAATTTGTGCTACTGAGGATAACTGTAAATCAATTTTGAAAAATTAATTTTTGGTCCCATTTTTTTTAAAATAGAAATTTATAATTTGTACTATTATAGATTGATGGAAGCTGGTGCCTGTAAAGTCTATGCGATATTGACACATGGAATATTTTCTGGGCCTGCGATATCGCGCATTAATAACGCATGTTTTGAAGCAGTGGTAGTTACAAATACAATACCACAAGAACAACACATGAAGGATTGTCCTAAAGTACAGGTTAGTATTTACCTTTCATGTAAGATGTTCAAAAACTGTTTTTAGATAAATAATTGGTTTCTGCTGTAACTTTACTATGTCATTCTTACTCTGTTTTAGTATTTAATTGTCAGAATTTTATTAAAAATGCATCAGAAATCAATGATGATTTTTTTTTAAATAAAAAAGAAGTATATTTCTTCTGATATATATTTTTTAAAATATTATTTGCATTAACAGAGTTTTTGAGTTTTACTTATTGATTTTTACATAAGCTTTATTATATATTTTAAAGTATGTTTTTTTCACAATTACACAACTAGAACTACTAAGCTTGTAATTGTCCAAATAACTAAACACAGATATTCATAAAAAATCTTTTATTTTAAGAAAATATATCTATTATATTCTTTTTATTATTAATATTAAAAAAGCTGGTTTAATGCATGCAGCTTCATAAAGAGTTGGTGAGGAGAAAAACTTTTTTTTATATTTTTATAAATGCAATTTATCTTTGAGTTCTCTTGGATAATAAAAATATTTCTAATAATCGTATAATGAAAAAATTGTTTTATTTAAAAAAATATTTATCTTTCACAAACAAAAAACATTTTTCATTTTTATACATCTTGAAATGTTGCTAAATGCCTTTAAATTCATTTTGCTTAAGGGATCACAGTAACTTTGCAACAATTTTTAAAATAAAGGTATAATCATTCATTTTAAGGATGCTTTACATGCTCATTTAACTTATAAAGAATAATCAATAATTTATCTTCAAAAAATAATTAAATTGTTTAGTTTTTTTAAAATTTTAAAAAAAATTCAAAATTTTTAAATCTCTAAAGCTTTTTTTATTTTAACATATTTTCAATTTTTTTTCCCTTAGTGCTTACAATATTCATCTTAACACTTTTGTGCATTCATTTGCTGATATATCAAATAGAATATTTTTTATAGATTATTTTGTAAAAAAGTAGAAAAAAAAAAGGTTAAAAATTCCTGTTAGGTACATATAACATGCTACAAAAATTTTAGTACCTCATAAAATGCTTATTCCATGCATAGTTTAAATAAATGCATTATATTTAAGATAAAAAAAGTTTGCTTCAAAGCTTTATCTTAAATAAAAAAAATTCTTTGGGATTTAGTTAATTATCATCTAAGAGAAAAAGCACTTTAAAGTCTGTCTGCTGAGCAAGTTTCTGTATTAGGACAATCTAAAATCATTCATAACTTTTTTAAAAATGTAGGTAGAGAGATGATTTTTTTTCAGTGCTTTTAAAATAGTTTGAAGTTTTATTATAACCAATAAAAAAATTGTCTCGATATTTTGGTCATTTTTTGGGTACTGTGGCCCCTTAAAATTAGTTTTTTTTTCTTCATTTGAATGTATAGTTTTAATGAATAAATGGAAGAAAAAGTTATGTTATTCATTAATTTATACAAAGATATTTGCTGATTTCTCTTAAAATATATACAAACATAGGCATTTATCTTCGTACCATTAATTTTCAATAGCATCTCCCACTCTAGACACTTCACTAAATTATTCGGTGAAATTGATCCCCTAAAACTGATTCATTGAAGTTTATATTCAGAAAGCATAATGTATTGTTTTGATGTATATTGAATATATTAGCTATCATTATTGCCAGAAATAAACATTTTCAATTTAAAAATTTCTAAGCTTAGTTTTTATTCTAAGTTATTTTTTATTCTTTTCCTTAATTATTATTTTGCACAGCTTTTTATCCTTATATGTGCTATAGAAAATAGTATAAATTTATATATTTAATCTAAATTATTCTTAATTTTTGAAAGAATAAATTTAATAAGCACTAATTAAATTTAATTATAGGAAACAATATTTATATTTGCAAAATTAAACAAAAACATGCTATCTCTTTATAAGCGCAACTTTTTTTAAAAATCAGATTTGGATTTCTTGATCTTCAAAGTATTTAGGTAGCTGCAATCTGAAAAATATCAGCTCAAAAATATCCATTAGTTTCATCGAAGCAACGGTCAAAAATTTGGTCCCCTTAATTTTTGTTTCCCTTTTTTGCACATAACTGCAAAATTTAATTTTTTAAGATTATTTATTTAGTTCTTATTATTTATTTTAATAATGAGTTTTAAGAAATTGTATTCTAATGTAATTTTAAATGATGAAATATTAAAAATTTATCAAGATTAGTTGGTTCTTGGAGACATTGACTTTCTTTAAATTTTATTACGCAGAAACTATTCAATTGATGTAAAAACTTCTTATTCTAACAGTTCAAAACTTTTTTGCCCATTTTTAAAATAAATAATAAAAAAAGTCATAAATCTTATAATTTTTTTGCATAAAATTTATTTTGGATAATCAAGCACTATAAATGTGTATTTTAAATTTTTTTTTTTTTTTTTTATGTTTAAGTTGTAACCATATTTTCCAGTTTGCTACTGCCTCCCTTATAAATTGTAATCTGTCCGAAAATTAAAGCGTAGCGTATTTTTGTGTTTGGTTTATAAAAATATCTTCTCCACTAATTATTCTTCTTTAATTAATTAGCATATTTGAAATTATGTTTTTGAACAATTAAGATTGCATATTGGCATGGGACGATCAAATTGTAAGATTTAAAGTTACATTTAATGTTCAGTTTTTTTTATTTTGCACACTGTACGTGTACGTACTGGTTGAAACTTTTATCTTTATTTTGAATTTTTTTTCTCTATATTTACCATTCATTTATATGAATGTTGAAGAAACCCTAAGTTTTTGCATGCTCACTAATTCAAATTCACCTCATAATTGTATTGCTTTTGAAATATTTTTGATTAATTGTTTTTCTTTTTCCCTTCTCTGAAGCATTTTGAAATTACTAGATGGTCATAATTAAAGTAAACACTGTTTGAGACTTTAATTTTGAAGAAGTTACTCAAATGTTGCTGAATTCCTTTATCATCATGGAGATAATATTTAATATATTGAAAGTAAAAATCTTTTCAGTTGTTAGAAAATAAAAAACATTATTTAAACAATTATTTTAAAGAAATAAGAATTTAAAATAACCATTAAAAAGTAAATTATGTTCGGTACATGTATCATCATTAACCAATTCACTACTTGTAACAGGAATAAGTGTTAGCCAATTTTCATCCTTAAAATTGGTGTCACAAACATTGGACATTTTATTATATAAATATAGAACTTTTAACGGATATTATATAAATATAATACATCTGGTATTTTATCATATGGCTTCTTCATACCAAAAGGGCTTGTCTGCTTTAAAGATAACAGTAACTAGAATTGGGATTTATACTTTTGTTTTAAATAAAAACATTAATATAAAAATATTGCATTATCATAAAACAAAAATACGAAGATATAACTGTTTTCTTACATTAGAGTGATAATTTAATTATAATAAATCTAGGTTGGACTTAATAGGAAGCTGCTATATCAATTTATAGTTACAGTATTTTTTCTTTATCCTCTGTGCAGTAATCACAGAAATTTATTTTGAAAAATCATAATAAAATTTTTATTGGTGCCGATGAAATAGCTGTACTAATTGTAGTTAAAGAAATAAAATTAACATCTCAAATATTTTCTTTTAATAACAGCAATTTTACAAACGTTCATTTTTTATGCTAATAAGTATTTGTTTATATTAAACTGTATAATGTGCAAATTATTCAAGTTATATTTGAATAAAACAAATATTTAAGCATTTGTTGTTTTAAGATCTTTTGATTACTGTAATTAGTGAAATTTTGAACAGAAACAGGTTTAAAAATATGAATTTTTTATTTGAAAGCTATTGCTGTAACTTGCAGTCATAATATGCTAACAGTTTAGTTTTAGCACATAAAAATTTTCAGTGCTGCTGCATTAATCGAAATACTGTTTCTTAAAATAAAAATAGCATTTTGCGCATTATTTTGTCTAATATCTGCAGCTTCCAACACAGTGCTGACGTAAAATATCCTCAGTGGTAGGCGGATCATTGGCTAGAGTTCCCTTACCAACAGGCTTATTGTGGAGTTTTTTCGTAGTTTTCTCCTCTATGTAACGCAAATGTGGGTTAGTTCCATCAAAAAGTCCTCCACGAAAGCAAATTTCATCCAATGCTTAATCCAGGAGTTCTGTTGTCTTCTGGATAGGGTTCAAAATTATAAGGTTGAACATTAGTAGTTGTAAAGCGAAAAAATTGGTTCAGCTGTTCAACGACGGTTATAAAATAAAATATTTGCAGCTTAATGTCAATAGTTTATTTTGTTAGCACCCCAAAAAAAATTTCTTACTCTCCGCACCAAATAATCTGATTTGGTAGTTTTCTATTAATATAGCCTCAGACTGCATCAATTTAGTTATGGCCTAGTTTTATATGACTTTTTATTTTTGATATATTTTTAACATTTTTGCAAGATTCCTTTTTTTATTTAACAAATGGCCTTCAGTTTTTGTTGCTATCCAGTTGTCTTGTGTCTTTACAGTGCATTGACGTCTCGATGATCCTGGCCGAGGCAATTCGTCGAACCCACAATGGAGAATCTGTTTCTTACCTCTTCAGTAACGTTCCCATGTAGAAACATATTGCTTATCCATTCCTTTGACTAACAAGGTCTTCATTCCCTTATGCATGCGGTTGCAGTTACATGTGCCATAAGTTTTTTTTTATTTGTACAAATTTTAATGAAATATATTTTTTTCAAAAAGAAAATATTAAATTTCTTTTGTTTCAGTGCTAATGCTGCATATGCATGTAATCAGTGCATCCACTAATAAACTAATGTGCATGGATGGATTTTTTCAACAAACTGTGAGCTAGGCCATATCCATTTGAATTAACTTCAATTTTTTTAAAAGGAATTTTTTTTTCTCACATTTTATGAATGAATTATATTAAAACTAGTTGCGGGAAAAATGTACCATTTCCAAAGCAAAAAAACTTTAAAAACTATAAATTTTTTTTGCTATTTTTAAGAAAACAAATAGCGTATAATTTTGTACGATAGCTGTTTAAGAGCTTTTTAATTTTTTGCCCTACAGTATTCCTTCATTATTGTCATTTTATCTTTTATAAGAATAATTTTATATGACTTTGCTAGTATTGAAATTATATTATCAATCAAAATCCATTTAATGCTACTTAATAATCTTTTCTTAAAGCATTTTAAAAAATTATTTTTGAAATTTTTTATCAACTTGTAAATAAAAATAATAAATCATAAGTAAATTAAAATACGAGTAATATTATAATAGTCCTTTATATAATAAAATTTTAGCAATTGCTTTAAATGTAATTGTCGTTTAAATTAAGTATTTTTATGCTTTTCTTAATGTTTTGCATATTAGGCTTGTTCTACTTAAATGACTGAATAAATGTAATTTTTACAAGGTAAAATAGTGTTGTTTTTTCTAAAATGTTTTCTAGTCGTCAGTGTTTTTTTTTTTTTAAAGTAAAAATATTTCAACATGATGTGAAGAAAGTTTGATTTAATTTTTTGAGAATAAATCTTAATATACATTTTTGTTATATTTAAATACTAGAGAAAAAGAATTTCTAAACAATTATTAATGGATCTCTGAAATACTTCTGTGAGAAGAAAAGTATTTTTTCTCCTTAAAATGTATAATTTTCCTATACCTTCACAGAATTTAATGAAATCCATTACTGTTATCTTTACTCATGCACTGTGAATTTTCGTATTTTTAAGTATATTGCTCAGTATTTTTCTATCATGTAAGCAATACTGATGCTGAAACGACTTTTATAAAATTTCATGAATAAGACATTTTTATATTATAAATAAAGATATATAGACAGATTCCAGGAGAAGTAAATAGTAAAGAAAGTGAGAATACAAAAATAAGGCAATGAAATTATTCATTATATTAGATCCAATTTGTTCCCTGGATCTAATATTGTAGCTCCAACTCCCTATGCTCCAGTATGCTTGATTATAAGCTGGGTTGGCAAAAATCAGGATTTCTTTTCGATAAAAATTAGTTTTTTTTTTTTTTTTAAATTAAATCAGTTCACTTTTTTATCAAAATTAAATCAGTTTTTTTTTTTTTGCATTCATGAATAACTTATCTGTTAAAGACGAAGCTCTAATTAAATGTATCTTTCATTAGTCATAGCTCTGTAAAAAATTTTTTTTAATACTTAATATTACAGTATTAAAATTGAGGTACTTCTATCCTAAATTGTTATTATTAATAAGTTATTTCGAACAACAACTGAATAAATAAAAGCATAGTTGTTTCCATTGAAGCTCTATTCTATCATGAATTTCAAAGCCAGTTAGATATCTTACCTATATTAATTTAGATCTGAAAACATTAAAGAACAACTATTTTTAAAAAAATCTTGACGAAACTTGGCATTAAACTTAATGGGTTTAATAATACTATCTAAATTTAGTTTAAAAAAAATTTCTGTCTTCTTATTCTTTGGATAAAACCTCCATTCTGAATTAAAAAACAATGATTTTTAAAAAATGAAATCTATAGATTTTAATCATGCCAACCCTCATGACAGGTAGTTTTTTTTATGAGCATTGTGTAGAACAAACTGTGATAGGCTGTGTTTAATTTTTACCTTTTGTTACATTGTCTTATTCTATGTAGTACATTTTTACTATTTTTCAAAAATTAAAATTTTGTTATTGTGAATTTTTGAATTTGATACTTTTTAATAAAAATGTGATGAAACTTTTTCTACAACATTGTCTTATTTCTACGAATGACTTATTTCTATTTGTCTGTCTTTGGCAGTTATTTTATGTTTCAGTTAAATCATAACCTTTAGATTACAAACTTGTTGGTTTATGGTTTTTGTACAATGAATAATGAGACGAGCGCTATTAAAATATGTTGCGGAGTGCTCTCGTAAATGAATTTCGTTTTTATTTTTGTTTGCCATTTTATAGTTAAGAATTTTTTTAAAAAAACACAAAATGTTATTCTGACAAAATTTAATTATATATTTGTCGATGATGTCCTTTTATTTGGCAACTAAGGTAGGAATCACCTTAGCTATTTGAATCACGCAAGCACACCTACTCCAAGCACGCCTTTACTTATTAAGCGGCAGGCGCTATTTTCATTGGTATTGCAATACTTGAAAACTTATAGTGTTGCACTTACATCACAACACTGCAAAAATCAATATTCTACTCGACAATCGTTCCGTTATTTTGAGAGGAAAAAGAATGAAAAATCAGTTAATTAAAAAAAAATTCTTAATGGAAATATTTGTTGAAAATTTCACAGGATCAATTTATGAATACTATTATTAAATACATAATGCTGTATGAATTGATTTTTCAGAAGGATATTCAAGGCATGTATACTGCTCAAAATATATCTATAATGAATGCTTAAATTTACGCTTCTGCTTTAATTTACCCTATTAATATCATTTCTCCATTGAATCACATAGGAAAGCATATTACTTTTTGAAAATGATTTAAAAGGAAAATACATTTTATGCCATAAACCCTTTGATAGTTTCGTAAAAGGGTGAATTCGTAAACAAGTTCTTTCCTACACACTGTTACTAATTACATGGTTGTTACAAGTGGGTCCCCAAGCAGGGAATAATGCAAATTTCTACAGGCTAAACCATTAAAGCATTCAACTCTATATTCAATTCAATCTTTCTAAGATTAAATGTTGGGAGTGATAACCATTTGTATATAAACCCTTAATGGGTTAAATTTATAAATAATCTTATACTTTGTTAGTGATTTTTAGAACACCATTAAAACTCGCTTATTTTAAGCCTTTTTTGTACTATTTCTAATATTTTACAAAATGACCTTTTTTAAACTATAAAAGAGTACTTTAAATCTATAGGAATGAATTACTACTGATATTTTCTTCTGTTGATTTTGCTTCCAGTGTTTAGATGTCTCTCGCTTCTTTAGCGAAGCGATACGTCGCATACACAATTGTGAGCCTCTGGGTCCGATACTAAGTGATGTTCCTTACTAAGAATTGAACTTTGCAGGAATCCTAGTCATCTTCTAATTCTTAGTTATTGCAGCTTCTAACAATTGCTCTGTGAAGGTGACTGTATTAAAAAAAAAAAAAGATTCTATTTTTATGAATGCTATAGGATATAACGTTATCACAAAGAAAAGATGATTTATGGATCAATATTGTGTTACTATTTTGAAAACCACACTGAGAAAACTTATCTATGTTAACTCAAAGTTAATTGTATTTGCGTAGCTGTCAACCACACTGTATTTTACCATTTGTCTGAGAAACTCCCCTGATTTTTTGTATATTTCAGAAAAATCTGTATAATTTAGAGATTTCCTCTCAAAATAGATTTATTAAATTTATAGCTTGTTGGAGGATTTGAATAACTAATATTACTACTCATTAATGAAATTAGTCTTATTGAAAATTATTTTCAATAAAAAATTTACCATATTCTATTTGGAAACAAAATCCCAATATTTTTACAAAACTTAAGTTGTCTTTTTAACTATATTTCATTCATGAATGAATTACGACTATCTAATATGATTCAAATCTAAGGTTTTAAAAAACAAAATACCTTTAAGTTCATTTAATGTCAATCGCAAACAGATTTGTTGCTCTTGTTTAAGTTTATTTATAGTAAATAACTAATAGTCCCACTTACAGTTACATAATGGTTTCTTTTCATGTTGACAGCTGTGTATTTACCTTCATTGCAGTAGTTTTAAACGTTTATCATTTCTGAAACATTTAAGAAGCTAAGATTTTAATAAGCACACAAAATTTGTTTGTAAATTTTCTGTAAGAAATTTTAAATACTTAAAAAAAAGGATGTTTTTAATTTCGAAAAATTTTAAATTTTCTTTCATCTTTTACAATGTAAAATTTTCTAAATTTAAAAATATTTTTATTATTTTAAAAAAAAATTCATTCCAAATGTCATGAAGATGCTTTCTTTTTTTCATAGTTTATGACATACGTTTAAAATATTCATCATAAAGAAAATTTTATTCAAAACATTGGCATCATTTGAGATTCAATGGGTGGAAGAAAGTAAACTAATTCCTTTTTTTTTTTTTTGCATTCTAATTTAAATACAAACATATTTAACCTTCTTTAAGATCATAAATAGCATATTTTAATGATAGAACGAATGCCTAAATACTTAAAAAAAAATAGTGTGACAGACCCCTTAAAAAATTAAGAATCAGTACAACAGGAAGAAGTGTTTTATTAACTTTAAAAATAAACTTACTTTCTCTGGGACATAATCTTGGTTAAAGATTTGAGTACTCATTAAATCACTTGATAGTATTTTCTTGATGTTTCTGATACTAATTCCAAGCATCAATATAAATCAGTTGATTTAATTGTTCCTGATCAAAATTTGTTATTTCCAATCAATTGAAGTCGGCAATTGGAACCAATTGATTCAAACATCATTTTGTGTTTTTTGATCTCTACTCATTCTAAATTAAACAATAAAATGTTTTACCTGAACATTAAAAATAAAAGTTCTACGCTGCAGCAAACTATTAAGTATCTGCTTCTTAGTAAATGGGCATTGGAAACAAGATCTCATAGGTCTAGATAGCAATATTTAGGTTAATCCTTTTTTTTTTACTTTGTTCCCCATACCAAAACTCTTAAAAGCAAAATTTATTGCTCTCTTAGAAGAGGGTACTTAATAGTTCGCCACTAGAATGTACGGGTTCTAACTATTTTCTATCTTTACTGCATTAAAATCAATAAGAAAAGAAACAACTTCTGCTGGTGTAGTTAGTTAGTGTTAAGAGGGATTAAAAAAACTCCAATTTAAGTGCTTGTTTAAGCTTATTGCAAACTATTCTCTGCTGAAAAATTTAACAATTTCTTATTTTAAAATGTAATTTCTATTTTTTTAATATATTGACCAAATCATTTTTTTTAACAAACAGTGCAGTAACATTATTTTAAAGTAATAAAATGTGGTATAGAATGAAAGGTGTAGTCAGAAACTGATGACGTTATAGATAGTTCCTTATTGTTTTTTTTCTATAAGATTATCCATAAATGATGTCACACTTTAAGCCTGAAACCTATTTCAATCAAACAAGAATAATTTAGACTTGTCCCATTTTAAATTTATTGTTATTATTTTTTTTGTTGAAGATTTCTGCATAAAAACAAAAAAATTTTATCACCTTTTATTTTCAATTATTCAAGTTATTTGAATAATTTCCCTCAAAATATTAGGGTATAGTATTTTTTGCTGAAGATGCTTTTTCATAACAAAAGCAAAATTCCCTTTCTCTATTGATTAGTTATTCAAAGCCTGTCATCCAAGAGAAGAAAACTGGACTTCGCCATATCTTTTTAACATATTATTGACATCAAATTACATTCCTAAATTACCGAATATAATCGACGAGATATATTATCTATTCAATTTAGGGATATCATTAATATATCGTTTGTTTTCGTTATATTTGTAATTCTAACTGCAAATATATGCCAACTTCTGCGCATTTTTTTATTTTTATTTAAAGAAGTAAAACTTGTGCTTCCTATTTATTTTTTGGACTTAAAAATTTAATTTAAAATTATTTACATACAGGATTATAACTGGAAATTAAACGTATAAGTGTGCTAGACTTCGACAATGGTGTTTTTGAACTTTTAACAAAAAAATATTAAATACTGTTATAACACTTGCACAAAATTACTAGTAAAATTATTTATGTTAAGGAAATTAAAAAAAAAAAAATAATTAAATAATCCCCGTCTACATGCATAAGTTTTTAGAAAAAAAAAAAAAAAACTGGTCAACAATTAACATTTGCTGTAATATTACCAGATTTTTGCACTTTTAGCATTATTTTCATGCTTTTGCTATAGCATCATCAGTCTTGGCAAAAAGTCTTTCCGAATTTTTTCTTCAATCCTTTTGAACTATCCAAGTGTGACAGTATCAGAATAGTTCTGTTTTAAAAAATCGTTTTATACTGATTTCTTAAGAGTGTTAACTATAGTTTAGTTTATTGATTTGTTTGTTTTTTTCCGGATCAGATCAGTGCAAAATTATAATAAGTTTAAATAGAGCTTGATAAAGATTTAATGATATAAATTTTTATTGCTGGGTGTGTCAGAAACATGATTTATAAATTGTTTCCAAAATGTAGTTACATTTTTATCTCTGTGTTTACTATGAAATAATTCTAAAATGTATGCAAAAACTAAAATATTTTGTTACGAAGCAGAAATATTTTTTAAAAAAAATTTGTTATTTTTTTATAGACTTACTAGCACAATTGATACCTAAGAATTAAATCTTAATACTAAAATGTTAGGACCGTTTAATATTATAGTCTGTGATAGCAGAACATATATGTTGTTTTAAAATTTATTTTTTTGAATAATGAATTATTCAATTTCTGTTGTAAAATTCTGTGTAGTAAATATAATTTATATCCAAGTATAATCAGGTTTAAGTAAGATCAGAGCAGGGTCTTTATCCGATCTCAGAATTTCATTTTGTGTGAGTGCAATTATAAGATCCAGCTTTTCTTAACTATATTTGATTCACGGTTATTTCTCAACTGGTTTTAAACTTGATATATTTCATTAAAATTTTGTAAATTAATGTATTTACATGATTAAAGATAGGTTTGAAACAAGCAAGTTTCAAACCTACCTAATGAAAAAACTTGCTCATGAGAATTGTCCGCATGTTATTCTTAGTTTTCAAAATGATCAACTTGACTAAATTGCCTTTTGTAAATATTATACATAGTTTTACAAGATAATAAAATTGATTTTAAACTGAATGTATTTGTCTTCTTTGGAAGGGGAAATTTCTTACCTGCACTATTATACATAGTTTCACAAGATAATGAAATTGATTTTAAACTGAATGTATTTGTCTTCTTTGAAAGGGAAAATTTCTTACCTGCACTATTTTACATAGTTTCACAAGATAATAAAATTCATTTTAAACTGAATGTATTTGTCTTCTTTGGAAGGGAAAATTTCTTACCTGCACTGTGTCCCATATTTTTGCTCTTTATGTATATCATTCAAATCCTTTCCAGAAATCGAGTAAAAAATATACAAATTTAAGAATCTGTTATTTATGCGTGGGAAAAATACAGTGACAAAACAAATGATAAATCATTATTGAAACCTATTTTAGTGTCCAAGAAAAATAATAGAAAGTGGAACAATAATTAGTAACATTTCTATGTTTTATCCAAAAATCAAACTGTTTCTAAATCTGTCTTTCTCAAATAGATTCATCAAATTGTGACAATGATCTTAAACTATTAAATGATTATGGAGCAACCTGTATACAATAATATATATATATGAGTATAATCCGTCAAAGTGGAATAACGTAAAATCTAGTTGAAATTTTTTTTTAAATTGACAGATGAACTACGTACTAGAAAAAATTTGTAATACATGTTTTTTTTTAACATACTATTTCAACAATATCACTCTCAAAACTTACTATTGTTTGCAAATTTGCTTTATTGTTTACATTCGCAAAATTTTCAGAGTTTTTATGCTTTCAAACTCTTGATCAGTTGTGGTTATGTCCTCCAATATTTTTTGATCCTCATCGTTTTCATCTGGAGCAAGCATTGTATCAGATATTGAAGGGAAAAGTAATTGGATATGTGTTGCAGTCAATATATGCATCCAGACATGCCATTTTATTCCAAACGGCCCCTTTGATAATTGATAATGAGAAGCAATTAACTCCGAGAAGCTTTATTAAACCCATTTGTGAGACAACACTGCCCAACGCTATGGAAATCAAATGTAGAGCTTCCAGAACATTTATTTTTGCTTCAGAGACATTTTGCAGGTTATCGGAATCCAGAAAAAGAAATGATTACCCAGCCATTAGTTTTACATTCTTTGAATGATTGGATAATTACAAGATTCTATGCTTGAAGTTTGCTGGAAAAAATTACACTTGAAAATTTTACAATTTAAGCTCCCACACTCGCTTTAGCAACTTTTCCATTTGCTTTGGCCGTTTCACCACCTTTCTGATTCTCACTCAGAAAGAATAGAAAGTTGGTCGAAAAAGCAAATAAACAATTCGTAAGTTATTTTTAGGAAAAAAAAAGAAAAGGATTGTGCGAGCTTTGCTGAGGAAAAATTATTTTAATCTATTAGAAAAACGTATAAAGCGGGATTAAAAAGGGAAACGTAAAATCTGGGATAATTAATCATGATCGGTATGGGTAATTTTCAAGGACCAGCAGGAAATGTCGTAGGAAACAGGATAAAGTACAAAACAAACAATGTACAACCGGGTTCTACTGTATATAGTAAAGCATTCCTTCAACAAATCACTATGGGCGAAGGAGATTAAGTGACCAACAGCATGAGTGGGGTAAAGTGTTACACACAGGCTGCTTTTAATTCCCGAACAAGCTTATCCGATGTAGAACTGAGAATCTAACCCCAGACCTTTAAAAATGTCCTTTTTTTCTATTAGGGTGTTTATTCAATTTCACTATTTGTCCGGATTAGTTGTATTCCTTTGCTCCTTACTTGAATAAACCATTTGTACAAAGCAATATCAAACTCTGAATCGTTAGCTGATTTTATTGTTCTACAAAGGTGATTCTTTTGGTTTATATCTTTTGCAAGCTTCTTTGGCTTTCTGCTGATATTATTTATACTGTGACAAAAATTCTATCAAGAATTTTTTATGTTTATTCCATAGAGAGTTTTTGCAACAGTGGACGCCTTGATGGTCCAAGCGAAACTACAGTAGCAAAAATAAAAAGGCAGATAAAACAACAATTACCACTTTCCAGGCTTGTAAGCAAAACCAATAAAATTAACTTCACCATCAAACAAAACACGAGCTATTCACATTAAATGGTCAATTCTATATGCTCATTCATTTCAAAGTTGATTATTTCAAAAGTCTCTTGAATAAACTGAATAACAACAGAATAAGCTTGAATAAACAGAGTAATGGAAAATCTGGTGATAAATTAGGGCCCAATAGAAAAAGAAGATTAAAAGGGCTTCACAGAATATTTTTATAAGTATTATTCTAGCAAAGTGCAGCAAGGTTTTTAGTTATGTAGACAGTAAATTCAGGAGGAAAAAAAACACATCCAATAAAATTTATTACAATAACTTTTCATCCAATGAACAGAATTTCATTTACTAACAGTGTGAGGGATTCACTTTAAATAAAATAAACAATTAGCACCAAAGTCGCTTTTTAGTAAAAGAATCAGATACAAAACTCAGTTTAGACATAAACATAATGATGGGAGCATAAATATATAAATCTTTTACAAATGTAACATTATTAAAAATCAGGTGGGAATGTAAATATAGTGCATTTTTTATAAAGTTTGTGTATCATACATTACAAAAGAAGAAAAACTGCCTTTTTTTATGCAAATAACAATATGAAATTTTGAAAAAGTAAATAACTTAAAAAATAAGAGTTGTTCATCAAGACAAACCAAATCCTTTAAAATATTCGATAGATTTCAAAAGTCTGTCTTTTAACTTTTCTTTTGCGGAATATTCAGGAAGAAGTAACACGTTGCAACATGTATGAGCAGTTGGTAGCCTGAAAAAAAATTCAAGAACAGTAATATGAAAAAATAAGTAGACATAAATAATACTGATACTGAACACCTACTGTTTTTATTGAACAACTTTTTTTTCTTAAAAAAGTTTCAGTTTTATTTTTTTTTTAAATTCTGCCACAAAACTAAATTTTGCCTCATAACTTAGTATTTAAGTTCCATTTTGCTAAGTTCTTTATTACCAGAGGTGCAGTGGTCCAGAATGCACCAGTAAGATGTTTTGGTGTGGTTACAAGATTTCAAAGTACATTTTATTAATTTTCACTTCATAATTTTTTTACTAATAATTTTTTTTTTGCCTAACTCACTCGTTATACCAACAAATTAACAGATGTCTTTGCTAATGTGTTAAGTTTGAAAGCAATTGCACTAGATTATGTCAATTAAAAAATTAACCACCTATGTAACCTACGTTTCTGTTTTTAAACAACTATGATATTTTATTCCTTATAACTGTTTTTAGGAATAATGGTTGAATAAGAGGAAAATATTAACTTAGATAATTTTTTCAAATGCTTTAAGGTGCATAAGTTTTATTAATAAATAGTTCATATATCTGAAAGCTACTATATGTGGTAAATTGCAAATTGATTTTTAAAGAAGAATGGGTAAAAATGAATACAAATATTTCAAACTGATTTTAATGAGTAAACGATGAGAAAAAATAGCAGCTACAGTAAAATAAAAATAAGGTAACTTAAGTAAATGAATAAAAAACTAAATTAATTCAAATGATTTGATTCAAATATTATCTTAGATAATTATAGATTTTTCCTTCCTTCCCCTAGATAAGATGACTTGTGTCCTTGTAAAAAAATGTTAAACACTACAAAAATGTTTAGCACATATTATTAACTTACATAGCTTTTTTTAGCTTTCAAACACTTGTAAAAAAATTTGTTTTATTCTATGAGTTTATTTTGGGACTTTTCCTTGTTAAAAGAACATTTTTATTAAGATTAAAAATCAGCTTTAGACTCTAAAAAAGTATCAGCAGAAGACTGTTAACAAACTTTTTTTTCTCTGGAAACCTCACTATTTAATTATTAGGTAAATTGAATTAACTCTATGAGAGTATAGTTTTAGAAAACTATTGCTTGTTAGTAGAAGAACGTTTCAAGTGAGATTTTAGAAAAATCAGCTTTAGACTGCATAAAAGCACCAGAAGGCAGTTTACAAAATTTCCTTCCACTAGAAACCTTAATTGAGCAAAATTTCTTAGTGGTAACATTGGCCTTAGTTAAAAATATATATGTGAGAGTTATTATTGACCATCATCCTTTATTCATTCACTGTTGCACGGTGCCAGACTGTCTTGAAGGAAAAAAGTTCCGGAATACTTTATTAATTGTTCATTATTTCTTTAGAACTATCTATTTTTAGTCAGTCTTTGTCTGCAATGTTGCATGTAGGCAGCTCTGTGCTATTGATGTCTTTATTAACACTTTTTCTTTTCTTTTTCTATTAAAATTGTTACGTTTAATTGCTAAATTAATTATTGTCTTTTTTCCTTCCACACATGCCCCACAAATCACTACATATATATATTTAAATGACTGGTAATTATTCATATGTAAAATATGACTCATGGAAAATACAAGTGGAAATTTTTTTATGCTATTATATAGCATAACTGTATAGATTATGAGTCACAACAAATATTATAATTTTCCTTCTCCCGTTTGCAAATTTTAGACTTTTTAGAGTTATTTAAATACTCTTCACGAGTAGTATTTTTAAAGAAACTTTTTAGTTAGTGCTATAGAGTTCGAATGTGCTGGAAAATTGTCATAATTTAGTTTCAGCCAATATTATTTTACAGGGAGTTTACTTTATGTGTTACCGCCAATGTAAGAAATATGGCAAACTTTAGAATAGCTATTCCTTGTATAGAATGCTTAAAACTGGCAAGCTAAGTAGGAAATGATTAATATTGTTTGGCCACTCAATGAAATAACTACAATAGAAAACCAACAGGCATTCTATAGAATAATCTAATTATATAATGATTCTAATATTTCACACTTTGCCTCAACATTGATTATGAAACGCCTAGGCATTCTGTACAACAACTGGGCGAAATGAATATTTCTCATATTTCATACTTCACATAGAGAGCTTTTATCATTCTACAGAAAACCAAAACATTCTATACAATGACTAAGTTAATTATCTCATAATGTGCCTAATGATTTTCATATTCCACACTTTGCCTAAAGAATATTTGCCATTCTATAAAGCCCAAGGCATCCCATATGATTACTAAGGCATTTCTTTAAAAGTTATTTATTATTTCTCAAATTTCATACTTTGACTAAAAACTTGAGCCATTCAGTAGAATACTGCCATTTTTTTACATTGACAAAAACATATACACTTAAAGCATATCCTTTTATTATTTTGTTAATTATCAATTCTATTTTGGTAATTGGTCATCTGATTTTGTAATTCTATTTGTTTGAAACTCATGCTCTTCAGTTAAGTTGGAAAGGAACTAGCATTTTAATAAATACTTGCAGCACAATTTGACTCGTTCTTATGTGTAATTTATTTAAATATCATGCTTACCTGTCAGTATCATCACCATTCCTAACTATGACCATTTTCAATTTACTCAACCCACCTACAGGAACTCTATCACTACCTGTAGTAAACTGAAGAAGCTTTCGTTTTTGTTCCAGAGATAAATGGTGAACTATTTCCCAAAACCACCTGTCAAAACAAGAAACATATAAAAAAAAATATTGTAATTCATGCAATAACAGACATCTGATTCTCTCCTCAGCTATCTCAGAATTGTAGGTAATATCATAAAAAGTAATGTGTTCTTACTTTATTACAGGTGACTCAGACCAATAGCCACAATCATATTTGGTTGCTTTTTCTAATGCACTAAAATCAAAATCCTGCAGAAGAAAAAAATTAACAGATTAAATTCATAAGAAACATATGTATTTTTAAGAAAAAATGAAATCATCTAATTCAAGTAGTTGATAATAATTTTTCAAAAACAATTAATAACTTATAAAATATTTTAACCATTTGTCTGTTCTTAAGTTCAAATAACACTTTATAGCACGATGGTATATGTAGATTAAATTAATAACTTCGCAAGATTCTAAGTATGTAACTTAAATTTTCGTTTTTTTTCCCTTTGTGAAAGAGCTTTAAAAAAACATCCTTAAATCATAGGCAGCAGCAGTAGTTAAAATTAATGTTTTTTATTAAAAGTATGGGAAGAAAATGTTTTTTCAGCGAGCTCAGTATTAGTGAAAGATAACAAGTATTTGACTGCTTTCGAGCTTAGGGCTTGATATTTAGTTTCATTCAGAAATTTATGACATCTTTAGAATTGCTTTTCAGATTAGTATCAGGCAAAGTATCAATTGACATATCGTTTTCTATCTTTTTAACAAATTGGTAAAAGGCTAGTCCATTGATAGGGTTAAAAACTTAGTTTTCAGTATTTTCAGCAATCTGCTTCAGCTGAAAAAACACCTAGAAACCCTTTTAAATGTAGAAATAAAAAGTTCTACTACAAAATTCCATTAATTTTTTGATATTATTTCATTTAAGGGAATTTTATTATGTACTCTTATCTAATAAATCCTATATGCCTTTACTTACCAAGATTTTCACAAATCCTCAGCTGCGTACTATAGGTTAGTAACCAAGGCTTAAGAGAGATTTAATTTTTTTCTTACAACTCACATTTCTTTAAAAGAACACATAATTTTAAATATTTTTATGATTTCAATAACTTGTTTCAGCTGTTAAATTTGTACTATAGCAAATTTCTATTTATAGCACCTTGCATTCAACATAAGCAATCAAAAATGAATAAAGTAAAGCCTACTAACGCTATGCCCCCCCCCCAAATACTCCATTATTAGTAATACAGAAATAAAAAAACTTAAAACCAACAATACCTTATCACCACAAATAATAACTTCCAACTCTTCTGGCCTGAAAAGTGTGTATAATAAACTGTCTTTCGTCACCATCTCAAAACCTTTTTTAAATGCTTCAAACTGTTCAGAAATTGATTTGTTGAGCAAAAAATCAGAATACAAGCGAACAAACTCCTAAATAAAGATAAAAAAATAAGTGGCACTAAAATTTGCAGATAAAAAATTATATTTTATTTAAAATAAAATAACATTGCTACAAACCTTTTTGTTGTCTTGGTTTACTAAAAGATCATCCCCTTCCTTTAAATTATGAGTCAACAGTGTTCCAAAGACATCGGTATATGTTATACAATAGGACTGCATGAAAACATCTTCCAAATCATCACTAGTATAAGCTAATAAATCATTCAGTCCCTTCCATAGGCTCTTAAAATTAAAAAACTAAATAAAAATATATATTTGCAACAAACTTAACCAGGGTTCATAGCCAAATTTTTCAACCAAAAATAAGCATCTTTTAAATACTTTTTAAACACTTAAAAAATATTTTTAAGCACTAAATACATTAACAAAATGTAAAACAATTTTCAAAGACTTTACATGATCATGATAAAATAACTAGTTTCTGACAAAGAACGCTTTTCTTGATTATATTAGCCAGCATAGAAAGATCAAAAGATGTTTCAGAGAGAGGAAAATGAAGCCTGAAATTAAGAATATCTTGCAAAATGCAGCAGAGTTGCACATAAAAGTGTAAACCCAGCTCAGTATAGGCACATGCGAACCTGCAAGTATTTCATAAAATATGTAAAGTGATTGGAGCTTTCACACGCTATGAACCCACTGTACACCAAAATGCATTGCGTTTGAATGAATTGTGAAAACATTGAACAGGTTTAAAAATAAGTTTTCCAACCAATGGTTTTTAACTTTCTATCATTTCCAAAGTTTACTAAGATATAAAAATAAAAAAATCTGAGTTGGCATTTTTGCCCTTAGCTCATGCAATTAGTTCCTTCTTGAAAGTAAGAAAAACAACTATAATGCAAGTTTGAACAATAAAATTAACTTACAGGATTCCAGTCTTTCAAATCATGAAATGTTCCTTTTTTCCCCATTAGTTTCCTATAGACAATCATTGGAAAATGAACATCTAAGATGATATTGTTATAAATGGCTAATCCCAAAATTATTCCTATTAAAACAAACTGTTCCTCACTTTCAAATGTTGTTGGATTAAACCAGTAAGTTTGTGTCTCTGGATTGAAAGTAAACATTGCTATAGAAAAAAAAATAGTTTAAATTGTTTATTAGAATTAGAGAAAGTTGTTTATGTAAAAAATATACAGATACATTAAAAATATAGAAAGAAACAATGCAAGTTTTTTAAATGATTGATTCTATTAAATGAGTCTTCTTGGAAATGTTTCTTTAATATCCAAATTAAAAATTTTTATTTCTAAATACACAAGTTTCTGTTTCCATAAATGCAACAACTTTCCTATGCAAACCCTATCAGAACAACATTGGATTTTTTTCTGTTGTTAGTATTAGATGGTTTTGTATGTCAAATTTACTAATAATACAGATAAAAGAAAATATTTTATTATTACCCATGAAAAGCATTTTTTCCATTTAAATATAAATAAATGAAGTTAGCCAGGTTATTTTCTGAATAATGGCAAATTCATAAAATAATTGTAGGAAATCTATTTTTTAAAAATACTTTTTTACTCTTATTTTCAATTATTACTTTGGCATCGTTTAATCATTTACACAAAAAAAGCAAAGTGGTTAGAATTTTAGAATGTCTTAACACAGTTTAAAAAAAATCACATTTACAATTTATTTTACTAACATTAAATTGGTAAAAATTTAACATTAAAATGGTTAGCATTGCCCACAAGCAACCTTAAACTCCCAACCAAGCTGATAACTGTCGATCTGAAGCAAGTACACTCCGAGCTTCTAACTCTAGTCCTTCACAATAGAGCTCAATATTTTTACCCACTGAGCTCAATATTTTTGTTCACATGAGTAATTATTGGCACCTTTTCTGTAAGCTGTATTCATGATGTTTCAAATTTTAACTTACAATTAACTGACAATTTTAACTTACAAAACCAATTTGGAAAAAATACGACAAAGGGAAAGTCACCTAAGAGGTAAGGAAAAACATATAAGTTTTATCACAGTAATCAGAATTAAATTGAATGTGCAAAAGACATACTGCACCAAAGTATTCCTTTTAATATCAAGCGAAAAGTAAATTATAATAAAATAAAGCACTTTCACACCAGCCAATTACTGGGCATGGAAGTTAAAGATCCGCAATTTAAAAAGTAACAGCATGATAGCAGTGCAGATCAGCATGATAGCAGATCAGCTTTTACTACAGACTAAGTTGGTACTCATTAATCAGCAGGTAGGTAGTCTTGAACAGAACACCTATTCCACACAATGACAGCTCAGTACCGTAACCACTATGCCAACGCAACTCAAATTACAACACTTAACAGAATAAATATAGCTATAAATTAGTTAAACAAATAATAATTAATCTAAAATATTGAAATCTCTGAAAAATATTTTAGTAGTACTAAACTAGCTATGATGGGATGGTGGTTAACCCTTTCAACCCGAATGGGATATATATGTCCCAAAGATTAAACTTTTCTCCCTAATGGATAAAAAGATCCCAATTTTGCATGGGTTTTTATCATGGGTCTAGTCATTAGGGAATAAAAATACAACTAAAGAAACTTGGCAACACTCTCATATTCAAAATGAGGAACTCCTGCTTGTGAACACGTCAGTCAATATTGTTTTAACTTACGTATTTTCTGAATTTTGAGGTAAGTACAACTATGTTTTAGCCATATTTTGTGTAAAATAGTTATGTTTGTTCTTATTAAGTAATAATTGTACCTATTTAGTATCAGATACAGAAATTAGGAAACATTTTGTTTTGTAGGATATATTGTCTATTGTCTCAATCGTACTTACCATTGTGATATATATGTCAATCGTACTTACCAGTGGGACAATATTCCCCATTAGTGATAAAAATATTACAAGACAAAATTTTAGTTTTTGTTCTAACTTTTATAACTGCTTTGGTGATAATGGCAACTTCTGGTTTCCACAACTTTTAGTAAGAATAAATAATTTGATGTATTTATATTATTTTTATTATTTATTCCCATGCAATATATAGGTATTTTTACAATATTCAAGATGATTGGGACATATTGTCCCAGGAGAATTCCAGGAAAAGTGGAAAACTTTAAACTCATAGCATACTTATTTTAATATGTCAGCTTTAACATAAACTGCTTTGCATACTTAAATTTTAATTATGCAAAAATCGGGTTGAAAAGGTTAAACCACAGAGTTGTCATTGTCTGAGGTTCTATCCTTAATGGAAGCTTGAAACCCACCCAGTTTCAGCTTGAAGCGTCTAGCCTGAAAAGAAAAGGTGGCTGGTGTGCAATGCTGACCACCATCAACACCTTAACCTTTTGTTTTCCATTTGGGGAGTAACTCACTATAGTGGCCGTACATAAATCAATTGTAATAGTTTAAACACAAAGAAATTTGTTAAATTAAGAGTATCAAACTTAAAATAAGTCCATTATTTGATAACAAAATACTTTCAGGTTTCAAAAATTCATAATAAAAGCAATTGGTATGCATAAAGTAGCATAATTAAGTACTAATTAAAAATTAATGAAGAATGTTATACCTTACCAAAATCAGCATTAAATATTTCTTGCACAATTAACTGAAAAAATTCTTTAGACACTCCTCCAGCATCAACTCCCAGTTCACCATCAAACTCAACAACAAGTTTTTTCTTAAAATGAGTTGGACTTTCCATAGCCACCATTTTCAACTGCAATAAAGTTTTAAACTTTTTACATAAAGACCTGCACAGCATTTCAAATTCAACTTATTTTCTAGTTTCAACATTTCTGAAACTTTTTAAGCGTAACCCCAAATATTATAAGTGTAACCCTACAGATCTGTAAAAACAAATATTTTTTTAAAAAAGAAAAAGTTAAATAGAAACCAAAACATAAATCATTCTTAATTTTTAAATGAAAGATTTAATGCTAAAAATCTCAGATTTAACTTTTTCTCATTGCCGCATTTTTAGAAAAAAGTGACTATAAAAATAATATTAAAAAAAACGTTCCTTAGATACTTCATAATAAAAATGTTGATAAAAAGAAAAGTTAATAAAAAAAGCTTAAGAGAAAACCAAAAAAAAAAATTTCTTAGTTTTGAATTATAATTTTAACGTTGAGAATCACAGTTTTCTATGTTATCGGTCATCTCTCTAACCATACAGGAAAAAAGTGACACCAAAAAAATAAAGTTTATTGGAAACACTCCATTAAAATGTTGCACTATAGTTAATACAGAAAAACAAGTAAAAATAAAACAACTCTAAAAAATTCAATATTTAAAACATAAAGTGTCGAAAAAAAAACTACAAAATTGACTTGCTTGAATAAAATTTAAAAAAAATTCAATACAAAACTCATGGTTCAATATAAAGTAATCTAGTTTCAATTCTTCAAATTTTGAGAAGATAAATTAACACGTTTCAGAATTTAAGAAATATGTGTAAAAACAATTAAATAATGTGTGGTAAGAAATATGATTTTTGAATTATTCTTTCTTAAATCTATTGGAATTCCCCCTCCCCCCCAAAAAAACTTTTCAAATAATACTTTACCGAATATTCAGCAAAAGGACTGAATACGGAATAGTGGTCGAATATTAGTTACATTCCTGATTTAATAGTAAAGTGATTGGCGTTGATTCAAAATTGGCTACATACTCTTTATCTGGAATTTATACTTTTTTATCATTAAAGTAAACACGGCATAATGAAGATTCTGACTTGTGTGGTAAAAAATGTTTTACCTTGGAATCCTACAATACTATTTTACAAATTCAGAGTTGATTAGAGAAAATTAAAATCCCAAATAATAAATTACTGATTGAAGGATCTTTTCAAACCCGCAACTTAAAAAAAAAAATTAATTACAAAAAAAGATCATAAAGTTGATGGTTTTACAACATTAAAATAAACACTCATAATGTAGACTCGTAATGTCAGTGAGATTAAAATTAATAGGGTGAATAACAATTTCATAAATTGAGATTATAAAAAAGAATGTACAAACCCCAACCAATGCATCGTCAATTAAATGATCTCGTCGAACCCACAACTTCAAAACAGAATTATCAGGGCCATCAAGTTGACGCATGCCGCGCATGTGTACTCTGTTATCATAACATAAACCAAGTGCTTTTACTTCTGGCGTTAATATGAAAGAAAGTTCTAGAGGATTTCCTACAAAAGCAAAATCCTTGTCCATTTCAAGATGTTTACTAAGAAGTTCATGGTAAAATTCATTAAAGTGTAAAAGAGGTTTCAAACAATCCATTGCTTTAATATTGAGTTCAACACTGAGGGGATCCTCACTTAACTCATAATTTTTTCCAGGTTCATAATCAGCATTAGCAAGAAATAATCCTGACTCATTTTGATGTCTTCCGACCAGTTCATTATTTGCATCTGTTAATTCCCGATCCTCCACCAATTCAATATCATTACTCAATGATTCCACATCTTGATCACCTTCCACCAACTCATTATTATCATCGTCTTCTTTTTCTCCCAATTTATTTTCAAATAGTGTTTCCTGTTCCTTATCTTTTTTTACCAATTTATTATTTTCAAGTAATGATTCCTGTTCTTTACCTTTTTCAATCAATTCATTATCTTTACCCGTTAATTCTTCATCTTCAACCTCACCACCAAGCAAACTAGCATAAAATATTATTTTCATAAGCTTTGTGATACCAATAATCATGTCTTTATTATTTAAACAGTACTGTCTCCTAAACCAACCCTGAATGACACCATGAGATACTAACTGGTGAACTGCATTTAACATTTCGCGCAAACAATCAGGTTGGCAAGTGCTCCAAATACGAGCAAGAGCAGCTTGGCTCTTTACTGATAAATAAGAGGCAGCTTTGCAAAAAACTGGTAAGACATCTTCTAAATAATCAATGTATTGCATCATTGGAATCTCCATAACAAATACAAAGACATTTAAAATAAATTGAGAGGTGGTATCCTCTTGACAAGACTTTAGGTGCAACAGTACATTTTCTGCTAAAATTATCAGAGCATTTATTAGTGACTTATGAAATTCATAAATTTGTACTTGAAAAAGAGCATTAAAAGTTTGCCTCAATTGTAAAATTTGAAAACTATCATTAAAGTCATCTTTTTTGTTATGCTTTAAATCATCATCACACTTTAAATCTATATCTTGTAGCAAAATTGCAAAAGCTTTTTTCAACGCCTTTTGGAATTCCCAGACTGGAATTTTCAAGAGTTCATGAAAAGCTTGTCTCACTGAATTAATGTCAAAAGTTTTATCACTAGAGTTTTCCAAACACTCCGTTGATGAATTTTCATTAACTTCCATAACTTATTTTGAGAAATCTAATCGAAAAAATTCATTTTTCTTCATTCTAAAAATAAAGTTTCAAAAGTAGCTAATCCTCTATTAGTTGACTTGATTAGCATCCATCCATATCAAAACATCTGAAAATAAAACTGACTTATAATTAAATGAGAATGAATTATTTTAATTTAACATTAATATTTTTTTGTATTTCAGTATTTTAATAAAAATTGCACCAAGCTAACAAATTATAATTTTGCTGTTTTACTCACCAAGCTTTTAAAGCAATGAGAAATTTAACAGTAGGGTAATTCTACGGTTACTCTTCTTGCTTACATTGTGGGGTTGTACATTTATTTACTTTTACTTATGAGCATTTTATTTTAAACTGAAAAGTTTATTTTAGTAAATAACAAAGAAGAATATCTACTTTATATTTATGCAAGGAAAATTTGATACATTTTAATAAGTTAATAGAATGGTAAATTTAAAATATGGTTACCCTTCTTACCCGAAAAGAACATGAGACATTTACAAATTTGAATCAATGATTATATTATCTAAATAATATAATAAAATATTATTTTAAATTATTTCAAGAAAGAAAGGTCAACTTATTAAATGACAGCCTTAAAAAGTTTTAAATACAAATACATTACTTATTATGAGAAAAATGCATGGTTACTCTTGTTACATACTTTTTAGAAAATTGGATAAGAAATTTACCAAGCATGTTATAAACGTAAATATATACTTATTTTATTCATGTATTTATTGCATTTCTTTAAAGGAAGAAGGATTCCTAGAATAAACAGATATAAAATTATTTTCTTTTTTTTTTTACAATTCTATACCTTTTATAAAATATTTTGTCTTGATTTTTAAGCAATTTTTATTTTTTTGCTTGCAGGAATTCACATAGTTACTAAACTTTAAAAAAAGTTATAGATTCAAACGTCATTTTCTCACAAACTATTTGACTGATTTTGCTTAAATTTTGAATTTTACTATATAAAATTACATTCTTTAAAGTGATGTAAAGTTTTTATATCTTACAATTCAAAAATTTTCCACTACAATTAAATAAAAGAATAAATAATCATTAGAAATTATATTTTGCATTGAATTATCTTTAATTGTATGAATTTTATATTTGTGTGCAAAAACTTTCTGATTCTCTCAATAAATTCTTGAAATAAGGTGAAGCACGTAAAAAGTAAAATTAATACTAATTAATCCAAACTTTGGACCCCTTCCATAATTATGAGGGTCAGGAATCTGAATCTGCCGTAAAGAAGAAAGCTGTGTTTATTCATCCGTTTTTGTGTCTGATTTTGTAATTTAAAATGATGGCTGCACATATTAATTTGCATATTTAATTTCTTTTTCTTTTCTGTGCACTGTACTTACTAAATTTAAAAAGTTTGGTGTTATTAAATTTGTTCTTAGCATATAGAATTTCTACAAAATTATTCTCTGCAACAAGCATGTGTTGAACTGATCAATAATTTGTGTTAAGTTAATTTGAATATAAGAATTTGAATCTATAGCATACATTATGTATATGCTATTTTACTAAAACCTTCAAACTTCTTGTAGCTATTGCAGAAAACAAAATTACTCAATAAACAAAAATTTTTTTTGTAGCTCTAGTTTCAAAAACTAAGAAGTTACTCTTGCTACAAAATTAAATTTAGAATAACTGCAAAAAATTGTATGAATCAATTTCAAATCATTGGACATTGTACAAATCATTGGCAAATACATAAGTAGCATATCCATAAAGAGATTTTTGATTTTTTTAAAAAATATTTCTAGTTTAGAATAAATTAACCATTTTTATCTCATTAGTACCTATTTTTTTTAAATCATTTTTACTTTGTTAACAGAATAAAGGATACTTACTAATATTCTAAAAAATACATTATTTAAACAAACAAAATTACTAATATTATTATATGCTGTACAGATGTTTATGGATCGAAGTAACCTCGATAATTGTGGTACCGGCGGAGGAATTTACACCAAATGGTAACAACATACAATAAAAAACACAAAGGAAGAACCCTGACCACCATTTTGTTTTTCAAAGTGAGATCATAACAGTGAATGACCACCTTGACCCGATAATGATGCACACTCACAAAAATGATACATAGACCCTCCATCCAACACACGTCAGTTGGAGAAGCCAGATGGAAAAGATCGGAACAAAAAACATTAAAAAGCTGAAAGACCTCAGCTTATCCCATGAGATCTATCCTCGGTAGATTTCCTAACATATTGACATGGAGGGTAATGAGACTGCAGCCTCCTTAGCCAAAGTGGATGATTCCATGATGTCTTCTGATCCTCTAACTTACACAGACCTTTTCTCCAAAATAAAACACAATGCCAACACTGCCTGGCGTGTTCTTTTAGTACATCATTGGCACAGAAGATACTGCCTGAGAGGCTCTTTCAGCCATAATTGAGACAGACTACCATTACTTGTCTTATCAGTGGCCACATTAGATTTATGACGTATTGAGGAAGCTTTGAAACATGCTGTAAATGCTTGTTCACATTCTTGACTGCTTAATGCTTTTTGAGACCTTCCGGGCCATCCTTTGTGGGTCCTTGACTTTCCTAGGGTGAACTCTGTTATAAACTGGGATAAGCAACAAGAAAATTACCATATGAATTGGTGTTTGAAAATTGGCATTGAAATACATAAATTTTTGGTATGAAAAAGTATTTTCATGAAAAAATATTTCATACATTAACATATTAACAAAGAGTATTTTCATACCAAAAATGTTATATAAATATTTACACTATTTCATTTACCAAAAAAAAAAAAAAAAAAAAAAAAAAAAAAAAAAAAAAAAAAAAAAAAAAAAAAANAAAAAAAAATACAGAATTTTTTTTTTAGTTGAGTTTTTTTGTACTTTTAATTGAAAAATTCTATAGAATATGTCAATTTAATTTCAAGAAATAAATGCTTCCACTATGTCCTACTTCCTGTGAATTGCCGAGTAACTTAATTAGAGACAATGGTTACGTAATAAATGTGATAATGTTAACAATCTTTATTTGTTAAAATATATTAATATATTAGCAAAAACCTCAACATAAACAATAAGTATTAGTTCATAAGAAAAAGAAATCGGTGAGTTAGCATCATACAATATCCTAGGGAAAAAAAGTTTAAGATAAGTTATCAATAAATATTATAATAAGAAAAATAATTAAGTGGAATTGATGTAATAGTGTATAGTGATCTAATACCACATTTCCTTAGGGGTCCAATAGAAGTTAAATAATAGAATTTAAAAAACATTAAACTTTGTCAAATAAAAAACTATCTTGATGAAACATAAGCACTTGAAACATTTTTTTATGGAACAATAATTTAAAACAGTTTTAGAAACTTTAAATTATTACAGAACATGTAGATATCATTTACAAACTAAAACATAATATTAATTTTAATGTACTAAACTTATTTCAAATCACCTTTTAATAATATTTTGTTGTATGTACAGGGTGCATAGCCAAATCTTTGAATAAAAAATAAGCACTTTTTAAAAACTTTTCAAGCACTTTACAAAAATTTTTAAGCACTCAAAAAATCCAAATTCAATCAATGATATTATTGAAAAACAAAAACTTTTTATAAACAGTTTTAGCGTTAAAAAACCCCCAAAAAGAAACGGGCGTAAATCGAAACAATCAGTACTTTCCCACATCACCGAGTGAATTCAACTTGACCCTGAACTCAGAACAAAAGTACCCTTACCCCCTACGTCAAAAAAAGTGTTAGAAGTAAAATAAAATAAACAAGAATAAAATTAAAATAAATTAAAAAGAAAAACATTTCATAAGGATCTGATATTCTCTATCCGAATTGGAGCACTCGGGTTTCGGTTTCAAGTGTGCGCGCATGCGCAAGTCATAACGTGGGTACGACATGAAGTCCGCAAGAATGATCACGTAGCAAACTCCCTATTTTTCGTGAAATGCATGAGATCCACCAGATATTACTGAAGGGAAGAGAAAAATTATTCGGAAAAAAAAAAGCACTTTTTAAAAACGCCAGCTGAAAAAAGCACCTTTAAAAGCTTTTAAAAACGAAATCCCCCAAAAAGCACCTTTAAGTACTTTTTATAAACGCTACGCACCCTGATGTATTTAAAATAGGTTTAATAATAATAGTTCCAATTTATTTTTTCTACTTTAAACAAATAAAATTACTCCTACTTTTCTGATGATCATTCAGAAAAATTTAATTCTTAGAAAATTATTTTTCACACATAATTTAAACTAGGTGCAGGAGCTAAAAATTTACACCATATTTGAAAGATTACTATTTTGTTAAATCTATTTAGAAACTAAAATATCTAATGTAGACTTTAAAAAATAATACTTATTTTCTGTTATTGTTTGATCTTTGTACAATAATTAGAGTAATATAAGTAAGGTTGCGGTGGTAAAGTAGTTTTTTTTTCTTTTTTTATTCATATATTTTTTACAACTTACTATTTTTATTTACATTACATTATTTATTTTTTACATTTTTCACACTGCCTGGCTTTAACCAAAATATTGCAAATTGAGTTTCTCAAGAGACACTGCCCACAAGTACCCAAAAGGTTGAGATTATTTTTGAGTAGATACCTTAGATCGTTTGTAAATATGGACATTTAAAAATATTTACTCGATTTGATGATAAATAAAGCGTGAAATAAATTATTGCTTGTCATAACCCCCTCCCCTCAAATACTATAATTAAAGTATCGATTTATGTTTGATTTTTAGAAAAATTTTCATGTTATTTACGATGTTCACAGCTCATATCAGTGTAATTTAAAAGATTACAACAACAAAGATTTTGAAATGATGATTAAGTACCAATATTTTGAAACGAGCAACTATAAGTATATTAAACACAAAGATATGAAAATGTATTTCAACTCAATCATACTTCTTTGAAAAAATGCATTGAATTTTATCAAAATGAGTTTATACACAAATATTTCAAATAAAATTCATTCAAAGAAGTAACTCAACAATAAGTACGAATTTCCCGGTTTGTTTACATTATCAACTGGTTTATTTTTGCTACATTCAGGAACTTAATAACTCACACAAGGTTACAAGCGAAAAATCATAGACTACTTAATTTTCACTATGAAAGTCATAAGCACTTACTGCATTTCCAAGAAACTGAATTAATTTAAGCGATTCCTCATCGTGTTGTAAACCTTGCTGTATCAAATTAGTGGTATCGTATCTAAAAGTAAGTAAAATATTGATTTTTGCTTTATTATTGAAATAAAATTACTTCCAAAAATATTTCATTTTCGTCTATTTAGTTCAAAAGAGAACGTAATAAGATTTAAAATTTGCACTTATGCATAAAGTAAACATTACTTTCCGACTTTTGGAGGAATATTGCCTTATTTTATTTATTTGCTACGACTACAAAATCTCTTCGACAAATGGCGAATAGAGGATAAGAAAAAGTCAGGGAAATACAGAGTAAATTTTGAAAGAGAAAGATTTCCGTATCGTGATTTACACCAGAGTAATCGCCAAGTCTTGACGATTTCCGAGCAGTGGCTCGCCAGAAACTGAAAAAACACTATTGCAGTAAGGGCTCAACTCGAGGGGTAAAACTTCGTAGCCATCACCGACAAACCTTTTTACCTTTTAAAAAATTGTTTAATGCCACTTGACTATTATAGTTGGTGTGATAGATCAGATACGAACTATTCTTTGCAAAAGTATAAGTAAAATTTTTTGTTTGTTTGTTTAGATTCTCGCGGGCCGCTGCCGAAATTTGCTTAGACTTTGCGATTATTCTGCAACAGACCACGATATGGAAATCTCCCTGTGTTGTTGGATATATCTATATTAGTACCTATTTGTATTAACTACAATCTTAAATGTGCCAAAGCATTTATTTTTTTTAAAAAAAAAGTTTACCGTGATTTGCCAAAGAAAGATTATGAATTATACCCTTTACGTTGTTCCCTTTATGTTGTGTTTTTTTCTCTTTCTTGTAAGATTCTGTTTAGACGCCACCAAAGCTTTACAATTATTTTAACGTTAGCTCCAATGTGGACACCTTTTAAAAAAAGTATTCAGAAATTTGTTGACATTTTTTAAATTAAAGTAAAGAATTTTTTTCCTGGGAATTAAATGAGAACTCTGTATAAACATTGATTTCTGATTTTTTTAAAATTTTTTTTACCTACACACGGAACTATATAATATGCTGTAATGCTGATTGTCTGGAATTCTTTTTTAAAATTCACTTTCTATAAGTAGCAGCTACTAATTTAGTTTCAGCTTAAACTGTTGAATTAATTTATGGGGTTTCAATAAATTTTATTCATGGAAGCAATGCTTAAGCTTGTTTTATATTCTATTATTATATGGCATGATTTCATTTATAGTGTTTGTATGGGACTAGAATCTTTGTTTTGAAAAGTTAACATGAAACAAAAATAGAAGTCACATTAAAATTCTTATAAACAGGGCTTGCACTAAGCACTTCAAATTATTAACCTGTAAATTAAAATTTGCCAAATAAAAAAGGTATTAGCCACATTTCAAAAATTTTTGCCAGAGGTTTTTTAAATTGAAATGTTTAAAAAAGGGCTAATTCAAATCAAAAGTCATTTTACAGTTGTTAAGGATTGAATTAGCAATAAATGGGAGAGAAGAATAAAAATGTAGATCTTGTTCTAGAGGAAAAGAAATCAGAATAGGTTTTTTTTTTTTTTTTTTGTTAACTTCTGAAATTAGTATAATATAAAGATAAATTTAAAGCAACATGTTTTTATTTTTACTATTTTTTAAATAAATATATTTCATTTGAAATAAAAGGTTTAAGTCTTATTTTTTATTGTTGCAACCGTTATCATACTGGAAAAAAAAGGGGGGATCAAGGTAGAAGATAAGTTATTTTAATTATTCCATTCTACATTATTCAGTTTTATTAGTTTTTATACTACTCGCAGATATTTTTTGTTTTTATCGGGATTTAGGCCTAGGTTTTTGAAGAGTGATAATTTATGAAGATAAAATCAAAGTAAAATTTTCTGATTTTAGCAAATATTTTAGTTTTTAAATTTAACAAGTTTTTTAATGAACAATATGTTTTTGCCATATTATTACATATTTTCTGTAAAAATGATTGAATGATAATATGCATCTTGCTTCCCCTTAATCTGTTATATTGACAACTGCAGAAAAGAATTTTGTCATAAAATATTGCGCAATCAGAATATGGACGTGTTAATCTGTATTTTGCACACATTTGTTTCGTGCCCACATAATCTCTCATAAAGATATTTTTTTAACTTAATATATTAGGTTTGTAAAGAAAATGTAATGAATTATTCAGAATTTTTATCGTGTATTGTAGCAAGATTTTTCTTTGCTATGAAAAATATTGTTTCAATCTTGTTTCTGTAGTTTTTTTTTTTTTTTTTTTTTTTTTTTNTTTTTTTTTTTTTTTTTTTTTTTTTTTTTTTTTTTTTAAATTTTTTCTTTATCTCTCTTTGTAATTAGAATCATACAGTGTTTTTTTTCTTTTTTTTTTCACTGCATTATCCTCTCTTTATTTGTTAAGTTTTGATCCATTTTACAAAAAGATAATTTGACCATTTTTAGATGAGATTTTATCTTTGGACTTGTTGCAATTGAATTGGCAATTTTCTATGTAATTTTTGGTATTATCTATATTTTTTAACCAAATGATTTAAGAAATACTTATTGTTTAATGCAGTGTTGATTGTAAAAAGGAGGAGAAAAAAAGGTGAATTCTTTGTTCAATAATTTTTATAGAAAATGAGATTTTTTAGAAAAAAGGGTACTTTTTAGATCTTAATAGCTGGAATAGCCTTTAATACTCAGTATAGGAAGAAATTAGGGAATTTTGCTATGCGTCAATTGTTGCCATTTTAAGTGATTAAAAGTTACTAATATTAATTATGAAAAAAATTTTGAAAATGGTATTACCTCATTGCATTTTAAGGCTCATTTCTAAATGAAAGAAAAATTTTAAAAAGCAGGCATGAGAGTAATTTTCAGTGTATTATAAAATCTTCATAATTTTTATATTGTTATATTAATTGCGTATAGCATTGTAATATTAATATATGTTTGATTTCATTATAGGTATTCACGAAGATAATAAAATGGTCAAGAAGAAGAATTATTACAAGAAATATGGTACCTTATTCAGCGGCGAGTCCAATCCCTTCAATGTCAAGGTGAATCGCAAGAAGCATGCTGTGTTAGGCTCTGATGTAAAAGGTACCAAAGGACAGCCTGTCATTTCCAAAGGCCTTAATTATGCAAAACGGAAAGAATTCTTAAAAAAGAATAGTGTGGCTGCTCAAAAATCGAATACATACATTGATAAAAGGTCAAAAAATTCAAACGTGTCTTTAGAGGACCAGGTTACAGCACGGTTTATGCGTGAACAACAAAAGAAAAGTAAAAAAAGTGTCTTTAATCTGAGTGGACAAAAACAAGATTCAAAAACTTTCAGCAATGATGATGACGATGAAGAGGGAGATGTTTCTTTCAAAAATAATGATAGTTTTGATGATTCCAAATCTCACAAAGAGATTATTGAAGAGATGATTGCTGATAGTAAGCAGAAAAAAATGGAAAGAAAGATGGAGAAGGAAAAATATTTGAATTCTCTTGAGCAAGTTGATAGTGCTTGGAAGAAATTATTCACGAGTTCGAAAATAAATCCTCCCCGAAGTACCAATAAAATTCTCGCTAAGGAACCGATGGATTCAAATGTAAAAGATCCCTATGACGTTTCAAAAAATGAACTTAAATTTGAACAAAAATGTAGTTCTATCAGCCACACTAGAAGTGCGGAAGAAATTGAAAAGGAAGAAGAAAAGAAGCATATTCAATCGGAGAAAGACAAGCTTTCTCGAATGAGAGATAATTACGATTTAAATAACTTTAAGACAAGCAATCATATATCTGCCGATGCTATTTGCGATGAATATGAATATTTGCCACCAATTACAGCTGAAAACAAGTGCGAGGAATCCGACAGAAACAACGACAGCGGAGAGGAATCTGATGCTAGCCAATCATCTTTTGAAGAAATGGATCATCAACCTGAGAATAACTTTGAAGCTGAAGACAAAATGTTTGAAGACGATGATTTCATGCCTGACATCCCCAACCATATAAATGATTTTAAAACCCGAATCGAAGACTGTGATGCCGAGAAATTAACTGAGGTTTTAGAGAATATGTTGAGAAAGCATGCAAGATCGAAAAATGAAAAAGTTTTGTCAAAACTGGAGAATTTGTTTGAGATTCTTTTGCGTTATGCATTTGAATGTTGCGATAAAAAGATTCCCGATGTCGAACTTATTGGTGTTCTTCCACCTCACCTGCATTTATTAGCTAATGCAGTTAATACAGGAACAGCACAAAGATTGCTCAATTTTATTAATGAAGAACAAGAGATATTTAATGCTTCCAAAAAACGAGGTATGAAGAAAAACTTTCCAAGACTGCAAACTATTTTTATTTTGAAGTGTGTTGTCTCGATCTATTCTACGTCTGATTTCCGCCATCCGGTAGTGACGCCATCTATGATTTTCATGTGTGATATTTTGGGATCCTCTTTTAGTAGTACATTTGTTAACATATTATCTAGACTTTTAATTAGTGAACTCATTTTGAACTGTATTTCTGATTCTAAAAGATTTGTCCCCGAGGCTATCCATTTCCTGAACAATGTTTTGCAGCTGGCTAATCCTGCAAAACTCAAAGGCAAAAAAAACGTGCCTCATTCCAAGCTGTTTGATCTTATCATAACCGATGAGGTTTCTGCCGAAGATGTGCCATCATTAGATTTGTTTGCTTCGAATAAAGATTTGACTGATGAAAACAAAAAAATAGGCGTTATCTTTACCGTTATTAATCAGCTGCTTCATTTTGCGACCTTGTACAGCCAGTTACCATCCTTCAAAGAAATTTTTGCACCTGTACTAACTGTCTGTGCCGAACTACCCGTCCAGTTCTATCCGGTTTCACTGAAGACACAGATTAAAAAATTGGTTGAGCTAGGACAGAAGTCAGTGCCGCTGCAGCAACTCGCATTTCAAAAGGCTAAACCAAAGCCTTTAAAGATGTTTGAACCAAGGTTTGAATGCAAGTTCAACCACACAGATGACCTCAATAAAAAGAGGAAACTGATTAAGAAAGTCACACAAAAAATTAAAAAAGAAGAGAAGAGTATGCTGAGAGAGATTCGTAGAGATGCTCAAGTTGTTGCCGCTGAGAAACTGAAAGGAAAACTTGAGTTAGATGCCGAAAGAAAGCGCAAAGTTAAGGAAATTTATGGTAGTCTTTCAATACAAGAAGGGGAGTTCAAAAAAATTATGAAAAAGAAGTCTTGAAATTTTATTTATAGTATTTTTTATAATGAAGAAATTATTGTTAATAAATTTGTTTTTATTAAAAATATTTTTGTTGATACTATTTTCTTAATAAAATACATTTTTTTTATAATTGATATTCTATTTTTTTTTTACAGTCTTAAATTCTTATAATACAACGTTCACGATTAAAGGGCAGAATTCTTTTCATTCCTAGCTGTAGTTAAAACGGCATTGTATTTCAATGTGATGAGAAAGATTTAAAAATTATGATTGGTTAATCTAATGTTTGAAAGGTTATTTATTGGGGTTTATGAAAGTATGCAGCAAATTGGAACTCTGTTATTGCAGTGAGATTGTTATTTAATAAGATCTCTACTTTAATGAGCAAATTTTTATTAAATGGTTGCCTTAATGTTCTTAATAATTCTATTACAATATCCAAGCATACTACACAACTCTGTTATTGCAAATACTTATTTAAAAAGATTTTGCTTTAATGAGGAAATTTATAATAAATATTTGAATTAATATTAAAAAGATTGCTCCTAGCAGTGTTTTTTAGCGTAAATTGGGTTGACAACCTGCGTCCCGCAGGATCTTCTGAACTCAAAGACTTTTTTTTTCTTTTCTTAAAAAATAAAAAATTTTGAATTGCTAATTAATTTAAGTCACTTTTTAATGCGCTTAATTTGCAGAGATTCCATTGCAAGTCTATTAACAGTTATTGCTATGAAATTCTGTACAATTTTAAAAAACCCTATTTTTAAAACAATATTACGATGCTTGAATTTTGAAATATCACTTTTCACGATATATATATATGTATAATATTATATGGTATTTGCTAAATCAATTATAGATAAAAGGGAAAATTATTGAGGAAAAGTTTTTTTTTTTTTTTGAATGAATTCTAGTAATTAAAAGCATTTAATTCACTGCAAATATACTAATCTTTTGATATAAAAATTTAGTGCTAGAACTCTTACGTTTATATAAAAATTATCATATTTGTCACCAACTTTAGATCATGGTATGTGACAAGTCATTTAATAAAATGTTAGTCATATTGAAAAATATTTGTTCTGATTTAGGCAACTATATTCAAGCTTTAGGCTACAAAAAGCAACTATTTCATTCATTTTTTCTGCGCATTTGAACTATGTTATTGCAAGTGATTTTATGCGATTTCAGCTTTAACAAGAAATTTAATGAATTGTTAGCTTAGAAAGTTTGTATAAAACCCTTGATATAACGAGATTAAATATACTACTTGAATTTAACATGCGACATATTTTATAACTTTCTTAAATACTATTTTGTTTAAGTTGTTGGGGAGAAAAATTTCTTTTCCCTACTTTAAATATATTAAAAAGGCTCATATTCCATCAAGTTATTTTTAGAAAGCCAATGTAGATTGTTTTAACATTTAACTGAAAACTATTATAATGATTCCAAAAAAAAGTCTTTTTTTTTTTGATTTTTACTCAAGTGTGGTGTTTGTATAATTGCTAAGTGTTAGTCTTTTTTATTTAATAGTAAAATTCTTGCATAATTTAATAGCAGATGAATTAAGTAGTATATACACTTTCTAAATTGCATTAATACCAATTTTAAGTAACTATATTTCTATGTTATTGTATTTCTGATTATCAATAGCTAATTTGGAAAATTAACACCCCTTTTCTACTATCTAAAGCAGTGTTTCTTAACNTATTTAAAATTTTTAAAGTGGTCCATTGTGCCAAAAAGGTTGAGAAACACTGATCTAAAGGGAAACTTCTTTCCTGTAAATAAGAAATACAGTGAAACCTCTTGGGAGCAATTGCTGTCTATTCCACAGTAAAATGATCGTTGATGGAGATAGATTGTTCTTACGGATTACCTTCATTTACTTCAAAATTTTATAGAAGGTGCACAGTTTTTCGCAAGCAATTTTAATTTTACTCAGTGTCATTTTCTTGGTGCGGAAATGTCACTTGTGTTTGCATCATGAAAACCAGAGAATTAATAGATTTACCTTGTTTCCCCACAAGCTAAAAGATTTATTCTACACTCTTGTGCTTTTCTTGCATCAATTAATGCAGTTATATTATTGACAATAAAAAAACAATGCACAGCTGCCATTACTTCTGCATTTTTTAGACACTTTTTACACTGAGCCTCAAAGTCTGCAATTTGAAAATATACATTATAATTTTGTATCTTCTTAGGATATTTGTATACAAGTAGTGAGAGAGGATAGGTTCTCACACCTTGCTCAAACAGAGACATCATGAATTTTCATTGTGCTTCAGTCTTATCAATGTTGTAGGTCATGAATTACTGAAAAATATAAGACGTTTAAGGCAGTTTTCTGGTCTAGAAGTCTAATTTAAGCCCCATTTTTTCAGTGAAATGAAAGTTATAAATAATGATTTCATTACATCACCTGTTAAGCTACATTATAAATTTTTTCTAGCCCAAAATAATCATAAATTAACATATAAAAATGATGATAAAGATAGCTGTGCACTTATGGATAAGCACACTAATCTGTAACATGCGAGATCAAAAATTAACGATATTTGCGAATGTAGCTATGGTTAGAACCAAAAAAAAATTTCATATTTCTCAAAATAGAGGCCATTTGTAAAAAAAACTGCTTTTTTTAAGCATTTAAACATGCATTAAAAATAAATTTTGTAAAATGTACAATTTTTATTGGTTCTAACAGTAGCCACATCAGTTTTCTACGAATTGCCAAAGCAACATCGAGATTGATCAAGTAGTTTTTCTGCAAAAAATAAAACATGGTTTTGGGGAAATTATGTTTAACCTTTGAACCATACAATTGCACCTTCCTCAAACTCATTCATTCTGTTGGTGTGCACTGCACTTTCTCCAGGACCACAGATCTGGCTTATTTGATAAAAGTAAATGTGCTGGGCAAACTGCATTGCGCCTTTTGCAAAATTCGAACATTGTGTTGTCAATTCAAATATGCATGACTAATGCTGGCAATTCCCATGAAATGGTTATTGTAGTTCACTGTATCTAAATGATTGGCAATTCAGACCACATCTTGACGGGAATAGATGTGTTTAGGAGTAAATATCCAAATAAATGAATATAGTGATTTCTTTATTGTTTTGACGGTTCATGCCAACCATCTTTCCAGCAAAATTGTCATTTAACAGATCTTCGAATATAGACTTCATTGCCTCCTGCGATGGCACAGAATGACAACAAATAGTTTCCAGGCAAAACGATTTTGCTCACATACACTCCATAGTATAAGGTATCCATACATGCAATAAAATAAAAAAATACAACAGCAGTAAAACAAAGAATTATATTTATTATGTACAATTAGAAATATTACATATAAATTCCTTTACATAGGAAAAAATTTCTTAATAATCTAAAGCTTGAGGCTAAAAATGAATGCATTAATAACTTATATAACAAATCACGTCGAGTTCTGTGCATTGACTAGAAATTCTTCCTTAAATAATAACAATTAAAAACAATCATTAAAATATTTAAAAAAATATAACTATGGCAACAAATTTTAAAATAACACAGTCAAGTTAAATAAATAGTCACATCATGCACAATTTGTCAAAATTTGAATAAATATTTTCTCAAATTCTATTGTTTCATTCACTAAGAGCAACCTGCCAGACTATAAGGTGACTTTGGTCACCTTTCACAGCAAGAGCTGGTCTCCGTTCATCAGTATCAGATGAAAGAGACAACAGGTGTTCATCATCATCACCGTCCCCTGGAAATGAAAAAAAAAAAAAGATAACTTTTCAACTTAGAAATTTTAAATAGCATAAAAAGCCAAAAATTTATTTTATATTTATATTCATGATTTTTTTCATTTATTATTAGAATAGGCACAGTAATGAATGTCAATTACAGGAGGAAGGTTCAACAACATTTAAAATCAGTAGATTAAACATTTTTAAACAACATTTTTATATTATACATATATTGATAAAAATGTTGTTCTCTTTTGATGATTTTGTTTTATATTAACAAAAAAAAAAAAACATACTGATAAAGTTTTGATTTAAATCCCTGTTACAAGTTTAAAAATAAATCTTGGTCATGTGCACTTTTGAGAAAAAATGGGCATTATTTTCACAAAATTTTAACAATATTAAAAGTAAAAAACACTATTGTCAATATTGCAATTAATAGATCACATACATTGCACTTGAAAACACAGGGTGAAGTCTATTGCATTATTTTAATATAATTGTATATTAATTATGCTTTCTGCTATAAACATAAATCTTATTTCATTTCATCAGTATTTTTATTATGCTCGCAAATGCCATTAAAACACAAGAGTTTAAAAATAAAATTTTAAATATAATCATTGACATTGCTTTGTTTTTGAACTGCAAATATATATATACAATATAGCGTGACTTGTGACAAAGGGAGTAGAGATTATAGTGAAGTGACACATTTGACAACTAAAGGTAGTCAAAATGTTGGGGGAGAAAAAGTCTTGACATTATTTATGAACAACCTTATTGTCCATATATTTCGCAAAATAGAGATTTCATTTAAATTAAAAATTTATTCAAGGAAAAGCTTTATTTAATTTTTCTTTCTTTTATAGTTCATTTCTTTTATGTAGGTTCTAAATAAATAAAAAAATCCTTATTTTTATTTTAAAATATTGGCAGCAATACCAATTACAAATTAAGTTGTCAGATTGTAAATTACGATAATAATTTTTCAAAAGACACTGAAAGTTAAGTGATATATTTATGAAAAATATGTTTCAAATTTCAGTGGTAGCAGCAAAGATGGAAAAAAATATAGGATTATACATATATGTATTTATATATAGGACAACCTTTCAATTGACTGGTCACAAATTAGTTGAGGAATACCTGAGTTTACCAAAATATGGATATAAAATTTTATATCAATTTGCTCTAACTTATAGACAAATTTAAAACATTTTTAATTTATTATATTTAAAAAAATAAAGTTCTAAAGTAGAAAATAAATTCCTTTTTGTTTGCCTTTATATAAAAAAAGCAGGCCTTCACTGAAATGAAAAAGTAGTCAATTCAACCTTTTAAATTTTGTACACAAAGAAGACAAGCTATTGGAAAACAAATCACACTTGAATGATTTGTTTTGAGTCACATTTATCTTATTTTGAATATATTTTTAATCAGCTAAATAAACAGATATTGAAAATATAATATGGTTTCATCAAAATGTGTAAAACTTAAACATATAAACTTGGTTATTTTAACCTAAACTTTCACAGAAAAGTAGCCAATTCAAACACATAGGTTAAGAACACAAAGTTCTTATTGAAAAAAAATTATCACATTTGAAAATAATTATTAATTTTAAATCACACATATTTCGATTCATATTAACTTATTTTAAATATAAACAGTTATTGAAAATGAAATATGGTTTTATCAAAATAAGTAACATTTGGACATAAAATCTTTAACTCCTATATTTTAAACAAAACGTTCTCAGAAAAAAAGTAGAATTTTATATTAAGAAACATAAAGGACAAATCACTGTTTTTCTAATATCAGACACTTTAAGGCATTTTTTATTTTTATGAATATACGAAATATTGGAAAACTGCAAGGCTGGACATTACCATCTTCAAATGCTGATAGTAATAACAAGGTCAGACTCTCCTAAATTAGAGATGACACTAATATATACAAACACATATTTGAGAGCCGTAGTGGCTCTGGGGGTAGAGCATTCTCAATCAAATGAGGTGAACTGGGTTTGAATCCCAGCGATGACTGGTCGATACGAATTTGGCACCTGGCTCGCACCGGCCACAGTGCTGACGTAAAATATACTCAAGGGATGGATCATGAGTTAGAGTCCCCTTGCCATTAGGCTAACCGTGGGAGGTTTTTGTGGTTTTCCTCACCATGTAAATCAAAAGCTAATTCCACCAAAAAGTCCTCCACCAAGGTAAATTTCTCCTTACACTTTATCCAGGAGTTTTCAAGTCTTCTGGATTGGGTTCAAAATTACAAAGGCTACGGAGTTGAACATTAGTAGTCATAAATTCAAAATTAGTTGGTTATAAAATAAAAAACACATATTTGAAATTAAAATAAAACTTTATAGTAGGTTGTATGGGGTATTATTAAGAGTAAAGCATCAAAAAACATACAATGATTTTTAATAAAACAGAAATTAATACCTATTCTAAAGTCAATGTAACCTTCACCACCCGAGAGTATCAGCATAGAATCTGGTTTATTCTTCTCCGATCGATCTTTAGATATCGCCTGCTTTAGTTCTGAATGAAGTGATTTTCCCTCTTTGTCACTAATAATTCGTTTAACGGGTGAAATGCCTGTAATGATACTCAAATCAGTTATTCGCATAACAAGATAAATTTAATATAAAGGGAAATAAATCCTAATAAATAGATGATAAATTAAAAAAAAAAAACAATCCTAGAATTATTTGTCAAATTAAATAGGCTTAAAAATAATACCTATACCTAAAAATACAGCACTATTTTTTATCAACAATAAAAGAGATTTGAGGTTTTAGTAATAATATAGTAATATTAAACTAATAATATTTTGATTTTAGAACAATCAGGTATCAGGGTGCGTAGCTAAATCTTTCAACAAAAAATAAGCACCTTTAAAGTACTTTTAAAGCACTAAAAAAATATTTTTAAGCACTATATACATAAATAAAATGCAAACTAATTTTCAAAGACTTTAGATGATCAGATAAAATAACTAGTTTCTGACAAAGAACTCTTTTCTTGAGTATAATAGCCTTTATAAAATGATTGAGAGATTTTTCGGTTCGCTATCAGAGGGTGAAAAATGAAGTCTGAAATTGGGAATATCCTGTAAAGTGCAGAAGAGTTGCTTATGAGAAGGCAATAATTTTACCGAACCCAGCTCAGTAGACGCACATACGGACTCGCAAGTATTTCATCAAACATGTAAAATGATGGGCGCTTTCATGTGCTATGGACTGGCAGTATGCTGAAATGAATTGCGAAAACATTGAGTAGAACAATGTGAAAAGCATGCTTTTGCATAATACGTACCGAAAATCAACATAGTAAAGACGAAAAAAAAATTGCGAAACATTTTCCAAAAGGGAGAATTAAGCACTTTTTAAAAACACCCCATGAAAAAAGCACCTTTACGGGCTTTTAAATAACGAAAATAAGCACCTTTAAGCACTTTTTAAAAACCCTACACACCATGGGTATTTTAACAAATGGAATATTTTAATTAAAAGAAAATGCTTTTTCTAAATAGTTTGATAATGAATGTATTTTATGACACTTGCGCAGGAAACAAAATTTTTGAATCCAACCTGTTGAAGTTACACCCTACCCAACAGGTTACTTAAAATGGATAAATAAAGGTCCTGCTGGAGAGCAGTACTGGGAGTTGAGAAACCGAATGAGATAATGACTTTTTTAAAAAAATTTTCATCGTTCCTTGTTCTTTGCCATTGGAAATAAAAAAAACCTTGATAAAAAAAAAATGAATAACAATTCACCAAGAGTTTATGCAACAAAAAACAACAACAAAACAAGTAATAACAAAATATTTTTTAAAGAAAGGTAAAAAAATAATGTAGGTAGCACAAAAACCAATTTTTTACAAAAAAATATAAATTATTTTTTAAATTTATCTCACAAATTAATTTACGAATAAAATTTAATTTACGAAAAAATAATAAGGAAATGGAACTTTAAAATTAGATATTTGATTTTAATTATAAAATATCCACACGTAAGCTTGAGCAGCTATAGGATTCAGCTAGTTTATCTACTAGATCAAAAAATGAAAATATTTAAATACTATTCAACCTATAAACTGTTTAGTTTTCTGTGTAAATATTTGCCAAATACTGGCTTAACTTTCATTGATATTCAAACCTGGAAAGAGGTTCAACTAAATTTATTATGTAACAAGCTCTGTTTGTTTCTTCTTGTGAGAGGGGAAAGGACACTTAAAAATCAATATTTAAGGTTTCTAACAAAGCAGTGGTATATATTCACGTTTTAGCTAAAAACTTGATTAACAGTTAACTTTTCTACACACAAAATGTAAAGATAACTTGCTGCCCATTTTTCTTTAAATTAGAGAGAGAAAATAACACACCCAGAAAATGTTGAAATATTTTAATCCATTACTACCTGAATAATCCTTTACATTGAATAGCACACCAGAATTGTGTTAGGTTCTTACAAGATTTGAATCCATTACGGATTGCGTCCACTACATAGAATAACACACACATTAAATATTATGTTTTTGAAAGTTTCGAATGAATTAAATTGAACATAACACCAAAAATTTTTAGGTTCTTAAAAGATTTCAATCCATTTCATTGAATAACATATCCGGAAAGTCTTAGGAGATTTGAAACCATTACATTGAAACACATCTGAAAAATGCTAGGTTTTAAAGGTTAGTGCCTATTAAAAAGTGCCTATTTTGCCAAATAGATGTATTTGATTAGTGCTGACATCTAATTTAAAATAAACTAGCTATCTAAAATTACCTTAAAAATATCCTGGTATTGCCCTCTGGTGAGTAAAATGAGAAATAAAATGTTGTCTGAACAAAAGAAATGAATTAGTTTTATTCTTATTGGTGCGTTACTACTGAATACTCCAGCCCGGAAATTTCACGGGAGCGAGAAGGAAGGGGTTAAAAGATTTTAATCTATAACTAACCAAGGAGAATGCAAAATTGTCTCACCTGGAACAGCAACAAAAAACTTGACGGCATCCCTGTGACCATGAAAGGAAAGCTGAGCTTGAGCCATTGAACAATACGGAATGAATCCAAAGTCTGCTCCTGTACACTCTGTACTTCCTTCAGTGTAGACTCTTACAACACCACCAGGAGCTCTTCCCAAACTAGGTGTAGCTTCAGTCGATGGTCGATGATTTTTACCTACAGACAAGTTGTAAAGAAAACTTTTAATAACACTTAAGTAACCTAACAATGTCGGACAAATGGAAATTGTCAGATAATCAGGAGTCCTTTTTTAAAAATTGATTTGTGAATGCATAAACATAAAACCCACTCAAAACAACTAAACTGAAGTTTTATAAGAATCTTAGCTTGTTTTCATTTTTTTTATATCTTAAATATTTTTTTAGAAAGTCTTTATTTTTTTCGCTCTGTAATGCAACATTTTATTAAAATACAGTAAAACCTAAATTATCCAACACTCACAGGATCAGGGGAAATGTCATAAAATTAAAATTGTCAGATAATCAGGAAACCTTTTTTTTTTTTGCTTTTATTTTTTCCCCTTGCCTTTTCCTTTTTTTTTTTTAAATAATGACACAATGTCATAAACAAATCAATGACAATTTATTGCGTTCTGCTTAATAGTGATGTCCCAGCCAAAAAAGCTCAATTAATATCACATGACTACTATCAATTAGTCACATTTTTACTTTGAAATATATTTCAATTGGTTACTACTAATAACTGATTCATCATCGATAAATTTTCAGTTGGCAGGTAAAGAAAAATGACACCAGCTTACACATCTCTAACTTCATTTTCTAGCAGTTAAAATTTAGAATTGTCGTCATAGCAGTAATTGGATTGAACTGTGTTAAAATAAAAGTGAGAATTAATGACACAAGTTCCCAAAAATAAATCATTAATTGCATAATATCCAGCTGTAACAATGCGTTGAAAAAGGTCTCGGATAACAGAAGGATTGGAGCGTCGGATAATTAGTGCTCTACAGTAAATCGAGTGCAAGATTTACCTTCTGTTAAAGGTACAGATATGATTACACCATTGCCAGTACCCATCCACAATCGTTTGCAAGAAACTAACAAGGATGTTATTCGCACAAAGGAGAAACCCAATTTTCCAGTACCTAAGAATAGAAATGTTCATTGAATCAATAATGATGAATGTTTCTATTGCATAAAATGAGAATATATAACACACATTACCTAACATTTTGCTAACGTACGGCTCAATATCCACATCTTGAAGATGTTGACGAGTATGAGCGTGATACAACCGCAATGTGCTATCAAGTCTAATAGTAATCCACACCCCATCTCCAATCCAAGCCATTTGCCTCACTTGACTCTCTTTCCGAGGATGAGCATCAAATGTTTCCTATTTACAATAATTGAGATAACTAAAACACAATAGAATGCTCATCAAGTAATAAAAACAGTTTCATTCTGAAGAGTTTTAATTTCAATGATTTTGATATTTTGACAATATATGATAAAAGAAATTTATTACATGAATATATCATAAGTAGATTTATATGAACATATTTCTATTTATTCAGTAACAAATTGATAATTTTCAACATATTATGTTTCATTATTCATTCCTAGATACTTTATTTTAAGGTTGTAAGTATTTAAACTTTTACAAAGTTCAAGTTAGAACCTCAAGTTTCAACAATTTGGTATGTTCAATAGAACAAATAAAATAAAACAGAAAATACTCTGAAAATAGTAATGGGTTACTAAGTAAACAAAAAACTTTAGTTAATTTAGTCCTTAGGAAGTTAACATAGAGAAGGATAAACATAGACAATAATATACAAATAACACAGACTATAAAGGATCCTTAAGGGTCTTTTTGAAGCTCTTTCACCAAGGGAAAAAAAACATAGTTTAAGTGCCTGATGCTTAAAGCAAAGTTATAAACTATATATATCTATCTGGGTTACAAAATATACAAAAATCTTAAATTTTTTAAAAATTACTTTTTTAAAATTGTTTAACAAGATTTTTTCACCTAGATGAAAACTATCAAAATCAATGAGTAAAGAAATTAAATGTTTTTAAAAACTTCCAATTTAGCCTGATTATTCCACCTTGAAGAAAACTATCAAGATCAATGAACAACAAATAATTTTTGCAATTTTTTATAAGTTCAAATAATGCAGTGTTGGAGTAATTTTTTAAATTTTAAAAATTAAGAATACAAGCGTATTTTATGTCTTTTCTTCATATCGACTTTTGCACCATTTTCGGAATCAAAAAAGGTCAAATAATGGACTACATTTGACATATCAGTCATCAATGACAGTCACAAATTCAGAAAATAGCCTATTGTTTGCTAAAAAGCAGTATTTAAAGTGACTGCAGTGCCTTTGAAAACTGTCTTAATAGGGTCTCAGAGCAATACAAAACATTTCCATTGTAATAGACTTTAATGAATAATATTTTTATAAGGAAAGTTCTCTGCAAAAGTTGATGATTTCAAGACCCTATAGATATTAAAATTTAATATAAAACAAGTAAAAATTTTTTTTTACAATTATGGATAGTGTTTCCGTATCCACGACATGGATACAATTCCTGTATCCACACCATATGTTTTTATCAACAATGGTCATGCACCGGACAGAGTACAGTGGCCGTCCCAAATCCATGAGATGAAAGTTGGTAAGATCCCACTCTCCATCTAATAATGATATAAAAAGAAAGTTTCAACTAGAAAATTAAATCAACAGTTTAAAAATTCTAAAGCTTCAGTAATGGCATTTGAAAAATGGTGAATATTTTAAGTAATACATTGCAGAATATTCATAAAAAATTACTAGCAATAGAACAAAAAATAAAGCTTTATTTTGATTGGTTTATGCTTATTCAAAATATATACTTACCAGATGATCTGTGAAAGACAGCAATCGTCCCATCAGCAAGTCCAGCAAACACACGTCCTCTTATATGTCTATAATAAATAATGAACAAAAATTTTTCGAATGTAACATTTTCAAAAACACATACCTTTTTTTTAAATAAAAAAATTTAGGATTAAGTAAATTAAAAATATTAACTTACACAATACATAAAACAGAGTCTTTAAGTTTAACTGAGCTAATACATCTCCACCATTGAGTCACTGATGAATGAACATAGATACTGTAAAAAGAATATATAATTAAGATGCTGCATAAAGTTATACATCTTCATAGCTGAAAAATGAAAAGATAAAAATTAAATATTAGAAATTGATTGAGCAATCTTTAATTATTTCAGGATCTTTACTATTAAATTTATAACTAATATTATAAAAAACAAAAATCTATAGTTCCATTCTTAAAATCCACACTTTTAACTAGTCGACATTATAAATCAAAATCTACATTTTATAAGTCAATTTACGTCTATACAATTATGTTTGTTGGGAAAATATCTATCATACAGCGAAAATAAAATGTTTTCAATTAAGGAAAAATTAAAAATCATGCAGAAATTGAGAAATGGAAAATTCACTAGCAACTTTTCATAACCATTTTATAATACTTATCTAGTATTATAACAGTGTGTGTAGCCAGATTTTTTAACAAAAAATAAGCACCTTTTAAGCATTTTCAGAAGAACACGAAAAATATTTTTTATCACTTTAAAAAAAAATCATAATTAGGATATGTGCAGTAATAAAAATTATTAATTAAAAATTATAATTCCTTTATATAAATAAAATCAACAAAATGCAAAAACATTTCCCAAAGACTTTATATTATCATAACACAATAACTAGTTTCTGATAAATATTACAAAGAATATTGTAAAGATCATATTTTTTTTCTTCTTCTTTGTAATTTATGATAATTGACACAGCAAAGAAAAATCTCATTTTGAAAGATAGAAAATTTAGCACTTTTTACAAAACCTCTATGAAAAAAGTACTTTTAGGGGCTTTTAAAAAACATGAATCAAAAATAAGCACCTATACGCACTTTAGAAATGATTACATTTAAGAAACTACTGAACTTTCATTTCAAAATCAGTGATTAGTGACAAATAATGTTTTTAAAAAAAATTAAACTTACAAATTATCAAAAAACAAACTATAAGTCAATTTTTTTTAAAATTTACATTTTTATAGCTTATGCTTATGATTATGATTTACTAATATTATAAGTCTGGCGTGAAATATTCATTTTTGTTATTTTATTGTAAAATGAGTTTTTATTTATAAAAAAAATTAATTAAAAACAAAATTAATAACTAAAATTACTAAAACAAATACATTGGTATTAAAAAAACAGCTCAGGAAAATTTTAAGTAACACATTTTTTTATTTTTAGATAATTTTATCTTTGTACGGAATATCCAATAAATTAAAAATAATATCTATGCACATAAAATTTATGTAGATTAAGTGTGCATATTTAATTAGGAAAGAAGAATAGCATATATTTTAAAATTCTCTATAAAACTAAAATAAGTAATATAAAAATTTTATTTTAAGCAACTGTTAAATAAAATCAATACATTTTGTATTATTAAGCCTATTGTTATGAATGAGGAGTACTAGATCATTCACTATACAGCTCTGACTTAGCACCTTCAGAATTTCATATGTTTTTAAAATCTGTTGTTGTTCACCTGTTGTTTGTTTCTTCGGGGAAAATGATGACACGCTGAAAGAAACTTACAAACTGGTTTAACAGTACAGTTCGTTGGTGGTGAGGTGCAAATGATGGCGCCACGACTCGATGATTATTTCAATGTTTATGGTGACTTAAAAGTGAATAAATATTTATATTTTGATATGTGATATAATCTACGCTCATAAATAAAGTTTCTTTTACTCCATTACGAAACGGTCCTTACTTAAAAAACGTAATCAATAAACATAGTAACAATATACATATAATTTAAACCTTTAATTTTCGAAACTATATACACATCCAAATGAATATTTTTTATTTATAGATAATAATTTATTTACAGATAAAAAAAATTTTAAGATATCAAATAACTTACTGTCCTGTTTGAGAGCCAAGCCACATTGTTGGAAGAACTGTTGACATTTTTTCCCGTTCACCGGTGTTCACATTCAATGAAGAAGGCCTAGTAATTTTGTTCTGTTCAAAAGTTGAGCTGTCATTTGGCAAAACACCATTTTCAACAATACCTATAAATAACATTGATCCATCTTTGTTTTAATGCTTCCCAAATTGCTTCTGTTTTACGCCAGTTTGTAAATACATGAGTAAAAATCAAATATCCTTAGTAACATAAAATAAAAAATAACTAAAACAACATTTTAACAACACAAGTAATGTAATAAAAGAAATGAACACGATTAGGGAGAACTTTTAGTGTATGCATATAACAATGGATAGCATAATAAAGGCAAAAATTTGAGGAATTGTCTATCTAAGAGGAAAAGGTAATTTTATCTAAAAAAGACAACAAAAACTAACAAAATAGCTAATCACCAATTTGCAAAAGGATTAGAATACATACAAAAAAATTTTCTGTGGGTACACCTTAGATAAAATATTCATTAAAATATTGAAAGTAGTGTTTAAATAATCTCTTAATAGAATTCCGAAAGATATAATTTGAAACAAAAATTCTAAATATATGTCTGTAAAAGAGATAATGAAAACTGAAGCTTATTAATAGATAAAAGATAATAGATAAAGCACTTAGAAATAAATTGTGTCATTATATAGTCACACTTTCTTACTTTGTGCAGTTCCTGGTGACATTTCTTTTGCATTATCACTAATATCACCAATTTGGGCATTATCTAAAAACAAATATAATTAACATTCAATAATTGATAAAAGCCATCACAACAAAATTATTGAATGATTATTTATGATTATATTCTATATAATATCAAGGTATATAAGAAAATTTTTATAAGAAAAAATATTATAAGAAAATTTTTTATTAGTTTTTAAATTAATTTTTACTAAGATTAATATTACTTATAAAAAAAATTACTTTTCATGTACAAATCAAAAAAAAAAAAAATTATGTTATAAAAATCATATTTTATATAAGTACACTTACTTTAATTCTCAATTTAGACAAATTTCATAGTTTCAAATAAATTATCAATGAATATTGTTGGATATTTCATAATTTTAAAATAAATATTTTCTTCCGTAGTATTGATGACATAAGTATATATTAAAACAATAAGTAAACTAAACCAAACTCAGTGGCATGACAGCCCACAGGGGGTCAAGGCCTACTGTGCCCATCTCAGTTTTCTTGACCTTGGGCTCTGGGGTGCAGGAGCAGATGTTCTGGTCAGGTGGTCAGCCTAACGCGGAACCCCCAGTGTTTAGTTCCCAAGCATGCTTGGTACTAATTTATTGAGCCACTGAAGGGATGAAAGGCTGAATCAACCTCGCCCGGCCCGAGGATTAAAAAAATAAGTATTAATGTATAAATTATACATATTCAAGTTTTTATTAATATTTTTCTTACTTATAGAGGGATTTTATTTAAGGCATCTGGCTAATTTTTTCACTTTGTGTGTTTTGGTCTTTAAATTTTTTTCCAGATCTTTCAGAACTTATACTATCTTAAAAAATCATTAGTACACTTTTCTAACTGTTCATTATTAATTTCCAATATTCACCTAATAATATTAGAACACTAATTAAATATTAAAAGTATCAAATAAAGGAGACCATTTAATGAGGAAATATGCATGTTTCATAAAAAAAATTCTATTTTAACCGAAAAATATTTGCATTTGAAAAAGTGATTGCTTGTTTGTATTAAGGAGTGAAATGTACCAACAACAACAACAAAAAAAAATGATTGTACAATTTTAACACCAAAATTCTGAGCCTGACAATCTGTAATAAAAAATACAAGTTAAAAATGAAAAATAGACACATTTTATAAACTATTTAATTTCTTTAAAAATACTTTTCTATCTTTCTGTTCTTTTTTAAATTAAAAACTTTTTGATGATTTTAAGAAAACATAAAACCTTAAAAATTCAAGTTAAATTTCATTGTAAGCAAAGATATTAAAAAAAGCATTAAGAAAAAATCCTAATCAGTCTTACCAATATTGACAGGAGTAGATGCTGCTGAATCGGAGCCAGTTTCAGATACAGTTACGAAAAGCAAGTCTCCTGCTTTACCTGGCTGAGCATCATTTGCTTCTGACATCAATTCTCTTCGTCCCATCCTTAAGTATTCATCACTCACAGAATAGTCAGTAGACTTGGTTCCTAAGACAAATAAAAACATAGTTAGTTAACACAAGACAAATAAATATTGCGAGAAATCAGCTTTAAATGCAGGCAGTTTACAACTGCTTACATGATATCCTTATTTTTGGTCAATAAAAGTTTAGGTTTAAGAGATGAGACTGGCTAAGCCTAAGATCCCATACCAAACATGGGGTCATTAGCAAAACTTTTCAGGTTTGAACTTATGTTTTTCAGGATGCTCACAAACACTGAGAAAATAATTTCCTGATTTTTCCTGACAGATTTTATCAAATTTCCCTGATTTTTTTTAACTAGTATATTAAATTTGATTAATAATATTTCAGTTATGTCTGTTCAGTTAGTGTGGCTGAGTTTAATTCATATTTTAAAATTTCTCAATATCATCTTGAATTAGGCTTTATCACACCCCATTCTCTTTTGAGATTTTTTTTTAACATTTATGAACTACTTGATTCATTTTGGGATCATTTTGATCTAATTTAGATTCATTTTAGCCCAGGGCTGAAAGTACAGAAAAATAAAATTTAAGGACTAAATTGCCTTCTAATTTAAGGATGCTGATTCTCTAATGAGAGGTATTTCTAGGATACCAACATAGATTCGCAGATACATAATTGGTAATAGTTTCAGTAGAAACTATTACCAATTATGTATTATTTTTCAATAACAAAGTTACGCAGAAATGTCTTGTTTTTGTATATATATATAAAAGTCGTACAAAATAGTATAAATAAGGTAAATTGTTAAGTAGTAGCAAACTATGAGGATTCTCTCTTGAAAATCAGTAGAGTGTGATATATTGATAGAGGGAGAAAAGAAAGATTAGAGCTTTTTATATATTTCTCCAACATGGAATGTTCTATATTATCAAGTCAATGGTAATTGTCTCTAACAATGGAAATAAACTAATACCATAGTTGACAGGCTATGAGGATGAGAGACTTAGGCATTCATTTTGTTATATACTTTGTTTCATGGCATTTAACAAAATGTTTGAATTTGCAATTTCTTCAATTCTTTTTAAGATAAATTTTTTTTATTCTAGCTTATAACTGTAACAAAAATTTAGAAAATTCAAAAATTTCAGGACTTTTATTGAAATTTTTAATAATTAAGGACATTTTCCTTTTTCTTAAGGAAATAAAGGACAACTAAGAACCCTATTTTACGGATCAAAAGGAATAATTTTAAAGACTGTACTACAATTCTATAAACTGGAAGTCTCCATTAACCGCATTAACTTTGTATAAACTATAAAAGTTGGAGTTTAAAATTTTCTTCAATTAATCAAGAACTATTAACTTTTTAAAATATTTGTTTATTTATTAGTTAAGAGGTTACAATTTTCAAAAGTTACACTAACCGAAGTTCGCAAATATGCCAGTTATACAACTTTAGAAAATTTCAATCTTTCCCCTTGTAAACAATAAATACTTAAATGCATATTTTGGTGTTTTTAAGTCTAACTAAAAATTATTTCAAAGCATTTTATGCTTGATTTATTCTAAATTATTAATAATGTCATGCTTAGTGGATAAGTTAACAGATATATGAAATAACACAAAATTTTATACAACACAAAGCTTTGCATTTTAAGGTTTCCTTTATAAAGATGTGTACAATGCAAATAAAACCACAGAGAATTATTTACATTGAAGAAACTTATTTACCTGGAACACTAGCAATACAGAGGAGATGAGAGTTGCAAACTTGAAATGAATCTAGTATTTCAGCAGGATTATTAGCATCAAAAACAGATACTTTACTAGTTGTGTGTGTGCTTGTACAAATCCAAACAAATGAAGATAACTTCTGATCCATTTCAGTTTGTTCCTTACGATGCTTTTCATATTCCTGCAATCATAACACAAAGAATAATTATTTTTAAAGCTTAGATAATTTTAATTTTACAATGAAAGCTAAGTTTTAGCAAGCTATAAAGGTAAAAAAAATAGGTTAACAAAATTAATTTAACAGCAGGTCATAATTATAATTATGACTAAATTGGGCCTGTGCACAGATGCAACTAATTCATGAAGGTTAATAATAAATAAATTTAAAAAAAAACACCAAATTTTATATGTAAGATTTAAGTTTCGAATTTTTTTTTATCATACAGTTTTTAAAGATTATAAAAATATGCCAAATGTTAAAATTAAATAACAGATAAGATTGAGAGCCCATAAAGGTAAAGTTCAGCCTTTTCTTAACTTGGGGATAAAAAAGATTTTGTTTTATAAGTAAACTTAAAAAATAAGTAAAAATATTTTCAGGAGTAATTTTAAAGGTTTCCGAACTGTGTTTTCAGAATTCAAAATTAATTAATTGATTCTAATTAACAATTTCTCAAATCAATATTGCCATTATTATTGCCTAAATTGTTTTATTTTTCAATGAAAAAAAATTTTTTTTATGAATATTTGTTTTGAGAAAATTGTGAATAATTATTTGTTTTTATTACTAAACAAATATTTATTCACAATTTTCCAATAGAAAAAAAATGCTGCGGAAAAAATTTCACAGAACTTCAATAACTGGGGGACAGATTAATATCTTTTATAATTTAAGCCCTTCAGTTGATGCGTTTATAGGCAAAAGTGTAAGGTAAATTTTCTCTCTATACACTTTTTCCCAATGTGAAAACTTGTTTATTTGATAAAGGGAAGCTAGAAGCATAAAGTATAGAGAAAGCTGAGACCAACACTCAAAGGGTTGATAAAAATTCGAAATTTCCTAATGCTTTTTAAATAAAATCTCAGTCATATTAATCACAAGTTAACTCTTTTATATTAAAAATTTTAACAATTACAATCAAACTTTTACAGCTAGATTGTAACATTGATCAAATTCAGGTATTACTTATTTTAAAACAATCCTGGGCATTGATCAATAAAATATTTATAACTGATAAGACTTACATGAGCCAAAACTGATGTAAGGTTTAGCTACAACTTGATAGTTTAAAAAAAATTTAAAACAATTACTTTAAGCTCGTTATTCAATTTTTCGACTTCTTCAGTGGCCTCAGGAGAACTGACATAGAAAAAACTAGAACCCACTGTAGATATCTCTATGTTCTCGGTTTCGGACTTCCCTCCGGTCAAATCAACACCAGCTGCACACCAGACCTACAATAGAAAAATAATGATCACAGACCTGCCAACCTCAGAAATTCAAATAGCTTGAGACTTTTTAAATAATACTACAAAGAGTAATAAGTAAAACAATAATAAATATTGAAAAATAAATAATTGACACTATGTTTGAAGTTAAAAATATATAAATAACCTCTTCACTGCTAAAAATTACAAAATAATAAATTAATCTAAATTTTTTTTATTAAGTGAATAATTTGAAAATTTTTTAAAACATAACATAAGAATTTTTCTAAAGCTCTTTTACGTTAGTATTTTCAGTCAAAAAATTCAGTTAATTAAGAATAAAAGTTACAAAGACATTGAAATTTTTTCAAATGACATCATTTAATATTGCACATTAACTTTAGTTGTTCATTCAGTGCTTCTTTTAGATTTTAAAATTTTGCTTCACAAGAATGATGACATGAAGTTAGAACATTTTGTCCCTCTACCTTAAAAATAGCATCACGATTTTTAATTATTGAAAGCAGTATTGTATTGTAACTAAGATAAAAATAAAGCGAATAATACCACGTGTTTTAACAACAAAATAAATCTTTTACAACTTTCAGAAAAAGATTAATACAATTTTCAAGCAAGAAAAATATAATTGATAAATGTATAGAAAAATTTGAAGTAATTTTGAAAGGTTAAGATTATACAGGAAACTTCGATTTCTAAATGACGCTATGCTATACACTTCAAATTCTAAATTATGGTAAGTAATCCATATTTTACAATTCTTTTGATAACAAAAACCTCATTAGTTTGAATAGGTGGTCCTGTTACTTTTTTTTTATTCCGAGAAAATTCAAGATGTTTCAATTTTATTGAGTGGTAACATCATGTAAAATAGTGGTTTAAAAAATTAAATGGTATAGTTCAAGAATTTTGTTATCGATTAACGTGTTACCAATGGAAAAGTGTTCATTTTGAAAGCCCAAAAATTGTTTTTGGAAAGATTATTCCAGAATTAAAAAAAAATGAAACAAAATTCCCATCAATATATTGGAATAAACAGCTCAGTTAGGGTGTCCTAACGGACATTAAAATAATGTGTCAATGCAACAACAAATGGAACTTTAAGTAGTGGTCATTATAATGTAGAATCACATTAGAGGAGTTGAACTAAAGAGCTTAGACTGCATTACACAAATTAGCTATTTTAGAATGAATTAAGATATCACTCTCAAAAAAGAAATCATCCTGAAAGAAGTGTTATACTTTTGAAAAAAATTTCTTTTTAAAGTTCAGCAGACATTTTAAAACATAAAAAAAGTTAAAAAGGATTTAATGTGATAAACTCAATACACTTACATTACAAAATCGGCGATTAGAAGTAATGTTTTGAAGGTTGTAAGTAAATCACGCACGAATCGTACAATTCGTATACTAATTAGAAGAAGAAAAACCTGAGAAAATACTCTGGTAGCCTGAGGCCTTGAGGTAGGGACAGGGATGAGATTAGCCAAAAGGCAAAAAAGCTGAATTTCCACAATAGTAAATTTTACGCAAGCGCAACCCTTTAATAATAAATTTCAGACAGTTTAAGGTGATAAATAATGTGTTGACATACAATTGGTACTAATCTATTATTATATAAATGATTACATTGATACTTAACATTTAGTGAAAATAAAAATTACCAATTGAAAAAAAAAAGCTGGAAATTATATTTTTCCTCAGTTCACATAAGAGACAATTATTACTTGAAAAACTACCTGGTTTAGCAAATTAAAACTACTGAGAATATACATTAATATTTCATTTCTTTTAATAAATACTGTTATGTGATTTATAGCAAATATATCAGTAATATTACTTTTTAAATTATATTGGAAAAAAAAACTTTAACAATGGACCGAATCATTATGTTCATATTATAGTCTAATCTAACTACAGCCCTCTGAAACATATCAATAACAGTGAAGTAGAAATATATAGTAACTCCTTAACATACAAAAATTGCTATTTTAGTTTGAAAAATTACATGACAATCAGCAACTGTTTAGATAATTGTTTTTTATTTGATAAGAATTTTGCATTTTATAGCATAAATAACAGCAATTATAAATAAAATTTTGATGATGAGTTAGTTAACTCTTTTTCCAAAAAAAAAAAAATTAAATTAAATCACTTTTTAAGTGATTGTTTTTGTTTGCTATATCTTTAATGTTTGCTATATTTAGTCGTTAGTCCATCTTCAAACATCTTGTGACAAATCCTATTTTTTCTTCTTTGCAAGCACAGAATGTAAGTTTTGAATATATTCCCTTCCAGTTTCCTGATGTTGTAAGACTTACATATACTAATAATCGTAGTTAGAAAAACAGTCATCTTTATCGTAACTAATTTAAAAAATTTTACTACAAGAATCCCGATAGTTGATCTTAAAATTGCGTGAATATGAATAACAATTATGGATTTTGAAATCACATGAATATGAAACTAGATATACGATTTTGAAAATGAGAAAATACAAACTGGGATATAATTTTTAAAACGCGTAAATACAAATCACGATTCATAATTTTAAGATCACGCAAATACGAATCATGATGCGGAATTTTTAGATTGCATAAATAAGAATTATGAATTTTTAGAGTGCATGAATGCGAATCCCAATGCCTTATTTTAAAATAACGTATAAATACGAAAATCAATGTTTGATATTATAAACCGCATGAGCAAATCAAGAAATTGAATTTTAAACTTGCATGAATATGAATCGCTACATAGGTTTTTAAAAAGGCGTAAATACGAATCACAACATCAGATTTTTAAATCTCGTAAATAAGAATCGCAACATACAATACTCAAATCACGTGAATCAGAATCGCAACACGCAAATATGATAAGCTATGTTTGATATTAAAATCGTGTGAATGAGATCGAGATATTAGCAGATTCCAGGCTTGGGACCTCTAAAAGGCTTGTCAGAAGCAGCGTTGTTTGAACTACAAAAATCGGATCTATCTGGAGGGCTGGTAAAAAATTCCGAAAATCTTATTTGCTGTGAGTAAACGGAGAGAAAACAGCTAAAATAAGTAAAAACGAGAAAGGTTTGGTAGCTATGCAGTTTGAATTTTCTGTTTATCTTTGAAAATCGGTAAATTTTCTGAAAAAGTGGAATATTTATTAAAAAAAATGAAATTTTAAGAAAAATCTGAATTTTTGACAAAAAAGCTGAAATTCAAGTGATAAAAGTGAAAAAAGCGGAAATCCGCTAAAAAGCGGAAAAATCTCATCCCTGTAGGGAAAAAACTCTGAGAGATGGCAAGTCAGTGATTATGAATAATAATATTACAGTTTAAAATTTAAAAAAAAGGATGAGGCTAATTTGCAGTTATTCCATTAAAATAATTCTATGAATGAAAGAAAGTAAATTTAAGTTCACAATAGATTTCCATATATTGTACTGGGAGGCTGCGCTCTCTGCTCGCTATCCCTTATGGTTGCTTCTCATTCATCATAGTTTTTTTTCTTCTTAAAAAAAGATAAAAAGTCGATCAAAAAAGATAATTTTGACTACAAAATCATTAAATAAAATTCCTAGAATTATCTACCTTCATTCCAGATTCCTTTTCCAAGAGTGGACGACAGAATACGGGGACTGGGACAGGAACGGCAGATGTTGAAGTCTTTGACTGTGATTCCGCTTCAGTGCTTTTACTCACTGAACCACTCTTAGTAGGGAGACTCCAGCCATAAGCCTGTAAGCGCCCATCTTCCTTCCTCACGTGAGCTCTCACCTGCTTATATTGTTCTTTACGTTCCTTGGCTCTCTGCTGCTGTAGCTTCTCAGAAACTCTAAAATTAGGAAATGAAAATTATTTCATCACTGTTCATTACTATCATGATTCTGGCTTTTTAACTTTTTAGATAATCTTTTGTATGTGGAAATAACTTGCTATCTTTGTTAAGAAGTTACTTAATATTTCCATTTAAAAAGTCTTTTTTTTTTAAAGCAAATAGTGAAAATTTTACAATAATTTATAATATTACAAAATAATTTTTCATAAATTACACATAAAAGTTGCACTTTTGTTTTCTATCCTTAATTTCTTCCTTTAAACAGTTAACAAAAAACTGCAAGACAGCTAACTAAGCCTAAGAAGCAATTCTTAAATATTTTATTAAAAAATAATTTAAAATTACAGCTAAAAATAATGAAAAAATATTAATCAACAATAAGTTTTGATTGCTATTACTGACAAATTTACAGATGGTAGAAATAACTGACTATTTCTGACACTAGAAATTTTTTTTGTTTTAAATGAGACATTTTTACAAAACACTTTTCCACAATTTTGCGGGGGGGGGGNGGGGGGGGGGGGGGGGGGATGAAGAAAATTTAGTCACTAATCTGCAGGACCAGTAAATAAAATTCATTAGTAGTTTATAAACATTTTACCGATCTTTTCACATGTCTCAAGTAGGTCCCATTTTTAAAAAAACTAATTAAGTGAATTTTAATGAAAAATTACAATGCAGAGAATGAGTAATATTCATAATTATGATGAATTATACTATTTTGTGACCAAAACAACACACCACCCCTTTATATTCATTGCTATTCAGATGGAACACTAGTTATTTATTTCACTGCAGTTTGAGTCAAATTTTACTGGTCTTAGACCAACGGACTACGGTTAATTTCGAGTCCTGATATTGTTATAAGATATGTACTTTACAGAATTTCCCACAAGAAAGCACCCTCATTTTATTGTCTTCGTAACAGAAGCATTTTATTGCCAACATGAAAACATGTTTTTCATTCACCAAAAAGCACTCTCTTATACAACTGAGAACAGTGGCTATAGCAGTATATTGCTTGAAATTATTTATGTGTTGTGAGTAATATGAAGAGAAACTGAACAGATAGAATGTATACAGTTTTAAACACTCACTTTTCTGAAACACATTATAGACATTGAAGTTGCACAGGAAAAAGACAAAAAACAGCTACAAATAAACCTAGTATGTATCTTTCTATTATTTTAAAAAGATACTTGTTAAGAAACAGGAATCACTGATATTCCGCAATTAAACAAGAGTTTTGCTTACAAGTCACTATCCAGCATATCAAGTCTGTGCCGATCTCCCAATCTCTTCTTTCTCATGGTATCTAATGCTGGAACAGAGCTGGCAGTGGGTGCATTGTACTGCATATGCACAGGCTTCTTTATGGGCTTCTCATTTGGATTGAATAAATTACTAAAACTGAAAAAAACAAACATATTGTTTTTTCTGTAATTTAAAGGATATTAAAAATTTGGATAACTTATAAATATTAACTTATTGAAACTGGAAAATATTACAATTAAGCACCTTGTTTTATTATAAAGCAAACAGGGTACATGCCATGCATGAAAATTATTTTTATAGTGCATATTTTGGTTTTATAAAAAGGCATTTCAACCTTCATACTTATTCATATATGTATGTAAATATGAATAAGCTTAACATATTTTTAATAAGCTTGACATACTTCCTTAATTTACTATTTTATCAGATTACTTATTATATATTTATTCACTTACTATGCTTATTAATTTATAAGATATAACTTAAGATACTTAAGCATAGATATTTTATCAGCTTCAAATGTCAATTCATTAATACGAGATTAGCATATTTATTTTACATAAGGGTTTTGAAAATTTGCATAATTTTGCGAGAGTAGCAAAACTTGAAATTAAAAAATCAATATCATCTGAACGCTTATAAAAGTTTGTTGGGTTATGGGGTGATACAGGATGTTTTTGGAAGATAAAAATAAAGATATTCAAAAAAGTCAAATAATTTATCAAATAAAATTTAAAAAGGCAATCAATTCTAGTGTTAATAAACATTACATTGTCATCACACATTAAGTTTTTTTCCCCATCCATTTTGCAAAAAAGTGTAAAATTCATGCTCTGTTCAAAAAGAATATGTTCAAAAGTGTGATTCGTGTTCTGATTGTTCCTGGGTTGTTAGATTCTCTAATGCATATGGATTGAAAAAGAAATGTAAATTCAAATGTATTGAAAACAGAAATTTTCAAAAGAACAATAGATCTATAAAATTCCCATTGAAATTAAACCACACATCAATTAAAGAGCATGGCCAAAACGAATAGAATGAGTAAAAAATTCTTTGCAATTTTTGAAACTTAACTGATTTCAAAATACAACTCATTTAAAATCTACTGTTCTTATAAATTAGATGCAGCAATTATTGTAAATAACAATTTTTTACCCTTTATATTGTATCACTGATTAAAAAACTGCTTATTTTTTAGTTAATTTGCTGTTGTGGCTAAATGCATAAAGAGTTAATAAAGAGTTTTTAAACGTGTAAAAATTAACATAAAATTTATGAATTCAAGACCTTAAAATTATATAATAAAAACAACAATGAATGATGCTCGCTGAATTTTCGGACATTAAAAAGTCAAACAAATCTATATTATTACAGAAGGAAATAGAATCTAAGTGTCAGCTAAAATCTAACTTTAAAACTACTTTTGCATGAATACTACTTCAACTACTATCCAATATTACCATGCAGGTATCTAAACAATAATAAAGTCATAAAAAGGTGAAATTTTTAAATGACATGGAATGCAATTATTTAATGAAGAGTTAAAAACCTAATTTACAAACTTAACACACAATTAATGAGTGACGAGTTCATCTTACATGTAGTTTATTAACATGTGTAAGCACGTCTGCGACAACAGACTGCAGTGCAAATGGGGCTGAAGCCGAAAATTAATAACCTTGTTTGACAATTTATTGGAATGAGTAGGCAATCTTGATTTCTTAAAAGAAGTAATTGTAAGAAATGAATCATAAAACTAAAATTTAATATAGAATAATTTTTTTAATAAAAATTTCATTTAGATCCTAACTTACAATTTCCATATAGATGATTTATTCCTTTTAGTGTCTAACGAAGGATCACTGCGGGAAGCTCGAATCATTTCAGTCCACCTGACAGCTTCTTGTAATTCCATCAAACGTTCCTTATATTGATTCCTCTCCATCAAAACACGTGCCATTTCTACCCGTGTAAATCTCTTTCTTTGGGCCATCGGCAACTCTTCCTACAATAGCAAAAAATAATAATAATCATTTATTAAACAAGCCTCTCATAAAAACAAATTACATATTTTTTTAAATATAAATTCCAAAGCATTATCTATATGTTTCTATAAGTTTTAAAGTTGCGTACATTTAAATACATTTTAAAGTCACAGATACATTTTAAAGTCACATAGTTGCTGAAAGAAATTTAAAAAATGATATAATTTGTTAAACTGTTATTTTCTTATTTTTAATATTCATTCGTATTTGTTTTTTTTTAATATTATTTTTACTGTTATTTTTTTTCCAACAGTTTTCTTTGGAGAAATAGAAACATATTATTTTTCACAAAATTGTACCCTATTTTGGTGCTATTCCATTTTCAGGGCACATAAAAACAACTTATTACCCCATTACAGTTATTAGCATATTATGTATTTATTACCATGATTAATGAAGGTTAAATAATAGTTTGAAAATTTTTAGAGCTCCCTAAAACAGATTAACACCTCTATTTTAAACTGTTATTTAAAGTTACTAATATCAAACAAGTATTCATTTAATAAACTTTTTTTCTCAACTCATTGTGCAAAATACTAGCATAAACCAAAGCATAAACCAATCATTTAATTCCTTAAATTATGTGTACATTAATTAGCAATTAAAATTTCAAGGCTGGTTACATTAACATCTATGGATTCCTATGCTTAGACAACAACTACCAGGTTTTTATTTATGAATAAAATAATAAGTTTGTAAAATAACAGTTTCTATTCTATTTTTAGCTGAAAACTCTAATTTTTGCTGATAACTATTTGTACATTTCTTAAAAGGCAAGGCATTGAAAATGTTTCTTATTTTAAATCAGAAATATTGTATGAATAAGTTAATGAGGCTACTTATCAGTTTCGGTAGTTTGTAAAAAACCTACCACAATTGTGCACTACCGACATTAATAGCATTTTGACAATTCTTTAAGGCTAACTGTAACAGATAAGTGCCAAAATAAGCAATACACAAACAAAAAAAGGGTTTTCACAAACATACCTCATCATCTGATTTTCCAGATTTTGGATTATCTGTCTCTTTCGCCTTTTTAAGTTCTTCTTCTAGTTCTGCAACTTTTTGCTTCAACTTTTCTTTTACACTTGCATACTGTTTTAACTCCTCCTTCAGTATCTCTGTTTCGCTGTAATGACATAATTATTATAGACTTATAATATTCAAAACTAGTGGTTATCACACTCTGTTTGCTGACGCTCTCCAACCCTCTTTAAAAGAATTAAATTTTTTAGTCAACAAGTTATTAAAATTAAAAAATGATGCCATCGAAAATAACATTAAATAAATAAGTAAATGACATGCCATAGAAAAGCCTCCATCAGGGCAACATTTAGCATACCTCTCAGAAGATTTTTTTTCTTTTGCCCAGAAATGGGATTCTGAGTTGGAAATCGATAGTTGATTTTAGCGTTTGGTAACTCCCATCGGGGGACGCTGTACCTGAAATTCCACTTTCCCCGCCATTAGCTTGATTTTCGGAATTCTGACTTTTTTTATGCTGAATGTTAAAAAAAAAAATTTTTTTTTATATACTGAATATAAAAATAAAAAAAACTTGATTGACAAATTTTTTTTAATTCTTTTGTTGATAACTTGACTTTTCTTTCTACAGATAAAACAAATTAATAAATAAATATCCAGAAAACAGAAATTGTTTTTAAAAAAAACATAGAACTACTCAAAAATTAGCAAGTAAAACCCTCCTTTAACTTAAAAATGGAGGGATGTAATGACAACTAAATTACCATTTATCCTAAATAGGAGGGAGGGGGGAGGAGAGTTAAAAACTCTTATTTATTGTTTCTTTACATAATTTCCTTCATATAGTTGCAATGCATATGCACTGAGGAACCACCAACCCTACTTTCTATTGATTTTTATTCCCAAAGGTTTAACAAAATAGATAATGCAATGAAGACATACAGATGAATGAGGTGGATGGGTCTGAATTGATTGACTGAATGTTTGTTTGTCCTCTGAGTGGCTACAAAGAGGTCTGTAAAATTTCTTATCACCCTAATTATAGTGACAAGAGATGAAAGATACAGATATATGAGAATGTGCCATTCAAACTATCTTGCATGATCCCTTAAAAGTTAGAAATCTTAATTAGATTAAGATCTTCCTAACTACTGAAGAAAGCAAATAAATGATTAGGTGGGGAAAAGGTATGAAAAGAAAATGGATATTGCAAAAGAGTTTGCAATTCCAAGCAGCACATTATCAACAATTCTAAAAAAAAAATAAAGCAATTAGTCCAGAGAAGTTTGATGATGGTTTAAGTAAATGTAAGAAGCTTAAAACTAGATTATTTCCAGAAATGGTGAAATGCAATGATGTGGATTACACAATGTAAAATACAAAATATGGACCTTAAACTAAAGAGAGAGCTGATATTTTTGTTAAAGAAAAGTTGTTTGAAAAGAATTAGGCTGTTTGAAGTTCCAAGGCAGTAATGGTGGGTTGGAATATTTCAAAAACACAACATCATCATATTTTCCAAAACGTGTGGTGAAAGTGTTATTGTTGATGATTGTGCAGAATTTTAAAAAAAAATGTTTGTTGCAGAAAGCAGTCAGTGAGAGGATAGTGAACTCATTAAACAAAATAAAGCTTCTTGTGATTTATCAGAAGAGGAGGAGGAAGAAATCTATAATTTACCAAAGAATATCACAAACAAAGAAGCATTATTTGCTATAGTTACTTAAAGAAAGTATGTAGAAAGTCAGCTAAATATGTCCAAGCCAAAGCCCATTTAGAAAGTGTAATTGATAAAATGTCACATTCTTCCCTTAAACCAACAACAATGTACTTTTTTTTTAATAATAATTTTTAATGAATAGTGTTTGTAGTATTAAAAATTGGATAACTTTTGAAAAATAATGTGAAAAAACTTTTTTTTCTTTCTTTTCTTTATTCTAATCAAGATAATATTCAATTTTTGATAAGTTGAGTTCTTGGTGCTGTGAATTTTTTCTTCTCCCTCTTCAAGTTCGAGATAAGGAAGTTTGATTGTATTTAGTTAGTGCATAACTGGCATTCATTATAAATAACAAAATAACAAGAAAATTGCTCAATTAGAAAATTTAACATTCTATTTATTCCTTTTAACATTTTAAAATTTATTGTGTTATGCTTACATATATATCGGTTACAAAAGACATTAATAGTTTTTCCATATGGTCAACTCACCAAGACGTTTAGGTCACCTTTCGATTTTTTTTAAATTTTTTTTTTTTACAATTCATGGATATTTTAGTATGTATGGCATAGAAAATTTCCTTAAAAAGCTTTTTTTAATCTGTTCAACTTATAAAGAGGTTAGAATAGCATTTAACAAATTGGACTTATTTCAATGATCAACATAAATGGTCTGATTAAAAGGATTTTGCACCATTTTATTATACAGAATAAAATTTGGTTTCTCATAATAGTGATCTATTTAGGAAAGTGGTCAACTTACAAGGGTGATCAATTTTACAGGTTTTATTGTGTACTAATATGCATATTATAGTAAGATATCCTAGTGTGAAATATAATAACGTTTTAAAAATTGAAGAGAGAAAAAATTTAAAAAAAAAAAAAAGAGGATATGCTAAAAATATCAAACAAAGGATTAAAAAATTGTTCTTACATCGAAGTTTAACAAACAACAAAATTTAAGTTTTGAATTTTGTACATTGGTATAATTGGCTTAGATGTTCAGTTCTAAAACAAAACTAAGCATTCCTTACATAACTAATGAGCAAATACATAGAAAAGGTTTTTAGTTTAGCATACTTGCAAAATAATTTTCTACTTACAAAAATCATATTGGGATAATATAATGATAATTTACATGAATGCAAGTTAACTGACTAGATTTTGATAAGAATAATAAATTTTGGATAATGTATAGTAAAAGGTTGAAAAGAGAGAGAAAAGAAAATTAATTAGCTATGTTGCAATTATGCGCTTTACCACAATGTGTAAACTGAAATATATAACAGTTTAATGTTATTATACGAGCATATGAATTTTAAAAAAAACACTCATAAGTATTAAGTTTAGTTTGTTATAAGAAAAATTTACATTTTTGCTGACAGGGAGGGAGACAGGCATGTAAGTGATTTTTCCCCCCACTATCCAGAAGAATAAAATACTTGAGAATGTTTTCCCGTATTTAGACTTGTTTAAGATTTTAAGTTTACTAAAAAATTGAAGTAATGTCCCAAAATTTTGCAAATTTTCTGATTTTATCCAACAAAAGGTTTCCAAGCAGGACATTTTGTTTTTCCCGTTGATTTTATAATTTTCTATATCAATTAGAAGAAAAACAAAAATTTATGAAGAATCGTAATTTTAACATTAATGGCCTAAATTTTTCTAAGCCCCTTTTATGCAAACAGCAAAGACATATAGTTTTTAATTTATAAGTAGCAGTTGGCATTATATTGCAAGCATATTCTAAAGTAAAAATACATATTCTAATGATGAGAATATTAGGCAAGTGAGTTAGAAAGAAGAAAACAATTACCTAGTTAGCTCATCTACTTTGGCAATAAGATCATCTTTGACAACATTAAGTGCATTTCTAAAAGAATAGAAATACAATTTTAAAACAGCCCATAAAATACATGCTATGAAAATATCTTTTATGAATATGTAATTTCATCAAGCAAGAGGTTGCATTTATAAGCATTTTGAATTTAAGCAGTATACTGAAACAATCAATTCAAGCGCTACCAATCAACTTTTTTGCATTCCAAACCGAAGAAACTTCTTAATTAATAGAAATTTGCTCAGAAGAAATTTTATGATTTATTGCTATAATCAGATTTTTAACATGTAGTTTCATGAATTCAAAGGATGATATTACAAATATCATCTTAAAAACTTTACCTGTAGAAGGCAATACTTGCATTTTTGTAACAACAAAAAAAGATTGTTACAGCTATAAATAAAACCTTTATCTTAGCTGTTTAATTAAAACATGAACAAAAATGCTTAATAAATGATACAAACATTACATATAAATATTTATTTATGTTTCCATTAAAAAAATTTCACCTTGTGGCAGATGCAATCAAAATTAGTAAAAAAAAATCCAATTGCAATCTTAATAACAAAGGTAAAACAACAACATGCTTATGTTAACCATATTTAAAATACGACTTTAAGAATTATTTTACTGAGATAAATCTTGTCATATTAAAATTCTGATCTTGAATTCCAAATTTTTTCAAATGTTTATTTCTTTCTATTTTTAAATATAATAAAGAACCAATTATCCCCGATGTCTGAATTTCCCGGTTATCTGGATCGGCCAAAAAGTGTCATTAATCGATGTTTTATATCACCCAAATTACTATGGGAAAGAGTAACACATTTAAAAAAAAAAGAAAAAAAAAAAAGCTCTCCTAAATTTAAAGAAAAATGGTAGAAAAAAGAGCATTTAAAAGAATAAAAATATTTACAAGTTTAGACAAGAAAAACAAGTTTGAAAAATACAAAATTTACATATTTATTTCTTGAAGATAACCAAATTAACTAATATAAAATGAAACCAATGATTAAAAAACGCAATATGTTTCACACCAAAAAGAAAACAATAAAAGAAAAGAAAAACTTATTAATCTAAATAAAAGCAACACTTTAAATTTACATAACGGAAATGAAAGTTAAAAAGGAACTAACATAAATATTAAAACTCCGGACAAGGCGTTATATTATAGAATCAACCGAATTTCAGAAAAAGAACTTAAACAAAAGTTTATTAATAAAAATAACTAATTTATTGATTACGAAATTTATTGTGAGAAAAAGAAAAGAAAAAAACTCAAGAAGAAGTGGAATCAGAAATGTATCACTTTTAAAAAAAGGAAGCTGCAATTTGCTTCATAAAATAATCGTCTGATATTAGTAATAAATAACTGCATGCTTAGATTCATAAACTATCTTCTTTTATTTTCTTTATAAAAGCAGGCGATTTTTAACAAAAGCAGATGTAATTCACATCAAGAAAAACTTGCAAATGATACAGCACTTCTAAAGATTCAGAATTTATTCAATTGAAAAATATAATTTCGTTAATTGAAGTCAAATAGGTAAATATAACAGGGGATTAAAAAACGTTTTGTTCGAAATAAACAATTGTACTAATAATGTATTATCTAAAATCAAGGATAACAAAAACTGAGTAACTAAAGTGGATTTTAAAAAAAAATCTAACTTTTCAATACTCTTGAGGCAGAAGATTATTTATTTTTTGTATTTATTTGGTATAAATTTTGTTTTGTACCACTTTTATTTTTCTTTACATCTTTCGAAAAAAAAAATTTAAGGACGCTCTCATTTTTTCAGAATAACACATGTATTTTTGAGAAATGCGTGTCATTTATGTAATAACCTTATCAGAAGCTTTTTCATACATTGCCTTATCATTTGTCATTCTATAGAATACCTAGGTACTATATAAAATGCCTAGGAAAAAGTATGTAATAATTCTCTCACTCATACTCTGCCTAAAACGTTTGGCATTACATACAATACCTAGGCATTCGATAGAACACCAGGGTTTCATACTCTGCTGGTAACATATACGATCTATGCTCTTTAGTATGACGCTTCCATTATAACAGCTGCTACATTAAGTCCCGTTAGCTATTCCATAGAAGCAACTCGACTCGATATGAGAATCAATAGATTTCCTGCCCGCAGTAGCAGGCACCCCACTCCTTCATCTGTACTAGGGCTTAATGGCGACTGAGACCATAGAAGCAACACTAGAACATCCAAACTAAACCAATCTAGCGACCGAAATTTTGTTTCATTTTTTAATTCACATAAAATCACTCCTAAAACAGGTGTTCAGACATTTTGGCACTATCTAAATTTGTAACATTTTTCTATTGAAAACCAGTCATTCCATAACAAAAGCCCCCAAAAGACTATTCAAACCACTATTTTTTTTGTTACCCCTCAATAAACATCTTTCTATGAATGAAGAAGTGACAGGACCACCTATTCAAACCAGTGAGGTCATGGGCATAATCTATGATCAAAAGAATTGTGAAATAAGGATCACTTAACATTATTGAAAATTCGAAGGGTATATTGCTGTGTCATTTAGAAATCAAGAGTTTCCTGAAAATCCCTTTTTTTCAAAATTTCTTTTAATAAGGATAAAGACATTCATCAATCTTACTTTTCTTGTTCCAAAATTTTATTCAATTTCTTTTTTTTGTGAAGTGTTGTTAGAGATGGTTTATTTTGGAAATTCAAACATATGGAATTATTTGCTTTCTTTTTTATTTTAGTTTTGCTCAATTCTCTGAACGTTAGCGAAAATGGCTGTTGCTAACCAGACTAATGCTTTTATGCTTAGAGTGGAAATTAATAATTGTTTTTATTAATAAATTTAATAATTGTAGAAGTTAATAATTTTAATTTGCGGTGCTCGCCATTGCCACTAATCTTACAGCCAGCTTGGCAAGTTAAGGTCTTCAGGTAACAGCAGCCCTGTGATAAATATTCTCCTTCAGATGAAGAACTGCCACTTACCTTTACAACCTCTACACAAGCTAGCTAGGTCGCAGGATGACAGATGTTAAAATTTGTTTATGTTAAATTAATGTTTGTGTTTGTGAAAGAAAAATGTTCTGAGAGAAATCAGCATTTCTTACTTTCTTCAAATTAATATTGTTAGAGTGGAAATTAATACATTTTGAAGGAAGATAGAAGAATACCATCAAAATCAAGAATTGCTAAATTATTCATGATCTGGCAAAGATCTTTGTTTACACGAATCGTAACGTAATTCTAAAGGCAAAAAACAGGGTGTTCCAATTTCAAGACATAGTTTTTGTAAAGCAAAATTTTAAAATCTAGAAAAAATTGGGAACTACTGGCTGAAGTTTATGACAAATATTAAATGTATTTTTAACCTTTAATGTACTATATTGAATAATACTTGCATTTTATTGACATTGAAAAATTGTGTATTACTCAGTTTCATATTCGATTTCAAGTGTCGCATGTTTTTGTCAAAATATGTAATAAAAATAAAAAAACTAATATATTTTCATGGAATGCTGACAAATAATCTCAATAATTATTTAAGATATTACAATACAATATTATTTAGGGATATGGAAGTTTCCTTTTTTTTTTTCCAAATAGAACTAGTAGTTTTTTTTTTTTTTTTTTTTTTTTTTTTTTTTTTTTTTTTTTTTTTTTTTTNTTTTTTTTTTGCTAAAAAAATAACAAATAATCTTTTTTTTTCATTCTATTCAATGGTTTACATTAAAAAAAAAGGTAAAAATTTAATAACAACATTTTTCTTTAGATTGAAACTTACTTTGTAGCAAGCAGTTCATTGTTTTCAGATATAAGATTTTCAACTTCTTTTCCCATTCCTGCAAAAATACATTATTTTAAAATAAAATATATTGAGAATGATCACAAACACAAAGACTAAAAAATATATTTGTACAAAATAAGGAAACTGTGCAAAAATATTAAAAGTAGTGCTTATCAATATCTTGCATGCATATTAAAAAACATCTAATTGCAAGAAAATTAAGTGAACTATTACAAATGATACAATGTAAATTTGCACATCTATTTAATTATTATCACATCTATTTAATTTAATTATTAATACACTATTAATTGTTTTACTGCAAAATGTTTAAATCCCAAAACCTGTCTCAAAGACATTCTGCGTAGTTTTCATTGCTAAATGTGGATATAGTTATCTAGACATATATATATATATATTTTATCTAAGGTTGTTTTATGCGAAGAGACTTCGAGGCTTGCTTAAACTGTTCACCAATTATTTTGCGACTTTCATTAGATGTAGGGAAACAGAGGGAAATCTTCATATTTATAAATAACGATAATTGATTAATAATTATATAAATTAAAGCTCACCTACTAGAAAGTTTTAATTGATAAAAAGTTTTACAGCTGATATCCCTTAAGAAAACTTTAACATTCCTTTAAATTTAATGATAATTTAAATTCTAGAACTAAAAAGAAATAGTCTATGTTATTAAAAAGTTATTATTTGAATAAAGAAAATTACTCAAATTGTATTGAATTTTCTAGAATGTAACAGAACTTAACTCTTTATTTTTTTAATTCTTAAAAACCTTCTCCCCCAAATACCTACAAAAAATAAATAATTTTTCATTCGTAATAATTTTTCTAATGGGTCATATTGAATTTACTCAGAGTAATAAATTTTACGTGAAAAACTGTATTTTAAAATTTTATACTATTAGCTAAAATAAGATTACAACACGCATTTCGCAAAATAAAAATAATTTAAAATTATAAAAAAAACAAATAAATAAAGAACACAAGAACAAATTGTTTTTCTTGTGTGTTTATACCATATATAGTTTAAAGAATTCAAAGTGTGACGTAAAAAAAAATACTACTACTTAAAGAATTTACATAAAGTATTATTTTTAATTTTCCTTTTTTGAAATTTAAATGTTAAAACTGCAAAGCTCGTTTTGGAATTCGCTGGCTTAGTGACAATAAATAAACTATCGAAATAGTTTTTTCAAAATTTTAAATATAACAGAAAAAAATTTTAAACATGTTTCTTGAAATATTTCATGGAATATTTTTTCCGATTTAACCCTCTTCCTAAGAAAATTTCTGTAAGCACCCTTGACAAAATAAAATAAAAAGATAATACATTTTTTAAAAAAAACTACTACTACTTAAAGAATTTGTACTTTCAATAACTTTTTCGAAATTAATTTTTTTATTAATATTGGTTTTTTTTTACTAATAATATACAAAAAATTATATACTGTATTAAAACTTTTACATAACACTCACTAAGCATTCGCAACCTCGTCAAATGTGATAAAATTGTAAATTCGGCTAAAAAATTAAGTTTTGGCGAAAGTATTAGCAAATGAATTTTTCTACTGAAAAGAAAAATATAAATACCTCTCGATCCTGAAAAAAAAGTCAAAGGAAATTTTTCTGAATAAATCATGTGTTTTTTATTCTATACCAGTAATTTTTATTAAATACATTGCATAACCAATTAGAATTATATTAAGTCCAGATAACGTAAGCAACAAGAGAGTAATGCACTATGTAATTAGAAATTTAATTGAAAAAATATCAAGCATTTGTACACTATAAATAACTATCGATCAAAATCAAAGTTGATGTTTTATATAACTTTACTTTAAATATATCAGCATGCAAAAGAAAATGTGCAGAGAAAGATAATATAAAAACATTTTTATTTTCTAATTAAAAAATAACAAGCAATTATTATATTATCAATATTATATCAATATCACAAACAAAGATATTAAAAGGGTTAATAATATAATTGATTAAAGGGAGGAAAAAAGTTGAGAATGCTTACCGAAGAAATTGTCATTAGCTATAGAAGAGCAGGCAATGAAGCATTCAATAAAAAGAAAGGAAAGAAAAAAAAACATTATTTAAATGCAATGGGAAAGTAACATGCAAATAAGTGTTAAATGCAAAAATTTCAGTGCTTGTACAGATGAGCAATAAACAATTGTATTTACATTAAAAATTAATATTTAAGATAAGAAATGAAGAAGAGCTCACTATGAATCAGATTAATATCATTAAAACTTGTTCTAATATTACAGAAAATAATAAATAAAAAAATATGCAGAATAATATGCAAAAAAAGCGAAATTAATTATTTTAACTTTTTAATTAATTATATATAAACAATTATTTATTAACCTTTTGAAAACAGCTTCTGGTCCAACACGAAGACCCAAATAATAGGCTATGATACAGTTAAGACACATACGCGAAAGCTGTACCATTATCCAGTTACAATGATCAAAGAAATTTTAAAAAATAGTAAAAAAACCATTATAATTTTACAAGAATTTTATCCAAATAAAATTTATATTCTAAAATTCCATTGAATAGTAATGAAGTTTATGAAGAAATATAGAAATAAAAGATAGTTTCATGAAACTTAAAAATACATTTTAGAAAACAAAATAATTAAAGAAATTTTAATATTTCCTATGTAAACCTTTTAACGTACTTCAAAGCTTTTAATTATAATTGTTATTAAATGTTAACGATTATCTCAATCAAAACCAAATCAATTATATCTGAAAACGATTAAATTATAATCTACTGATGTAGTGTGCATATTTTTAAAAAAAACTGACTCTTTTCACAAAGAATTTTTTTAAATTTAATGTAGAAAATATTACCTTTATATACACATATAAGCTTATGAACCAAGAAAGAAAACAAATAATAAAAACTGCAAATGTCATTAAAATCAGGTCAATGTTAAAAACAAGAAAGGATTTTAAATAGATAAATCATATATATAAATAAAACAGTGTTAAACGAATATTTCAAATTAGCATGATATTTAGTGATGTTCACTGCCTTAACCATAGTCATTGTGGTTTCATATCAACATAAATTATATGACAAACACTTTTAATACTCTTTGTGACACTACTCCATAAATTCTTATTAGTTCATGATTTATAGTGAATGAAATATGGATTACGTGACTTGGATAATCACAAATGTATATTGTATTGTCAAGTGACAATTTTAAGTTACATATGCTATTGTCAGATTAAAAGGGTGAATTCACAATCTTAGTAAATTTTCTATCATAGCAATTCAAGAAAAAAAAATTTTTTTACAGTGATATTAAAAAAAAATAAAAAAATACATATTTTTGATTTGATTCATTTATTACTACAAGCCAATATGATTTAACATTCTGTTTAAAATTGCAATTAATTTGAATACTTTTGAATCAGAACTTAATAATTTTAATTAAAATGTTTTGCTGACTTCATATGCATTTACAAAGTTTTCTCCAAAAATTAATTTAAGAATGACCCTTCAGTTTGAAATTACCATTAATACAGTGGCACATTAATTTTTTCAAATTAGCTGTACAAAGAGATCACTTCATATGTTTTCACCTTCAAGAAATAGAAAAGTATATAATGCAAAAATGTGTAATTTCAAAGGATACAATTAAGTAAATAGAAGGATAAAAAAAATTGCATTATTAAAAATTATTCTGTTAAATACCCAAGTCTTATTATATAAAACATTGTTTGGTTAAAATTAATCTAGCTTTTTTTAGCTATGAGTAAATATCTAAAAATAGTATTTTTGTGCACTCAAGATATGTTAATTTTCATTTCTATGATAAAACATGTTATTTTTTTTCCTACATCAACTGTATTTAAAATGAATGTAAGCATTTAACGTGTTCTATTAATTATTCAAGATTAAAGGGAGTTGCTTATAAAAGATAAAAATAAAATCTAATACAAATGCAAATTACTGCTCATTAAAAATAATAAAACTAATTAAAATTAATGTTTCAAAATGTTTTGTTAAATAATAATTCAGGTAAAAAAGCATTGTTTGAAATTAAAAGTAGCATCAAAGCAAACAGAAAGCTTTAAAAATAGTGATTATTACTATGTCTTTAACAATAATAATTATTTTCTTGACACTTTTAATAAAATATACTTATTACTCACACAGAAAAAACAACACAATTTTTATTTCAAGTTCAAAAATTACACTCAGTCAAGCTATATTTTTCTATTTGCAAAAAATAAATGTGTTGTAAATCAATCAATATTCAATCTTGAGGGTAAATAAGTTTAGTATTGAAACTTAAAATATTGACTAAATAAACTTTGCTAAAACATCTGTAACAATTAAGATGCTCTACCACAGTAGAAACCCTTCAAATGGCAAATTCTTTTTCACTGTCCTTTAAAATTTAAAGATTGATAAAGTAAATTTGGTAAACCATAAAAGTTTCAACTTTTTTCTTCAAACTACTAACAAATGAAGGAATTATTTAATATTTTTATAAAATAATTAATATTAATATAATAAAATATTAAAATATATTTTAGTATTTAGCATCTAAATGTTTTAAAAATATTTTTTCAGCATTTGAAACTTAATGGCTTATTTGAACTCACTTATATCTAAAATTTATATTTTAAAACACCAATTAATTTGAAACAGAATTCCCCATGAAAAGTTTCTCTCATAGCATTGTAGTTTATGCATTAAAATGCTTCAAGTATTAAAAATGCATAAAAATGAAGTTATTTATAAATTAAACATAAAACTGATATTTAAGTTATAATATTACTAACAACAACTTTAACCATATAATTTGTTTCATATTTTTCATGATTTATCTACATATCCTGTAAACAAATTAACAAATTGTAAAAACTTCAGACCTGTGACATGAGCTTGACTATTGTGATTGTGAGTTAAGTCACATCACATAATGCTTCAGATTATGGTTGCTTAACATCATAAAAAGTTCTCATATTTTTTATGTAATAAGAATAATCAGCTATAGTTAAGAGTTATTAGTCGCTCTAATTTTCCTGCATCCTTCATTTTCCTGTAAGTACCATCTTCTTTTAATGGTCTGTGACGAATGCTATTCATATAATGTCAACTATTGGTTTTTAAGTTAGCATATCCTCACGTCAATCCTTCAGAAATTCCACCCAGATTTAAAAAGCATTTAGGTTATTTCGTTTCGAGAAGAAAAAATATTAACTCCAGATGCTAATGAAGATGAATATGTAGAATTTTTACGATTTGAGGAAAATAGCTTAAACAGCACATTTTATGTTTACATCCGTTGATGAAAATGTTGAAATTTGTGGTGTTGTTGGTTCTATACTTTCTGTAGTCCTTTCTGCAGTACCACGATTTTACAGAAAATGAACAGGATTATATAATGAAGATGAAAATGTAGATTTTTTACAGTTTAGGGAAAATGCCTTAACAGTTCATTTGATATTTACATCAGTTTATAAAAATGTTAAAATCTGTAGTGCTGTTGCTTTTAGAAGCTGATAAAGTACAAAGACAGCCTTTAAAATAATAGGAAACTTTCTGCTTTCACATGATTTTACAGAAAATGAACAGGAATTTGTAACAAATAACAAAAATTTATCAGTTGTTTGTGCTGAGAAGAAAAGAGTATGTCCAAAAACAAATGTGTTTACATTACTTTATAGATATTTTTACATTAAGTACGTAATTTCTTAAATAAATTTTTTTAAACTTAATCTATTGATTTTCAATTCCATTACAATTTAATTATTTATCATACATTAATTGTCAATCATATATCACATCAATATTTGTTATGTTATGCTTACCCGCATTTGCTGTTTTTCCATATCTATCGTTTACCATTTTACCATGAATGGTTACATGAAAAGCCATTGATCGAGGTTCTACTATTATAAATGCAATGATTGTCCACTTTGTAAAATCAAAATTTCTTAGATACTTATGAAATAGAAATTTCCTAGATACTTATAAAATGTTTAAATTTAGGAAAATAATAACAATTTTAAAATTCTGTTCTTTTAAGAAAAGTTGAGGCAATTGATAATCCAGAACAAATAGGTTGCTATCGGCCTAATGCAGTAGAGATTAGAATGTTGAAATTAAAATCCAGTATGAATTTTGTGAAATCATGAATAAAAATATTTGTTCAATCAATCAATGCTTAAAGTTCTTTGTCTGATAATTTATAGTCTGATATTTCTAATAAAAGTTATAAAATTTATTTATTTGATGTTAAAACACAAATTATTTGTGCTTGGTAGTTTTAAAAAAAAATTCCAACAGGTGTTCAACCCAAACAAAAATGAAATAAAAAATTATAATTAAAATTTATAAAATATTAAGGAGAAAACTAATTACAATTCCATCCAGTAAGAAATTATAATTCCTCCCAGAAAGTTTTTATTCTTTGACTGCTATTTCTTAAGGAATTTAAAGATTCAATAAATTTAATTACTTAAAAAGCTTTAGGCAAAATTTATGAAAGTGAAAAAATAAAATATATATATACATGTAATTTGCAAGACAACATTTCAAAGGTCAAAACATAACTGTTTGACTAAGCAAAAAATAAATAAAATAAAGATAATTCTTACATATTAAAAATTTATAATTTTGAAAAGAAAAAGTAACTTATTTTCTCACCCTTATTATCTCTCTCACTGTCCCCTTCACTTTCTATAAAGCACATGCAGCAGATGAAGTACAGCAAAAGTAAATAAAAAAAAATTATAATTGATTTTAATTTCATTTTTTCAGAATGCTTTATTCACAAACTAAAGCACAGACAAACTCAATATTCACATTTTGAATTAGAAATAGAGTAAAACAAGCTTTTTAAATTTACATTTATTGGTTGAATGTAGATTTTAAATGCACAAGAGCAGAACATAAACATTGCTTAGAAGCAGACTAAATGGTGTTATAAACAAAGTCTGACAAAAAAAGGCATAAAAGAATATTATGAGCAAAAAAAAATTGACAATCTAAAGAAATAGAAGCTTTGTATTTTGCAATATTGATATGATATTGCAAAACAACAGTTTATAAAATAAAAAAAGACTACTAAAATATTTTATTTAAAAAAAATATTAAATGACAAATAATTGTGGGATTGCTCCATTTATAATAAGACTTTATTCTAGAAATTGTATATGATTTCTAATTAAGTATTTTTCAACAAAACAACAAACCTTGTATTATAACTTGTGCAATATTTAAATACTAATATTATCAGATCTCCTGCAGAAAATTTAAATGTAGAGTTTTCTTACACTTTAAATATAAAGAACAACAGTCATAATAAATTTTATAATCAATATATAAAATATAAATTAACAAGATTTATATTATATCATGGCAATAACAGCTTAGCTAAAAATTTCCTTAAATTATTGGTAGCAAATATGGAATTAGTCATATGATCTTTAAAGTTAAAAATTTATAAGTTAGGTTAAATGTAAAAATAAGAATTACCCAAATTTGCTTAAAAATATACAATACGCAGTGAAAAATAACATAATATTTCTAACATTTAATATATACATATATATCAAAGATATTAAGTTTCCTCAAACATTAATTTTGAAAGTGTATAATTTAAGTAATAAATTAGCTAATAAATAAAACAGTTAAATTAATATTAAACAACTGACCTGATGATGCATAATCACCAGAACCAGTGAACCTGCCAGCACCTAAAATTAAATAGGTATTTTCACTAATACATACTAGCATTTCATATTAATATGTGCCATAAAATTATAAAAAAAAGAGAGAGAGAGATTTGTGATGAATATTAGTTTGAGTTGAAGATAAGATTAATACAAAGTGAAATCAGCTGCTTTTATTTGACCAAAATAAATAAATGCAAATTGATAAATACTGCATGCATTGTATTATCTTTGGTATGCTCTTTACGCAAAAATTTGGGAGAAATGATATTTAATATTCATCATCATTTATAATTGCGTTTAGCTGTAATTGTGTCTTAATTTAGTTTAATTAGTTATAAAGATAAAACATAATATTATGATATAGTTTCGAAAACCAGCTAGTTAACAATTCGGAAATATATGCTGCTTTGTATAAATGGTTTATTTGAAAAAGAAGTGAAGGAATGCTACTAATTTGCAGCTGAATTTTAATATAAAATATTTTTAAGCTTATATTTTTTGGGTAAAAAAAAAGTCAAGATTTTTCACACATGATTTTTAAGTTTTCACCTATATTTTAGTGACATTTGTCACCCTAGTAGTCTTTGCATCAAAAATAGTGGCTTTATTTTTAGTTGCCAGCCCGGAAATATATTATCTTGCAGAATATAGAAGATGGCTCCTTAAACATGCTTGAAAAGTGGGGAAAAAATTATTAATCTGCAATCAAAAAAAAAATTTAGGATTTTTTTTCTTGAAGTTTAATTAAATTTTTGTACCATTTTGCTTTACTTTTGTTACCGATTTTATTCTTTTATTAATGTAAATAGTTTCATAAAAATAAAATGTTAAAAAGACACGCATATAAACATACTAAATTATTATGAAATACATTGACCTTAACCTGCAAGAACGTAGTAGAACGCTTCCCAATTTTTATTTTACAACAAATTTTGCTGAAGAAGTCTATTTAATGATGATTTTTAAATATTTTATCTTTTTTAGATATCTTTTCTTAATGTAAATAGTAGAATAAAAATAAAATATTTAAAAAAATCACATAATTAAACATGCTAATTTATAATGAAATAAACAGACCTAAACCTGCAAAAGAGTGTGGTGGAACACTCTCCAATTTTTTATTTTGCAACAAACTTTGTTTAAGAAGTCTATTTAAGGATGATTTTTCATGAAGGTTGATAATTAGAAAGACAGCAGGATTTTAATAAAAATGACTGGCCAATTTTTGATGAATCATATTCTTTTTACTCTTTTTTATCAAAATTAAAAATTAATTAATTTAAAGTATGATATGGTCATCCCAATGTTGTGTGGGAATACCCTATGGACTTTCACCCACTGTAGCACCTTCTTGGATGTCTCATGTCTTTGCAGGTCATCCGGGTGCCTAATGCCTAGTGTTGTAATTTTGGGGTATCCATAACCGCTGTACACTGAAAAAGGGATGCTATTGCTTTATAGTTAGACCGGTATTCCCCATGTAATTCCCCGGACTTTACTGGTTGTTTTCAGATTATTTCCCCTTGTGAGCTCATATAATAATATATTTCTCCATATTTGTTCCTTTACATAATTTTTTATAAATTTACCAAATTAAGGATTCTAAATTTAAAAATGTGAGTTTCCATAATCAACTTTGAGAATAAAATGTAAAGAGAATATTGCAGCTTAAGATCAAGTGGGAGGAAAAGATTTTTGCCTAGATACATACAATACCCAGAATATTGTTCACCATGCCCAAGTTCTGGTCCGATGCAAAAAAATGAAATTCTGAATAAAGACATTCCTTTTTAAGATCTTTGCGAATTTATTTCATCTCCATTAATTTGGAAAATAATTAAGCCGGGACAGCCTGGCTGACAGGGCGCCGGACTCACACCTGATGTTTGAACTGGAGTTAAAATCCAACCGGCCGAAGACTCTCCTAGTGATTACTGGTGCATGTTAAATCTATCTGGTCACAAAGTCCTCCATGTTCCCATAACAAATTATACCTCGAGATGTACTGAATTGGAGATTGATTGTTCTCTGGTTTAGGTCAAAATTGGGATTTATGGATGAATGAATGGACATATGAATCAGTCCACTCTATAAACGGATGTGACATATGGGTGTTGCAGAAGACAAATTCTTGGCCATAGATAGTGCTACTTAAAAAAAGAACAATCCCCTGCCTTAATGGCTGATGACAATAACAACAGGTAAATAATTGGAAGAGTGAGAAAGGAGGCAGAGACAATGGATCTGAACTGAGTATATGTTTCCAAGCAGAGGGGGAAATGAGGATGATCTCGTTTCAATTAAACTCGCACCCTGCATCAGTAATCAGAAAAATGTTCACACACATGGCGCAAAACATTCGTTGAAATTATCCAGTTAATTTAATTCATAGTTTACTAAACTAATAACACAATTTTTTGTGTGGACTTGACGAATCATCTTTTTTTTTACACTCTGTTTGTGAATAAATAAAATTACAATTTCTAATTTTTATACTGACCTGAAATGTCGGCACCTTCATCCATTTCCACAAGAGCATCATTATCTTGGAAACTCAATTCCTGATACAGGGTATTCTGCCTACGACGTTCACTATAATATTGCACATAACATATTAGGATATGCAAACCATAATCAAATACATATTTAATTTTTAAAAGAAATTTTAATCTTTTAAAATATATAAAAATACACAATGGTAGAAACTAAGAAAATGTAATGGTATGAGTTAGTCCATTTTCATTTTTTTTTTATTATCATTATTATTATTTGTGTAATTACACAAGGTGTTGCCAAAACACAACACGAAATAATGATGTTCGGGAAGTTACATGACATTTCCTTACTGTGTTTTGGCAACACCTTGTGAGCGAACACCCAGTTTGTTAATCATAGTGTTGCTGAAACACAAAAAGGAATAGTGATGTTCCAGATGTCACGTGACACTATTAAACAATACATACTCCATATTTTCCACCTAACTATTAAATAATGCTAAACTTAGGCACCGATTCATAATATCTTCCTCATGCGAAATTTAATTATTGATCCATAAGGCCATCTAGATAATGTATCCTAATGCAATTAATAATGGTTTTATTTTCACATAAGAAGATGCTATACCACAGGAGAAACCCTTTGTGAGAAATTTTATTTCACCTCCATGGGAAATTTAAAATTTTAAGGATGGAAAAAAAGGAGTTTAGACAAATCTATAGAAAACTAAGAAGCTACAAATACTGAGTATTATTTAACAATATCAAAATGCAAACAAATTATGGCAGGGTTATTTAATCACTGCACAATCTTAAATAATCTTGTCCTAAACTATTTATATTCTGATATTTTGAAGGAAAAAAAAATTTTCCAGCATTTTCAAATGCTGAAAAAAAATTTTTTGCTACATGATTAACTTTTAGGGTTAATCATTAATTCCTCTCCATGTATCAGAACTCAAATTTTTTAGAAACTTAAAATCAATTATATAGATTAAAATGATTTTGCTATGAAGAGTTTGTAATGTTTTATCTAATCTACAATATCAATTGCACCATTCTACAGTAGTCATTAACTAAACATTTAATTTACATTTGGAGTTTTTATTTATACCTGTTTGGCTGAGTGTGCGAATCGTTACCAAGAAGCAGAGAGACATTGAATGCAACCTCATCCTTTTTTGAATTTGCATTTATTTTCAAATTGGAGACACTCATAATAATTTACTTTGAGCCATGGTGGCTCAGGGGATAGAGCATCTGTCTTCCAATGAGGTGAACCGGGTTCGAATCCCAGCAATGGTTTGAGGATATGAATTCCGCACCCTGCTCGCACAGACCACAGTGCTGGCGTAAAATATCCTCAGTGGTAGAGGGATCATGGGTTAGAGTTCCCTTGCTGTTAGGCTAACCGTGGGAGGTTTTCCTCTCCATGTAATGCAAATTAGTTCCATCAAAAAGTTCTTCACAAAGGCAAATTTTCCCCAATACTTGATCCAGGGGTTCCTTTGTCTTTTGATTGGGTTCAAAATTACAAGGCCATGGAGTAGAACATTAGTAGTTGTAAACATAAAATTGGGTCGGCTGGTGGTTGAAAGTTATAAAATATGTTAAACTTTATGTTAAACGGTGCTGGCATTGACATTATGTAAATTACGTGTAGGTTTAAATAGAACTGTCACTTCCACTTCTTAACTGTTGCTTTGTTGATGGTTTCTATTTTTAAAGTGATTTTCTTGCATCCATCGTTAGTTTCTAAGTTACCCGTGTGATGTTCATCACGTTTTCGTGAATTGTGAAGTATTTATAATTAAAAAGATGTTTATGGCATTGTAAGTGTCTGAAGTTTTAATTTCTATAAGGTCCGACCTCCGGGAGATGGAGTCTTGCATTCTTCTCATAGTTAATGTGTTGCCCTTATGATATTTTGTAATTTTATGCTTTAGGAAAAATTTAGTGATGAGCCAATAAAACCACTTAACAGCTTTCTCTCACAGCACAGCTCATCCTCTTAAGCTCGAGTCTCACATTAGCATCCTCATTTAAAACTGCAGGCTAGTTATGACAGTTAATGGGACCAAGTTATTTCTTTCTTTATAAAGAATATCACATGGATAATTAAAAAAACAGAGTTCTCCCCAGGAATAAAAAAGATGCTTCCTCACAGAAAAGGGCATTCACTTACCACTATTAAAATTTATCAAAATGTGTAACAACTGAATTTGATCCTAATTTTTTTAATTACCCTCTTATACTATTTTATGTGTATATTTCGAAGCAATGCACACTCATTTTCAAAATAACAGAAAAATTTGAAGCTTTTGAAAAATAATTGAAGACAGGCTAAAAGCAATCTCTGTGTATAAATTTTCTCCAAAATAAAAAACAAAAAAAACTAAACAAAAAAAGAATTCATTAACAAAGTGAAAGCTTTTTTTTTTATATTTTAAACTGTAAATTCCTAGAATAAACATTTAAAGGTGCATTTTTAAATAAAAATTATTTACTAAAAAAAAATGGTAAAATTTAAAATCACTAAAAATTGGTTAACATACAATACATAACATACATACCATATATAACATATAATACCTCCAAAATAAAAGATATATATTAGAAAAGATATAAAGAACATTTCTGGGGCCGACAACACGAGAAAAATCTTACAACACGAGAAAAATCTTACTAAAATGAAGGAATGAAATTAAATAAAGCTAAATAATTATCAATAACTAAATAAATCAGAAGTGGACTCTAAATTAAGATAGGTGATTAAGAGAACAATTTGTTTCCAGAAAAATAAAAAGGAAGTGTTTTTAAGGGATGACCACTTATTTATACAAAAAGGGAAAGGAGAACACATTTATAGGGATCAAAGGGTGGGCCTCCCTTCTAAAAACATTTAAGGAGAACACTGTATATAAAGCCATTAAATCAAAAAAAGAATAGGAAAATTTTTTCTCTTCAATACAAAACACTAATTTCTCTTCTTAATAGCAACCAAAAAATAAAATACATAACATACATTCAATTCTAATGAAAATTGAAACTGGTGAGATCACGTGCAATTCTTCTTCACATAAAATAATAAAAAGCATACCTTGTAAGTGTGCTGTTTTCCAGGTTAAAACTAAATCCGTCCATTTCTTCAACTTCGTCCATTTCCGGAGTGGTAACAATTGCATCATTTAAGTTGGCATCCAAATCATCCACCCAGCCATCTCCTAAACATAAATATCGACTTTTTTTTTAGAATTGAAAATTTCTTTTTTGTACAGTTACAGAAACAATGCAACTGTTTATGTAAGATAAAATTCGTTTGCAATGTGAATCAGTGTGTACTTTTTTTAATAATGTATTCGTAACTTTTTAAAAATTTAAATTACTAGTAAATAAGTGGAGTTGCTGCTGCACATGGCTTTAGATTAGATAACACCTGGCCTCTTATCCACTTTTCAAAAAGGCCTTGCTTTAAGAAAAGACCTCCTGGAGTCACAGACCCCTACTAAATCACCCCTCTCCATTTCCTCAGTGACCGTGCCTTTTAAGTAACAAGGCAGGTCTCAACACTATTTATTTAACAACTCTAACAGAAATCATTAAGAAGTTTCTCAACACATATAATTGAAATCCTTTTACAAATTTGTCTGCTGATCATCCTTTTTTGCTTCAAATACCATATGCATCTTATAATAATTTTTTGTTTAATAAATTAAGAATTATAAATATTTTATAATGTTCTGAAATTCATCTTATTTCTCACCCGCTTCTTAAAATTTCTCTTCATTTTAGAAATAAACCTTGTAGCGTTAACAACATTTTGAAAAATGCTCTAAAAAATATTTATATTAATAATAAGTTTTTTTTAAATCGGTAAAATTTTTAATGAAGTTTAAAATGTGGCCACATGTTTTAAAATGAGGCCAGTCTTAAAAATACTACAACTGGCTACTAGCAAAATTTTGTTAATTTTGCTCTAAGGTTGTTAGCGGCATTGTGACAATTCAATATATCAACTTACTTGTTCCAGTGCTCCTGTCACTTAATGTCGGCTTATCCGTCACTTGGGATTTTTCACTCATAGATTTCTCTCTGCGGCGTGAACCACTTTTCCTCCTGGGACTAGTACCAATATTGGTAAAAGTTGCCTCCTGTGAAAAATAGTGCATACAGCCAAATACATTCAGAAAAAGAACCAAAGTTTATGCATTACGGTAATATTTTTATGCTTCCCAAAATACATAAATATTACCTAAAAATGCTAAAATGAAACAAATAATTAAATAGAGGAATTTAATCTTAATAAAAATAAGCAAATAAAGATACAAGATTATGAAGCAATTTATTGCGACACATTTATAGGTGAGTAAAAAAAAAAAAGGTAATCAAAATTATTTATTAATCCTAAAAGTTAACTATCACTAGTATTAAGGAAACAAAATCTAGTTACTAAAGCAATATCATATTAATGTGATAGGTGTAAACAGTAGAATCCCGATTTTCCGCTTTAACCAAGCTATCAAATATTTCTAGTTGTTTTTTTGGTTCTAGTTTATATTTCATTTTTTAAAACTATTGCGGAAAAAATTTTGAATTTAATCTTCCAAATACTCAGGACAACAAGCTGGCTGACAACACAAGATTACCAATGAAATGATCATTAATATTGTCAATAATAATAATGAATATAGCGAAGATGAAGACAGTCACGATGAAAATCAATATTTAAAAATCTCTCATACAGATGAACTAAAAGATATCAAGAGTGCTATTGAATATATAGAACAACAAGAAAGAACAACACCAGCCTTCTGTTATCTCTAATAAAATAGCAAAACATTGCTGCAAAAAAGCACCATAGTAATGCAAAACGATTAAGAACTTTTTAAAGTAAAAACTGATTAATTTTCGTAAAGAATACTCTTTAAGTGTTTTTACATAAGCTTTATAATTATAATATGAACTGTATGAGATGTACTTGCATAAATTTTGAATTTCTTTAAATATATTACATTTATACCTACTCTTTTTCTTTCCTTTTTATACTCTTAGCTTTACCTGAGATTTTCAGTTATCCAACTTAGTCGTAGTCTCCATTAACATACTCAATTAAAAACAAAAAATTTGCTTTTGAAGCACGTTATTTTGTTTTTCAAAAAAAAATAATAATAATTCTGGAAACAAAATAATTAAATGAAAATTTAAAATTAATTTCAAAATTTGATTGAGAGAAAATAAATATGAGAAACAAATTAAAATTAGATAAATATAAATAAAAAATAGTTGCAACAACGATAAGAAATCTTTTTAAACAAAAAATAAGTATGGTTAACCTCTATTTCATGTTTAAGACTTGTATTTGAGTCTGTGCTTAACGTAGGGGATACCATTGAAGAGACATCAACTGGACTTGTGATTGATTTATTACTGATTTCTTGTGGAGAGACAAAAGGAACAGTTTCCGATTTTGAAAAATTGAGAGGTCTAAAAATAATTACAAAGAATTAAAACAAAACTTAAATTAGAATCAATATGCTAACACATTTTATTCAATAGAGAAAAAAATTATTTAATTTATGCAACATGATTCACACAGCCGTCAGAGTGGGAAAAGAACAATAAGTCAAAAAAAGTAAATTTTAAAAAAAACAAAAAAACATTTGAAACTATTTTGCAAAAAAAAAAATTTTTTTAAACTATTTATATACTTTTTTTTTCTTTTTTTACTATATGTGCACATAGACAATCCAACAAACTGCAAAGCTTTATACATAAATCATGTTTAAAGAAAAAAACAATAAATTAAAACAACAAAATTATGTAGAAATATTAAGAAAAAATAGAATTTTAACATTTTGTTCTAAAACTCAGAAAGTTAGAAATTCCGCAAAAAGTCGGAAGAATCTTATACCTGTTTATAATATATTTGAAAAAGAAACAAAATAAAGATTGTTTAAATTGTGTGTTATGTTAAATAAATCAGAATTTGACAAATCTGGGGGAAATGGCTTAAAATTTGACAAATAGCTGATGAAAAATTATCAGATTTTCAATGAAATCATTGTGAATTGAGCACATTAAAAAATAATGGACTATATTCACAAATTATGTTTCATAATATTATGTATATTCAAATTTAAAAACCTGTGAGAAAATAGCGGATAAAATGATGAACAACTTCCAAAAACTTTCAACGCTGTACTTTTTTGTAGAATGAGTTATTATTCTGGTAGTCCACGGCGATTGATTGAGTGCAGGATTTAGTTGCACAAGGTCCAGCAGTCCATGGCAAGAGGCAAATTTGCTTAGAAACCACAGAGAATCCATAGTAGTCAGAATGTCTGCTTAACTAAGGGCAACTTTCATAACACATTTCTTGAATATGAATCAATTGACCAATTATGAAATCTTTATGTAAATTAATAAAGGATTAAATGGTCTATTCAGATGTCTTTATTTTTAAAATGGCAATACATTGATAATAGGTAAAATATATAGAAGTAATGTTTATTTTTAAAGGCAAAAACTGATCTTCTCTGTAATATTTTGAAAGACTAAGATCTCCAAAAATAAATTTTCAACATAAAAATGCAAAAAAAGCAGGAGGCAAATGCTGGGATTTTGAGAATTGAAATATTTTAAGTTTAAAAGTTTCTATACACTTTAAATACTATTTTAAAAGAAGTATCTTTATAAAAATACATTTATTTATTCCCACAGAATTTCAGGAATAAATAAATTAGAGCACTGTATGAAACTATAAATTCATTTCATTTTTTAATAACTTTGATTAACGTCAATTAAAAAAAGCTAGACTTACCTTACTTTATTATTTATTGCTTCTAGTTTCTCAGAACCAAATAATATTTTAGTTCTTTCCATATAATCCATATGGGTCTTGAAGAGCTGTGTAATAAAAGTTAAACTAGTTAAAACTATTTCAGTAGAAACACACAATGTTCATATATGAAAAACAGCATTCATCTATAAAATGGAGTTGAAATTATGAAACATTGATAACTTATTTTATTACTCTAAAATAAGAGCTATCTATTATTGAAAAGCCACTTTAATTATCCAATTTAACTCACCCAACTTAATTGTATTACATGAGGCTTTTAATTTTCAAATAATTATAATGTTTTATGGGGATATTCACATATTTTAAATTTGGGAGCTTAGGAAAACCTGTGTTGAAGCTTAGAAATTTTGAAAACTGGCAAATACATAGGGATTGATTTTTATCAGTGATAATTACAAATTACAGTACTTACTTCGGTGTATCGTTCATGGAGAGTTGAATATTCTTTTCTCATTTCTGCATCCTTGTCTTCTAATCTTATAGCTGTAAAAAAAAAATAATAAATAAATAAATTTAGAGGTACAGTATATATAAGAATAAGTGCATCCATGTAAAAGCTAAGTACACTTTCTCAATGAAAATTTAACCTAAATTCAAAAACCAAAACTTGACTTAAAATAATAAGTCATGCTATTTTTGTGTGCAACTCTTAACTTTTCTTTAGGACTATCCAGCCATCTTAATTAATCTGCCTTTGTTCAGAAAAAAAAATTAGTCATGATTTAAGCCACTGAAAAATTTCTGAAATAACCTTTTCAAATCTCTCACCATGCTATTAAACATTTAAGGCTTATCAGAAACAAATAAATTCAGCTTTAACTATTGTGCATATTCTAACCATATACCCCTACTTTCATATAAGAAAAATCAATAGTTTGGTACCTGTACCACAGTAAACAAAACAAGAAATGTAAACTTTACTTTTTCAGAACCATCATAATTAACCATTAATCATTTTTTATATCACTGTCTGAAGGCATCCTTCCATAAGACAAAGATTATTTTACAAGATAATGTTTGCTTATTTTCTTCATTGTATTTAATGTTGAATTTTAACTAATATTTTTTATAGATAATTTAACATAGGTTTAAAACAAATGTATTAAAAAAAATTTATTACATACCAGTGTTCTCCCTTAGGGAGACTCCCTAAGAGTTTTTAGAAGGACAACCTGCCCAGCTTGCCCTTTGATCCCTAGTAATGCACCCTCCTTGCACATTTTGAAGGAAAAAAAAGTCAGCCATCCCATAAAAACACTGCCTTTTTACTTTATTTTTTTAGGAAAAGGTTTTCTTAACCACCTCTTGTAGTGAAAAGCCTACTTCTGATAATTATTTAACTTTAATTTTTTCTTTGATTCCTTCATCTTAGTAAGATTTTGCTTTTGTCGTCTAATTATATAGCTAAAATTCCCATATCTTAAAAATGATAGCTAAGCATCATTCCATCTGAAATCGTTTAAAGTAATTATTCTAAATCAAAATAACTATTCCATTCTAGTAAAAAAATCTCTTTAAAAATAACTTTGTTAACACTTTGAAATACTTAAGGAGTTAAAGTATTATTTCAGATTATTACAAACACAAATGCCTATGATAAGATTGAAACTTTATGAACAGACATTTATTAGGAAGTCACATTTAAAAATTCTCACCCAACTCATTGAAAAAATGCCTAAGAAATTTTTCATTGGCAGAGAAAGAATAATGCACCAGCTGAAAGTGGTACAAGTTTCTCCAACGGGAACCTTTCTACTTGGATAGTGACCGAATGATACAGTTGAATCACAAAATCATATATAGCTACTAAAGAAGTAACGCCTGGATCTTTTGTGTTTTATCTGTACTTGAATATGTCCATTGTGAATTAAAAATATATTAATATTGCTGATAATCTAGCAAAAAAAGCATTTCCAAGAATCAGGTTAGTGAATGAACAACTGTTGTACCCGGAGTTAAGCTCGAGAAGTAAGGCTTTAAAAAACACCTCTTTGAAACAACTGCCACCACATCCATGATATCTTAGAGGAAGTTTTGGTATTTCAATTAGTTTTAAAGGTGACCAGAGAGATCAAATTCATTCAACTTGATTGTCAACTGGATATTTAAGCACCTTCAGATTTTTCCATGGCACTAAAGCATTTTCTGTTCGCACACAGTGTTATAAAGCAAAAGTCAGTTCACAACATCTAATTAACAAGTTAACCGGTTCACAAAGACCTTCTGATGAGACCTATGTATGTTTTGAAGGTATTTAAAGTGAATCTATCAGTTATCTTAAGGTTAATCTATCAGTTCAATGATAATAGACAGATCGTGACAGACTATTTGATGACTAAGAAAAAAATATACTTTTCGGTTAGCCGAACGCAAGGAAATTCAACTATTTTATTACTTTTTTAATTTTATTTAATTTTTTGAACATCCAGTTTGTCTAGTGTTAAAAAAATAAAGAAAGAAAATTAGTAAAAAAATTGCACTCGGCTAATTTGAAAAGGAGCAAAAATCTAGACTAGAGGTACAGAACCTTATTGAGTGAGGACCTCTTGTACAGCAGGTTGACCAATGAAGGGCTGGATGTCTAAGAATTTAGATTTGTTGATTGCAATTATGGTACTTTTTATATAAATGTCATTGTTTTAGATTCTAAATTTTTTTATGACTCAATTTAATAATATATTTGTAAAAATTAAATCCTTTATAATATTAAAATACATTCAAACCTAAATAACACAAAACTGATATTTTTTTAATAAAAAAAATATATTTCCTTTAAATCAAAAAGTATACTTATTGTATACATCATATAGAAAGCTTTTTTTAAAAATAAATAAACTGTAATGTTTGTAGAATAAAAGTAAAATAAATGAAGAAATATTCTTCTGAGTAATGTAAATCAAATATTTTAATTAAAAAATTTTATGCCTGTCTTAAATTACTTAAAATAAAACTAACACATTATAACTCAAAATAAGTTGGGAAGTTTTTTTTAACTGTAGAACATGATATTTAGTGAATTATTTAAGATTTTATAAATATTAAATCTTAAAGCCATGAAAAATTAGAAAATTTAAAAAAAAAAAAACAGTAGATAGTTTATTCACTCATGTTCAAATTTTGCATGTTGTCGTAATATTGCATTAAAAAAAATCAAGATTTTAAAAACTCCAGGTGGAAATGAGTAACTACAACTGGCAAAAAAATTATCATACAATAGATTGATGATAAAATCAGAACAAATGAAGCAAGTACCTAAAAGTAATTATTAAAATTCGCGATTCAAAACTCAGAAGTTGTAATACATTGTATTAAAAATATTGTGATTTTCGCAACCACATTAAAAAACAGCAATAACTACCACACAAAAAATCAAAATTTAACTTGGATTGACTAGGAAATTGGCACAAATAAAGAAGTGGCTAATGTGATTATTAAAAGGTGCAATTTGAACTTGCAAGTTGCAATAATATTGCATTAAATATATTGAGATTTTTAATAGCACATGGAAAAGTGTAACAGCTGCCAAAAAACCGATTGCAAAACAGCTCGGATTGACGAAATCGGCACAAATAAAGAATGTCAAAATTGATTATTAAAATGTGCAATTTGAAGCTCAAAAGTCATAAAAATATCATATTAAAATATTGGGACTGTCAATATCACAAGGAAAAGTGTAATAATAACTTCCAAAACAGCGATAAAGAAAACCTTAGATTTGCAATGAAATCAGCACAAATAAAATGTTCATTTTAATGAGCAATTCTAGTGTTGTAATAATACACATTAAAAATATAGATATATTCAAAACCATGTGGAAATGCATAGCAGTAATTGCGGACGAAACTGCAGGAAAAAAAACATGGATTTATGATAACATCGGCACAAATAAAGCACATTAAAAGTAATTATTAAAATACACAATTCGAGACTCAAGAGTCGTAATAATGCAGCATTAAAAATATTGAGATTTTTAAAATTAGGATTTTAAAACTGACAATAACATGATTGAAAAGTCACTTGGATTAACTGTGAATTAGACATAAATAAAGTGAACAAAAAATAATAACTCTATTTTGAAATCTGCGTATCTGAACGTTTTCATATTAAAAATAAAAAATATTAAGATTGGTAAAACTTCCTGGAATTCCACAGCCATTATGTTCAAATAAGCAATCAAATAACCACGCAGATTTCCAAATGAATCAAAGGAATCTGTGTAATCTGAGCGTATTCAAAAGTAATGACTAGAATATGGGATTCAAAATTTTTAACTTACTTTTCTATTCAAAGAAGAAGAAAAAATTATAATAATTTATTTAATTGAGTTCAGGAGCTGCTGCGGGTCGCAATTCATCAGCTGGTTAGCCACATATGGTCGGCAGGCAAGAGGTCGGGCACTCCTTCATTAGAGGGTAAAATATTATAGGTTCATAGAAATTATCTTTCTTTTATAAGAGTAAACGGAAAGCACAAGTGCAAAATATCAAAATCGGTCAATAGAAAAAGAAAAAAAAATTCTTAAAACTCCAATTTCTCTTTTAATTTGAAGCTGTTCATGGATAATGAAAAAAGGTAACTTATTTAAATTAACTAGAATATAATTAGACTTTTAAACATTTACAGAGTATGATAGAGTTGACATGAAGAATATGAACATAGATTATTAAAATTTGTTATTAACAGATAAAATCACAAATGCTCAATAATGGGCTGCATAAATTTACAAAGCTGATATAAATTAAAAAAAGAGTTATCATTGCTTAAAATTAGTAGGTAAACATTTAGAGAATGTGTCAATAAGTTGCTACTACCATGATCAGATGAATTTTTGGCTTTCAGCTCCAGCATTCTAACCAAAGACTCCAAACTCTCAACTTTTTCTGACAAATTTTGCTTATCATCATCAGTAGAATATTCAATTTCAATGAGTCGCTGAAAATTATAGCATATGATGAGAACAAATATCAGGAGATGTCAAAAAACATTGATTTTTAGAATTGTATTTGAAAAAATAATCATTTTTTACCTGCTCAGCTGCTTTCCTTAATTGTCTTTCACGTTCATACTGAGTTGCTAATTGTTCATTATCTTCTCGTAAAAGTTCTAGTTCAACCTCATGTTCTTGATTGTCCATTACTGCCATGTCAAGACTTTCGAGAACATTTACTACAAGCGGCATCAGCTCTTTTACAACATCTTCATCATATTTTTCCATCATCTTTTCTAACTCTTGATATATATTTGAGGCCAAACTTTGAACTTTCTCGGACATAACATGACTTTCTTCCGAGTTTGACCCATAAAACGTTTCTTGCATTGGGGACTCCATAATTATCAATGGTATTTTTTAACAACTCATAAAAATCATTTTACACACAGAAAAGGCATAACTCTAAAAACAATTTGATTGTCATTTTTTTTTCTTTTTGTTTACAAATAGCGAATTAAATGTGCTGAAATTATGCTGCAGTTAATAGATAAAATAAATACAGCATTGCATAATCTAAAATCAGGGGCAATTAAAAATTTATATCCAACTATTTGGTTAAAAAAGAAAATTGAATTTTTTCATTAAAATATATACGTATTTCCCTTCACAATACTGTTTTGTTACGCTTTCTCACCTATCAAAAATTAAAAACATCAAACATCACTAAAAATACAAAAGATTATGATACTAAAACGATTAAAGTGTAATTGATTTTAGATTCACAAAAATTAATTGAAATTAATTTATTTATGAAGAGAAATTTCCTTCTAATGCTTTAAAATATTATTTTTAGCATAAGAGTTGCTTAAAACATATTTTTTTTTGTGTTTCATTGAAAATAATAGTAGCTAAAAATATTTTTTCAATGTTTTGGCAACAATGATAATAAATTTGACTTTTTATTATTTGTACCTGATTTGTTTGCCTTCTTGTTCCCATGTTCCATTTCTAAATAGTTCAATATTCTCCAAGGAAGATGTCTATATTTAATTAATTTTAGGTCTTAATAACAATCTTTAAAGCTAATGTATAGATTTAGTTATTTTGTTTAGTTTATGGCGGCTCTGAAATCATGGCAAATATAGCAGTTCAACGTATCAAGCGAGAATTTAAAGAAGTTGTGAAAAGTGAAGAGGTATATTATGCAATATCTTTGATATCAATTAAATTAATTACATAGTTATTAGTATACGATACAATTATTTGTATCTTCCCTTTTTATAATAGTAATAATTGGTTTGATTTTTTTTTTTAACCTTATTTCCTTGATACTCTTTTGATAATCGATTTAGGTATTTGAACTTGTCTATGTACAAGTTTAATTATATATTTTATTTTAGGCTGCAAAATGTGCAATAAGTGTTGAAATAGTAAATGATACCTACACTGAATTGAGAGGAGAAATTGCAGGTCCTCCTGATACTCCATATGAAGGTGGCACTTATGTGTTAGAAATAAAAGTGCCAGAAACTTATCCTTTCAATCCACCTAAGGTATTCTGTGTTTTTAAATATGCTGATTTTTTTATTGAATGTACTTGCTTATATTACAATAATACAATGTTTGAAGACATTGAGTTTCCAATAAAAATGGTTAAAGTGTAGAATATGATGTTTCTTTGAATTGGGCACTATAGCTTGAAGCTTTTGCTGTATATGAAGTCTAGCATTTTTCTATTAATGTTTATAATTAGAAAATTTTATTTTAAGTCATTTTTTTCTATTTTCTACAAAAACATAAATTGCCAAAATAAGATACCCTCCTGTAAATATTTAAATACAAATTTAGATTTTCAATACAGTATACATGCAAAAATTTCATTAATTTTTTTTTCTTTTCTGCTATATAATTTTGTTATTGTGACCCGTTAAAATTACCATATTTTAGCAACAAATATTAATAACTTCTTATGAAATTTATTTAATAACTCTTAACTTTCAAAATAAATTTCATTTCCCAGCTAGATCAAGCTCAGTAAAAAGAGCAGATAAGAAACAGGTCTAAGGGGATACGGCGAGAACCGAAAGGTGCAACAGATTAGATTAAATTAGATTTCCAAATGGTGGGGATACTAAAAAGATCAACAATTAAATTATTAGGATTGTTAAAAATATAGAATGGCTCCCAAAAATCAAGTTTGGTAGGTGTAGAGTAGGGTTGAATGATTATAGGAAAAGTAAACTCTAACCTGTGATTTGAATTCAAACTATATTGAGTAATAGAAGATCGATTAATGTCCCGATTTCTTACATATCTTTTGTGTTTTTTTAATTTGGAGTCTTAGGGGTGCGTTTAGATTTGACAAATTTATTGAGACCTATTTCATAAATTTATCATAGTTGCACAACCATGAACAGATTTTTCAAGATTTCATAAAAATTAGTTCATGTTTATATGAAAAAATATAAAAACCATCTGTCCCAATGAAGATGTTCTTTTAAAGCAATGAATTAATGTTACTTTTCAAAGGAAGAATTTTGTGAAAGAGAGCCATTATTATATTGTGATGGGTCTAAAATTATCTGTAAAAGGTCCATATATACAACAAAATAATTTGTGAAGGATTTTTAAACAAACCAAAATTTCTACTAAATAACTCACCCTTGAGTAAAGTTATCAAAAATAAAACAACAGTACCAATATAAAAAAAACTGTATATATGAGTAAATAGACACTTTTGGGTAAATCACTATATTTTTCATTGATTCTGACCTTGAAGGAGCCAGGCAGACCATTATATTTTTATCATTTCTAAATCATAAAAAAATGTAAGCAACTTTAGTTATGTGTTTATCTACATATTTTTTATTCATGTGCTATAATTTTGATTGGAAAATTTGGTTTTATTTTATTTGGTAATTTTTTCCCTTTATATTTATTCATATTTCGTTTTGCAGGTTCGATTTGTCACCAAAATATGGCACCCAAATATTAGCTCAGTAACTGGTGCAATTTGTTTAGATATATTAAAAGATCAATGGTAACTATTTTCCTTCCCTCTAATTTTAGTAGTAAATAAATAAAAAGCACTATTAAATATTTAAAGTGTCCATTTAGAGAAATGCAAGAGAAAGTTTCTTGCATTTGTTCAGTAAAATCATCAGTTTAAAATTCTTTTATGGTAAGTATAAGATTTAAAATAACTTCATATTTTTTTATTTATTTATTATTCTTTTAAAATTATCTAATAGTATTAGAATTATATTTTTTGTTTATTCTAAGTATATACTTTTGATTAGCAAATATTTTAATGTGCTTAAGCATTTAATGCTCGCATATGTACCTACACTTTTTAAAAAATTAAAAATTACTTCTTAAATTTAAATTCTTCATTATAAATGCAGAATTTTATCTGTTTATTAATTGCAAACACTTGTAAGTCAAGTTTAATTTATATTTCATGTATTTTGCTTGTGTCTGATTTTTCTCTACTACAAATACAGTCAAACTTGCTCACATAATCAGCAAAAATATAGCCTCCAATGTTAGCTTGTTGTAACTGGATGCTCGTGAAAAAGTCGTATAAGTTTATGCATAGTAAATAGTAACTTAATTCTTTACTTTTTAATTATGTACAGTACAAAAGAATTTAATTTGCTTTGAACTGTCTTATTGTTTCTTTGCTGTGTTCAGGTGTGATAGTGAACCAAACTTAAAAATCCTGAAATTTTCTTGAGTAAAATCATTAATGACGCATTTCCAAAAATAAATGTCTTTAGAAATTTAAATTATTGATATTTTCAAAACATGGAATTTTAAGTAAATTATAAGCAGAATAATTTAAATGAATAATTATTTATAACTTAATTTTTATCTCTAATCACATTTATTATTCTACCAGAAAAAAATAATTATAGATGAAAGATACCAAGCATAAATTCTAGTTCGAATATTTTTAAATAAAATATACAAGAATTTCTATACATCAATGTGATCGATGAGTTCTTGAAACTTCTGAACATTGGATTTCCGGATCGCAGTTAGTGAAAATTCAGGAGCATAATCATTTCTGTATGTTGCTACTCTTTTGATCAAATTTGTGGCCAAAAAACATTGTTAACCCAAAATACATCAAAAAATAATTTTTACAGGACCCAAAAATCCGAGATCAAGAGATGAAACTAAGTGGAAATTTTATGAACTGTAAAAATATTGCTCAATAAAAACCAGGACTTGCTCGTTAATAGATTTCGTATATTTCATAAGCATATTAGTGTTTTTTGCATCTGTTTTTGTTGAATGTCAATACTTATAAGTCATTTTTTCTTATTTTCTATAAAAACATAAATTGTCAAAATAACAGACACCCTACTGTAAACATTTACTATAAGAATTTAGATTTTTAGAACAGTATACGTGTATTTTTTAAATTATTTTTTTATGTATAATTTTGTTATTGTGACTAGTTCAAATTGCCATAATTTGGCAACAAATATCAAATAATTTCAATAATTGTTAAAGTAAATAAGTTATTATGATTTTTATGAAATTTGTTTAATAATAACTCTTGAAAGATTTTTCATTTGCCAGCTATATCTATGACTATTTTATATTTATTAATATGTTTATAGGGCTGCAGCCATGACTCTCCGTACTGTTTTATTGTCTCTACAAGCTTTGTTAGCTGCAGCTGAACCTGATGATCCACAAGATGCTGTAGTTGCAAAACAGTATAAAGAAAATCCTGACTTATTTAAACTAACTGCTAGGCACTGGGCTCAAGCATATGCTGGAGGTTAATAAGTAATATTTCAATTATCAAAAGGGTGTTTACTGCATCCTCCTTTTAATCTAATAATTGGATGTTCATAAGGGTGCAGTTTTAATAATTTAAGAAATGGACCATAAGAATGCTAATGAATGTATGATTTAAATTGCACTCAAATTCCTAATGTTAATTTTATTTTCTGTGTGTTATGCCACATATGTGAGATAATTTATGCAACAAAAAAAATTTTTGACTGTTTAAAAAATTTTGTGCAAATAAATTAATGATAACTGAAAAATCTTGACTTGAATTGAAAATAGGCACATTTTTACAACTTTTAAATGGTTAAATCTACGAATGTAACAAAAGATCCTTAATACAATTGTTGTAGTTTAATCTCTAAAGACATTTTATTTCATGGTATTTTCGATTAGACAATATTTTAATTCTGTACCTTTAACTGCTTATTTTTAAGAATCTTGTTCAAATTTTTTTTAGATTTAGTTAAAAAATCGTATCTCGTTATTTCTATATTAGTATGAAAGTAGGTGATTTTGTATTGAAAAGTGTTAGTTATACATAGAAATAGCTTACAAAATTCCTTTTATGTTTTGTTACTAGCTCCAAAATCCCCGTCGGACTTTGATGATAAAATAAAAAGACTTCAAGATATGGGAGTTGAAGAAGTAAGTTTTTTCTGTCTTCTGATTTGTTAATCTTATTTGTAACTGAATTATTTACAGACAAAATTATAATAAATTTGTCTTTTTCCTCTTAATTTAAATGCAATTGTATCATATTATTTGACTTTTTGCAGTTTGTCACTTTCTCTCTCACTCCTTGATTTTCTAACGTTTTAGAAATATTTTAAGATTTAGGGTAATTCCATTGTTATGAAAGATACATTCAGAGACTTTATATACATATTATCTAATTTATCCTTTAAAAATCTATATTTTTGTCACAATAATTTTTGGTAACATAATTTTCATAAATAAAAAAAAAACTAATTAGAAATCCGAGCAGGTTAATTATTTTAAAACAACAGAATTCTTTTGTATTTAAATCATTCTATCTTCCCAGCTTCTTTACACTATGCACTTATACATTAACAAAAAAATATTTTCTTTTTTAGATAGTTATATGTATAAATTTTACTTTTAATTAAATTGTAATTTTAACATTTTAGTAAAATTAATATGAGTAACACTGTTTAAAAAAATTATTTGAAAGCTACTTTAAAGCAAATTTTACTGATTTCTCTAATGATTTTTGCACGTAACATGTTTAGTGTGTATAGAAAAGAATGCAGTTATAAACTTAATAATGTGCAACAAATTTAAATACTTCTATATATGTTTTCCATAAAGTATGGTTCACAAAATAAAAAAAATCTTATTCGCTTTTACGGATTGATCTCCTTATGGTAATTTGTACAGATATTTTAGTTTATGAATCTGTAACAAATATATATTTTCTCGGACTTGACATACCTATTTCCAAGGGATATAGGTATTTTTACGTTTTTTAATATTTCTAATGATTAAAATTATTTTAAGAAGATAAATAAGTAGGAATTCTTTATACATTTACTGTGTATATAATAGAAAAAATTAGTTTTTTCCTAATTTATGAAAAATTTAAAATGCTTTTTAAACTCCAATTCTCAAAAACATTTTTTCAGTAATTTTATGAAACATTTCTTGAAGCTGTAATTGAAAATAATTTTCTTGAATCATCTAGTATGCATGTAAGATATGTGTCCATAGATAATAACTGAGCAATGTCTACTGGAGTAGAAAGACTATAAATACGTACATTAGTTTAATGAATTCAAAAGAAACTCATGTTTACAAGGAAGAGAGTTATTATTAAAAATAATGTTGTAGTTTGTAGTGATTGGAAAGAATCAAAAATATTAAGAAATGTTACAGCATTGAAAGATATATTAGAAATTGGACAAAGAAAAAAAGAAAGTTTTGGATTATGCATGAATACAACTTTTTAAGTGTCATTACAGTTATAAATGCAACTTTTTAAATGTCATTACAATTTAGTTAAATTACAACTGTATGTCATTACAATACAATTATTATTTAACTAAATTGTTTCTTAACTAACTTGTTTCTATATATCACGAAATTTTTAGTGTCTCTCTTCAGGTTCGTGATATTGATTTTGACTTTATGTATAAAATGTCAGTACAGAAATTAAAAACAATAATTTTTTCAGAGACTTCTTTATATAGTATTTCATGTATTAAATATGAATTTATTTCTATATTTCACCAAATGGGGCTTTCGGAGCACAAATAACACCTTTTGTTTGTGAGACAGCTTGTTATTCACAAAAAAGCTTGAAGATGTCCCCTAAAAAAGTTTTTTGTGGTATTCGTGTTTATTTTGTTCTGTTTCATTTTACCTTTCTATTTCAACTTAAGTATGATTTTCTAAATTTTTTTTATATACAAATGTAAATTTTTGTTGCAGCATAATGCACGTGTGGCCTTATCTTCTTGTTCCTGGAACCTGGAGAAGGCAACAGAAACACTTTTCAGCTAGGGATGCTGACCCCCCACTCAACTCATTGACTATACATTATATATATATATGCTCTTTTAAGCACTACTTCAACAAAATCCCATTTCTTTTTTTTAATTTTACGTTTTGTGGGGAGATCTATCAATAGAATTGTTGTACAGTTTGTTTTGCTTTTTACCATGTATTTATACCTAGACTTATGATTTTTGCTGTGCATGGACACTCTAATGAGACTGCCTGTTGCATCACAAATCAGTTTGATTGTTAATATTTATTTCTGAATAAATTTGTCATTTCCTTTTTGTAAAATTCAAAATGAAATGACTTGATTATATTGTTATTGTACAAATGCAAATATCTTCATTCATAAATTAAAAATAAAGTAAAAATTTCGTATGTCTGTGTGTATTTATTTAATTTTTCTAGAAAAAAAATCCAATATAGTATTGGAGGTTTCATCTCAAGGATTACTTTGTGCTTAAGTAAAAATGTACCAAAAGCATTGCATGTAGTGAAATAGATGTCCTGAAGGAAAAATAGCTCAAAACTGGTGTATGTTATAATACATCAGGCAAGGCCGTAGCCAGGATTTTTCTTCGGGGGGGGGGGGGATATGGTAAGAAGCAAGGACGGTTTCAGACATGCAAAGTAGGGGGAAAACATTGTAACAAATATTGTTTATTCTGTTGTTTGCATAAGTTAAACTAGTAATTGAAAAATATTACATAATAATTATTTTTCAATTAATATTACATAATAATTATAATCAATTTGTAAACAAAGTTTACAGAGACATGCGACGAGGATTTGAAGAAAATTTTTCGATTACTTTTTTAGGACAAACCGAAATATGCTTAATAAAGTTAGTTAATAAAAGGTTGATTTGACAGTTTTTGTTTTGTTTTTTACTGAGAGACTCAAAGAAAGACTAAAAAGTTTGAATCCCAGAATTTCGGGGGGGGGGTTGTCCCTGACGGTGCCCCCCCCCTGGCTACGGGCCTGACATCAGGCGTACCACTGTTCAACGTATCTGAAAATCTGTTGTTTTTTTTTTTTTTTTACCTGATTTCTATCAGGGACTTGACAGTTATAAATTGCAAAAGTTTTTGTTGAACTGATTAATTTGTCAATGGTAATCTACAAATTGTGCTAAACTGAATAGAGTATCTCATGTACCAAATATATTGTTTCTTAATTTATTGTATTCTTGAATAATATTTTTTTTTTATAATTTTCTATCATAAAATTTAAGGGTGAATTATTGGTCAAAAAACTTTTTTACTGCTTTTAGAAGATGAAATTAAATATTGAGAGAAAGAGATTAGTTTCAAAAATTTTAATTAATCTCTTTATACAGTATATGTATGAGGGTCATTCAAATGAAACCTAATCAGTGTGTCTAACTTTAAATTAGACGTAATGGGGCACTGCGTGTATGGCAACACCATCTATTGGTAGAGAGACTGGCGTGTGTGCAATGTTTGATGTTGCATAGCGACAGTTACGTTGCACGCCAAAAAGAAGGTGGTCACACACATTATCTTCCACTACGGAACATGCAGGCGAGTAAGCAGGAACATCCACCGTACAGTCCAGACCTTTCACTGTGTGACTCTCGTGTTTTTAGACCTCTGAAACAAGCTATTCGTGGACATCGTTTCACAAAGGGAAACGATGTGTGTGACTGGGTCCAGGCCGGGATGCAGCAGCCTACTAGCTTTTTCGAAGATGGAATCAACCAGCTAGAGTCGCAAATGGGATAAATGTGCCAACAGTTTTGGTGACTATTTTTGAGTATGTGTACTGTGTACATTTATGAGTTATCAAAATCATAACAAAACTGGCTTGTTGAATTCATGTTTGAAGTCATCTTTCTTCTCAACACTGTGCTTCACTATTTAAGAATCATCAAGTTTAGTAACTAATGATAAATGTACATATTTACTTACTTAAATTAAAAACAGTATTTTATTTTCAAACCAAAATTTTGTTTTAAAATTATAGCAATTATTAAGATAATACTGAGGCGATATAATCACAGGTTCAGCCATACTGCAAATGATACCTCCATATATTGTAATTATTGAAAAATCTATTTATAAAAAGTAATGTTTTTTTATTCTTATAATTTTCAACTTTTTTAGAAAATGGAATTATTCATCTTATAAAAATTTTTAGTAATTTATCTTGCATAAGTTATTTTAATTATTATTTTCTTAGTTTTTTCTATGTTCTGCTAATCCAATTTGGAGAATTTATTCATACTATTACCATTGCTGCTATAAATTACAGAGTAAATTGAGTAGCAATAAAAATTGACCTAGTGGGGTGGGACAAAACAGTTTAAAAATAAGGTTGAGGGGTAAACAAATAAAATAAAAAGTTGTTTTTTTAAATGCATTCTATACATTTAGAAAAAAAGAACACTATATTTAATGAGTAATTATTTCTAGAAATTCCTTCAGGTGCAGAACAGTGTTGAAATGGTTACAGGGTTGCCACTCTACATGGAGAACAGGGAAAACCTGGAAAATACAGGGAATTTAAAAATCACCTAAAATAACAGGGAAAATGCAGGGAATTTTGATTTTTTTCTTGCTAACAGGGAAAATACAGGGAATTTTGTTTCTTATTTTTGTCTTTTAAAAAATGGTGCCCACTCAAAGCGTAATCTATGAGATATTTAGCCATGATATTTCAGCTATACTAAACTTTCACTTACTATAACATTATTTAAATATGTTCAGCTGTTCTCCCGCCAATTAAAACTAATAAATATAGTTAGCCCTATATAGCTCATAAAAGGGCACAGTAATTATTGCTTCCTTTTAATATATTGTGTATAATAGTACAGGGAATTTTTTTCCAGATTTGAGTGGCAACCCTGGGTTAGTTATGTTAGGTGATAGAAGAGTTTAGTAATGGGGTGCAAAACCTGTGGCTCATGGAAGCTTCTGAACATATTTTTTTTTTTTTTTCTTTTTTTGAAAACTGAACTAGAAAAGTTTGAATTGCACATTTGAGTTATAACTTTTTGATGCGATCAATTTGCACAGATTCTATTATAAATCTATATTGTTTCTCTATAGTTTTGAACGATTATTGCTATGAAATTCTGCATGTTTAAAAAAATTTGAAAAAAACGATATTTTATATATGATATTACGATGCGTGAATTTCGAATTCGAGCAATCACTTTTCGACTTGAATTATTTTTGCCGATTTCATCTCTAATCAATTCGATAAATTTTTTTTTTTTGCTATTTATAACTACCAACTTCCATGTGGTTTTTAAAATTCCGATACATTAGTTATAGTATTACGTCTCTTGAGTTATTAATCGTGCATTTAATTGATCATTTTTTGACGTTGCTATATTTATGGCGATTTCATCGTAAATCTAAATGATTTTTTTTTTTTAAAGGCAGATATTTCTACGCTTTTCCATTTAATTTTGAAAAGCCTGTATTTTAGCTACAATACTATCACGACACGCAAGTTTCAAATCCCACACTTAAATAACTACCAACGCGTTTTGTTTTCGCCGATTTCATCGTAAATCCAAGTTATTATGCAATCATTTTTTCAACAATTTTTGCTATGCGTTCCCAAGTGGTTTTAAAATTTACGATTTTTATTACGACATGCGAATTTTAAATCAAAGATTTAAATAATAACTTATTGATGCACTCTATTTATACTGATTTCCTCGTAAATGTAAGCATTTTTTTTTTCATTTATTGCATTGCTTTCCCATGTGATTTTGACGATTCTAATAATTTAACTAGGATGTTATTACGACACGCGTGTTTCTAAAGGGCATTTAAATAATCGCTTTTTGATACTATTTATTTTTCCGTAATTTTTTCAGCATTTAGCGTCATGCATTTTTAAGTGGCTTTTAGAATGCCGAGTTATAATAAATTGCAACCTGAAAAATTCAACAAAGTGGGGTGGGGGGACGTGAATTTTTTAAACTGCTCTCTATTTGTAATTTATTTTGTTATAAATTTGTCGTAACTTAGGTGATGTTTTTAGAAAGAGAAAAAAAATGACGTTTCGTATTTAAATTTCATAAAACCTCTTTTGTTTTAATTTTTGTTCCAAACCCTAAGTGGTGCATCTACCACTACAAAAATATAATTCCAATTCACTAGTATATAAGACATGTTAACTTGATTCTATGGTGGGGTACCTTTTCATAGATGAAGGTTGACATTGTCGATATCTACTCTCCCCTCATTGGTGACTTTCGAACGTGATGTGAACATGCCTACCTTGACAGGAACCCCCCCCCCTTCGATGGATGGTCTATACTAAACAGTTAACTTACTACTTGTGACAGCAACATTATCCACCTCGCGCCGTTGTTACTCAGTCTCGATCACGCACAACATATGCAATAGACTGCTAAAGGTAGCAACACACAAGCGACCACGACCGTGAACTTAATGCAGCTCTCATAATCAGCACTCAAAAAGACGGTGATCTTAATACAACTCTCCTGGCTTTTCACAAAACAGCAATGAATCAACTAGTGGTATCCATTCATCGAATTCTATCACAGATATAAATCTGATGGGGGAGTACTGTAGTGTATCTACCTCTACAAAAATATAATTCAAATTCACTAATATATAAGACATGTTAACTTAATTCTATAGTGGGGTATCTTTTCATAGATGAAGGTTGAAGTTGTCGATAACACTCTCCCCACACCCTATAAATTTTTTTCCATTAAAATATTTATGTATTTTTTTACACTTTTATTGTGATTATAATAATTTTTTTTGTTAGAATTTATAATTTCTCTCCCCCTCCCCTGATATTTACGTATATATATATATATATATTTAATAAATCAATTTTTGATAAAAAGGGAAAAACTTACAAGAGTATCAGTTTTTTTATTTTTGAATGAATTCTAATAATTAAAGGTATTTAATTTTCAACAAATATACTATTCATCTTTTTAATATAAAATTTAATGCTTAGAACACTGATGTTTAGATAAAAAGTATCATATTTGCCACCAATATGACTAAATATGTGTGTGGCCATTCACTTAAAAAGGTTATGCACCCCTAGATTAGTATTTTGATTTTACGCATACCTTTCATGTTCCTGAAGTTTAAGAGTGTTTGGTTTACTCTCTACCTTTTATAAGCATTGAAATCTTTAAGGTTTGTGAATTTCGTTTTATTACAAGATAAAAAAGTAATTTCAAAATCATTTTTAAATTTACACAAGACTAATTCTTGGATAATATGGCAAAATAAGTAGGTTATTAAAATTAATATACACTCATTGACATAAAAAGTAGCACACCTAAAAAGAGTTGTCAAAATGGAACGAAATTTTACACACCAGAGTTCAAAATTGAATCTATAAAATCAAAGCAAAATGTTGGGAAAAAATACAAATGAGTGGAGGTTCTTAAATACCCTTTTGGGGCACCTCTAGCCTGACCAGATGCAATATGATTATGCATTGAGACTTACAAGTACCTTATAATATCCTGCGGTATCTCAATCCACAGTTACTGTAGAGACACTACTAAACTCCGAGGCTGTCCTAGATATGTGTATTCATTGGCAAATCTGGAGATCGAGCAGGCCAGGAAAGAGTGGTAATGTGATAATGGCATTCTTGTGGTCATGGATCAATATCGGGAGTGGTTTTGAGTAATATGATGGTGCTCTGTGGTGTGCTGCTGTAAGCGGAGGCTAGACTGAGATGTTCACCATGTAACCACAATGGTCATCAATGCCCAAATTAAATCTGGATTCCTCACTAAAGAAAACCTAGTTCCATTCTGTAACAGCCCAATTCCGTCGAGAGCAATGCCACTTCAAACGGAGGCAACATTGAGTTAGTGTCAATCCTGCCTATGCTGTACAGCAGTACACCCTTCTACAGCAGGTGTGATGGTATGGGGTGCCATTGCATATGACACATAATCACCCTTAATATTGATTCATAAAGCCTAGCGGTACGTTCATGACATCCTTCAGCCATGTGTGTTGCCACTCATGGCAGGGCACCCAGAAGTCATTGTTCAACAATACAGTGCTGAGCCACACACAACAAGGAGGGTGTCACAGCAATTCCTCTGTCACATTATGACCCTGTCCTGGCCCGCTTGATCGCCAGATTTGTCAACTAGCATGCAATAGAACTTGTTTACCCACCAAATTACAATAACATTAGAATTATAGCAGGTATAAATTAATAATTTTTACTAATTTTATGCTGATGACAGCATAAGATGTTTGAGTTTTTATTCCCTGAGGATCATGCTACGTGATTTTTTTTTTTTTTGTCCAATATGAAATACTCTGACAACAATCATAATGAGTTAAACAATTATTTGATATTGATCATTTAAAATAAAATTAACTCCCCCTCCCCTTCCCTAATTAAAAGCAAAAACGTTTTACACACCTATGGAGTAAAAGCTTTAATTTTATCATTTTATTCTAATCAAATATTATTATAAACAAAAAAAAATAACAAATTTATTTTTGTTTGTAACTCAAAATCATACTTGTATGAATATTTTTAATATATGATCAACATAAAGTTGTTCATATTACCAAATAAGACAAACCAATAAAAGATAAAAAATTTGTTAGATCATTCAAGAGATAAGAAATATGTGACCTAAGTAATGTAAGTAAGCTATAGATTATAAGCTAAGTTATAAGAAATATATGCCCTGAAACTTCCTATATTTCGAAAATGGTTACTTATGATACACCTAAATGTGATCCTGATTTAAATAAATAGGATTAATTAAAAACATTTCAACATCTTATATTTGAAGTTATTTCAGTTCATCATGAAAGCATACATCTGAGATTTTAGAACAATATTCTTTAGCTTCTTGATATTCTTCCTTTGATCCATAAAGTGCAATTTTTTCAATAAGTATATCTTTTAGTCCATATTCTGCTTGTCTACTTTGTATTCTAGATTGTTTATGCTTTGACACCTGTGCAAGTAATGCACTTAACAAATGTTCTGAGCTTGAATTTTGTCCCTCTTTCAAAAGCTTTGCAAGCACTTTCACCACATCAGCTTGGTAAAATGATTCTAAAATGAAACAGGAATTATTTTCTGACATATTTGCTACAAAATTGCAGATAAAATAGAATTTTATCTTAAAAAAGTCATTGTAACTGCACCTACTTCAGATAATTGATATTTTCAAATAATCAAGGTTTGCCATTTTATTCAACTATGAAAACTGTTCTTATTTTAAAACTATATATTAAATTTTAATAAAGATGATTTAATAAATTTTTCTTGCTAAAAACATACAGGAGGAATTTTTTCAATTAAATTTAGCTGGTTTAAAAATTTCACTAACTAACAAAATTCATATTTCTCACAGAAGGCTAATAGTTCGTTGCAGGTCATGGCGGAACGAAGAGAAAAGAAAAAGTTTTCCATTGATTCAACAGATTTTGATTTAAATCTTTTTTTTTTTAAAAAAAAAATTAAAATGCAGTGATGTAGAATATGAACAAAAATTTAAGAAGGAATAAATTATAACAAAAAAAGGACAGTAAATCAAACTTTTAAGTCTGCTTTCTTTTACCTTCCACAGTGGATGTTACTATTTTAATTGTATGTAGAATCGGAGGCCTCCCCGATATGGCCCATTGCAGCTGTGATTTTTTGTTAAATATTCAACTTCAGCAAAATATTTAAGGATATACTGTTCTTTATAACTGCTACTAATTAAGGATTATTAAATAAAGTGAGATTTGTGATATATTTTAACAAAAACCTTCAGTAAATAATTAGTTTGTTTTTGACCAGATTTTGCTTTTACTTTCAAAGAATAAAGCATTTTGGTTTTTTTTTATTTCCTTTTAAAAATTGAGAACTGTTCCCTTTATAATTTAGCAATTTCAGTTTATTCAAACTATACCCGACGAAGAGCCTTTTCTATTCTGCCATGCAACAGAAAAATAAACATAAGTGACAAAATTATTCGAAATTCAGCACGATTAGCTGCATATTGCAAAAGAAAAGTAGTTGTCTAGCTAATTTTCTCCAAATCTATCACGTTTCATGATAAATAAAGAAACATGAAAAAAGTATTTAATTTTTTTAATGCTACAGCAGTATGACTGACCTTTCGACTAATTCTACAAAGCAAGCTTTTATGTATTAGACAGGCTGCGGCGAAAAAATGTCACAGTCATCCTATCAAATGGAAATGATTCTTAATTTCAATTTTCACTGGTTTATTTGCCTATACTTGTGATGGATAAATTGAACAAAATTATGTCTATTTAAAATAAATTTGGCCCACAATAATCACATATGAAAAGCATTGTGAAAGGAGATTCTTAAGTGACATTTAAAAAAAAAAAAGATTTCATAGGAAAATATTTTATCTAACAATATAGAGTGGAAGAGATAACAAGTTTATTTGACACACAGTAGAAAAATAACTTTAAAAAATCTTTCTTTTTATTACGGTTGGTATGACTTATATCCTAATTAAAATCACGATTTTAAAATCCCTTGCTTTTTCTAGTCTAAAATGTTTTATACAAAATATAAAAATAACAAATAACGAACGTTTTTAGGGTGACATTTTTTTAAAAATCCAATATCATTGAAAATGAATATATCATAAGAACAAATAATGAAAGAGGAGCATATGCAAATTATTTTATTTCAAAATGGATGTAAAAAAATTTTAAAAATTGAGACTAAAAAAGAATGAGAATGTCATAACACTTATACATTATAATTTTTCCATGAGCTGTAGGTAAAATAATTTGTTGGTAACTTTTTTCAATTATATGCCCATTTAGTTTTATATTTATTTAAATGTAAGTGCTTTTACAACTTATTAAATATGTAGTCAGTGTATATCAATAATGAAGAAAGAACTGTTCTACAGAGATTATTTTATAATAATTTTTTTCCATTAATGTTTTCAGGTCTAAACTAATTTATTCTTCATTGAATATTTAATTAAGGTTAAAGTGTTTAATCGGGGGGCCCCCTTGGTATGGGGACAAATTTCAATAGTAAAATTTTGCTGAAACTCAGTTTCTCGTTGATATAATATTCACTTCCAGCTGTCTCTGCTTTTAATTCAACATTGCTGCTGAATGCTCCCCTGCTTCAGCATTGGGTTACCGCAATTTCTATTTATCGTTATGCGATTGGTTCTTGATTAATTTTCCTGTGTATATAAATAGGCATGTTTACAAATTGCCAAAACAAGAGCTCCCAGATTCTACACTTTAATCGTAATTAACAAATTCTTCTCTATTTTAAAAACTCATTAAAATGCTTAGCTTGAATAAAAATAACAATGATTTTATTTATTAAATGATTAGTTTGTAATGTTTAAATAATAACTTTAACCATTTTAGAAAGAAATATAAACTTTTCATACATTAATATAGTTTTTAAATAAATAATTATTAATACAGGGTGGCTACTAAATACTGTAATACTAAAAAAAAATATGAATTAATTTTAATCGTTTGGTAAAACAATTTCTCTCTCATTATACCTGTGATTGGCACTTTCTATTCACAATTTATGCTTAAAGCAAAATACTTAGAATGAATTCAAAGATGGAATCAAAAAGGTTGATGGTTAAATAGCTTTTCGATTGCGGATTTTCTGCAAGTAGAATCTTTAAGCAATTAAAATCTCTTGGGTTTAAGAGAACATTTATATATAGAACTATAAATTGATTATTGGATACTAATGGCTGTAAAGATCAATCCAGGTCTGGTCACCCACGCTCAGTTCATACAAAAAAGCACATTAAAAGAATTTGTTAAAAGATAGGAAGAAATCCACAAGCTCTGCTAATAAAATGACAGCAGAAGAGAACGTGAGTCGAAGAACTATGCAAGTTATATTAAATTAAGACCTGTGTTTTTGCCCTTATTGCAAAAGAAAAGTTCAAGGTTTGATAACTGCACAAAAATTAAAAAGGTTACAAAGTTACAACAAATTACTGAACAGGTATAGTAATAAAAGAGTTGACAGGATAATATTTTCTGGTGAGAAAACATTTTGCACAGAACGAAGTCATAATGCTAAAAATAATATTGTATATTCAGCAATTACCTCTTAAAATGATTTGTGCCACCATCGGATAAAGATGGAGGTCAATTCGAATAAAAAAAATTTTAAGGTCAACTTCCATTTATAGTGTGAACGAATTAAAAAGCGATGACTCAAATTTGCATTTCAAAATTGTTTATTTTTTTAGAAAAAAAAATTTAAGTGTGTTCAGAAGCTCCTGCGGGTGGCAGATTTTCAACCCAATTTATGATAATAAAAAAAATATTGCTAGGTTTATAGAAAAGTCTCCCAATAGTCACCTTTTCCTGAAAATAGTTGCTTTTTAGCCGAGGCAAAAAAAATTGCCATAGTCGCCTCATGCTGAAAATAGTCAGCATATAGTTGCATTTTAGCAGTTAGCATATAGTTGCATTTGCAGCATATAGTTGCATTTTAGTCGCCTGACACAACCTTGCTTATAAGATTATTTTTAAAAAAGCTATTTTTATTTGCTGATTAAAATACAGTTCATTTGATATTTTTTTTAACTTTATTACATAACTGGCATTGAACAACTGACCCAACCCAGAAGACAGATAAACTTCTGGATTAAGTATTGGGAAAAATCTGCCTTCGTGGAGGATTTTTTGCTGGAACTAATCCACATTTGTATTACATAGATATTACATAATTACACTCGCATCAACCAACAGACGCTTTCGAACCAGGATCATCTCGGGAGACGGACACTCTACACCCTGATTGACTGCAGCTCCATTTTGATATTCTTACCCTATCTAATCACTGCCATCGTTGAAGTTTATAGTCAATTTTTTTAATAAAAAATCTAATATAATAATGATACAATTTCTAAACTAAACACAGTGGCACGCCACCCATAGAGGGCCAAGGACTACTGTGCCTATTCCAGTTTTCTTGACCTTGGGCTCTGGGGTGCAGGAGCAGATGTTTCTGTTGGATGGTAAACCCGCGGAACTATCAGTGTTTAGTCCCCGAGCATGCTTGGTACTCATTTTATCGACCCACTAAAGAATTACGTAATTAATATATAATTATATAGTTAATAAATAATTAATAACATATAATTATATTAATAATATATATTCAGTTTTTTTATAAAAGTTTAATATAGTTCAGAGGCCAGGTTAAAAATTTGTGAGAACCATAAGTTGAGCATTATGAATAAAAGGTACAAACCTCTAAAACTCTCAAAGGTAGAGAGATGAGATAGAAAAAAAGCTGCTTTTGCTCTCAGCCTCTCCCCAGATTCCAGCAGAATCTTCATCAAGGATGAAATGATACCAGTGACAGACAAATGATTAATTGCATCTTTATTGTGACGACATAGACCTATTACAAATAAAAGGGAAATTATACTCAACAAGGCACATTTAAACTTACATAATGAAAAATTGACATTGGTTGTTTCTGAATAGAATAACAAAACGCATGCTTTTATAGTAAATTTTGTTTTTTAAATACTAAATGTTTATCAAAAATACTAGAAACTGAAGAAGAAAAGTAAAAAACACACCCACAATAACCAATTTTGGCAAAGGAGATAGGTACAAAGGAAATAGGAGGAAAAGATACTGCAGATTTGAAAGGAAAAAAATGACTTAATAAAGTAAAATTACATCCCATTAATTGTGAGGATACAAACTTATAGCAATACATGACAAATTATGCACCTTTATTGAAATAACATTCATTGTGTGGAATAAGAAATGATTTTTAAATTTTTAGAAAAATTTACCAGATTTAACCCCTTTGCAATGAGCATGTTACAATTATAAAAACATAATAACTAATATGCAACATTAGCAAGATTTAGGATTCATAGTTTTTACATTTACCATACTGTTCAAAACTATATTTTATAATAAAATTGCATTTTATCAGAATAATGCTAGAAGTTGTAACTTAATCTAAAGAATTCAATTAAGTGTTCAGAATCTGACACCAATTTATTTATTTTGCACCAGAAAAATTCGGAACTGGTTATCCAAAAAATTCTCATTCATTGTAAAAAATTTAGATGTTTGGTTAAAAGTATCGTGATTTTATTTATGGCAAAAAAAAATAAAAGCAATATGGTGTAACAAATTCATCAGAGCAAGGTTGGTTTGATTTCAGTTTTTTTTTTAAAAAATTTATGCATTTTTAACAAGTGTATAGTCTTTTCTCAAAACTACTGGAACTAACCAGTACAGTACTCATAGAAATTTCTCCCAATACTTCAAAATTAGTTAAAATTAAAGAAGTTTACACCATTCAATATCTTTTGTCAGAAAAAGGCCTCATTGTTTAGGCAGCATTGTTGGACAATATTCTCAGTATCTATGTTTCTCAAGAGTTAGGTGGTTATTTATTTACCTTTTTTTCTTTATTTCAAGTTTAAAATAGTTTATATTGAGTCATCTCCAAAAGCTAACTTTGGGTATTGTCGGCCATGACATAATATCATACCCACTTAACTGAGTTTAGTTGTTACAAATAAAAATGAAAACAAAAAGTCAGATGTTAAAAAATCTATATCCTTCCATCAAAAAGGAAAAGGAAACTATTTTAAGAAAAAATGTATGATTTGCTTTACAACAAAAATTGCTTTATTTACCAGGAGCATTACTAAAAATATTAAGTGTGAATATTTTTTACACTGTGGATTAAAATATCTGTATTTATTAAATTTTTTAATAGTTTCACCATAGAGTAACAAAACGAATTTGCGTAAAAATTTCAAGAGTTATATCAAAACTTTTGTTATTCATTGCTCAAAATATTTTGAAAAAAAAAAGATTTATTTTACATTAATTTCAAATAATAATGCATTTTTATTCAATAACTATTCATGTAAGCCTTCAGATGAAAATATTATGACAAAAATAAATGAATGGATGAGTTTGAAAACAGGTCATCTACAGTGGATTTCCTATGAAGATTACTTGTTTTCGGGCTCATCGATTCAAATGTCCGAAAATTAAAGAAAAATGTACATACATATCCAATAAATTTCATTAGAAATATTTTTATTTTTTAATTGTATCACAAAAAAGTACATTTTTAATTTAAATATTTTGGAAAAAAAATCCTAAAGAACAAAAAATTTAAAAAACAAATCTTTTTGGTAAAATTTACTTACATGAAATAGCGTACAAAGCTTTAGAGCAAATTCTTTCATCAGAATTATCCAACAGCTTCACTAATTCTGGTAATAAATTTAAATCAAGAATTCTAGCTTGGCAGTAAGTATTATTTTGGCATAAATCTGCAACTAATTCAGAAGTAACAGCTACTACTTCAGAATTAGAACACAGTAGTAAGGGCATAAGAAACTCAAATCCTCCAATTTTATGGAAATCTAAAAAAGTTAAAGGATATAAAATGAATAAAATGATCAATTTACTATTTAGATAGCATTGATGTAAATACATGAATAATATAGTTCATTACAAAAATAATATCGTACATTTGTTGCTAACAGGGTAATTAAGAGTTCTTAAAAGCCTTAATGCTAAAAAAAATGCTGGATTCATTCAGATAAAATTATATTAGATTTTACATTTAATTATTTTCTTTTTATCTAAATGAATCCAGAAATTTCCTATTTTTAGATTTGATTAGATTAATTAGATTAGTTTTGCCATGGGGCGGCCGATCTCCTAGCAAAAAAGGGAGCCTCTGTCCTACAGAGATCTAATTCAAGACACCCTTTCTATAATATCAAAAGTCACATAAAGAACATCTTCAGGGCCTCTTTTCACGAGGAACTCAAAAATCGTAATTTCAATAAACCATGGCTTAAACAGATTCTCAATGTCCCTCAGTGCCCTAGGAGGAAATCTGTTGCCATGTTTCGTCTGATAACTGGTCACAATTGCCTGAAAAAAACATATATGTCGCATCAAAGCGGTTCATGATCCCTTTTGTACATTGTGCGACCTCCACGAGGTAATGGACTTGTCTCACCTGTCTAGGTGCCCTGTTCTCCCTCGGAAATCTATCTGGGAATGCTACTGGACTGCCTGTTCTTATTTATAGATTTATTGTTAACTTTTTTATGTTCAATTGTCTTTTAATGTGCCATTGGAAATAAAATAAAAAAAGATTAGATTTGGCATGTGAGATAGATGTAAAAACACAGTTGAATAATACATTTTTACATCCATTGTACAATCATGGCTGCCACTGGGGTAAACTCCAAAAACAGTTGCTTTAATTGTTTTAAATAGGAAAAATAGTTTCCAGGTGCATATAAAACAGTTTCCAAAACTAGTCTACCTCTTCTAAAATATTTTTACAATATTTATACCTTATTAATAAAATAGATTCTAAATAAAAAAATTCACAGATATTCTCAAAAAAATAAAGAGGAAATGCATGAAGAAAAAATTTGCAACGTATATGTACAATGCTACATTTAACAGTTATCCAACAGTAATAGCAGTCAATGAAGTACACACATACAATCTGATGTGAAATCAAATTGTATGTTCAATAAAATAAATAAATAGGTAATATAATTTCTAAGCTCCAATCAAAACTGCTGCATTTCAAAAGATATTAATATTATGTAAGTATAATTCTGACGAATTTCAACTGAAAATTTGTTTTAGTTATTTAAAGATACTATATTGTTAAAGAAGGCGTGATTGTAGCACTGCAAAGAACTCACGTTTTTGGTGGATCTGATGTGTCTCCTTTTGATTTGTTTATTACAAATTTGCTGTTGTTACAAGCAGTGCACTGTACTCAAATTAAAACAATACAAAACAAAGAAAAACAAAGTTTATTTTGCAAAATTTTAAAGTTTGTTTATTGCTGAGAAGTAATAAGTGTCTTATAACAATTCTTATTTTAATATTAATTTTAAGTTTTTATTAAAGAGCCTCACAAAGCAGCGGGATAACCTAACTGCTAGAATGTTGTGCCCATGTCCGAAAGTTCGTGAGTTTGCACCCTGCTGGCTAAAGATTCCCTGTGTGTAAAAATGGTGACTGGTTCACACGAAATTTGTCGTGATCACAAAGTCCTCCATGTTCCCATAACAAATAAATACTTCTGAGAAAACTAGATCAGAGATTAATCGGTTTCTGGCACAGGTTAAAATTACAGTCTGTAACTGGATGAATGGCGCGTGAATGAGTCACCCCTGTAAAGATGCATGCGATATAAGTGAGAGGCAAGTCGAATTACTGGAAACTTGAAAATAAGAAGTGCACCCCTCTGCCTTAAATAGGTTTGCAGGTATTGGTAAATTGCATAAGACAACAACATTTTCTCTCGAACCACATGTTTACCATCTTTTCACGATTTATGTTTATAGTTATATAACTATATGTACTGTCTTCACTATTTACCATTTTTCATTATTTTTTAAGTTCACTGTTCTTATAGTGAACACGTTGAAGCAAATGACCTCAAAATACACTGAATGCAGTAACCTAAAAATATGGTTGGTATAGAACTTGCAGCATTTCAAAGGTGTAGAAAACACCATCCATATACTTCATTAAATTATTTTGCAATTACTGAGATATTTTTTTTTTAAAATTATGAGTAAAACTTTAATTTGCTGAATAATTTTATTATTAAGAAAATGTTTACAGTGACCTGGAATAAATATAACAACATTTGAAATGATGTAACAAGGTTTTTCTGTAAAAGAGATATATACAAATAATTTTTTTTAAAAATACCCAATTACTTAAAATGTATCATACATATAAGTACTCAGGGGTCTGTCTAGGTATTTCTGAGAGGTACATATTTTGTGAAAATTTCGACATAATTTGCGAAAAATTAAAAATTATATTAAAAAATCAACACAAAAATATGGTCAAAATATGGATTTATCGTTTCTTAAGGGATGCAAAAATAAAATTTTAAGAAAAAGTATTTTGTGAAACTACCGTTTTTCCAAGCTGAATTTGTGAAACTACCGTTCTTCCTAAAATTGAATTTGTGAAGGTACCGCTAAACGGTAGTAAATTCGGCCTGGACAGACCCCTGGTACTAGCTATAANTCTCCAGGGAACTTTCAGATGACCCGATGCTTAGCTCTTTTGACTTGAAGTCTGGCATTTGCAAGTAACAAAAAAAGAGAAATAGAATAGAAAATTATTAATCTCTTTTTTTTTTTTTATTCTCTCCCTACTAATTAGCTACATTTTAGAATTAAGCTAAATGAGGAAGTCTGATTCACATATCGTATTAGACATTGCAGGAAATAACAGATTTATAATTCTTAGTATGATGCATCTTTATATGACAAAAACTGGCACAAACTAGCCATCTTTTTTTAAATGTAGCAAAAAGTCATGCTGACTCCATTAGTATCACTCTGACTCTTTTATATTTACACCAAAATTCTTTTTTCTAATATACCTAATGGAAGGGCAGAAGGAAAACAAGGCTTTTAATCAGATCCCTTTCATAACAAAATTCTATTGCAAAGCTTAGAGTAAGTGACTTGTTGCATCATACAAGAAATGGGAGCCAAAAATCCCTAGACAGTTTATAAGCAAAGATTTAATTTTATGAGAAAAAACTGGTTTGATATGCAAGAAAACAACTTAATCCTCAATCAAACTGAATCCAGGCTAGACAATTAAAGGCTTGAGTTAATTAATAACAATCAAAAAATTAATCAGTCATTAAAATGTTTATCATTAAGTGTAAAATGCACACTTTACGTAGATATACAATAGGTAGGTAGATATACTAATGGTAGGTAGGGTGATCTGGGGTAATTCCTGATCAAAAAATACAAACATCTATTTTGTGAAAAAACTATTCAAGATAGAATTTTAATATTTACTGGAAGTTTGAGGCTATATGTGATGAGTCCTCTGATACCTTCTTTTGCTTGAAAATCTAATTAAAATTTAAAAGATTTTAAATTTTTAGTGATCAGGAATTACCCTTTCTCTTGATCATTTCTGGGGTAATTCCTGATCACTTCTGGGGTAATTACTGATCACCAGTTTTTATTGTAAAGGGGCTGTTTAAAAATAATTATACAATGGTAATTAACAAATAAGACATCAAGGTCAAACAAACCAAAAAGATATGTTTAAGCAGTTAATAAAACGATTTATTTAAAAAGCAACAATTAAGATTATCACTTTAAATTTTCCAAAAATCTTTGCATCGTGCCATACATTTTAGGCAAGCAGCCAACTCATTATCATATTCTGCTGGAATATAAGAAAGAGTTCCCACCACGGCCGGATTAAGTGCACACGGAGCCCTAGGCCATTCAAATTTTTGGGGTCCTTAGATAAAAAAAAATTTCTCGTACATTTTATATTTATTCAAATATAAAAGTATTTATATATAATTAAGAAAGCATATTTAAAAAAAAATAATAATAAATTAAATTTTACTTTATTTTATTAAATTAGAACTAAAAAATAATTATAGCATTTTGAAAAATCATTGTTTTTCTTAATTTTTTAAAATTTATTTAGGGGGGCCCCAGGCCATGTCCTAGTCAGGCCTAATGATGGCCAGATTACCCATTTGACTAATGGGTAATCTGGCCCTGGTTCCCACATGGGTTAGTTTTGCTGGATTTTTTAACTTCATTAAGTGAGAGTGTAAGTTAAGTAAGGTATGTCAACAGCTCTGGCAGCAGCTCTCACACTGAAATTTTCATTTTCAATCATTAAAAGAAATTCACTAATTTTGCTTTCTAGAAGCTTATTATCCTTTTTAGGCTTATAATTTCTCACCATATTTATATTAGACTAATTTAAAAACTTAAAAATTATTCTAACAATGTACACACATAAAATTAAGATAGAAGCAAGGTAAGACAAACCAGAAATGGTGCAAATCAGAACACATTTGTCTTGTATACAGTTAAAAACAAATGTTGTGATTACAGTTAAAATATATTTTATAGTCGTTCCACTTAACAAATATGAACTGTTATTTAAGAAAAGACAATTAACTATTTTTAATACTATTCATAAAAAGAAATGACACTGATCAGGAACTACCCCAGTGATCAATAATTACCCCATCTGTAGGGGGCAACATTTGATATAGTTTTCTATAATCAATTAAAAAGTTTACAGTGGATGTGAAACAATTAAACAAAAGCTTACACTATTATCATATTAAAGAAAAGAAAGTAACTCAAAATATTTATGATTCAGAGAAGGAAGAAGAGAGAACATTTCTTTGCAGAAATGTGCACATTTTGAAACCCATCTTTGAAATGGAAAATACAGAAAGCAGTTTAAAAGATACTTATTTTGTTAGATTAAACAAAACACTATTATTAAGTAAATGTAGTTATACTTTAATAAAGTGTACAAGCATTCTTGTCCATGTCTCAAATTTAAAAAATAATAATTTTTTTGAAATAAAATTTAGGTGATCATTATTTACCCCAGAAACAGAGTGATCGTGAATTACCCCGGGTCACCCTAGAAAGACTAATTTCATATATTATGAAGTGCTTGTATTTTATTCCCATCACACAATGGGTTATTGGCAACAGTCTAGGAAACAATCCTAAAGATGATCTGAAGACATACCATCCCAATTTTGATTCTATGCAGACGAGAAGGCTCCTTTGCTTTGGTAGCTCGACAACCCGCTCGCTAAATCAAGCACTTCATGGTGGATCATTATTGAAAGAAAGTAAAATTATTGAAAGAAGCTAATAAGCAATTTCAAGAAATAAATAATTCTAGTTACCGACCATTTGAATTGTCCAAAGCTAGGATTATTTCATTCAATGCCTCAACTGCACTTTTCAATCCACCGTAGGTGTCGTCAGTGGCTGTGCCTTCATGCACTTCTTTCATCAACCTATTGATTTTTCCAAGCTCAGCCTTCATCAACTCAATATCCGAAGGAGGCAGAACAACCGGGGGTTGAGGTATGCAGCTCAGTTGCATTGCCATGCTGTAAAGAGTTGTAATTAAAAAAAAAAATTTCAATTTAAATGTATGTAATAGGAGAGAAAATTATATACATGATGAAAATCAATAGTGTTGATGTCAAACTCCTACCAATTATTCTATGGTAAATCTTTTTTATTATTTTCAAGAAAATATTTTTTTATAAAAAAGAACATTTAATGTAAAAACTTCGCCATTAAATTTATTTAACGATCATATTTTATTCTTTATGAAATAATTTGCTTGGGCAGAATAATTATCTTTTCAAAAATTTAACTTCATAATAAAAGTAATAAATTTAAAGCTTTTGTAATCAGTCATCGAGTGGATGCCCACTTCAGCAAGATACGTTGTGCCCTTTACCCCCTCCTCTGCATTCTACAGTTGATGGTTGAATGTAATAGATAATTTGGGATAGACTGTTTTTCAATTTCTTAAAATATTTTTTAAGTATATATCAGATTATATCAATCATTACTTTTTTTTTATACTTAGATTTAAATTATTTTTTTTTAAGTTGGTGAAAAAATCAAGCTATTTAAATAGCTGGATTTAATTATGAAATTTAAATTAACGACATCCAGTTGGTTAAAAATATTTGGCAACTAAAAAAAAATTTTTCTTTTTAATACAATTTAACTACTTAAGAGGGTTTATTGAAATATACGAGGGTTGTAAATTAAATAGTGGCAACTTAACCTTTAAATTCACAGAAGGGCGGGCACGCGCAAATAGGATATGGGAACGGTGAAGTAGAGCTGTTGTCGATGTGTAGAGTGCAAAAAACAGTCGATCTGCTTAGAAGGGTAGTTGTTGTGTGACGTTAAAGTGAGGAGTTTCATTTCCATCGCTCTAAAGCATGCTTTCAAAAGGTAATCAGCGGCCGTCGCTTAAAATCGAGGTTGCTTTGGCAAAAATGCAACAGAATGCTATCGAGGATTAGTGGAAATATGTGACGCAAATGCTTTACCGTATAGAACAATAGCACGATGGGTTCAAGCATCTTGTCCTTTTTCGTCATTAAGCCTTTTGAAAACGTGCTTTAGAGCGATGGAAACGAAACTCCAACTACCCTTTTAAGCAGATCGACTGTATTTTGCACTCGACACATCGACAACAGCGCCACCTCACTTCTCTCATATCCTATTTGCAAGTGCCCACCCTTCTGTGAGTTTCAAGGTTAAGTTGCCACTATTTAATTTACAACCCTCGTATATATAAAAAATAGTGTAGGATACGGTGCCCCTTATATTAGGCAGAGTACCTTGGAACTTGCTTTTACTGCATATTTATAACTTTTATTTCTATCTTGATCTATTTTTCTATCTTGATCTACCTCAAGAGCATTGCCAGTAGGGGGTCAGGAGGGGGCTATAGCACCCCTGTCGGGCATGGATTGTCACCAATCGGGACCAACTTAAAAGTCGCCGGATAAAAGCTACTATTTTGCAAAGAAATATAAATGTATTCTTAAAAAATCTAGAGTTTTTTTTTTGTAAATGAGAATAAATGAAAAACATAAAGATGAGAATGTGTTCTTTTTACTTAAACTTTATCACTAACTTCCTGTTGAGACTTCTTTTTCTCAGAAAATTCTGAGGCTTAAGTATTTTGTTTATGTCCATATGGAAAGTTTCATTACTCCTGAGGAACAGGTGAAGGTGAGAAGACAGTTCTAACTAATTCCCCATCGTCCTCCCATGACCACACCTTTTGAGACAGACTATAATGCTTTCTTTGCATTCAATGAGGAAAAGAATTTTGAGAAACGTTGCTCCATTTGAGGTTAAAATATTCCATTCTTAAATTATTTGAAAGCAATGAAGTAGTAAGTTTGTTTTGTTATTCCCCTTTAATTTGCTTTTAAATAATGTATATATTTATAAATGCCAATAAATTCAATTGTAATTGCTCATATATAAGTTAAAATATAAAAATAAACTTGCATTACCTAGACCTACCAAGTTGTCTTGTCTTATAAACGACAATAAAGAAGTGTTTAATTATTATTTAGTTAAAGCATGTGATATTTCATCAAAAACAGTTTTTCCACTTATCAGGAATATACATTTTTTTTAGAAAAATATTCTATGGAAAAATCATGATTAACAAAATGGGCATAACAAATCACAATTGTAATCTCTTGTCTGCTCTGGTCAAAAAAGTTCATCTTCCTGTCACGAATTTTTTTTAAAAAATAAATAAGAATTTATTTTATATTACGCTGAATTTTTTAAAATCTAATTATTTGTTTTTGTATTATTATAATCACTGCTTCCTCCAAAATTGTGAAATGGAGGAATGGCAGAACTGCTCAGCAGCTCCCTTGATCGGCACATAGTACACTGGTGTAAGAAATTAAGAGAATTTGTAGACTTGGTCGATTATCTCTAGAACTACCTAAATGATTTTAATGAAATTTGACATGTACATACATAGATACACTACAAAACAAATAACCATTCAACAATTGTAGTACACACACATGATCGTGCATAACACATTTGTTGGTGTCGGAAGGTATAAAATTGTCACAGGAAATGATAAACTGCTTTATTTCAAGCATGAAGTCACAATGCAAGGCCTGTAAATCTGTAAGAGGGGACCATATCCACTATTAACCCTTTTTTTTGCTGTTTATTCTGCAACTGCTGTTTCACTGGGTACAATAGATCTCTGGTCGATGTGCCCTGCTCGTCAGAGCTGCCCAACCTCTAAGTCTAAGTCTAGCTGCTGTTTCATAACTTCCAACTTCAACGAGTGATACGTAGGATCATGCGTGAGTATTATAATTGTTAAATTGTTATTTGTTTTGTATTGTATCAATGTATGTACACGTCAAATTTCATTAAAATCGTTCAGGTAGTTCTAGAGATAATCAACCAAGTCTGCAAATTCTCTTAATTTCTTGCACCAGTGTAGGTTTATATTTTAATAAAATTTATAACACTACTTTTTAAATTTTTCTTTACTTTTTACAACTTAAATAATAAATATTCTAGAGAAGAACTGCCTCATATGATAAGTGATTTAGCACACCCTTCCCATTGATGACACTTGGATTCGAATCCCCATGTACTGCTTTTGGTTTGCACTGAAAACAGTTTCGACACATAATACCTTTAGTAGTAGAGAGATCATGTCATGTGTGAGAATAATCTTTCCATCTTTCTAAATATGGAATATTTTTATGCTTTTTTTTAATTGCTATTAATGTAAAGAGCAAGTGTGGGCTTGTTTCAATTCTGGTACAAGGGGTCCCCTTGTACTCTAAGTTCGGCTCAAAATTGCAAAACTACAGGTTTGAGCATTAAAAGCAACAAATCATCTATATGAATAGATACTAATAGTAAAATAAAGTAAATATCTTTATTCTTGCAATAATTAAATTTTATTCAATTTTTGTTATCATTTATTTACTCATTTTTGGTAAATCTTAAGCTTTATTTATTCAGTTATTGGTATGAGGATAGAAAATGAGAAAGAAAAAAATATTGCGACATAATCATTTAGAATCAACTTGTTTATATATATATATATATATATATATATATATANATATATAGCAAGTTTTATTCCCCCTCTCTTACTTTTTCATTAGCAAATTAACGATTAATAAATATCCCCCTTAATGATTTTTAAAACTTAAAAAACAAATAAAAATAGTTAATTAAAATAAAAAATAAAGAAAACACAAAAGTACAAACTTTAAATTTTTTTCCTGGAAATTTTTGTAACATTTACAATCAGTTTCGAATAATTTTAATACACTTTTTACCTAGCCACAAATATTTACTCTTTAAATCAAAATTTCAAATTTCATTTTGTCTTTTTTCAAATTTTAAATACAGTTAAAAGCTTGATATATTGAGAAGCATATAGTGAAAAGTTCAATATTGCAATACCTTCAAAATATTAATATTTTAAGATACAAAAAATTTTTTGTTTATAACAAGTTTAAAAATATTAGCCTTTCTCTATAGCAGTATTTGGGAAAAATACACATTTCAGTTATTTAAATTAACAAAGTTATATGAAAGAGGACAAAATGGAAGACATTTAAAAGAAAAATCTTCGTAATAAAAGAATGTTAGGGAGAAATTCTTTGTACTCCCCTTAAAATATTACTTTATGTAAATGAAAATTACGATCAATATAATATAAGTAATAAAAAATATTTAAAGTTGAGATACAAATTTCTTAAAACTGAACTCTCTTCTAACGGGAATATTTTCCTATCATGATCTGTCATGCGTAACAACAATCACTAAATTTATTTTAAATTAACAATTAAAAAAAAAAAAAACATGGAGAACACAAACCGCCTACTTGGTTATAAGTTTTACCTTTTCAGTTGGTGCCCTCCTGTAATGGTTTTTCTTTTTTTGTTTCTCAAAGGCCACTGCCTAGAAGATGTCAAGACTTAGCAATCATTCTGCAGCATATATTATTTTAATTTGTTCGAGTTTTGAGTATAAATGACACAACTGGTAAAATACCTTACTTTCCCGTGGTTTATTCGGCAATATTTTATTTCTGCACATAATTCATTTGTAACTTTTAAATACAGAATCTAATTTCGTATCTAACACTTGGCTATTTCACTGACACGTGTATCAAAATAAAGTCAAGATCTAGTTGTCTAATACATTTTAGATTTTTTTAGGTACCCTTGAAACGTTATAGGGGAATGATATCCATATAGTGATCTGGGGAAAAATGATTACTAAGTCTTGTCAACTTCCAGGCAACGACTCGCAGGAAACTAAATAAATATCACAGAAGGGGACCAACTCAAAATGTAAAACTCATATTCCCATGAGCAGCAAGGGGACTTTTCTGTATGGTGATCTGTCATGCCAACTACAATCACCAAGGCTCTAAATAGGTTTTAAACATGATTTTTTTAATAAAAACCTGTAGAGGTTAGGACTGACTACGAGCTATACCTTTCTGTAATTTTTTTATTTCTCGCGGGACGCTACCATGATCACGATCTCCATGATTATTCTACCACAGATCACGATATGGACTTCTATATGTTTTTTTTTTTTAATTGCAACTTGGTGCAATGGCATGACAGATCACTATGCGAAAATATCTTCTTTATTAATATATAAAGGACGAAAAAAGGTCAGTTATAGCACATACAAATATAATATTATCCCCCTTATCGGGAATCCAACTGAAGTTATTAATAAAACAGATACGGATTGAAGCCGATAAGTAGAATATGACAATTTTCAACTATCCGAATTGTTTGTAAATAAATCCTCACTTTACCAACAACAGCTATTATTCTAGAAATTTCTAAAGTTTCGTTCGTAAAAGTGATTTAACAGTGTGCAATTTAATGCCTATTCTGTTGCTCGATTTTATTCTACTGATAAAACGGAATACACTCGTAGTTTTTTCTTAGTGCATCTATTAAAGCATTAATCTTACTTTTTTACTTCTCTTCAGTGTAAATTGTAAACACAACTTTTTCTTTTAACCAATCAAAAGTTGTATTTCTCTTCCCGATGACGATCAGAGGTGCGTAAATCACATTCAGTAGGAACGTTTGCTTAGAAAGTGATTAAAAAGTTTCAGAACTAATGATGAAAAAAGTTTTTACTCACATTTTTTTAAACTGAAATATATTAAAAAATGAATGATATTTTTTTAAATGAGAGCTATGATTCTCAAATGAGAAAAATCGATTACTAGGCAGCACGTGAGTATCGATTGTTAGGTGCAGCGCGTGTGTTTTATTTATTTGGATCTGCACGCGTCTCCTATGCGAATCAAATAGACGGAATTTCTTAACCGGGAGATTAAAACATTGCTGTTAGCCAGAGACATCTGTACTCCTCTTTATTTCTCAGCAAACAAAAATTTCGTTATTTTAACTCTATCATATCCAGGTAAATATATAATTTTATACTATGTGCAAATGTTTTTTTTTTTGTCAAATACTTATTTGAAAATCGAACTAATTGTTTATGTTATTAACTATATAATTCATGTTTCGAACCCTTTGTTTTTTGACACAGTATATACATATATCTATCTTTTATTGAACCTGTTGCCTTTAAACCCTAATATCAATTTATTTCCTTCAGTTATTTAATTATAAACTTATATTGTAGTTTTATCACTGTGAATTGCTTGTATTTAGACATTGGTTATATGCATAAATATCATAAAACTATTCTACTATATAGTTAAAATTACTACTATGTAATTAAAATTCAACAGCCAAATTTAAGAGCTTTCTCACGAAAAAGGAAATTCAGAAAATATCCGGAATCATCAGTTTGGCTCTAAAAACCAGAGAATAAATTCTTTTTCAAAAATTTGTAGAATTCTTGCAACATACTTGAACCTGTTGAGAGTAGTAGGCAAATAGTTTTTTGAGATTGTAATTTAGTTATTCAATAAGGGCGCCGGCAGAATAATATAAAAGGGGGTGTAACCCTTTAACAAACTAACCCCCCCCCAAAAAAAATGAAAATATTCAGTTATTACATTTTGTTTTGTAATTACAGATACTTTCATCTATTAATTTTTTTAAGATACATTTCTTGTACTTGCAAATTTTGCCACCAGAAACTGTACTGATGGAGCTGGCATAGCTACTGACTTTGAAACACAAATAACTACAGACAGTAGTTTCGTATATTAACGTGTTTGTGCACGCTTAACATTGGTATTTATTGTGTTGATGAAGTTTTACAGATGTGAGAAGTCCGTTTGTGTTATACACCTTTGTTGAACTAAATAACTAATAGAAAATATAATATTATTTATATTTTATTCAATGAAATTTTAAAAAATTAGTTTCTGAAATTTTTTTCAGTGTATAATGCGATACTTTTTCATAAAATCTGTTGAATTTTTACCTTTTCGTAATTGCAACTATGTTATTAAACTTTTAATGCAATTTTTAAATTGTTATTTTTACTTTTACATATCGCCTAAAGTTATCTGTTTTAAGTGAACAACTTGTTTGATACTATAAGATAAGTGTGGCTCTTTGCTCTCGTGGATCAAAAACAGAAGATACTATATGACTCAAACGGTTTTTTTAAAAAAAGCATTGGTGGTTGCTATGAATTATAGGTGTGAGAATTCTGCGCTTTTCCGCTATTTTATGATATTTGCACTACTTCTGATATTTGATTTTTTAAAATCAAATTTCCGTTATAATATGGTAAAAATATTTGGATATTACGGAAACGAAATCCAGAATTTTATTACAGTTAATATGGCATTTCGTAATACCGCAAAAAACGCTCTTTTTTTTCTCCCATCTTTCGTAAAAAAAAATACTAAAGCCAAAAATGACGGACTCTTTTTTAGAATGCACAAAACTCTTTGCTTTTTGAAAAAACACGGATTTCAGATGAAGTAGTCATCATTAAAGCTCTCACACCAATTGACCTAACAATTAGACAATCCATCGCAATTAAGAAATAATTTTGGAATAACAATAATCAGGATACCTTCGATAACGATTACCAGATTAAATACCTGAACGAATATTCCCCCTCCCCCAAATTGTACTTACGACCCAACTCAATTAAGGATTATTAATACGGGATACAGCGGGCCGAGCGGAACAGGGTACGAAATATACGTGGACGGAAGCAGAAGGCAGGTAATTAACAACGAATATGAATACAAAGTTGGTAGTGGTTTCTTAGTCAAACTTAACGGCGAAACTATACACCAACAGTCTGTCAGAATAAATGACGAATCAAGAATATACCCGGCTGAGCTGACCGCCATCTACCTGGCTGCTTCTTGGGCAATTGAGGCAGATATACAAGAGTTAGTACTTTTTTCGAACTCCAAATCCTCATTACAGGCCCTAGAGAATCCCACACCAAGGGGCATTATAGTCGAAAACATTAAAGGTATTATTCAACACGGGAATTACCGGTTCAACTGGATCAAGGCTCACTCGGGGGAAGCTGGAAATGAGGAAGCGGATGCTCTAGCAAAAGCGGGCACTCTGCTCAGTGGGGTAGATTTTTACTACTCTATTACAAGACCACAGCTTAATTATAAACTACGGCAGGTCAGCACAGATTTATGGCAAGAAAGGTGGGACCGTTCATCAAACGGGAGACATACCAACAAGTTTTTTCCAAAAGTCAGCGATAAACTTTTAAATTGTGACTTTTACATAAACCAATTCTATACCGCCCACGGAGTGTTCGGAGAACACCAATCGAGATTTTTTCAGAAATCATCTAGCTGCAAATACTGCGGCAAAAGCCAAACGGTTCAACATCTAATTGCAGAATGTCCTAAATTCTCGACACTCCGGGGGAATCATATTAACATCAGGGAACCAATCGAAAAGTGGTGCAGAACAAAACAACAGCAACAAATCATTAGAGAAATTATTAAAAGCACACTAGAAGATACCATTACAATGGACGATCCGATGGACCCTATACACTTAGGTTGACTTGATGTCTCCCCTCAATACCTGAACTGCCAATCCACTTCTATTTTAACGCGTCATTCCCCTTTTATATTTTTCAAACTTGAGCATCCTGGGGGACTCCGTTGGTCTTCTGTTCTATTACCTCAACACTAATTTTAATTCATCTTGATGTTTTTACTCACTTGTATATTTGCTTTTAGCGTTTTTATCAATAAAAATAGACGGGAAACAATGCCATCAATAGCACAGAAAGTATCGTTACCTCAAACTTTAAATATAAATAATATATTAAAGCTTTTATTATAAAGTATTTGTTTTTCAACCTCAAAATAAAGTAATTTTTAAAAAATAATTCAAAATTAAACTTTTTTTTAAACTTAAATTGCTCATAAATGACGACATGCCCAGGGCCCCTAAAATCATAAAAACGGCCCTGAATCGTTAATAATGCAGCTCGTTAGAAAGAAACTCTTCAAACATGAGATTTGAAATTTTTCGTGTATGATGATGTAGCTTTAAAAAATAATCTAAAAACTATCAGAATGCGTTGCGATAACTAACAAAAAATCGTAAATCCTCATGGGCTCACAGGTGAATCGTCGATAATTGCGTAAAAAGAGACTCTTCAAATGTGCGATTCGAGAGGGATTACTCAAATGCGTGATTCTGAATTCACGATATTCGCATTCATGTAAAAGAAAAGTGGCAACAGTATATATAGAAATAGAATTCGCTTTGAAATATTTGTCGCTGTTTATTATTATTTATTAAATTATTTTTTAAATATTTTCTCGTTTCTTAATTACATTTCATTTAAACTAAATTCCTTGTGTTTCAATATCACCTTATATGTTTGTGTTTTATAAAATCAACTTCTAATGTTGCATTTTCTTCTCAGATTGCACGTATTTTAAAGAAGAAGATGGAGATTGATGCCTATAAAATTGCCCTAAAATATGTAAATAATGATTGGAGAAAAATTAAATACCGATGTGTGAAAAATGAATCTGCTTCGGAGAGTAACGCCAAGGACAGGTATGACGTAGCTAGAAATATGTTGCTATTTGATAGAAAATCTGTTCGATCAACCGAAGACATTCAACCATGGAAGGTACTTTACAACATTAAAGATTTCAATTTGGATTTCATCGTAGAGAATGTTTCTAACAACGAATTCATGAATGATATTGTGCAAGATCTGCATTTATTAGCCACAAGAAACAGTTTAGATGTAGCACATAAATTTAGACAGATGTTAAGTGATGAATATGAAATATTTTCATATTTTAGAAAGCAAAACATGAAACGAAATTTTCCTACAATCGAAACTGTTGTTTTATTAGGTATGATTTGCAGAATTTATTCAACTGATGCAACGCAGCATCCCGTTATGCTACCTGCAATGATATATATGTGTGACATATTGCATGCGAACTTTTATCCATCTTATAGCAACGTCATTATTAGGCTTTACGTTTGTGAACTATTAAAGAATTGCATCTCTGAGTCAAGAAAATTTATCCCAGAATCTATTCAATTTTTGAAAAGTGTTTTTGACTTAGCCTTGGTAGAAAACATGAAATCTCATAAGTTTAATCTGATCATTACCGAAAAAGTATCATCTGAAGAAATTCCAACCTTACAATTGTTTTCAAAAGATAAAAAATTAACTAGGGTGAGTGAAAAAATTGGCGTTATTTTCACTGCCGCCTCTCTGACATTTTGTTTAGCTACCCTGTATAAGGAATACCCTTCATCCAAATTTGCATTCCAGCCAATATTAGACACCCTCATCCAGCTTCCTGTTCATCTTTATCCTGTAGAAATGGAGACGCTGATTAGAAGACTCATTGAATGTCTAAGGCGAGAGACTCCTCCCTTTCGCCATCTTACACAGACTACTAAACCGAAATCGTTAAAGATGTTTGAACCGGTGTTTGAGTGTCAATACGAGTCTCTTGAGGATTATGAACGCCAACTAAAAAATCTAAATACCAAGGACAATAAGAACAAAGTAAAGCTCAACAAGGAGCGTGAAAAGTTAAAAAGCGTGAAGCAGAAAATTAGAAAAGAAGAGAGGAGTCTTATGAAGGAAATCAGAAGATCTGCTAAGACTGCTGCATTCGTTAAATTAGAAAAAAAGCTGACATTGGATGCAGAAAGGCTGAAAAAGGCGGCAAAAATATACAATGAACTTGCAGTGCAAGAACATGAGTTTAAAAAAATGATGAAAAAGAAATAAAGTTGTTTTTTTTTTCTATCATGTATTGAGATTTTTCTTCTGATTTATTTATTTTTCGTTTTTAAAAAGTAAGCTTTTGTTTGTTATAATAACACAGCAAATCATTGCTAATTGGACTTAAAAGGGCTATGTAGAATATTTTACTTTATTTATTTTAATTTAGGGGAGAAGCTTTAGAAAGCGTGGAAAGGTTGAAAACCCCACACCAACAAAGTATGTTACAAAAGCTGTAATGATGGACTGGTTCAATCACAATGGTATTAATTGTACTCTTGATATGAGAAAGGCAGAATTAAGTTCTATAATATAGCAATTGTCCAAAAAATTTATAATATTGATAAATTAATAAATTGTCCTATTGATAAATTAATAGAAGAACAAGGACATCTTGTTATTCGCCTTCCCCTTTACCATTGTGATTTAAATGCCATTGAATACGTTTGGTCTACAGTTAAAAGGTTCATTTGAGAGAGAAACGTTACTGGCGATGATTGATTGATAAATAGGATATGTCTGAAAATTGTTTAAAGCAGCTCAATGTTTTATTAATACATAACTCATCTATAAATTTATCATACATAGTAAATTGGCTATTAAGAAGGAAAGAAAGAAAATAAGTTAAGCAAATAAAAAAATTTCAGAATTATTTTTTTACTAAATGATGAGTAAAACTATACAGGTTGCATTAAAATACGAATAACAAAATGTAATTTAAGCAAAAAAAAATTAGATAATTTCAGATGGTTTGATGGGTGTTGATAAAAATTATCATTGATAGTTTTAGATTTCATCCTAGTTGCGGTAACTTGCTTTCTGCTTTAAAAAAAAGTAAAAAATAAATAATAAAAATAAAAGATCTTTAATATTTTTTTGGCGCAGATCACGTGAACTATTTCTATTTTCAGCAAAGCTTTATCTCCTTTTAAAATTATAGTTAATAAGTTTAAGCGCTTCACTTTTACCGGAAAATTCAACTAATAAAAGAAATTAACTGCTTTAAAAATGTGCAAGTTACGAAATTAAATCATCTAACAATCAATGAACATTCATAATAAATAGTGCAAAGTTAAAAAGTAACATAAAAAGAACCTGCATTACCCTTAATCTCAGAATGTTCACTTTTTTTCCTTTTTATTTAAAAAATAGTAACCGATTGGGTAAAGAGAATCATTTTAAGTAAAGAAAGAAATAACCATGCCAAGCTTAAGAAATTTCTTGAATCAGATTAAATAAGCCTCCTACTGGTGGCTGAGTCAGCCAATCTGGTATACTTCCCATACATGCTATCATCGATGCTACCCTCCCTGAAATACGCCATTCTTGTTTTCATAGCACCAGACGGCCGCAGACTTTGTGAATAACCGAAAGACCACCGAAGACATGCCATCACAAATTTGATCCTCTGCAGAGGGGATGGCACCCCCGCTTCGGTAGCCCGACGACCTGCACGCGAAGTCGAGCACTTTACGGTAATACAGTTTAGCGAGGACCAATACCGCACACCCTCGGTCCTTACGTAGACTGATACAAGTGGTCACCTCACTTTTGTGAAAAATCTTAAAGGGGGCCCGGTGCTCAGCTATTAAATCGAGCAACTGTATGTGAGCTATCAGTATTCTTTGTTGAAAAGTTTTGTTTAAACTTAATGTCAAATACATGGCTTCAATATTCAAAAAGAATTTCTTGAAAAAATTAATCTTTAGCGATAATTCACTCCACATTGGGACGAAGAGGTGAAATATCATCACTTTGCTCGTTCTGATAACGAAACTTTCTAATAATGCTGAAACAGTTTCAAGGGTGCAGGTGTGCAATATCGACCTGAGGGTGTGGTGTGCAGCCTATAATATACTTAAACTGCAGTAAAAAATGCTTGGAGCATTTTTTTCTTCAAAAAAGTCGATATTGGTTGCAATACTACACATTGAAATTTATCTTACCCACATTTTAAAATTTATCTACCATTTTTAGATTATTTATAAGACATTTGATCTGCAGCTTTATTTTTTTAATTACCGTCATTCAACAGCCAGCCGAATTTCGGGTTTACGACTACCAAAGTTCAACTCTGTAGCCTTGCAATCTTGAACTCAATCAGGAACAATCTTGAACTCAATCGGACTCCTGGATCAAGTATTGGTAGAAATTTGCCTTCGGGAAGGACATTTTTATGGAACTAGTCCGCATTTGCGTGACACGGAGAGGAAAACCTCCCATGGTTAGCCTGACGGCAAAGGGACTCTATCTCATGATTCATCTACTATAAAGGATATTTTACGCCAGCACTGCGGTCGGTGCAAACCGGATTCGGAATTCGTATCGACCAGCCATCACTGGGATTCGAACCATCAGGTTCACCGCTTTGGAAGGTGAACGGTCTATCCCCTGTATATATATATATAAAATAACGAGATTTTAAAATTGAAACTTATTCGAAATGAGAAAAGTTATTTTTTTATTTTCAGTCATAAGAATACGTGACTACAAAAAATTAGAAATGTTCAAAATTTTATATTGTTTCACGCGCTTGGCTAAAATGTTTTACTTTAGCTCCGCACCGGTGCAGCAGTAACTTTAATTTATTCATTATTTATTTTAAAGTGATAATTAAAGAGAATCAGTAATTATCTATAACTTTTAAATGTTCAAAAGTTCTTTCTTACATTATTATCGTCGTGCCAAAAGCACTCATACTATGGTCGGCAAGTTCCAATACTTAAAAGTCCAATTTACCAAATAGATGAAGTGACAAAATAATAGTGAGGAAAAATAATAAAGATTAAAAATTTCTAAAGTAGAATAATAAATGCAAAATGTACTACATAATTCAAAAACACAATAAACGAGGTTTTAAATTCACAGGATTTTATTTATTTAGAACAAATTCTCTTGATTGCAAAATGCTTTTTCAAGTAATGAAAACAAATTCTCATTTCAAATCTTAACCATCTGATCACGTATTCATAAATATTTTTCGCCTTGCAGGTTGTTTTTATTTCTAATTATACTTAAAAATAAAATAAAACAGAATTATTTTTTAGTTTATGAACAGTGTTAAAAACGACATTTAGATGCATTCACTATTTAAGTGAATTTTTTTTAATTCGATGAAACGTTACCCAATCACGTGATACACCTGTTAGTATCTGGATAGCGATTCTTTATAAATCATTATAATTCATGATTTTTGAATAGTAAAAAAACAAATCTACGATGATTCGTCTATCCTTTTTATTGGGTAAGTAAACTGATCATTTTTCTAAATAAATCACAGCTCATCCTTTTTAAAAAAAAAATCAAACTTATATATCTGAAGTTCGTTTTGTAACGAGCGAACGATTTTTTTCTCATTTTGTGTAAAATAAAACAAGAGGCTTTCGATATGTGTAGATATGTTTATGAATACAATTAACTAAAGTTATAATGGTATTTACCTATTTATTTTATATTTCTTATTGAACGGTATACTCATTCTCTTCTATTTTGATTACAGAGGTATTTAATAAACATTTGGTGAACGTACTCATGGCTTCAACTATTTTTAATTATTATACCATGCATATTTAACGCTTTAATGTCATTTTAACTATTGTGATATTTTTTTTAAAATGAAAAGAGAAAATCGTCATAAAATCTAACGATCTTATTAAAACTTAAAAGTAATTTCCCTTATAATTCAAATTAATCCTTTGACTCTATACTTTATTACGCAACATTTAAAGATAAACATACTGTAATACCGTTTCTAAATTATTAGGCTGCAAATAAGGTATAATTAATATTTTATAGGCTGTAATGCCGTGCAAATGAAAAAACACTGGAAAGTGCTTCACGATATATTTCGAGAAACTAGGCTACTATTTTCTTTCTATTGCTAATGCTGTGAAAACTAAAACAGAATTTCAGAAAACTTATAGAACAAAATTTAAATTTGAAAAAATTTTTTTTGTAATCTGTAAATTATCGTACGTAAACGTCAAATGCATAAAAATCTCAATTTTGAATTTTTTTGTCGCTAACGTTGATTTTTCTATTGCACGGCAGTGCACTTGTTTTTATATTACTTTTCATGTTAAATTGTTTGCTGCTATTTTTTTCTTCATAATTCTTTTAATTTGGGACTTTAAAATCCCGACAAAAGATTGGTGATGCTTTGAGAGTAGAAATTATACAATAAAGAGTAATAAAATATTTGTGCACACATTTTTTTTATTTCTAAATATCAATTATTAGAAATAGCAAAATGTAAACGACATTCATAAATAAAATTTTTGATTATTATTTGCACTGCAATATTTTTGTGCTCGCAATTGTTTATTTCGTATTCAGATGTGTCATGATCTGATGCATGAAATTTCTGTCAACACAATTTTAATTTCTTCAACAGTTAAGTTCAGCTGTCAAGCTTCATCTTCTTCTATACATATCTGTGAAAATAAATAATTAAATAAAACATTAAGCGTACTTAAAAAAATGCTACTATAACTATGTACAGTAAGCAAATCATGTCCAAATATTTTAATAAGCATACCAAAACCACAGAAAATAAGTCAACACTATTTTTTATACAATTTGTAGAATACTGATGGCGTGAATTATTAAACCTGTCTGCACTTTAAAGTCCCAAGACATTATAAAGTTTTCATTAAAGTTAAACATCGAATATTTTGCTTTACCATAACAGGGTGGCTAGCTACTAAATACTGTGATGCTAAACAAAATAAAAATTAATTTTAATTCTTTAGTAGAATAATTTATCTCTCACTATTCCTGTGTTTGGCACTTTCTATGAGTGCAGACAATTTTTGCTTAAAGCAAAACATTTAGAATAAATTTGAAGATGGAATCGAAAAGTTTGATGCTTAAACAGCTTTTCGATCACCTATTTACAGTAGGCAAAATCTTTAAGCAATTAAAATCACTTGGGTTTAATATAACATTTATATGTAGAACTATAAATCGATTTTTGGATTCTAATAGTTGTAAAGATTGACCCAGGTCTGCTCATCCACGCTCAGTTCGTTCAAAAAAATTTGTATTAAAAGAATTTGGGAAAATATTCGAAGTATTCTACAACACTCTGTTAATAAAATGGCTGCTGAAGAGAATGTGAGTCTAAGAACTGTGCAAGTTACATTAAATGAAGACCTGGGTTTTTGCCCTTATCGCAAAAGAGAAGTTCAAAGTCTGACAACTGCACAAAAATTAAAAAGGTTACAAAAATGTACGAGATTGCTAAGCCGGCATGGTAACAAAAGTGTTGACAGAATAATCTTTTCTGATGAAAAAATATTTTGCACAGAGCTTAAGTTAGAATGCTAAAAATAATGTTGTATATGCAGCAAACTTTGATGATATACCTGAAAGTGTACCAACTGTGTAATGCTTTAAGAACAAGAATTCTATAAAGGTTTGGGGCTTCAGTGTCAATTAATGGAAAATTTCCTCTGAAATTTATCAATAAAGGGGTAAAAATCAATGTTGAATATTACAAAAAGAATAATTGGCTACACTTTTAATGCCACATGATGACAGATTGTATCCCAAAATCGATTGGATATTTCAGCAAAATTCTGTGCCTTAAAACCGGGCCAAAACAAAGCAGGCTTGGCTCCATATCAATTTTTCGAAAATTAATTGGCCAGAAGAATTGCCCCCTCTTCACCGGATCTAAATCTTTTATCCAGTCGGTGCATAAAGAGTCCCAATCTCGAATTTGTGAGCTACAAAAGGAAGATTAGCTTTACACATTGTTCTAATTTAAGTTGGAAACAATTTTTTTAAAACAAATTATTAAAAAAAAGAAGATAACACATGTTACTTTTGATACTTTCGAATTCCTATTCAAATAAAAAGGAATTCGAATTGGATGTTAAAGGCGCGTTTTTATAACTAATCTGGTTTCTAATGTCAGATTAGCACATATAGAATGAAACGGATTTTGTGACGTACGGATATGACATCACGGAATAAGTATTTTGAACAGTATTTGAAAATGTGTGTATCTTATTATTATTACTATTTTAAAAAAAAAAAAAAAAGGTTTCTAAAACCATTTTCAAATTGTTAACGTAAAAACCATTTTTAATATATATTTTTAGAAGTTACATATATCGATAATGAAAACAAAAAAGAATGCACATTGAGAAACACTTATAATTATTTATCTGAAGGTTAAAGAAACGTTATCGAAATCTGACAAGTTACAGTAGTGAAACGCGCTTGNCCCCTTCCATGTTAGCTTGTTCGAAATAGTGCTACTTTGCTTGCTCATAATATGACGATGCATCTTTTACTTATGTAATTTTAAAAAAAAATTCTCTCGTCTAAATTCCCCCCTAAACTATTCGTTTTATTCAGTGTAAAAATTCCCTCCCCCAAGCTTTAAGTGGGCGCATCGTGCGTCCACCTTCCCCCCTGATGGGGGCCCCTGGCTATGGAAATCTGACAAGTTACAGTAGTGAAATGCTCTTGTAAGAAACGTTATTAGAGGTTTAATATAAGAGGTTGAAACATAAAGGTCTTTCTAATAATAGTCTTTCTACTTCTCTCTGTTTGTTGCTTGTTACATACGCCTTCCTACACTGTGATTTATCAGATTTCGATAGCGTTTTTGTTTCACTCTTAATTAAATAGTAATTTGCGAATCCTAGAGTGTGTACTTTTTTCTATTACATTTTAAAGCCAAAACACACACTATGAAATATCCAGATATATTGGTGTATACAATGAGAAAAAAAGGGCGTCATTGCAACAATAAGACATTCAAACATAATTTTTTAAAAACAGCAAATAATGAAAGCTATTATTTACTGTTTTACAATGAAAATTATTACTTTTCATTATTAATAAAAATTTTAAATATATTAAAAGCTTCGCTCACACTAGATACGTTTGGAAAGTGAACCTAATTGGTTAGTTTTTTGCGTGAGAATGTATTTAACCAATCAGTTTCTTAATCTCCTTTGACGGTGATTGGGTAAGCGTGAACAGCCCGCAGGGAAAATGTCCTTTAAGGATGGTCTTTCCGGAACACCCTGTGTGCATGAATAAACCTGGAAATCTTAAAAATAGCTCAAATTACTGTACTCTCAACGTTTTGTTTCCAATAATTTTTTATAATTTCAGTTTGCATCTTTGTTTACTTCAATTCATTCAATTATGTTTCTACCTTTGATGACAATCATTTGACTAATGAAGGAGCAACGATATCTTGCACTTGCGGAAAAGATATTTTGAAGAAGCGCATCAATAAGTAAGAGGAAAACGAGAAACTAAGTATCAGAAAAATTGTAAAGTATTTGAATCTATTTTTGTTAAAAAGTTCAAAAAATGCATGTATTTTCGAAAAATGTATGTTCCTTTTTTATTTTATTTAAAAGTGTAATAATAAGTGGTATATAACATTTATGTTACATATTTATCTCAATTTTCCTTTTTCTTTCTCAATTTATTATTCAACACGAAATGTGTTGCAATATTTATTTTACACATCCGGCATTTTAGTTTTAAATTTAGATTAAAGAATCTTAAAATTGACCTTTTAAATTTTTCCCTTAACCAAGCGTGAGAACCGGGTAAATCCCTCGTCCTATTTTATGCACAGGTTAAAATAAATAGTAATTCCCTTTTTGCATGTGATCATCGGGAAAATTTTCCTAACATTTATAGTGAAATACTTCGATTTTGTATGTTTTGGCCTCTCATGCAAATATATATATATATAATGCAAAAATTATAAATACTTTTGTATTAATAAAACCATTAAAACTCTTTCGTTTTCATAAAATGTCTTCGGTAAAGAATAGGTGTAGAAATTCTATTTTGGGAATTCAAGGCTGAAAACATACCATTGAATAATAATTAGATTTATATTTCAAAGGAGGAGTTATTTTTAGAATCTTGTCCCTCTTTCACTTCCATATTAGGAAGCATTAAGTGATTTTCCATAATGCGTAGAGTTACGAAGGTATGTACGACTGGAACCTGTTTACATCAAAATCTGTAAGTATTTAATGCGAGACCGAAGGTTTTCGCATGTCTCTTGCTGAATAACCTGTTCCAATAAACATCTGCCGTAACCATCCGGAGTCTTGTCCACACCCCCTCCCTTGTGGAGTGCGGATGTGAACTGTTATAACCAACAGCATAACTTTGAATAAAGCTTTTTATGACATATTATGGCTTTTGACTGCATTATTAAAGCTGAATACAACAATGATAACAGGGATGTAGCCCTGTTATTATATATATATATAATAACAGGGCTCCAACCCTGTTATCAGTGTTGTATTTAGCTTGAAATAATTGCAGTCTTAAGCCATCATACGTTCTAAACAGGTTTATTAAATGTAGATGTTTAACACC